ACACCCTAACACCCTAACACCCTAACCCCAACACCCTAACACCAAACCCTAACCACCCCCTAACACCCCTAACACCCTAAACACCCTAACACCCTAACACCCTAACACCCTAACACCCTAACACCCCTAACACCCTAACACCCTAACACCCTAACACCCTAACCCACCTAACACCACTAACACCCTAACACCCTAACACCCTAACCCCCTAACACCCTAACACCCTAACACCCTAACACCCTAACACCCTAACACCCTAACACCCTAACACCCTAACCACCCTAACACCCTAACACCCTAACACCCTAACACCCCTAACACCCTAACACCCCTAACACCCTAACACCCTAACACCCTAACACCCTAACACCCTAACACCCCTAACACCCTAACACCCTAACACCCTAACACCCCTAAACACCCTAACACCCTAACACCCTAACACCCTAACACCCTAACACCCTAACACCCCCTAACACCCTAACACCCTAACACCCTAACACCCTACCCCTACACCCTAACACCCTAAACACCCCTAACACCCTAACACCCCTAACACCCCTAACACCCTAACACCCTAACACCCTAAACACCCTAACACCCCTAACACCCCTAACACCCTAACACCCTAACACCCTAACACCCTAACACCCTAACACCCTAACACCCTAACACCCTAACACCCTAACACCCTAACACCCTAACACCCTAACACCCTAACACCCTAACACCCTAACACCCTAACACACCCTAACACCCTAACACCCTAACACCCTAACACCCTAACACCCTAACACCCTAACACCCTAACACCCCCTAACACCCTAACACCCTAACACCCTAACACCCTAACACCCTAACACCCTAACACCCTAACACCCTAACACCCTAACACCCTAACACCCTAACACCCTAACACCCTAACACCCTAACACCCTAACACCCTAACACCCTAACACCCTAACACCCCTACACACCCTAACACCCTAACACCCTAACACCCTAACACCCTAACACCCTAACACCCTAACACCCTAACACCCTAACACCCTAACACCACCCTAACACCCTAACACACCCTAACACCCTAACACCCTAACACCCTAACACCCTAACACCCTAACACCCTAACACCCTAACACCCTAACACCCTAACACCCTAACACCCTAACACCCTAACACCCTAACACCCTAACACCCTAACACCCTAACACCCTAACACCCTAACACCCTAACACCCTAACACCCTAACACCCTAACACCCTAACACCCTAACACCCTAACACCCTAACACCCTAACACCCTAACACCCTAACACCCTAACACCCTAACACCCTAACACCCTAACACCCTAACACCCTAACACCCTAACACCCTAACACCCTAACACCCTAACACCCTAACACCCTAACACCCTAACACCCTAACACCCTAACACCCTAACACCCTAACACCCTAACACCCCTAACACCCTAACACCCTAACACCCTAACACCCTAACACCCTAACACCCTAACACCCTAACACCCTAACACCCTAACACCCTAACACCCTAACACCCTAACACCCTAACACCCTAACACCCTAACACCCTAACACCCTAACACCCTAACACCCTAACACCCTAACACCCTAACACCCTAACACCCTAACACCCTAACACCCTAACACCCTAACACCCTAACACCCTAACACCCTAACACCCTAACACCCTAACACCCTAACACCCTAACACCCTAACACCCTAACACCCTAACACCCTAACACCCTAACACCCTAACACCCTAACACCCTAACACCCTAACACCCTAACACCCTAACACCCTAACACCCTAACACCCTAACACCCTAACACCCTAACACCCTAACACCCTAACACCCTAACACCCTAACACCCTAACACCCTAACACCCTAACACCCTAACACCCTAACACCCTAACACCCTAACACCCTAACACCCTAACACCCTAACACCCTAACACCCTAACACCCTAACACCCTAACACCCTAACACCCTAACACCCTAACACCCTAACACCCTAACACCCTAACACCCTAACACCCTAACACCCTAACACCCTAACACCCTAACACCCTAACACCCTAACACCCTAACACCCTAACACCCTAACACCCTAACACCCTAACACCCTAACACCCTAACACCCTAACACCCTAACACCCTAACACCCTAACACCCTAACACCCTAACACCCTAACACCCTAACACCCTAACACCCTAACACCCTAACACCCTAACACCCTAACACCCTAACACCCTAACACCCTAACACCCTAACACCCTAACACCCTAACACCCTAACACCCTAACACCCTAACACCCTAACACCCTAACACCCTAACACCCTAACACCCTAACACCCTAACACCCTAACACCCTAACACCCTAACACCCTAACACCCTAACACCCTAACACCCTAACACCCTAACACCCTAACACCCTAACACCCTAACACCCTAACACCCTAACACCCTAACACCCTAACACCCTAACACCCTAACACCCTAAACACCCTAACACCCTAACACCCTAACACCCTAACACCCTAACACCCTAACACCCTAACACCCTAACACCCTAACACCCTAACACCCTAACACCCTAACACCCTAACACCCTAACACCCTAACACCCTAACACCCTAACACCCTAACACCCTAACACCCTAACACCCTAACACCCTAACACCCTAAACACCCTAACACCCTAACACCCTAACACCCTAACACCCCTAACACCCTAACACCCTAACACCCTAACACCCTAACACCCTAACACCCTAACACCCTAACACCCTAACACCCTAACACCCTAACACCCTAACACCCTAACACCCTAACACCCTAACACCCTAACACCCTAACACCCTAACACCCTAACACCCTAACACCCTAACACCCTAACACCTAATTTAAGCTATTGCTTCAGAATCACCGGGCTTAATTCCTGAATCCTATTATTATATAACTAATTTATAAAAATAAAAATCTTTGAACAAAAATTAATCTAAAAAGAGTTAAAATTTAATAAATTTGATTTGGTGCTACCATCGAATTTTTTTCCAATCTCTATTTCGGGAATCATTTTTGGCAGAATACTTGCTTCTTCTAAATGCTTTGTTTGAGCCCTAATAAAAGGGATATAATAAAGTAAGTAAAGCAACGCAAGTTCAAATGAGAATAATATAGTAATACCAATAATTATGCTCAATTGTAGAGATATTACCTGCTTTGAGCTTGAATCTGCCATATCAAAGTCATCAGCCATGGAATCCTGCAAAATGCCGAAATTCGTAAGGTATACTCGAGAGCTCTTTTTGTTCGGACGTTTCGGCATTTCCCGTCCAAGCCAACTAATGTTGGTTTTACCAACTCCCCAAATGGCATAATCCTGACAACAAGAGGTTCTGTCATTTGTGGAGTTGGTAAAATTTATCGGTTTAACACCCTGTCTTTCCCATCGGAAAAGATGAGGAACACCGAGCAAAAAGCGTGCTCGGGCTATAACTATATTTTACTGTATAAGAGCGGTATTCATGAACACTCATATAAAAGGAATCAAAAATAGCTGAATTTGCTGCAACTCCTGTTCCGTATTTCAAGATATCAAATTGAGAGTCTATTTCTTCAAAAAGGCGGTCTTTTAAAGAACTTGATAGTAAATCTTGCAGATCTTTTGAATGAAGATTTTTATACTCTTCTCAATATCACAAAATCGTATTTTCAAATTCAATAGATGGATCTGCAAGGCTATAAGATTTTTTATAAATATCTAGATATGGGGGCTTATTTATATCTCTTGTAAAATATCCGATTCTTGCTAATAAAGCTCTCCTTATATTAAAGTTTTGTAATAATTTAGGCCGATTTATCATATAAGTTTCGCATGCTTTATATAGATAAAGGATTGCCAATATAAAAGCTATTGAAATGATTGCGAAGAAACTTAATCTTCAGCAGAATTTTCAAATAATATTAGCTTTCACATAATTGCTTTTTTTTACTCCCCCCCTCCGTGAGTAAACAAAAAAATTTTTGTTCACTCACTGAGGGGTTAATTTTTTTTTTTTAAAAAAATTTTATAAAAAATATTTTTTTTTTGAAGTTTAAAAAAATCCTAATTCGCAAAAATTTGAAAGCAAATATTAATTTAATTTATAAAATTTATGTTTTAAAAAGCAATTCGTTCAAAATTAAATAGAATTAGCTCTAGATTTCATTATCCTAATTATCATTTATATATCAATTTTTTTTTCCATAAAAATTTTTTCTATTAAAAAAATTTTTGTTTACTCACGGAGGGTGGGTTTTTTGGGCAAAAATAGCGATTTTTCTAATGGTTTTGTTCACTCACGAGGGGGGGGAGTTAGGATTTTTTTGAATCAAATCATTTTCCTTGTTTATTTCAAGCCCATGGATTGAAGTGAGCCTGTCTAAAGCTTAAAGGTTAAAGGTTAAATTAACTTTATTGAGTAGTTCCCGGTATCGCCACCAGGGCGCATTTTCTCCACCTTGCTTCGTTATTGTGCCGCCTGCCGCAACCCTCCAGGGGTGAACTCCTCGTCGCCTGAGGCTCGCGTCTAACGACGAGTGTGGTAGGCTGGGTCACCGTGCCGTACATCAAACTTGGGTTGCCTTCCAGAAAATTCAAAAAAATGAATTTTCTGGTCGAGCTGTCGACCAAGATGGAATTCGTCGCCCAGGACGCAACGCCTGGCATCGCGCTAGGAAGTTGCCCGATTGGTCCAAAGGACTTTGATGGCTTTTCCCCTTTCCAACGCCGAACCCATCTTCCACCAAGAGGTAAAACCTTGATCCGGGAATGAGCTGCGGTCGGCCTAATCCGACGTTGCGCTCCACCTAAACCAAGTAAAACCTGGCCGGATACACATCACCGAGCGCTATCCTCCCTTCCACAAGGTCCCTGGGTCTCCCCAGCTACAGGTGTTAAGAGAGGGTGGGCTGGTTCGCCACGCCATTTTAATGTATATAGCCTGTCTAAAGCTACCTGTCTTAGAGAACTATAGCTTGAAACGACAGAATTTTTAATAAATTTTCAAAAATTCTCATAAGCAGATTTTAGCCTAACTATGAAATAAAGAAGTACACATAAACAAAGTCCAAGAATGATGATTCCAGCTCATAGTAAAAGATTGATATAAAGACTGGAATCATGTATTCGATTTTTTTCACATTCAACTAAGCCAGACAATGCATCTTTTATTAATTCAAATGGATAACTAACACTATTTATCATTAGTCATCTTGTTTCATGCGCATAGCCAATATCTTTTGTCTTTGCACATTTTAGCAAGACTTGGCCCTAAATACTATTTACATGCTGAATAAAATTGGTCATTGCATCATAAAGGTTGTATTTTTTTAGGTAAGGATTTCCCATGTCAAATTCCCATATAGGAATAATATTTTCTATAACAATTTTAGAGCTTGGGCAATAGCTTCACTGTGACTTGTCACTCAATACATTTTCTTGCAAAACTGAAAGCTCTGATATAGTTTGATTTAAATATTCAGAGTCTCTTGTAAGGTTAAAAACTCCTTGTTCAATTTCAACACTAATTGATCTCACTAAATTTGCAGCTGATCCGATATAAAACATAATTTGGCCTAGGTGGTTGAAAATATCTAAAGAGTTTGTGTGTGCTACTTGCTCTATGATGTAAGCTAATATACCAATATTAGTTCCAATCATTGCTATGATCTATTTAAAAAGTACTGCAAAGAATAAAATTCATTGGAATTTTTTAATAGATTTACTAGTACTTAAAATATACTTTGATGCAGATCCTAATTTAAAATTACTCTCAGAAGATACGGATAATGAGCAACCAGAGCTTGCAGGGGCTAGTGACAAGATTTTTTCCTCATCAAAATCTTCAGAATTTTGTAGATCACTTGCTTTTGAAATGTGTTGTTGTTTCTATCCTATATTCATATAGAAAATAGGATAATGACTAACCAGTTAGAATGCTTTCATTAATTGCAAATAAGTGCTAATTTTTTTAAAATAGAACTAATCATAGGTAAAATTTTTTATTTTACTAAACGTTAAATTAGAAATCAAAGCTATTGCATATAAATTATTATTTCAGCTATAAAAATTAAAATTTGAGGGGGAAATTAATAAAATTTATTTGAAAAGTTAATTTTTTGCCTTTTGAGTATTCAGTAGGTTGATTTTCAGATATTTCAGTTGGAATTTCTTTTAAAATTTTTGGTGAATTACAAAAGTATTCAACTTGCTCATTATTAACTTGACTTTTTCATTTTTTGATTTCAGATTTATCAGTCAGCACCAATATCATATGGATTGTATCAGATTTTGATTTTCTCGCGGTGTGAACTAGTACTGTTTTTTTATGATTAAAATAAATTACAACTGGCTCAAATAATGGCAAAATTGATATGTTTATTCTTGGAATAATATCAGAAATATTCATCTCTGAATAATTGCTTTTGCCTAAGCCTATTATAGATATCAATTGTGCAGAATGGCTATATATTTGCCCTTCTTCGGATATTGAAATTATTTGTCTCTTGGTTTTTATTTGAGAAAAACAGATCTATAATAAGCGTTATTTTTGAATGCTGTAAGCTTTATTACCACCTTGCATTCAAAAATATACCCATCTAATTTTTGAAGAAATGATGAATGAGATATTTCTAATTCAGTGCAGGTGCATAATCTATAATAGTTGAACATGTGATCATTATGATGTAAAGAATAAGGTTTAGGAATAAATTGATTAAAATCGCGATTAATCATTTCAATTGGAGACACATTGAGTATAGCTGCAGCTTTTGCATTCATATATGCAATACTCCCAAATGAGCTAGTTTCTGTCGATACTAGTATAATTCCAAAGGATTGATCATAGCTTTCAAACTTTTTAAAGTCGTTTAAAGACCCAGAGTTCTTTATGTTCAATTTTCTTTTAAGTATAGTCCATATCCCTATGCAGATTTCTTTATCGATTTAAAATTAACATTTAATAATAAAGCCATTTTCAACTTTGTTCCACTAGTCAATCATTTTTTGGCACATCATTTTTCAACCCTTTCGTCAATATTTCACCTTTAAGTGATTCTGTTTTGGTTGTTCAACTTTCTCTTACATTTTGTCGATAAAGAAATCTATATATGGATATGTATTATATAGCATTTCCTTCTTCGACTTCTCCGAGAATATTGATTAAAAAAAGTCCATATAAATCAAGTATTTCAGAATTCCTTATTTCTTGTGAAAGTGATTCATAAAGTGACTTAATTTTCTTTGAAATACTGCAAACTTTTTTAATAAAATGCTTTAGCTTGTTTATTTCTGGATCTTTTCTTGCGATTTCTGCTCATAAATCTAGCAATATCAAACAAATTTCAACATCAAATTTTTTAGCTTCATCAAGGCATAATATACGATCTAAGTTTTTAATTTCTGATAATCCACTTACATTTTTTTCAAATTTCTCTAGAATTCGAAACTTTTGTATACATGCCTCAATGTTCTGCTTAAGCAAGCTATACTTTGTTAGTTTAACCCTCCCAAGCCTTTCATCTTTTGCAATATAAATACAAAAATTGACTTCTCATATAACATAAAGTGAATTTTTCTTTAACTTTGAGTTAAACTGCTCAGAAAGCATTTCAATGACTTCACTTTTAGCATCGTACTGCTCATCTACCAATAAATGCCTAATTGAATGCTCCAAAGTAAATTGGCTTTTCGGATTGATTCTATTGAATTTTAGAACAGAATATTTTCTATGCACATAGATTGTTATAAAAAGGCAAGATAAAGGTAGCAAAAATATACATAGCAGGGTTAATGTTGTTGGGTTATCGGTTAAATATCCAAATAAAAAAACAACTAAGCAAACTAAAATATTACCCATTTTGCATGCTTGAATTGAATTTTCAACTGGATTGAAATAGTGTAGAAATCTAAATTCAAGTACTAATAAATATACTGCCATTACCATGCCTATCATTATTCGATATTCATAATGACTTTTGTCAACAAATGCAAACAGAAAGCATTGAGCAATAAAAAATAATATGCAGAGCAAATCCCATGAGGAATTAGACCTTGCTTTTATGTTTTTATGAGCTACTGAGTGTCTTAAATCTGCTTTCATCATTTCTATGAGAAAAACTATCGGTACAAAAACAACTAAAATAAGGAAGCTTGAAATCGTTCCCAAAATTCCGAAATTATAGTTGTCTGCATCATGATCATCATACTCCTGCACGTATCTGTAATCAAAAGCTGAGTATTTGATGACAATTATCAAAGTTGTTAAATATGGAATTAGCGATATTGAGCTAAATAAATATAAAAGGGCTTTAGCAATCATAAGTAAAATACCAGGTAAATTGCAATTAAAATACTTACAACCACAATGCAAAAAAACAATAAAAATCGAGGATGCATTAATGGTTGAACTTAAAATAAAATAAAAAGTATAAAGACCTTGCTTTGCAAATAAATAGTCGTAATTGAAAAATCTAAAGCAATTTCAAATAGTTGAGTATGAACTTCAATGGCGAATAGACATATCAGGATATCAAAAAAGAGATACCACCTGAATTGTGATAATTATATTTGAAAATATTTCTCGAATTATTTGTTGCTTAAAAGAAACTCTAGTCTTGAAGTCTGACTCGAAAATCCCTATAATGCAACTCAATAAAAATCCTTGCAAATTTTTATATTTGTCAAGTGGCTTTCTACTTATGAATAGTTGATTGCCTTCTATATGAAAATCTTCCCCATCTGTTATCATTTAAGACTCGAATTAAAAAAATGATAATAATTTATCATTTTCGCAATGAATAGGCAACTGTATGCTTTTTAAATATATTTTATTTACTCTAGCTTTCCCTTCTTGTTAAAAGTAAAACAATTAGAAATACCTATTTTAAAAATTAGCAAGCAAAAAATATTTTCTTAAATCACGAATAGCTTGCTTTATTTAATTCTATTTCTGTGTCTATTTTATATATCCCAAGCACTGACGTTTACTGCCGCTTTTAAATTGGAACAAAAATCCTATTCCAATTTAAATGATTCAATTTTTTTTAAAAATGCTATATTAAATTTTCTCTATATAAAACCATCTATAAAATTAAAAAAAATATAAATTAAACGTGATGTTTTGAATTTTAGTTCGTTTTTATAAGAAATAATTCTTAAAATTAATCTAGGCAGTTCAAATACTATTTAAATATATTTGCAACGCATGGAGATGGGCAATCTTTTTGAGAGGTATGCAAAAGCGAAGTGCAGGTGATCACGCATATTTTAGAGCCAACTATATACTTTGAATTACTCAAGTAGTAATTCCTGAAATAATTATACTGTCATATGGGCAGGCGTAATATTTTAAGCAATCTGGGAGAAGAAAACCAGGATTAAGCTTATTTAATATTTATTAAATGTGAAATGTATTAAATACTAAGCTATTTATTTCAAGAAACAAAAAACAAGCATACTTTTCCAGTTTTCCAGTAATATTGATTATATTTAGTAATGCTATGCTCGAAAAGTTCCCTACTCATATAATAGATGGATTCTACCTCTTAAAAAATAAATCCAATCATCATCTTTTTTAGTATACAGAACTTAGTTTATAGTCTTTAAATCTAAGAATATAAGCTATTAAATATCCCACATATTTAATCAAAATACCTAAATTTTTTAATTTAAATTTTGCATTCTCAAATATTACTATAAATCATTACAAAAAGAATTGATTATTCAATTAATTTCCTAACAAATATAAAATTGTAGGATATAATTATTATGAAAATTATTTACAATGCTCTTAAAATTTATCAAAACCCGTTTAATATATTATTTAATTTACCTAAGACTTTTCTTCCTCTTCTGAAATCACGAACATAGACTTAGAAAACGTTGTTTGCTCAGATTCTGTTTCCAGTGTTATTGGTGGTCTTTCAAGATCTTCCACATTGACATTAGGCTGTACAGTGCTTATTGCATATTTATGCTCTGGATTTTCTATCATTTTGAACCCTTCCTTCAAAGTTTTATAACAGAATCTTACTCCCCCCGTGAGTGAAAAAAAAATTTTTGTTCACTCACGGAGGGTGGGGTTTTGTGCAAAAAAATAGCGATTTTTCCAATGTTTTTTGTTCACTCACGGAGGGGGGAAGTTATATAAACACCAACTGACGCAACTGTCTGCGTAGCAATAATAATCAAAATTAGAGCTGTAGTTACAGTTTCAGTCGTTGTTAACTTAATATTAACGGATTCTGATAAATTTCCAGATAGAGAAATCATCACTAAAAGTGTAGCAACTTCACTTGAAAGATTTGCAATCTGATAATAAAGGTCACTGTAGGGCTGATACTTGGCAAAATAAATAATGAGCACAGCTGATAACAGTGAATTTATAACAATTTGAGTTTCTGGATGCTGCCCTAATAGCACAATATTTATCATGTAGATGAGCCTCCTTATGAAGAATATAAAATAAAATTGAGTGCTTATTAGCCCTTTATCGTTTTTGAATTCATAATGCAGAGTGCTTCATTTAGCATAATAGTTCTCTTCCTCTTGCGTTATTTTACTCAGATTGCTGTAAGAAAATTTTATTAATGCTGTGGGAGATGCTACCACAAAGATCTAAATATTTCTTACAAGGAAGAAAATAGAAAATATTGAACTTGAGATTTGGACTGAGTTTTCACTCGAAAACTAAATAGATCTTACATATGATAAGCTTAAAATTGCAGCTATGCCCACGTCTAAATAGGTTTGTATTCAAAATCTCAAGAATATTGAATACTTAAAATACTTGAAAATGGCTGACTCCCCCCCCCCATCCTTGATCGAACGATTGACTGTAAAAATTCCTAAAAATTGGGGAAATTACCCCCATCCTTGATCGAACGATTTTCATATCATGCAAATTTTTATATATATATAAAAATATAATAGTTATCAAAAGCTTGGGAAGATGTACCTAATGAAGTTGTTTTCAGAGACTTTGAGACGATAGAAAGCTTCGGAATCAACCATTCAAAGTAATTTAGTCATCAGCATGGGCTTAAAAACTCAATAATTTAATAAAATAGAGATTTTTTTAAAATTTAAAAAAACAAATTTAAATTTAATAAGTAACAAATTAAAATTTATACAGTTTAAAGGGGTAACTAATAAATTAAAATATAAAAAAATTGGTATTTTTATGAAATTAATTCAATTTTTTGCTGTAAAAATAATTATTAAATACTCTTAACACTCTTATTTAAAAGTAAATAAAAAAAAAATTATATATATATTTTATTTTATATATAAAATTTTTTCCCAAAAAAATTTTTTTTTAACCACCATACTTGATCGAACGATGGCGAGTCGTTCGATCAAGGATGGGGGGGGAGTGAGAGGGCTCCTGAAATATAAGAGTTAGATATTTTTATCATTGCGTATATAAAAATGCAAGCTACAGAAGTAATAATGAAAATTGTTAGATCACTTCCAGCATTGAGAAATGCTATATCACTTTTATAATTGAATTTTACTGCCTCATCGTATGGTGATATTCCTTCATCATAGTCGATAAAAGCTGAAAATAGATTTGGAAAATATCTAACAGCATTTAAATCTTCTAAAAATGATGCAAAAGATTCTGACATTGGAATTTTTGATAGTCCCAAATAATAAATGACTTGCATTATGCTAATCATTGATCAAAGCCCTTAATGAACCACCTTAGTATGGTAAAGCGACAGGACTGGGTAAATGCTTCGTTGGCGAAAAGTTTGGAGTAGGAAGGAAACCCAAACTTATACTTGAGTTACTTAAACTAAATTAATTAAGATTAAGACCAAAACCCTGAAGGATTTGGAGTAAAAAATGAAACAGCCAAGTTTAGGCCAAGGAAAGCTTTAAATGCAGCTGAAGACTGAATCGAGAAATCTGAAAGGATATTGCTGTTTGGATAAGGATCATAATAGTATAAAACCCCAGTTAAAGTCTGCTCTATTAAAATTGCATTAGTCTTTGAAACTGAGTTATTCAAAATTACTGATAATTCTGTCTCTTTTTCAATTTCGACGTAGGCTTCTAAGTCAATTATTCAAGCTGCATCATTTATTTTGCTGATCGTATATGAAAAATCAGATTCATCTAAGCTTGATATTTGTATTTTAACATCAATGGCCAGTAAAGGATTTAGCAAATCTTCAGAAAAAGTCAAGTTCAACGTATTATCAAAATTCACCTTTATAGATGCATTAAAATAAGCAATAGTGGCACAATTTGTATTTCCATATCCAGTCTTGCATCTGCATACATTTTCATACATTTCTGCATTTTCCACACATTCAAAACAAATCGTGCTGTTGTTGCAGGAAGTGCATTGAGCTGGACAATTTTTGCATAAACCTTCATGGGGGTATTTTCCTATAGAACACTCAACACAGCTTGTTAAATCGTTGCTTAGGCCATATTCATCAATACAGTTACAAGAAGTGGCATTTTCAGCATTTTGCACACAACTTGTGCAAGTATCTGAGGCATAATCTGTGCAATGCTCGCATATAGAATTAAAACATAAATTGCAGTTCGGTAGGGAATCTTTGCACCCAAGATGGCAATTTGAATTGCAGGCTGTACAGTTATTATACTGAGATCCAGATCAAAATTCGTCTATTCCACAATTCGGGATGCAAACTTGTGTTGGCAAGCATGCTAAGCAAGTTTCAAAGCATCTAGATTGAGCCAAGTACGATATTTCTTTTGCAGAGTTAAATATCTGAATATCATAAATGAACCCTTTAAAAAACCCATCAATTTTTGACTGATGCAGCTTCCCACCTATAATATTTCTCGTCCCCGACTTAGAGGCCTGATAATAAGAAACCCCAATATCTGTTGGCATTGAATTTGTGATCGCATTTATTGTGCATGATATATAAGTATGGCCTAGCCTGTCTAATAATGTCGAAATCATCAAATGGTTTCATTCATACAGAGAAACAATGTTCGAACAGGCATAAGTCACTATGCCTGCATATTGAAGATTTATAGTTAAAGTTGGCAATAAATTAATAATTTCTAGCTCAAATTCTTTAGTGTTAGAAGAATCATGAATTGATGCTATAGTCATGTCTGCGCTTTGTGGATTAATTCATATTGAGTAGGTTATTATTGGGCTCATAATTAATTTTGGAGACTGATATAAGGAGTTTTCTGGCAAATAGAGAACTGATGAGATTCCATCAAAATAAAACCCCCTGAGATAAGCAGGGACTGGGTCATCGTGATCATAATTTTTATAAAAATTTGAGCTATTGCCTGTAATAATTGGGATTTCTGAGCTTCTGTCAAAAATAATCCCATGCAAAGTGTTTAAATCTAAATGGAAAATCTGGGAGTTTACAAGCTTGCACAAATTATTACTTTCAACATAGCCCAAGGGGCAGAATGCTAGGCATAGCCCATTAATCATAAAATAGCCCTCAGCACAAACAATACAGTTTGAAAAGTCGCCATTTCTGCATACCTTGCATGAAATATGGCAAGCTTCACACTTTTCATTTACAGTGCTCCAATAATACCCATCGCTGCATGAGCATCGATCATCTGACAAATGCGCATTTGCTTTACAATTTATGCAAACTGTATTATCATAATCATCACAAATGTCACATATTATATCATTACATAAGTTACAGTTTAGATCAGGCCTGACACAGCCATTATAGCAAGATTTATTGCACGGTAAGCATGAGTTTCCATCTCAATATTGAGTCAATTTGCAGTTAACTATGCAACCTCCTGAGTTATCAAGCGGGCATAGAGAGCAGGAGGATGAGCATCCAGTTGAATATAAGGCTGAAAAATCCATTATCTTATTGTAAATTTTTAAATCCCATAAGAACCCAGTAAAGCTGCCGCTTATTTCCAGGTTGTAACTGTAAAACGCTCCTATATAAATCTCTTTGATATCAGAATCTTCAAATCATGATTTTGAAAGCCCGCTAGAGCGATCAGCCACACCGTTAATTTGAAAAGAAATTATTAAAGCTTGATCAGAATTTATGCTGGAAGAGACTATTAAAAGATTTCATTGCTGCGTTGCTAAAAAATTTAAGCTTTTGTAAGACACTGTTGATTTATCAGCCAGTTCTAAAGAAAGGAATGGATAAAGCCCATTAAAAAATCCAAGTTGCAAACTCGCTGGGTTATAATTGTATATGATTGCTTTTTCTAAAAGGGTGCATGAGCCAGTTTTTTGTGGATTTATCCAAGTCAAGATTGTAAATTTGGGAGCAAAATAAAAAGGATCTTCAAATTTCATGAAGGATCACATATTAAAATAATATCCGCGATACTCTGCGGCCAAAGGATCAGTAAACATATAATTTGGATAGAAGCCATCATCCATTCCTGTTGTGACTGAAATATTTGATTGTAAATCTCTAACTGTATTCTTTATTTGGTGAGGCATTAAATTAAATACAAATCCATTTGTATCTGGATTTATAACACATAAAGAGTCTAACTGTGAGTAACCAGTGGGGCATTTTAGTATGCAAACATTTTCAAATAAAAAATAGCCTTGCGCACAGTGAATGCAGACTGATTCATCATATAAATCGCAAGTGATTGTAGCTTCGCATTTTTTGGTTGCACTGTTTCAAAATGTATTTGAAGCACAGTTACAGATGCCTTTATTAAAATAAGCATTATCAACGCATTCTATGCAATCTTGAGTACCAAATCCAGTGCAATTTTTGCATAGGGGATCTATGCACGGACTGCAAGTTCCAGCTCGTATGCATCTGGTCAAGCACTGATCCCAACCTGACACATCCCCACCCCCCCATGCATGGATCCCACCCCACTCCCCTAGTATATATGGATCACACCCCCACCCCCTATGCTAATAGATCCCACTCCTCCACCCCCCACACCCCTATCATATATATAAACATATAAGTATCAAATCTTACAAATAAGACATATAAGAAAATTTTAATTAATTCATAAATAGATTCATAAATAAATATTAATGATCATAAGTATATTTAGCATAGACTGATATAGCCAATAATTAGAATACATTTAAAATAAAATAATTGCCAGAAAAACCTGCTAAATAGAAAGGAATCAATAAATGATCCAAAAAATATTTGATATCTCTTATAAAGTCTTTTACTCCCCCATTTAATAACGAACACTTTTTTGTTCGCTATTAAATGGGTCTAACTTATAAAATTTTTGGAAAAAAAAAATATAAAATTATATTAAATTATCTATGATGTTTTATATAAAAATTTCAATGAAGGGTTAATAATAAAAAATTCAAATGATAGTAACAGAAAGAAAGCGCCTAAATTCATGCGAAAAGATAACTATTGTAACTCTCCCCCTCTGTGAGCGAACAAAACCATTAAAAAAGTCCCTCACTCTTCGTGAGCAAACAAAAATTTTTTAATAGAAAAATTTTTTTTATGGAAAAAAGTTTGATATATAAGCGATAATTATTATAAGGAAATCTCTGGCTAATTCTGTTTAATTTTAAACAAATTACGTTTTTAAAACATAAATTTTACAAATTCAATTATAATCCGTTGGTAAAATTTCTTATGGACGTTATACGCGCCATTTTCATATGAAATTTCAAATTATGAATTTGCCGCACTAAAATCTGCGTTTTGAAACGTATATTTGGTTTTCACATACCAAATCAAAAATGACATGCATATGCATGATAAGAAATTATTGCAATACATAATAATATTTGCTTTCCAATTTTTGCGAATTAGGATTTTTTTTTTAAATTTCGTAAAACAAAATTTTCTATAAAGTTATATATAATTTTTTTTACAAAAAAGATTAATCCCATTAGTGAGCAAACGAGATTTTTTTGTTCGCTCACGGAGGGGAGAGTAAAGCACCACCTTAAGATTATGTCACTAGTGCTTATTAGCTCTTATTTATTATTCTTGCTCGATTATGCTTGTTCTTATCTTACTCTAACTACTTAAAATAGTAAACTTTAAAGATTAAACTAGCTTATATAAATTTTTATAGTAAAATTTTTTCGTTATTAAATGGGGCCTAAGGAAAAAATTTAGGAAAAAAATGACGGTTATATTCTTTATTAAATGGGGGGGGGGAGGTAGCCTGCATTCTATGGAAAATTTTGACCTTTATATGATTTAAGCCACGAGGTATGTGCTTGAAAATATGCCAACTCATTAGCACTTGTATCCGATTTTTTTTAATTTTTATGCTTTTGAACAATTAATATGCTTTAATTACCTTTAATACAATTTACATTATATAGGGGGGTGGGGGGTGGGGTGGCATCTATTAATGGAATGGGGGTGGGGTGGGATCCATGGATACAAGGGGGGTGGGGGTGTGATCCATACATACTATCTGAGGGGGTGGAGGTGCGATGTATACATCCAAACTGGGGGGTGGGGGTGTTAGGTTGGGATCTGTGCTTGACCATGCATCCAGCTGTGCACGACGAATCACATGGCTCACAACTTGTTCCAGTAGAATACTGATTTATTTCACAATTTCGAAAACAGTCAATTGATCCATCGCAGAAACGCAAAAATGTATTAGAAAAATCACGAATTTCCACATTCCAATAGTCAAATGTATAAATAAACCCTTTAAAGTTTCCTGCAGGTCCACAACCCAAAATCAATGAAAATTGTGCGGCATTATAAAACCTGAATATCATATTATTCACGAGAAGAGACGAGTCAATAACATTATCCACATACTGGGTTAATGTTGTCTGCTGCATTGAGGGAGAGTATGAAACGGAATAAGAAATAAAGCTCCAGGTATTGTTGACCATTATTCTGTTTTTTTCAATCTCTTGTGTTATTTCATGGGATCCATCAGTTTTTTCTAGATTTGCAGTAATTCCTCCAGTTCCATCAATTCTTAGAAGCCACGAATCAGTTACTTTTAAATATAAAATATCATTGGTGCTTGAGACATTCGAAGGGCGAATCCACAAAGAAAAGGCTATATTAACATTCGGATAAAAACTTGTACTTGTCTTCAAAAATTTCCCTCCAGAAAAATACAACCCTTGTCAGAGTGTTGGGATAGGATCAAGATCTTCAGGATTGTTAAAAAACTGATAGCGACTTGCATCGTTTACGGTTAATTCACTAGCGTAAGTACCTGTAAATTTATTTTGGCCAAATTGTGCATTTATGATCCTAAGATTATATTCGGTGCAGGGATCAGTAAGAAATCCATATGGACAATAAGGTAGGCATATATTTGATATGCTTATAGCAGAGCTTGAACATGATGAGCATTCAAAGGAAGAGGCTGATGCACAAGAGTCACAAAGGACAGAACTGCAAGTTGCTGTTGTTCGCCTTTCTTCGCTCGCAGCCGTTGTTAAGATTACAAAGAATGATGAGAGCAGGATTATAGAAAACATTATTGCTTATTAATGTGGTGAAAAAATTGTTAATTATTAGATACTAAATTTCGACAGGTATTTGGCGAAATGGAAATTTGCATACCAAAATGAAGGAATTCAGTTAGAAAGCAAGAAAAAAATCTATAAATTCGGTAATATTTCTTTAAAATGAGCCTAGAACTGTAAAAAAGTAGGATATGGCGCATAACAAAAAGAAAGGTTTTGCAGTTTTAATCTTATGTTTTCTTTTGAGCAGTACTTTCATTCTAGATCTACTTTTCCTTTTAATGGGCTGGTACAAAAATAATTAGTGTTCTTATAAATATTTGTCCTTACTTTAATTAATATGACATTTCACGGGATTAGGATTAGAGACAGGTTTATCATCACTTTTTAGCTAACTATATATGACTTACTGTATTGAAGTTCGTCCGCTTTGAGATTATAGATCAATCTCTCTCCCTTCCTCTAGATATAAAATATATGCTTATGTTTATGTTAAGACTTTTCAAAAAACCCTTCAAACTTTGTTTCCTTGTGACCATATTATACAAATTAAACTTAGTTCTTGGCAACGAGTTGTGAATTCCAAATAGCCGTTGGATCCAGCTCCAGCAATCCCAATAAGGACTCTCTTTCTGAACCACCAAGCAGAGGGTCAAATTTCAGGAAGTTATCTCATTTGTCCAGTTCCCTTAAAGAGCGCAGATTCCTCTTAACGACATGCTATTTTTTATTTTTAAATATTAATAAATTTTTGATATTAATTTCTCAAAAGCGAAAATGATACTCAATTCTATTCTTTCTTAAATGGACTAAGATTGAACTTTTCTTATTACAATTGGAATTGAGGTATTAAGCCTCTGGATCATGCCAATGTTTCCCAAATTCGCCTATTCATATAGCCAAAGAGCTTAAGAAATAAGTCTCCAAACCTTATACACGGAAAAATCTCCTTATGTTTTCTATAAGTGATAATCTTATTAAAAAATCACTTATTTTTATTTTTAATTTTATATAATGAAATACTCTTTCTTTGCTTGGTAATAGCCAGCCAAAAATGTTTGTTGAACACAGTCTTCAGCATCGACAAGAAGTGGATACAACTGATAAGATAGTGAATAATACATATAATCAATATAATCTCTTTTTCCCCAATAATCTTGTATGCATGCACTATTAAATCTGCGATTTGTATTGCATTTTTGAATGCCAGTGCTTTGGATCCATTTTACTAAAGATTTCATAGCTTTTTGGGCTAAATCGTCTCCAGGGAACAAGCTGCAATAGCTTTGGGCATCTTTGTTATACCCGCAAACGCACTGTCCAATCAGCTGGCTCTGTTTGAAATAAGGATCTTGAGTTGATAAGCAGTCGAACCCACTTTGGCATTTATTAGGCAACGTAGGAGATTTTACAGGGTTCATGCACTCATATACGGTTCCGTAAGTTTGGCAAATGCCTGAGTTGCACAAAAAATTTGTATTTATTGCCGAGCAATCTCCAACTGGGAAATGATTACTTATCGAAAAATAAGGGTAGCACGCACTATGCTGGGATGGATTATCGAATGATGGATTACAGCCTGCTCCATTTACACAATCATTATCTGTTGAACACCCTACTCCTCCAACTGGCAGTTGTGGCTGACAAGTTTGATTGAGACATCGCAATCCTGGGTTGCAATCATCATGAGTTAGACAGCTTTCATTTAATTCTGAGCCTTGGCAAACTCCATTCAAACAGCCATGAACAGCATGAGAGCTGCAATCTTCTGTATATGAGCATTTTTCTCCAGGCCAAGCAGTATGCAAAGGAGCTGTTGGAGACCTAATACAGGTAGAATTCCCTATAAAAGATGTATAACAAAAAGGTGCCTTTACCGATTGGCATTTGTGAGCATAAAATACAGGCTGTTCTCCTGAGTTATCATAAAATGCACAAGTAGTATTAGTAAATTGCATTGAAGAAGGCTTGCAGGTGTAATTTGCACATTGGAGGCCTTCATCTTTTAGCACAGGCTGAAAGAAGCCTAGCCCAACGCCAAGCAGTGAGCAGAAAATAATGAAATGCTCAACAACCATTTTATTAATTATCAACGTTATTTATCGCTTTACGACGTGTCTGAAGACTCAGAACGATTATTTTTTAGTGGCGAGTGTTCTTTTTCAATCACAGGCTCTTTAATAATCTCTTTGGATTTGATCAGCTTTAATTTTGGTACAGAATCTTTATTATACTCTACAGGCAAAATGCTTTTTTCTATTGTTTCAGGTTTTTGCATTTTATTTTTCACTTCAGTGTTGTAGATATAACTGACTGGGACACCGTGTAGATTTAAAGCTTGGATTAGCTTTTCGTATTGTTTGTCTCTCTTCATCATTTTATTTAACTTTGCTTCTAACTCTGTTATTTTTTTGCCTAAAGTGGCATTTTCCCTCACAATTCTTTCAGGCAGTGCAAATTTTGACTCATTTTTGTGGGCTGAAATATCATTTCTATAAGCCAAAATCTGCTGGTTTAGTTTTTCGTTTAAGTCATTGATTTGTTCCATTTGGTCTTCAATGCTTATTTCTTTTTCATCAATATAAGCTTCGTACCCTGACTTTATGCTTCCAAGGACTGCTGATAAAGGCTCTAGCCTTGATATCAGCTCTGTGAACGTCTTTTTGCACTCTTGATACCATTTTTTCGAACTAACTGGAGCTGTGCTTAGTTGAGAATTAAGTTCTTCATGGTATTTATTGTTTAGTCTCAATAATCCTGTATATGAAAACATTTCGTCAGGGTCCGGCAGCGCTTCCCCATTGAGATAAATTGTGGGTGAACAAGAATCCAGACTTTTATTCCTTTTGAAACTTTTATTTGAAAGTGCACTATTTGTGCTTTGTCTGCGGTATGGAGGGTTTGTGAGAATTTTCAATTTCTTATTCTCGCTTGTAATAAGTCGACTGTTATAAGGCGAGGTACTGCGGGTCCTTGACGATTGGTTATAGACTGAAAATTTGGGACTTTCTGCTATGCTTGACCGTGAAATGAAAAATTTTTTGGAGTCTTTTACTGGTGTAAAATATTTAGGAGATGATGAAGATTTCGCTTTAAACATTTTTATGAGTAAAAATTAGTTGCTATTAATAAACTCTAAGACTTCTGTTTGGTTTTCGATTCTTCGGACGCTTTTGCCTTTTTCACGCATTATATCTTCGATTGTGGTGCCTTTGTCATGGAATCAGCCAAGGTGATCAGCTACAAGATGGTGGACGTGGCAGCCGTCACATTGGACAATTACTACGCCATTATTGTACGCATCCTTTGAAAATGTTTTGGCACTTCGGGTTTTGCATACATTGCAATTGAAAAACATAGCATAAAGGCCGGATTTTGAATTTTTTATGCCTGGGAGCTGAAGTAATAGTGATAGGTTCTCCGAATTGAGATTGGAAAATCTTCGTAAAAGTCCTGCGAGTCTTGATACCATTTATAAGGTATCAGGCATCTTGGTATTTTAATGTGAAAATTAGTGAGTTTAAATGCCAGATTATTTTGCGGTATATAATCAGCCATTAATCGCTATGATTTTTGCAGATTTTTGAAGCTATTGAAAATTTTTTTATATAATAAAATGTAATAAATTAAAATAAAAAGTAACCAAGCAATTAGAAAAATAGAATTTATTTAAGAGTAAAAGCCAGATAACTTCAATAGATACTTATTTCTTTTAACCTCCCTTTTGAATTCTTTGATATACATTAAAATGGCGACACGTGCCAGCCTGCCCTCATGGCTCAGCAGTCCAGACCTTATGGCTACGTCGAACTGGGATGGACTCCGAGCCGAGAATCAAGTGCAGAATCAAGAGGTGTATATCCGGCAGGTTTTGGCTGCTTTCCTATGATTGAAAATGGAGGTGTTAGCAACGTCCTTTGGATCCGAGGACCCATGATCATTCCTCTACCGAGAAACTGGGATTATCAACCCAGGCCACAGAGAGCAGACTTTTTCTTGTAGGCACTCGCAAGAGGGATATACTCTCTGGGCTGGAGTAGAAAAACGGTAGAACCTCCCGTACGGGAGGTCTTTGGTGACTGCGTCACCAATATGGCTATCGCCTGACTTTAATAATCCTAATCCCTTTTGAATTTTTATCATTTCGTTTATAGGGATGTTTCATAATTTATAAAATGCTCGATTTTTCAAATGCATTTAATACTCTACCAACAAGTGAAAGCTTGGCACAAAGAAAAGCAACCAAAATGAGCTTTATTAAGAAGGAAAACGAAGAGTTAAAGAGATATGCTTCGGAAGTAAAAAGTTCTTTGATGAACTATAAAGGGATTATTTCTGAGCTAATATCTGAAAAAAGCTGCGTTGAGAATAGCAACAGGGATGAGACTCAATCTATAATTTCCAATAGGATCAGTGATATGCTTTTATCAGAAAAAAAAGAGCTTGAGAAGAGGATCAGAAAAGCCAGAAAAGATATATTTGAGTCTCTAGAAAGAGCAAAAGAAAGTGAAAAAATGGCAAATTATTGACTAAAAAAAGAAGAAAACTTGGTTCGAAGCTATGAAATTAAGATAAAAGGATGCTTGGCTGTGTCTATCGAAAAAGAAAAAATCATTGAGCAAGAAGTGACTAACTCCCCTCTCCATTTTAATATAAAAATTTTGAAATATAAGTAAAATTAGTATAATGAAATTCCCTTATAATTCTGTTTAATTTTAATAGCTTGCATTTTAAAGCATAAATTTTACAAATTAAATTATTATTTACTTTCCAATTTTGAAAGACAAAATAATCCCCACCATAGAGAACAAAATTTGTTTTTCACTCACAGAGGGGGTAAGAGAAATGAAATGGAAAGAAATTTAAACGAGTTCTTCGCAATGAGAGAAAATGAAATAACAAAAGAGGAGCAATGTGCTTTATTATTAAGAAAGCGTGAAGGATACTGTAAAATAATCAATCAATTAAATAAAAACTATGAAAAGGTAAAATTAGACTGCGAGGCTTTAGAGAAGAGAAATGAAAGGCTGTATGAAGAGTATAAAGACATGAAAAATTTATTAACTTCTAAAAGTATCATTTTAATATCTCAATACTCAACCCAGCTGCAAAAAGACTTCCAAAAATGTAAAAATTTGAATTTAGAGCAAACAGTCTGCAATGAGAAAGCTAGGGAAGAGCCAGAACTAAACTATGAGCAAGAACTCAAAAACAAATTAAAAATTCTAGGTAAAAAATTGCTGCGTCACCAATTAAAACTCCAATCTGTTTCAGAAGAAATTTCAAGGCAGCAAGTAAAAAGATCAGAGCTTTTAACTGACCAAAAGCATTTGCAAGAAATATCATCAGCATATATATCCGAGATTTCTTATTACTCAGATGCTGATAAAGAAAACCAATATCCTCTTTCACCTTCGTCAAAAATGAATCCTGAGAGTTTCCAAAACGATGACATTGAGAAAACATGTAATGGTCAAAGCATTCTTGCTGAACTTGGAGAAATATCAATTTAATATAAATTTTCTTATTAACACTTTTAATGAATCCTATTAGTGGCTGTTTATTTTACCAATACAATAACTCCTCTCGATATCGGGGCAATCGAACTCCAGATCCTTTTCGCCATTGTGAAGGTACATACCGAGTTATAAGTCCAGATCCTGCAAGTAGCTTTTATTTACCTGAAAGAGAACGCTTCGCGACAAGCTTTGCAGAAATTGATAGAAAAAGGAGAGAAGAAGAAATACATCGCAAAAATTATTCTGATTATAAAAGAAGAGAATTTAAGGCAAATAAAGAAATTTTCAGATGACAAAATATTTTTGACAACGAATTAACGCAAAGCATGAAGTTAGAAAAAAGGAGAAATGAATTAAATCAAGGCCAAAAAAATAACTTAAATGATTCGTACAATCCAATAACATCTGAGTATTATAATACTCAGCAAGGGATGAAGTTAAAGTGCCTTGATGAAAAGAAAAGAACCAACTATAATATTAGATTGAAGCATATTGATTCAAAAATGAACTCTCCATATAATGTAATTAATGGCATCCCAAGAATATCAATTAAAGAACAATAAATAATTAACTTTGATAAACGATTTAAACTATATAAAATTGCATCACCCTTGAATCATAATGCTCTACCCGAAATTGAATTATAAATTAAGCAATTAGCCTTTCTTTAATTTAAATTTTATTTTTCATCAAGAGTGTGTATTAAACTGATGCTATCTTCCCTTGCCCTGATATTTTACCTATAAATTCATGTATGGACGGAGAATTGCATATATAAGGTCCAATTCCTGGGATATATTTTGAAGATGAATAAAGCTGAGGAAGAAAATCTCTGAATAAGTAGAAAAACCCAAATAATTGAATGAATGTCCCAAAAATAGTCCAATTGCACAGTATTAGGAACAATCCTATGAAGCAGCATGCTGAACCTTTAAACTTTGAAGGCTTAAAGAAAAATAATGCCAAAGTAGATGCTCCAGCTATATAGCATGTGCCAGCAGTAAAGAGTAGATTTCCCAAGATAAGCAAAAAACGATCAAACCTCAATATCAGGCCTAAAAAGTAGCAAATGAGCCCAGCTAGAGTCAAAATTGAGCCTCCACTTTTCTTGGAGCTACTTAAATACATATTTAATAAGCCTAAATTAATATTTAAAGTGCATATAGAAAATCATTTAAATTAAGCACTCTAAATCATCATTCCTTAATTTTGAGATAACTTAGATTTATTATTTTAAATATTAAACTGAAAAATATCTTTTTAGCTTCTTAATTAAGATTTTAAGTCAAGATTGGTTTTTTCCCGAATTTATAAAAATGCATCAAAAACGAGAAATGCTAAAAAAGGCTTTAAAAGAAAATTTTCAATGATCAGAAAGTCAGTCCAAGAGTTCTTTAGCAATGCAAGATCTCAAACATATTTAGCAAAAAAAATGAGATTTTTATCCTTGCAATCTATTATGGAATTCACTCGATTACATTCTTGCAATTTTTAAACTAAATTATAGCATTAGATCAATGGCCCCATATTATTCCACAGAAATATTTACCAAGAAATACAGTTTATAATTAAAATGAGTAGATATATAGTCGATATCTTATCTTCAGCTGCAAATCTTGAAGATATCCCTCGGTGTTCAAATATCATTCTTCTTGTTCCTGATACGTTCAGACTTTACTTACTTACTTACTTAATTAGGTGGTTAGAGTCCACTTTGCTAACTCGGTTACTGAGGATCCCACCAGGGATTCATCCGATTTGCGGTAACATCTACTTCTGATCGTAGGAAAGGTGGGTTGCCTGGCCGTCACCTCCTCCTTGCTAGAATGCAATAGCTCCTGTTTTGGGTGGGCAGACACCGGGTTCTCGGGGCCTTGCTTCAGGCTGCAGCGACGAGGCTGCCTGCATGAAAAATCCAAAAAATGGATTTTCTGGCCAACTGTCGGTAAAAAGGAAAACTTGAAGCCCAAACCATAACCCTGGTTTCACGGCGGGAAATGCTCGATAGGTCAAAAGGACACTGCTGGACAATCCCTTTCCAACTTTCAAGTCTCCTCCCACAGGTAAAACCCAAATCCGAAAATGGGCAAGGGTTAGGCTCCTTACACCACAGGAATTGTTTACCTATCATAGCTGCCTATTTCCAGGTTGGTAAAAGCTTACCGAATCTAATTAAATAGGTGCTTGAAGGTTGCATGGCCGGGAGTCCATGCCTAAGTGAGACGCCATATTTAATTATGATGCATTCAGACCAAGTAGAGAAATTGAATCTCAGTTTACATCTTGCCAAAACATCGATCAAGCATTAACTGGAGGTTCCCTTTACATCAAGATTTCAAGCGAATTCGAGAGAGGCCTTATAATTGGCCTAATCTTAGGACGCTGACCTGATGCAAAGCTTCTCACCTCAAGGCAGGGTGTTTATCAGAAGTTATCTCAAAGAATAAATTTGCAGAAATACAGAGAATCTAGCTCGGAGAATTGCCACACTGAATCATGTGGAAGCACTGAAGCCTCATCAGTATATGCAAATAGTCCTCGGGAAGAGCGTAAAATCAATTTTCCCCCACAAAAACCTGTAGTAGCTCCACAACTTACAGCACAGGACAGGTATTTAGACAACCTTTACTATGAAGTCCTGAATAAATTTTACGACAAATTTTTGATAGAAGTTGAGATTAGAGCTCCCAAAAAAAAATCAGTCCAAGCTCAATTGAAAAATTTTGCAGAAGGAGCCATTATATCAGTTAAAAAAAAAGCAGTGCCAGGAATTACTGATACCTTGCCTGGCAGTTTAGAACTATCTATGATGGTATATGACGATTTAGTAAGCCACAAAGTTATCGAAGAAAGTGGATTGAATGTTTTTTATAATGATTTGTTGATTAAGATTAAGATTAAGTTAAGCCGTTCGCACTTGCAGGGCCGGGGATTTGCACCCCTTCACGCTCATCGCCTATGGTGAGGCCTCGGCGGACACCCTTCCTCGTTGCCGCAAACAAAGGATTCGCACATACCAGTCTTGACTTCCATGGCTCTTGGAGTCTAAGGGCCAATCACCTGGGTCGAAACTCCCAGTTTCTCGTTAGGCAAATACCGTCTTCAGGGTCTGTAGGTCATATTGCCCACAGAGATTGGCCGACCTTGCCCTTTCCAATGATTGTCCTGGAGGAAAAACCCCAAGTCCCAAGGATTAGCTCCCTGAGGCCCGGAGAAAACCCAGCCCGACATACATAAAGGGTTTCCGGCCTCTTTCCACTCAAATCCCAACACTGGGCCGTTGCCTGCAGATATTGAGGAAATAGGGTTGGGAGGTCGGGTGGCTCGTCGTCGCCATTTTTATGTGTATATATGATTTGTTGATAAATGAATACTTCGGAAGAGAAAAATCACGAGAGTTTAAGCCTATGTATAAGGAAGCTAGAAATCAGCGGCCTCCATCACCTCCGCCTCCACCTTCACCTCCCTCTAAGCCTGTTTTTGATAACTTCCCTTTTAAATTGAACAAATATAGATAAAATTTCAATTTTTTTGGGAAATTAATCTCCTTTTAAAATGAAACGAAAATTATATTTTTCAATCAGAAATTTTATATGCAAAAATACTTAAGTTTTGGCTTTAACATAATTAATGTAGGGTGTAAGTAGAATGCTATTTAAATAGTTGGCAGATTGAGTGACTATTTTTTGAATTAATTCTTCATAATTACGAAACTGTTTTTATTATGAAAATTTTTATATTTTTCAAAAAAAAACAACCCTCTTTATTGAAACAGAATATTTTTTATCAATTTAAGGGGGGATTAAGCAAAGTGCTGTTGATGCTGCATTTAAATTAATGTGAAGACTGATATAACCTAGCCTAGTTTTGGCTCATCCCCGATGTGTATTTGGCATGGTTTAAACAGCTTTTTAGTAAAGCATTCTTCCCAGATAACAAATCTTCAATGGCAAATGGATTTTCCACAGTGATTGGTTTTACCAAAATGGCTGGCTTACTCAGTCCTCAGAGAACACCGAAGGTGCTAGTGCACCCCGATCCAAAGCAGTAATTGGGCTATATGAACTGATATTTACGAAGGAAATCCTGAGGATATAGGAGATCTTGTAATCATCATTGATAAGAGATTTGATAAATATCAAGCAGAAGAACCTGAAATGTTTCCAAACTGCATAAAGGATGATATAATTAAAAGAGCAATAAAACTGTTATTCAAGAATGAAACCATTTCTCTGTTATCAAATAGTCAGAAGAACCCTGAATTTATTTCAGAAAACTATAAGACAAATCGGAAAGAAAAAATTTTAACTCAATAATATTTATTATATAATCTAAAATATCTGATATCCTATTAATAAAATAAAGCTCACTCATTCCCCTCTGTCACAAGAGAGGGTTATTCAAAGGTTTTATTGTGACTTTTTTTCTAAATTATGCAAAAATTAGAAAAATTAATTTTTTTTCTAGAACTGATGTTTTAGAGTTTAGTAGATTTTACTATAATATTACCTATTATTAAAATATTTTTATAAAAAATGTTTGCTCATTTACCGATGATTTTCCCTATTGGCTTTGCTCGATCACAAGAGGCGGGGAGTTAGGATTTTAAATTCAAAATCAAATAAATATGTAAATCAATAAAATGCAATTAAAAGAACAATAAAAATGATGTTCAACTGGGAACAAATTTCACTGATTTCCAACAGCGAACGGACTCCTGAATTTGTTGCGGGAAATCCCAAAGAAAGAAATTTACAGCCTCAAGCACACATATCAGAAGATACTATTTTATCCCCCAGATCTGATGATGATTTTATCCCAAAGCAAGGGTTTGCTCAATTCTCAGACCATGCTGCAAGGCATGCTTCTGAATACTCTGGGTCCAGCTGGCGTTCAACTCCACAGGAATTTGTAAATTCAGGCCCAGCATTTAAAAATATCCCAAAAGTTCCATCTATAAAATTGCACGGAGAAGTCTCTTAATCTTAATCTTAATCATTTATAACATTTTATGTCCACTACAGGGTAGCCTTGTCCAGAGATGCCAATTAAAATATGGCGTCTCCACTTGGCATGGCCTCCGGCCACGCAGCTTCCGAGCACATATTTTAATTATATCCGACAAGGCTTTACCAAGCTGGAAAATGGATGATAATGCTAGGTAAGCACTCCCATGGCGTAGGGAGCCTAGCCCTAGTCCTTTTTCTGGTTTGGGTTTTTACCTCGAGGGCAAAGGAGACTTGTAGCTGGAAAAGGTGTTGCCCAGCAAAGTCCTTTGGACCATTCGGGCACTGCGCTACGTGAAACTAGGGGTTACGGCCTTGGCTACAAGTTAGACCTTTTGCCGACAGTGGGCCAAAATCCATTTTTTGGGCTTTGTGCAGGCAACCTCGTCGCCTAGCCTAAAGAAAGGTCCCGGGAACTCATAGTCTGCCCACTCAAGACTGGAGCCACCGCGGAGTGTCAAGGAGGAGAGACAGAGGAAACCGAGAGGAAGTACGCGTCCCACAAAGCGGATGTATTCCCTGGTGGATCCTTGATAACTGAGTAAGCAAAGGGACTCCAGCTAGCCCCATAATAAGTAAGTAAGTTCAGAGCTGCCACCATATTTATCCACGTGTCGGGCCCATGGACCTCTGAATCGACTCACTTCAAATCGCCAAGGCACGGGTAAGTACAGCGTTCCGGCTTCGAAGGGCTTCGCTGCCGCCACAACTTTATTCCGACTCAGCTCCTGCGCGTGCTCCGCCTAAGGGTCCACCTCCTTCAGGTGTGCTGAGGGGGTAAAAACCTGAGCCTCTTGATCGCACTGAGGAGCAGTTCCTTTGGCTATCCCCAAAGTTAAATCGCTATTGCTGTGCAGAGAAGTTCTCGAGGTAAAACCCAACTCCATAAATAAAATGGCTTTCGCTTCAAGTGAAATTAGCTCCGCTAATTTTCTCTCTCTCAAGCAATTTTATTTATGCACTGAGAGATCTCATCCGGGCATTTATCGTCTAGAAGACAATACAGGTCAAGATCCTACTCTCCATCTCCTATCCCTTCTCAATATATTCCTTCAAGAGACACAAGCAAACAGCCTACAATTGCGTCACAGAAAACTCCTCAGCATAAAGAAAACTCAATAAGGATAGAAGAGGACACTATAAGATCAAATAAAAGCATAAACAGCTCGCAGTCTAAATATAACGAAGAAAGCCCTGCCAGGAACCTACTGCAAAGGCTTGAAATCCCAAAATACCAAAAAAACGTAGACTCCATAATACAAGAAGAAAAAAAGGAAGAATCGTTTTCAATTCCAATAGGAAACACCAGGCTTGATCTAGTCCCAGGAACTAATCCTACGTTCACTGAAGAAGAGATAAAAGAAGCCTTCGATACTTTTGATATGGATGCGAACAATTATATATCTGCTGACGAAATCAGAACAATTATGGACACAATAGGAGAATATGTAACTGACGAGGAAATTGATGAAATGGTGAGAATGCTTGATCTAGAAGGCAAAGGACAAGTAGCTTTTGAAGAGTTCTATCGGATGGCTACGGGCCAGCCTATTGGGCCTGTTGGCGGTGCTCTTCCCCCATCTCCTAATATGGTTCCTCTTGAGCAGAGCACTCACAAAGCTGCTTTAAGCACTAGCAAAAGTGCAAAATCCAATGAATCCGCCAAGCTCTCGACTTCAAAGTTTTCAAAATTTTCTCAAGAGTCATATAGACAGCAATCAGAAGAAAAAGAAAAATCAAAAATTAAAATTCCAAAAGAGCCAAGCCCTGAGCGAAGGAAGCAATCAATTGATGAAAAATCAGCCCCAAAAGTTCTGAGAAGGTTTGATATAGAATCAATGAAGCCTCAGCTACCTTCTCATCAAGTCGAGTCAATTCAGTCTATAGATTCAAAAAAAATTGACGACGATTTTTTACCACCAGTCAGGATACGCAGCTTAAAAGACCAGCTGACAAGCCAAAGAACACCTGCACAGAAGCCTGAAGAAAATGTGACGAAATCATGAAAAATACCTGAAGAAAGTCCGCAAGAAGAATATAAAAACATTATTATTCCTACTTTGGAAGATGCCAGTCATGAGCAGCAAAGTAATATACTTATATCAGAATTGGTCCATTCGACATTACTGACACCTCAGGCGGTAGAGAAATTGTGCAATATGTTTATAGTCAAAACAGGTAGCGAAAGTGGGCAGTTGCCATATGAAAAATTTTTAGAGCTTGTTAATGCAAAACTGCCACAAGAAAGATGGCTAGTTGATGATAGGGTTACTCGCAGGATTTTTTCAGTTTTAGATAAAGACTCAAATGGAGCCTGGAGTATCAGAGAATTTGTAGGTGCTATTTCAATTTTAGCAAGGCCAAACAAAGATGACCAATATGCTTTAGTTTTTAAAATCTTTGATACAGATGACGATGATATAATTACAAAAAATGAATTAACAAGAATTTTAAAATTAAATACAGCTTCTGTTAAGTCTGATGAACAAGCTTTGAAAAAAGCCCAAGAAATTTTACGCATGACTGGAAACGATGAAATGATGAATTTTCAAGATTTTTTGAGGCTCAAAGAAAAGCCAGTTATGCTGTTGTTTCCATTACAAGAAAGAGCTAGTAAAATAACGAAATTACTTGCATAATAGTTAGCGTTTCATTATTCTTTGAAAAAAATCAGCTTAAATCATGAATATATAAATGGAATTTCAAGGTCAAGATTATTATTTAATTCTATAATTAATTTTTCGCATTTTTTAATAAACCTGGACTGGGCTCAAATCACAGTTATAATTCTCAAGTAAAAAATAATAAATTTAAATAAAGTAAATTATTGCAATGAAGTCCAAGTCATCTAGGCAGGCTCCAATTCAGCACAAATCCGCTGAAAGCGACGATATTTTATCCTTAATTAAATCGGCAAAGCACGCGATAAATTGAAGAGATTTTAAAAAAAATAGCAATTTATCCAGCTTAAAATTCCCACAAAATAAACACCCAAGAACCCAAATAATCAAAAATCCAAAAGATGACCTCCCTGAGCTAGGAAAATATTTACTCCCCCCCCCCCCTCCGTGAGCGAACAAAACCATTAGAAAAAATCGCCATTTTTTGACCAAAAACCCACCCTCCGTGAGTGAACAAAAAATTTTTTTAATAGAAAAAAATTTTAATGGAAAAAATTTTGATATATAAGTGATAATTAGTATAATGAAATCTAGAGCTAATTCTGTTTAATTTTAAACAAATTGCGTTTTAAAACATAAATTTTGCAAATTAAATTAATATTTGCTTCCCATTTTTGCAAATTAGGATTTTTTTAAATTTCGAAAAAAATATTTTTTATAAAATTTATATATAAATTTTTTTTAAAAAACAAAATTACCCCCCTCCGTGAGCGAACAAAATTTTTTTGTTCGCTCACGGAGGGGGGGGGGGGAGTTAGTAAATCTGAACACATCAGATATTTCATATCTCAAAGATGCCTTAAAGCCTCCAAAAACTGCCCTTCAGCCAATAGTAATTTTTCCAACCGATATCAAGCATTTAGAAAAGTTTCTAGAAGGGATGGACAAAAGCGATTCCCCAAGCGCCCATGCAACCCATCTACTAATTAACCAGTCTCTTTGCAAAAAAGAAGGCTGCCTTGATCACTTGCTAATAAACAACCAAAGTGAGGGAAATCTCAGAAAAGGATTTCGGAGTGTAGCACTTGCATCGGAAAGATCAATTGATATATTAGAAAGATATGATTTAGGCAGTCCATCTGGTCGGCAAGAAGTATCAAACCTAAAAAACTGACTGGATTTAATGAGGAGCAAATATCTTAGAAGCGGTGACTCTGAAGATGAAAATACTTTAGAAGACCTAAGATCAGGCGAGCTAATCTACACAATATGCCAAAGAGAATTAATCCGTCAAGTGTCAGTATATTGTGTAGAAAGAGGAGAGTTATTAGAAGAAATATTTAAAGGCTTTGATTTTATTTACAAACAAAGGGAAAAAATTAAAGAAAGCTTATTCGAAAACTCAAAAGAAAAAGCAAAAATAGATCAATATGATAAAGAAAAACTTTTGAATTTGCAAGTAAAAGATTTAACGCTTCAATTGCAATCTTTAACTGATAAATTAGAAGTGAATAAAGATAAAAAGAATGGGCTTAAAAAAGAACTGGAACTTCTCTCCAAAGAGTATGAGGATTTTAAGATAAAAAGTGATAAAAGTGCTGAAGAATGGAAGAAAATTGAGAGGAAACTGAGGAAGGAAATAGAAAAATTAAAAGATATTTATATGGAAAATGCACAGGATAGGCTAAAATATGAAAACTCGAAAACTGATTTAACTAAGATCAGTGAAAATCCTGCAGAAAAAGAAAGCTCCCTTGCCAATAACAATTTAAGGCTATTTGTAGGCAATGGCATAATGAATGTCAGCAAAACGTATAGATTTTCAAGAAGTGTAAAGCAAGGGATTGACATAGAAGTACAGACAGATATCCCGGATCCTCCGAAAGAAGTGATAATAGCTCCCGAGTCAAAATCTATAGCTGAACCCCAAAAAGCTCCTGAAGCTCCGAAAGTAGTTAAAAAGAAGACTAAAAAGCCTATATTAAGGAACAGATACTCCCAAACGGATTCCAGGCAAAACTCGATCAAAAAAATTAAAACTGAAGAAGTTGTAGAAGTTATCAATAATGAAATTCCTATAAAGCAGAATAATGAAGAAATAGAAGAAATACCAAATTCTTCAGACACTTCTCAAAATGTTATTGAAAACCCTCCCGAACCACCTGTTCAAGAAGTTAAAATCGACGAAATAGAAGCAGGCCAAGACTCCCCAGATATAACTCCAAGAATGGAACACCAAGGTACAGCTCAAGTCCAAGAAAATGGACAAAAACTATTAAACCCAAATAGCATAGGAGCAAAAGATAAAAAGCAAAGAATAATCAAAACAAGAAAATCGGTGATGCTCGCTGCTCCTCCTTTAGCACTTAATGAAATAGAATCTGGGAAAAATAGTCAACCAATTTCGCGGAGATCAAAAAAATCTAGTAGAACTCTACCAAAAAACCAAGACGAATTAGGAGAATTGCAGTCTAAGTCAGAAAGAGACCAGAAAAGAATGTCAAATAGAGGAGATGACTCAAATCGAGAATCAAATGAAAAATCACTAAATATCGATGCTTCAGAACAAGCTAATACGCCTAAGCTGCAAAAAGGTGAGACGATATCGAGGGCTAGTAAAGAGATAATTAACGAAGAGAAAACAATGAGAAAGGCAAGAGAACACAAGGCAAAAAGAAAAAGGGAAAATTTGAGTCCATCAAAAAAGGATGAAGTTAGCCCCGACATGCAGGATTCTGATTTTGAAGAAAATATTGATCCAGAAAGTCCAAATCAAGAAAACTTCGAAGCTCAGCAGGACGAAAGAGAGCCAGCAATCTCCGCAAATAGAAAAAAGAAATATAAAAAAAATTCAGTGAATAAATCAAGACCTGAAGAATCTCAATCAAAACTCGAAAAATCTTCATCAAATATACTTTCCCAAGTTCCTCAGACTTCTATTGAAATTCCTAGCACTCCAGAGCCTCCAAACTCAAACAGACTTTCTCCAACTTCTCAGCTTCACAGCCCAGATCTTGCACGTTCCTACTCAATCACAAGTTTTAAAGAACTAGAAGAAGAAAACGTTAGCATTGTGAACATAATCCCTCCAGAAGCAGATCGCCCTTCATGGACTTTAGGCTACCAAGCAGGCTATGAAGTAGGAAAACGTGAAGGTTTTCGGGACGGTGAAGCCTTTGGTATAGAAGAAGGGCAAATGAATGGCTACATAAAAGCTTCAAGAGAATACGCAAATAACTCAAGAAACTCTCAGCTGGACGTATCTGATGAAGACTACTGGGAAACTGATAACCAGTCAGAAAGTGACGAAGATTACAAAGAAACTAAAGAAAGTGAGGAAAATAACACAGAAGAATCAGAAAGAAAACATAAAGAAAGATACAAAAAAAGAGTCAAAAGTATAATGAAAAATGAAATTAGAAAAATGGAGACAGAAAAGTTAGCTGAATTGCAAGAGAACGAAAGTGAAGAAGAATATGAAGATAAAGGATTGAGCTTTGATACTGAAAAACTTACGATTGAGAGTGAAGACGAAGAAGATTATGATGAGATTAAGCTAGACAAAGATATGAATAAAGAAGAAAAAGAAGCAAAGATAAATGACGAAAAAGGTAAATATAGCGGACATAGAGACTCAGTCGAAAAACCAAAAGTCAGAGAGGTCACCAAATTCGCTGAATTTCACTTCCACAAGCGCGAGACCAAAAGAATCCACAAAAAAGTCCTCTCTTCTGCCCCTCTTTTAAAAAAATTTTTAAGTCGTTCCATGAAATGAATTTTACGCAAAGCTACAATGAGCCGCAGAATGGTCAATAAAATAATATCTTCCTTCTGTACATCTTCTTCATCAAACAAAATCAGCAATTCCTACTCTGTGCTTGACTATCTCTATAATGACATGTCAGAAAAATACGCCCTGAAAAAAATCACTGATCGAAAATTCCTTGAATTTATTGCTTCCCTCTTGCGGTCGTCAGACTCAAGACGTGCCCTGATGTTTTTAAAGTTAACTGGCCTCAGCGACAAAATAAACATGAAAGGCTACTCTATATTTACTTTCAAATTCTATTTAAAGGCACTTTCATTTATGCAGAAGGCAAAAATCGGAATAAATTCATCATTTGACGAAACTGCTGATATTATTTATATGCCAACTTTAAGAGCTATTGAGTGCGTTAAGGATAAACTTGATGGAATTGTAGATAAAGCGGTCATGAATAAATTAATTTCACAAGTAGAGCAAGCCTCAATACAAGACCCTCTGAAAATAAACACAGGGCTTGTAGAAGAAGAATATGTGCTAGAGCTAATGGTGGAGCAGTATGAAGAATATCAAGGGAAAATACAAAAAGGGGTTGATGAAGCAGTTTCTGCTATAAAATGTAATGAAGATTCCAGTTACATGTCTAAATGTGAGTTTATGCTTCTCGCAAGACATATTTCCCCTGTTAAATTTTCTGCCATGCAAAAAGATGATGCAGAGCTTAACATGAAAAATAGCATGTCTCTAGTTGATTTTAAAAGTAAATGCATAGAAAAAGGGATATTGAGTATCAATGATGTAAAATTGTTCTGCCAAGTAAATGACGAGTACTCAAAAGAAGAAATTTCAGAAGAAATTAAAACTTCTATTGAAGAAATGATAATGATTGTGAAAAATATTGAGAATATAGAAGAAAAAAATATTTTGAATAAAGAAGAATGGGAAATGAAGCTCACAAACTGTGAAAATGGGGTTGATGAGAGAGATGCTAAACTCACAAAGTTAGCCTGGAAGTTGTATCAAGATGAACTGCAGCGATTAAAGTCATTGATAAAAGAAACATAATTTATTACAATATTTTATATAATTTATCAGAGTTAAATATATGAGTAGCTTAACCTATTTTCGTCCTGATGTTTTATTTCAGCAAACTGAGGTATCTCAAAGAAATGATGCCCAATTAAAAAGAGAGAGCCGAATTCAGCAGATAAAAGACCAACTAAACGAAGAATTTCAAATGACTTTGCATTTCGCTACTCAAGACCCAACTCATCCAAGCACAATTCGCAAACTCAAAGAAGAGTACAATAAGTTGGCATTTAAAAACAAACAGAAAACCCAGACACTGGAGCAACTAAAAATTGAATGAAAATTATTGAATCCGCCAAAAATTAAACAAGACTCGAGGTTTTTAACATCATCTACTCTGAGTCAAAGGCAAATCACTTGCTGCTCAAGCTTTAAGTTTAATGAAGGGGATTACGAAGATTTAATTGCTAATTTAAAAGAAGAAATCTCCAAAACAACTGAACTTTTAAGCGTGGAAGACAATGTAACCGAACAGCTGGAATTTATGAAAGATTTAGAGAAGAAAGACTATGTAATTTATATCTAGCTAAAATTGCAAACAAAATTAGATGAGCTGAGATTCCAAACTGGCAAAATATTGAGATTTGAAGAAGAAATATTAGAGACACAGACTAAAGCAGATAATCAGTTAATATTAGCATTAACTGAGATGAAAAGCACTAACTCCCCCCCTTCCGTGAGTGAACAAAAAATTTGTTCACTCACGGAGGGTTAATTTTTTTTTAAAAAAAATTATATATAAATTTTATAGAAAATTATTGTTATTAAAAAAATCCTAATTTGCAAAAATTGGGAAGCAAATATTAATTTAAATTTATAAAATTTATTTTAAAACGCAATTTGTTTAAAATTTAAAGAATTAGCTCGAGATTTATTATAATAATTATCACTTATATATCAATTTTTTTTACATAAAATTTTTTTCTATTAAAAAATTTTTGTTCAGGGTTTTTGGGCAAAAAATAGGTATTTTTCCCAATGGTTTTGTTCACTCACGGAGGGGGAGTAAGCATGAAATTGAAAAAGAAAAAGTGAATAGGGAGGAAAAGATTGAAAGTATGGTTAGAAAAGAAGAAAAACTCAAATCAAATATCGCAACTTTGGCCCATCGATTTTCTGAAAATATGGTTTTATATGAAGAAAACAATGAGTTACGAATTAGCTTGGAAAAAGAATTGGAGATCGCTACACAGGACTATTCGCGGCTAAAATCGCAAAATAAGCAATTCCAAGCTCAGCTTGAGTTTTATAATACAGAATTTGAAAAAATTAAGCAGTAAAACCTATTTAGAATCGTAAAAGAGTCAGGCTGCTTAGGTGCAGATCCACAGTTAGTGGCTTCTTACACTCCTCAAGAGATTGCTTCAGCTTTATTTAGTATGATTAGCATTGAGTCTCAGCTTCAAAAGCGATTTGTTGAATTAACATCAATCCATAACTCGCTCAAGTCTAAATGCGAAACAATTTTTATAGAGTTAAAAGAGCTCAAAGAAGAAGCCAAATTTTCCGATAAAATTGAAGAAATAAAAAATAAAGCTCACATTATAATGAAAAATGATGAAATCACTACAAACGAATTGCTTTCTTCTATAGATGAGGTCAACGGGAACTCTGCTCGGGCAGAAATAATAAAAAAATACGAAAAATTCAGCGTTTATTCGATAAAATACCTGATTTCGGTATTTACGAAAATGTGAAAACAGATAGAAATGGTTGCTAGTAAAGCTTCTCAGCCAGATTCGATGAATGTATATTTGAATAGGTCAAGAAGATTGTTTAGAGACTTACAAGAAGGATTAACCCCAAAATCGCATACAAAGGCTCTTACACAGCTAACGCGATTCGAAAATCGAAGAAGAAAAACTGTAAAAGTAAATGAAGCTCCACCTAAATTGGAAACGGAAATTATAGAGCCAGTTAAAACAGAGATAAATCCTTATTCTAAGCAAGAACTAATAAAAGATTATCACGAAATTTTCCATATGAATAATGATATAGCAAGCATGTTTGCGACTGAAGTGCTAAAAAGCATTGTTTCGAAGTATTTTTTAGAAAAAAATGATATAACAAGCTTATTGAAGGAGTTCGGGCAGGATAATAACTTACTCCCCCACTCCGTGAGGATAAATTTTTGTTCGCTCGCGAAGGGTGGATTTTTTGGCAAAAAATAGAATTTTTTTAATGGTTTTGTTCGCTCACGGAGGGGGAGTTAGATGAACTAAGACTGGAATATTTGCATAAACTATATTCTGAAGCAAATAAGAATTTAACTAAAAAGTTTGCATTTTCTATTGAATCTTTGTTGTCAGCATTAAATACAGTACAGAGATTTGTGCAAGATGAGTCAATTAAAATTAGTGAAATTGACATAGAATCTCTTCAAAAAAAGGCTACTCAGAACTCAATATCTAATATAACTAGGACAATAAAAAGAAGGCATTCAACTAAGCACACAGTTGAAGATTTAATTAAATCAGTGTTTCAATTCAAGCTGAAGACAATCAGGCAAAAGAAAGAATTAAGGCCCAAGCTCAAAGCAGATTTTGAAGACTTTGTAAAAAGTGTCAAATTTGATTGAAATAAAAACAAAGATCTTCAGACAAATAGTGATAAGTTCATGGGACAGCTGGAATCAGATTCTGATGAAGAAGAAACTGAAGCAAAAAGCAAGGAAAGTTTTCCTGACTCCCCCCCCTCCGTGAGTGAACAAAAAAATTTTGTTAACTCACGGAGGGGGTTAATTTTTTTTTTAAAAAATTTATTGCTAATTTTATAGAAAAAATATTTTTTTCGAAATTTTAAAAAAATCCTAATTCGCAAAAATTGGAAATTTAATTTTATAAAATTTATGTTTTAAAAAGCAATTTGTTTAAAATTTAAAGAATTAGCTATAGATTTCATTATACTAATTATCACTTATATATCAAAATTTTTTTCCATAAAAAATAGCGATTTTTCTAATGGTTTTGTTCACTCACGAAGGGGGGGAGTGAGGTCAATAAAACTAGCACCTCAAAATCTGTAATGAAAGCACGTAATGGAAGTTTATCTATGATAAACTTGCCAAGAATTGGCAAAAGATATAGGGCTATGTCTGAAATAAGAGAAATTGAATCCAAGATACAAAGTGTCAAGCATTTTGAAAGTCTTAAGAAATTTTAAAATAATTAACTCGAATTTTGAGAATGATTAAGTAATAAAATTCATTGATGTTTAGAGGCATCAAAGCTTGCATCCTTTCCGTTTTAGGCTTAAGAATAAAAAGGTTTATCTTCAATATTCTTATTGAATATTCTAAACATTAACTTTCTCATAACTATAGACATTTTTTCAACGAAATAATTGTATTTATTTTTATTAACTTTTATAAAAATTCATCAATTTTCAAGATACAAATTAAAATAGATTTAAAAAATCTTGAAATTATCGTTAAGATAGATTTTTTTAAAACCTAATATGGCCTTAATCAGTATAAATATAATATCAAATAACCCATGCACTTTATCTCATTCTCGTATATTTTTTGTCTATTATGCTCCACTCTATATCATAAGTGAATTTTCCAGTAAATTTATCTAGCGAATTTTGCCTTCTTTATAAGAAATGATTATGACCAAAAATTTTGTGGTTTTGCAGTCAATTTCTTGCTTAATATATATATTGATAACTAAAAATTTAGGCCAGAAGAATTTCTCCTAATATTCCAATTCCATAGATAAATGATATAAGATGTCATTTATAAACAATATATATGAACCAAGATTTTCAATCAGAAAATACTTATAACAAAGGACGATGGAATGCAGAAGAGAAAAAGAAATTCGTAGACGCTCTTAATTTATACGGAAAAGACTGGGCTAAGATTCAAAATTACATATCTACAAGGACCCTGGTTCAAGTAAGGTCTCATGCCCAAAAATATTTCCGAAAAGCCGATAGGCCTCAAGAGCTTAAAATGCCACAACTTTTTAGGCTGAAGGATTCAGAAAGAAAATTCGATGAATATTTTGCACAAATAGAACAGTTTAAACAGATGATGGAGCTTAAAAGGCAAGTCTGAGGTCAGACTGTATCTGAACCATTTTATAACTTTTATCCAAACATGGTTTTACCTCAGAAAAAGGCTGAAATGGAAGGGTGTAGCTCGATTCCAAGCAAAAGAATCAAAATGGATTACTGTGAGTAGATAAACTATTAACTTAAGTAGCCTTTGTCATAAGCAATTATAAAAAATTAATAGAAGGGCAAAATAAAAAAGAAGCACCTAGCATTTAAAATCTATAAGCTTTTATCTATATAGATTAGTAAACTTACTTCCTCCTTTAAATTGGAAAAAAAATATACACTTTTAGGAAAATTAACCCTCTTTAAATAGGAACAAAATTTTAATTTTTCTTATTAGGTGAAAATAATAATATAAACAGTTTAATGGAAGGAGTGCGAGTAAAATGTATTTAAACCCCGTGGCGAATTCATAGCCAAATGGCGCTTTTCATGGGGGAAAAACTTATATTCGATCATACTATTTATATTTTTTAACCTGAATTATTAGTGCATTTTCACGCCAAAATTAAACGAGGATTGAAGGTGCAGAGGAGTTTGTGGAGGCTCATGGAAACTTGCGGAATCGGTTGTGGTGGATCTGCTTCAATTGATGGCTCACTTCAGTGGATCGAGTGGGTGTTTCATCATTGATGCTTATATTGTTGCTGCTTGTGGAGTTGTTCTTGGAATCTAATAGTATTATACCTATAATCAATTCCCTTGAATAGCCCTATAAGGGCAAGCATTTTAAGCCGCAATTCCTGAGGTTGGTTGGACCAACCTTAGAAATTCTGGCTTACCATTGCAGGGCACAAAGAGCAAACACTATAACTTTTAGCTGGAGTTTCATTGAAGAATTGATGCGCAAATTTGAATTTAAGAAAAAAGAGAGAATGCTGCATGAGGCAGTAATAACACTAATTTTTGTTTTTTAAAAAAACATAAAATTAAGCATTTAAATTGAAACAATGTTTTTTATCCAATTTAGTATTTTTTAAGTTTAAAGTGTAAGATTCATCAATAAAAAAATGCTTTTCATAATACAAGTGTCAAAGCTAATATTTAAGTCACATAATTTTTTATTAAGAGCAGCATAGACAACTATAAATTTCAGCTGCTAAAGTGATATATGAATAAAAGAATCATTATAGAAAACTTTTAAATTAGAAGTAGAGATATGTAAAATTCCATTTTCACCTGCCAATTCGATTTTTTTACTATCTTTTATTATCATTAAAAAAACAACGGTTAAAAATATTTATGTCCAGTATTATATTTATCGTATTTTAAAAATTGAAAGTATTTGATTATCTTCCTTCTTTCATTGCTTCTCTCCAGCTCACTGAAAACTCGTTTGCTTTTTCCATAAATTCTTCATGATAGCCTTTTGTTATTCCAACCTCCAAATTTAGCTTTGGCACAAGGTTATGTATGCTTGGCGCAGATGCTGAATGCCTATGTTTTGTTAAAAATCCCTTATTTTCATTGGAAATTTCTCCGATATTTCCCTCATCACATTTAAAAGTTTTCCCAAAATCTCTTTCTTCCACCAGCTCGCTGTCTTTTTCTTTAATTACTTCTTTTAATTCTTTTATTTTTTTATTTTTATGATCCAAACTTTTGCTTAATTTCAAGTTTTCTTTTGATAAAATTTCTATAGTTTGTTTATATTTTATATAATCATTGTGTTTATTTCTTTTACTTATTGCTGCATCAATGTACTCTCCATAGAAATCCTTGATTTTTTTTAATAACGAGCTGAACACTTTGTCCTTTTCTATCAGCTCATCGAAAATTGTATTATAAATAATTTTTTTCTCTTCTAAGCCCTGCCATTTAGTCTCTTTTAATCTTTCAGTCAGCTCTAGCTCAAGCTCTATTGCTTCTGGACTAATATTTCTTATTTCTGTCACAGAATCTGACCTTTTTGGAGAAGGCTGTGCAGAAAAACAGCCAGAAGTTTTGACATGTTTTAAGGTCTCTGATTTTCTCATAGTTTCACGCTCACTTGGGTTTAATAGAGATCTGGGTGATAAATTATCAATCCCTATAGAAAAATTTGAATTAATTTGAGTTTTAGGCGTGAGCACTGAAGGAAGATTAACTTCATTGATACAAATTGTTGGAGAATTGCTTCGTTGTGAATTTTTCTTCTTTAGTCGTGGATTTGGAGGTAAAGCGTAAGGCGAGCAGGGTTTTTCTACCAAAGTAGGAGTTTTTTGAGGATATTTTGGCGAGATAATGGTGCGCTTTGTGAGGAGGGTTGATGGGCTACGGCGAGAGTGCGGCGAGCGGGAATTTGAAGAAAAAGATAATAGTCTTGATTTTTCTTGCATCAATTATAATGGTTGTTAAATTAATTCTAATTATTTATAAGATAAAATATTCATTTTTGGGAACTATGAAGCAGTCACAAAATTGGTTAGAAATTGCTGTATTAGGAAATGAGAGAGTTGGAAAAACTTATTTTATTAATAGAATTTCTAAAAGCCGTGCTTATCACCCACAAATTGGAGTTCTATTTTATTCTAAAGAGTATCAAATTCATGAGAAATATTTAAGAGTGACTTACTGAGATTTGCCTAGGTTATAATAATAAAATGGCTTTAGATGATAGGATGTCACTCTGTGAATATCCTCTCCATCACTTATTATAGGTTTAGGCTTTTACACATGCACTTCTGTCTAATAGGGAAGAAATGGTGAAGATTTTCTTAGTTCGCATCCTACAGGCATCGTGCTTTATCTCTTTTCGCTGCTCGATAAAGGCAGGATCCTTAGGCCGAACAGGTGCTGTAGGAACGTCGGATAGAGCGAGGCAATGCGTCAAGTCACAAGTATTCCCAGGACTTCTGGACCTTCAAATGGCTCAAGGAAACTAAAAGGGGTGATATTTACCGATAATTGTACGTACAATCAGGGAAGCAGCAAAAACCGAGGAAATGTATAGAAATTTCCCCTAGATGGCGCTGTTTGCCCTTGATTTGCCCACTGGAGAAATTTTTTGGTTCGACCAGTCCCATATGGTTTTGGTCAAACCAAAAAAATTTTTCTCATGGGCAAATCAAGGGCAAACAGCGCCATCTATGGGAAATTTCTATACCTTAAAGCCCTTCGCAACTAAGGCCCTGTTTGAGGTTAGTTAAACTAACTCCTCCCCCTCCGTGGGTGAACAAAACCATTGGAAAAATCCCTATTTTTTGCCCAAAAACTCACCCTCCTCGAGCGAACAAAAATTTTGTTAATATAACAATTTTTTGTGAAAAAAATTTGATATATAAGTGCTAATTAGTATAATAAAATCTGTAGCTAATTCTGTTTAATTTTAAGAAGTTTGCATTTTAAAACATAAATTTTACAAATAATAAATATTTGTTTTCCAATTTTTGCAAATTGGGATTTAAATAAAAAACAAATTTTGTTCGCTCACGGAGGGAGAGTAAGTAATTTAAGTCTAAGAGATTTGCCTAGGTCAAGAGATTGAATTAAGCTTCTAAAAAGATGACAAGAGAGAATTAATTTATTTATTATAGTTTATGATGTAACGAGCAGATCTTCATTTGAATCGGTTGAAATATGGAGGAATAAAATAAATCAAGATATATTCAGGAAAAAAATATTATTTTAATTGCTAATAAAATTGATGAAGGCTGAAACCGAGCTGTAAGTTATAGTGAAGCAAAGTCACTGGCTTATCGCTATGAAATGCTGTATTTAGAGGTTTCTTGTTTAAATGGGAAAGGATGTAGGAATTTTTGAAGACATTATATGAAGCAAATTAGAGTTTGATAATTTTTAATATTACTACATTGAGTAAATGCTAAATTATGTATTTATTAGATAATTTAAGCATTAAATTGGGCATTGGCTATAATAAAAGATAAACAAAATGGCTATTCAAGAAATAAGCAAACAGAACTTGAAAAAGTAAAATTTTTTATAATCTAAGCCAATGCTCATATTAAATCCACTGAACATCTACTGTGTACTTCGAAACAAAAAATTTAAAATATTTCGATCGAAATTGGCTTATCTTGTTATAATAATTACTATAAATTGTTAACTGACAGTTGGCTTCTCTACCAAAGGAGATTTTAAAGTCGTAGCGATGCTTCATTCCAAGATAATATATTTATAGTCTTAGATTGACTTGAAAAGGTATAAGCTATGAAATAAGGCAAAACAGATTTGAAAGTGGCATTTCTAAAATAATGTTTTCAATTGATAATAAACTTTATATCATCTATTTAAAGATTACTGCCTTATTAAGAGTCCAAGGTATTAAAAATAAATGTTAAATTAATACTAAGGTGTATGATTTTTTAAATTGAAAGATCTTACTGAATAATTCATAAAGGCATAAAAAAACTAGAATACTCTATAAATAAGTGAGGTAGAAAATTATTTCTTACATCTATTATTTATTATTCGTTGATTTTTATTTTAAAAAAATTAAATATCAAATAAATCTTTATTATTTTTTGAATAAATTCAATCCTTAATGATTTATAGGTATTGTCGCATTTAGTTACAAATTAAAACCTACTAAATGGAATTTTTCATGCTAAGTCAAATAAAAAGTTAGTTTGGCTTTTAAATTTCTTTCATCCATGGGAAGAATAATAACAATATATATTTTTGCATTGGGGCTTAGGCGTATATATGACGATTCCCATTAATTTCTGTATTAATGGATTCTTAACTTCCCTCCCTCCATGGGCGATCAAAATTATTTGGTCGCTATACTAAAGAAATTTTTCGAGTTGCCCAATTTATTTGATAACTCCGTAGTCCATAACCTATGCAAGTGCAGTTGCTTAATAGACTTGGGTTCAATCACTATATCTTTCGTCGTTATGGCTTTCGCTTTTCGTCTATCTAGCAATATAGTGGTCATATTGATTCATCGACATCTTAAAATATGCTAGCTGTCAAAGTTTAGCAGAATAGCTATAGATTTCGTTATAACATCATTTGCTTATATATCAATTTTTGCTCGGTACTAAAGGACTACAAAGGTTTTATTATTTCAAGAGGGCGTAGAGTAAGTAAAACTGCATAATTAACAATGGCTGGACTTTCTCTCTATGACAAACCCTCAAATTCTCAAAGCTCTCAGCCTCTTGATCTCGAGCAATCTACTAAATTAATAGAGCTCTTTCAATCTACTCTACAACAAAACAAAATTCACATTGCATATGAGGTCCGAGCTGCTGTTTTCGAAGATCTTTCTTGCTCCTTTTCACAACAATTAATTGCGGGCATAGAAGAACTTCACCGCTCTATCGGGGTGGCTTTTGATAATCTTGAACAAAAATTAACTCTCCTTTTATTAAAAAAATAAAAAAAAATTATTTTAGTTAAAATTCAGCTTAAGACTTATTTTTAATAATTAAATGATTAAGTGACCGAATTTTCTCATTAGAAACAAAACTTATAAAATTAGAAAATGATTCACAATGTATAAGTAGTAATCAGCAAAAAATAGATGAAAAAGTATGCAGCAATCAAGAAAAAATTAAAGAACTCCAAATAAAAAACACCGGCATTGAACAATTTGTCTGAAATGTCTCAGAGGATACAAAAAAGATGGATAATTTATTAAGGAAATTTTATGATCACCTTTTAGAAATCAACGGTGAGTTAGCTGCAATTAAAGCAAGCCTAGACAGCAGCTCCTGAAAACCCATAGAAAGGCCTTATGATATGTCAAAAAATATCGAAATCCTCAAAACAGACATCACTGACAAAATCATTGACGAAAAATCACAAAATATCGAATTTTATAGAGAATTGAAGCTCGGGATCAACGAGTTAAAAGAAAATGTACAATATTTAGGAGAAAATCATAATAAGCATAAGCTTTCCCTAGAAAAGTTTGGAGACTGATGCAAAGGTTTGCAGAGCTCGATAATGCAATTCGAATGCAGGATTGCTAAGCTGGATGGAGAAATGAGAATTATAAGACAAAAAGAAGAGAAACTAGAAGACTCAGAAAAAAAGAATGAAGAAGTGAGAAAACTGATTCATCTTAATGAGAGAATTTTTACTAATAGAGTTTACTAATAATAGGCGGGATATAAAATGGAAATTAATGATAGAGTGTTAGGGCTTTATTTTCAATCTGAGCTAATGCCAGAAGAAATGAATGCTATAAAACTGCTTGTGTCATTTTTTGATGACCCTGAAATTTTTACAAAATATTTCCAGTTTAAAAATATCCCAATTGCCACAACCTATTCATATTTAAAAATTATTATTATCTCTTTTAAAGACAATATCAGCGCAAGCCTTAAAATTACTATAATTAAGTTATTAGAAATCCAATACAAATCCTTATCCAAATGAATTCAATTTAAATTACTCCAAAATTCTAGCTGACTCTACCCGATCAATTGAGCTGACTGAAGTCCTGCAAACTTTAAGATACAAGCCAGACGTTTTTTTGCCTACAATCCACGCAGCAGTCCATCAAATATTTTTCAAGCACTATCCTCAAGTTCCAATTCAAAACCCTATTCGAATTTTTATTACAAAATATGACGTAATTACTCTTCTTTCCAACATAAGAAGTGCTATGATACAGCGTTTTGTCTGTATCTCCGGAAGTGTCGTTAAAATGTCCCCAAGAAAGCCCTATGTAATCGGCATGGATTTTTTATGTCTAAAATGCAGCGCTCATGTCCCCACTACTTTTCCTGAAGGAAAATACACCTTACCTATGCTTTGTTCAAATCAAGACTGTAGAAATATAAAAGCTTTTCAGCCTTTAAGAGACACAGCGAAGCTTGTGAACTGGCAACGAATTAAGGTCCAAGAATGCTCAAGTGATGACCAAATTGGTGTTCCATTAACAATGGAATGTGAAGCTAAAAATCTTGATATTTCTCATATATCGGTAGGCGACCCTGTCACTATTATGGGAATAGTAAGAGCTGAAAGCTCTGATGTCCATAAGATAAAAAATACAGGACTTTATGGACTTTATTTAGAAATTGTGACAGTTGTAACGAATAAAGATAACGAATGCGAAGTAGAAGACTTGACTAGCGAGGAAATTGCCAGGATTAAAGAGATGGCGAAAAGTAAAAACATTTTCCATAGCTTGGTGAAGAACTTCTGTGGGGTGATTTATGGGCTGGAAAAAGTAAAAGCAGGGTTATTATTATCATTATTAGGAGGAAATGATATGCAATCTAGAGGGACTTCACATGTACTTGTAATTGGGGAGCCGGGGCTAGGAAAAACTCAATTAATTAAGACTGCTTTGGGGTATTCTCCGAGAGGAATTTATATCTCAGCTGCTACAAAGACGGGGTTAACGGTTAGTATTGCAAAAGAAAATGGGCAGCAGTCTATGAGGGCTGGAGGGCTTGTTATGGCTGACGAAGGAATCTGTGCAATTGATGAGTTTGATAAAATGGGAAAAGAGCAAGAGTCTCTATTAGAAGTCATGGAGGAGCAAACTATGACCATAGCTAAATCAGGAATTTACTGCAATTTAAGGGTTAGAGCTACTGTAATTGCTGCAGCAAACCCTGTGCAAGGCCATTATAACCCTTCTAGGACCCTTTCAGAAAATTTAAAAATAAATGCTGCTGTATTGTCACGGTTTGACCTGGTATTTTTATTGCTGGAAAATCATGAAGCACAGATTTCTCGGCACGTCATCAATATCCACAGTGGGGTGAAGCGTAATTTTGATCCAGGTTTCAGAAATTTTGAGATGCCTCCTCCACCCTCAGTAAGACGACTGTGAACCCAATCAAGCACAACTTCTCAACGGTCAGTCAATGATGTTCCTTTAGAAACAGAATCATTTACAGGATACATGAAAAGAGTAAGCCAAGAATTACAAACGAATATTTCCCATGATATTATTAAAAAATATATCAATTATGCGCGGAAGCATATTCATCCAAGACTATCACAAGGCGCTATAGACTTATTAAATGCCTTTTTCTCCAAGCTTAGAAAAGATTCCCCTGGAAACGGAATCCCAGTGACTTCGAGACAATTGGAATCTCTTAAAAGATTAGCTGAAGCTAGAGCCAAAGCGGAGCTCAGAGAAATTGCTTCAGAAATTGATGCAATGGAAGTAATAAAGCTTTACCAAGAAACCATTTATGACTTCAAAACACAAGATTTCGTAATGCCGAGGATGACGAGAAAAAGGGGAACTGACCGCCCGCTTGGAGAGCTGAGCGTAGCGAAGCAACAACTTGTATTTTTAGATAAAATTAGAGAAGAAATAGAATCTAGAGGAGATGATGCCTTTTCTTTCCAAGAGCTATTGACTTTGTCGAAAGACCTTGGTATGAGGGTCGGAGATTTTGGGTTTTTCATAGAAAGGCTTAACCAATCAAACTTGCTTTTAAAGAAGCCTGGGGGGATGTATATTATGCTTTACATTAATTTTCTTATAAAGAAGGCTATTTTTTATATATATAATTAATGATTTTTATGCTCAAAATCAATTTTATTTTGCAGAAATTAGTATAAGCCACTATAAAGTTTTACAGAGTGCATTATAATTAACTAAAAGTTTTCAATTTAAATATGTTTAATTAGCCATATTTCTTGCTGATTTTTTCCTCTGATATCTCTCATTCATCTGGCCAGTGTAATTTTCTCTATAATTAGTTGTGAATTGCCCATTCCAAGAAACCCTGGCTTGAAAATCATCGACTATTCCGTGATCTCTTTTAGGCATATGGTCCTTGGTGAAAGGTCTGAAGTCTTTTCTTGAAGTGGTTTCATGCATCTGCACAGTTACAGGTGAAAGAACACCTGAGCCTTTCCAAAAGTTAGGGTTTGGGGGTTTTCCTTTGTTTTCGTAGAGACTTTGATCATATTTTCTGAATTCTTTTGCGTAGTTTGAGACTGCTTGAAGCTTTAATTCGTCTCCTCTGAACGGTAATGATGAAACTGCAGCTCTTTGAGCCCTGTATTCTCCATATCCTTGAAAATCTTGCTGGTAGCTTGATCTGCTGGCGAATTTCAGTTTAAAGCTATCAGGGGTTTTATCCTTATAAAATTAATTTTCAGACCATTATCATGAGGTCAAAATCTTTTTTTGTATAAATTAGTGCAATATTTCTATAAATACATAATAATATTTAAACACCTTCAAAATAACTTCCTTCGCTTTTTTTGGCTCAAGAGGAAATGCCTGGAAATCCTTTTTGTACATGGAAGTTGCATCAATATGAAAATTAGTGTGTCTATAAGAAAGATCTCTGGCTGTGCTTGGTGGCTGGGGTGGATACTTAGGATACTTCAGCTTATAAGTGGTGGAGAATTGAGATGACGTGCTTTTCAGCATTCTCCTGTACTCACCAGGGCAAAGATGCTTCCCACAGTTACAGAGATGGCAGAGGCACTGGTCAACCATATGCTCCATCTCTGAAACTGGAGGCAAATTAGGGTTATTCAAAGCGCACCAATCTTCGCCTGTTGGGATTATTGCTGGGTCTTCTTGATTCTGGTATACGTTGGCCAATTGAAAATTTGGAACACTTGAGGCTGATTTTAGCTTTGCTCGGTCATTTGCGGATAAACCTGTGTGAGGACGACTAGCAGCTGCGGACGGAGGTGACTGCATGAGATTAGAATTTAAATTTATTATTTTGAGGAGATTTCCATATATTAAATTTTCCTTGTATTATGAGCAAATTTATCTATTTGCCCATTGAGAAATCCAAAATAAAATTGTATACAAATTTGCTCTCATAATTTAATAGGGAAAAAAGATAAATTCTTAAAAATAATTTAAATCCAGCTCAATTATAAGGATAAAGTTTATTAATAAGTTTCTAGCATATTTATTCACTTATTTTTTCATTCTCTTTGCTCATTTTTTCATTTTCTTCACTTATTGCTGTCAAGACCCTTACTTTGTCATCTAGCAACTTATTGACTCTTTCTTTAGATCTCTGCACAATTTCCCATGCTTTTTCAGTGATTTTGCTTAACTGTAAGTCTTCATCTTCAGTCATGAATTTTTCAATTTCTCCATGATCCGGTTTTTCAATTGTATCAAGATTTTCACTAGAAATTCTGAATTCTTCTTCAGTCTCATCAAACTGCTCATTTTCAATTGGAGCATATTTTGGGACTCTAAATATGCCTTACTCTAGTCCTAAAATCCTCAATCTTTCTTCAGGTCTCACAGCACTCCCATCAAGCTCATCAAGGTAAGGCAAAGCTTTTATTAAAGTTTCTCTATACTCGGATTCCGAAGCACAAGGATTTCCATTCAGTTTTAATATAGAAATGTCGTTAGGAATTTCTTCAGTGCTCAGCAAAATAATTTGATTATTTGCTAAATTGAGATATAGCAAATTTTTCAGTGTTTTTAGACCTTGGATATAAGTGATTTTGTTTCCTTCTAAAGTCAGAAACTCCAAGTTTATCATGAACTCTAGATTCTGAATTTTTTCAATTAAATTGTACTGCAGATGAAGATATTTTATGTGGGAATACAGTTCCAAGTTATCGATTTCTATTATATTTTGCCATTCTAAATGCAAAATATATGATTGCATAACTTTTTCAATCCTATATAAGACTTACTGCTCCTCCCTTCCTAATGTTTCTTGTTCTGTTGATGTTAGATTTAATTTCAAAATCAGATCTGTGCAAATTTTCTTTGACATTTTTTATATTAAATTTCTAATTATAGTGATATTATTTTCGCTGAAGAAATTCTATGGTTTTTTTCTTTTTTTAGCCTTGATGCATGCTTTGATTTTCGCTTTTTTATTTTTATCAGACTTTGCTGAGAATTGGTGTTTGTCGTGCTTTTTGGAGACATCAGGGATTGAGTTGATGGACTTTGCAGGCAATCTGAAGCAGGAAGGATTTCAAATCATTCATCAGGCAATGGGTCGCAAGTTGTATAATCTGAAGGAGGCAAATAGACCCCATGAAATGGCCTCAGCTTTAATTCAGATACTTTATGCCCCACATCTCATATAATTCCAATGTTTGCTCTTAACATAGGACCTCCCATGTTTTGATAATAAGTCTTCTTTATTACAAAGGGGCTTTCAAAGTCTTTTAATATCAAACTTGTATGTCCAATTTCTTCGTTATCTGAGACAAGTCTTACAAGAATGCTAGGATTTTTATTTAGAAAGTGGCAAAACGAATTTCTACCATTACTAAAAAAATAAAAAAGCCTCACTCCCCCTACTTGATCTAGCATCACCATTTAAAATTTGAAAAAATAGCCCTTGTCCTTGACGAATTATTTTCCTATTATCATTAGTGCATGAAATATTTTATATATAAAAAATTTTATATAAATATATAAATCTCCACCCAATCGAATAATGGCAATTGGCTCAATTAAGATGTGAAAGTCAGTTTTTGGATATTTAAAACCCCATCTTTAGGGGTCTTTATCTTGAATTTATGGGTTTCCCCTAAAAATTCATATTCTATATAATAAGAATTTTTTAGCTGAAATTTGTCACCACATTCATTTAATTCAGAAAATACAAGTAAAACACGAAACTTATCAAGAGAATAAAATCTATTTCGGGATGTAGGGTCATCTTTTATTACACGAAGTGAAACCTCAGGGATTAATTCATATTCTTGAGGAGGCGGATCTTCATGCTTTGTTGGTATTCCTAAAGCTCGGCCAAATCTCTGCTCAAGTTCTTTAAGCACTTGTGTTTCTGTATAAAGTTTAAAACAATAGTCACAAACATGGTAATTTTGATATAAAGTCGCTTCATCAATATGCCGATACTCTTTATTTTCCAGTCACGATACGATTTTTCCCCTTCTTCTTAGGTGCTCTTCCATCTCAAAAATCATTTTCAACGTAAGTTCATGACTAAGCCACTCATATCCAACATGACAAAATTCGCATCTTTTGAGTTTTTTATACTCGACCAAGCCTTTTTGTGATTTTTGGTCAAATCTATCATCATCCATACTCTGAGGCAAAAAAATATCTATTTGTGGAATAATATTATTTATAACTTTAAAGGCTTTCACATCAATCATTCACCACATATCGCCTTCATCTTTAATAAAATCACATACAAATTCTTCAAAATTTATTTTCAGCATCCTTTCTAAATATAGCAGCATCTTTCCGATAATAGCAGAAGTTTCGTCAACGAATTTTCCTCCTTTGACTTGAACAATATTAGAGTTTTCATCAGTTAAATAGCCTCCTTGTGGCATTGCTGAAGGATTAGTGATAAGTCAGCAATATGGCCTTTTGCCTATCTGCACCACAGTTCTGCAGATAAATGCTTTGATGCCTCGACATTTAATGAATTTTTGTAAGCATCATTTATCACGGTCACGCTTCTGGGAAACTCTTATCATTTCTTTAAGCTCGTCAGCAGTTACTACAGTTGCAGTATTTCCGGTAACTCTTCCCAATTTATGGTCGTAATATTGCTTTTTACTTACTCCAACTGGTGTATTTCCGGATAAATTTCTACCAATTTTGTCAATGATATCTTTTTCTGCGAAGTTTTCGATTCTGCAGACTTCACCTTCTAGGTCAGAATAAATCCAATAAGGTCTATCAGTATCATTATAAACAATTGTATCTGGGACTCACAGCTGTAACTTCCGTCGGATTCCTTGTAATCTAGGGTGAGCACTAACTTTACCGATTTAATAGTGAAAAACTGCATTATTTCCACAAAAAATAGTTTCCCTCCAATTTGATAGTAAAATATAAAAAAATAATCGTATATATTTTATTTATAATTACCTTAATTCATTTTTGTTGATGAAAAAAAACAAATTATTAGCTGTATAAAATATTCATAGGTGTTTTAATAGTAACAAAGAAATATTATTATTAATTGAAGGGATAAGAAATTTAAAAAAAGAGCACGTCGGACCAAAATCATATGTATATTCATAGCCTGGACCTAAACAGTTGACCTTTTCAGTCAAGATTTGTCTAGATTTTTCTTTAAATGCAGAACCTTGCAGTTGTGTAAGAGGGATGTTTGACTTATGAAGAGCAAACTCTTCATTTTCATCAGATTTTTGTTTGCCAAAAGCTTGATGATCAAAAGCTTCTTGGAAATACATTTCACTTACTCTAATTTATCTAGAAGTAATAATCAATAGATTATAAATTTCTCTTAAAATTATTTTTTGCTATTATAAAATAAAGAATTTAGTTGCTGTATTTCTTACTTACTTAGTTACATAGTTTTTAAGGTGTCTAGTGCCCACACCCCTTAATGAAAAAGGGTCAAGCGACAACTAGTGACGTCACCAAGCCATCTTGGAATATGTGGTCAGCCCACACCCAAGCCTTCTATAAGGCTAGTCGCCAGATAAATCGCCGCACATCTCACCCGGCGCGTTGCCGTCGCTCGTCCAGACTCAGCTCCTGCGCGTGTTCCGCCTAAGGGTCATCCTCCCGTGGGGACGTGCTGAGAGGTAAAACTCCGAAATCTTGAGTGCACTGAGGAGTCGTGCCTTTGGTTATCCCCAAAGTTAAACGACTATTGCTGTGCAGAAGTTCTCGAGAGAAAAACCCAACCCCATAAATAAAATTCCATGAGGGAGAGAAAATTGGCAGAGCCAATTTCTCTCGAACCGAATGCCATTTTATTTATAGTTGCTGTATTTCAGATATTGATTTGATATTCGGCTCCATGTCAAATGACAGTGGATTTTTGATAGTGTATATTTCATCGAAATGCATTTGTTCGAAAATTTTTAAATAGTGTGACATTTGGTCGAAATTTAACGGCTTTTTTTGCTTAAATGTCTCACTATCAAAAAGTGTCAACCAATTTTCTACCAAAAGTACTTACTCACCCCCCATCCTTGATCGAACGGCTCGCCATCGTTCGATCAAGGATGGGGGGTTAAAAAATATATATATATATATTTTTTTTTTTAATATTTTGATTTATTGGTTGCCCCTTTAAACTGTATATAATTTTAATTTGTTCCTTATTGAATTAAAATTTGTTTTTTTTAAATTTTAAAGAATCTCTATATTTTTAGATTATTGAGTTTTTAAGCCTAGGTTGATGACTAAAGCACTTCGGATGGTTGATTCCGTAGCTTTCTGTCGTCTCAAAGTCTCTGAAAACAACTTCATTAGGCACATCTTCCCAAGCTTTTGATAACTAATATATTTTTATATAAAAATTTGCATGATATGAAAATCGTTCGATCAAGGATGGGAATTAATTTTCCCAATTTTTAGGAATTTTTACAGTCAATCATTCGATCAAGGATGAGGGAGTTAGGTGAAATGCACAATATCAAAAATACACGATCATTGGGCATGCACCAGATATTTCGTATTTTAATTTATTGTAAGGTTAATTTAATATGGGAAAACAAATCACATAACTGATATGAGAGAAGTTTATTTAAAATTTGAATTTATAAAGATAGATGCAATTATTATATAAAAACAATTATTATAATAGCGAAATATGCTTTAATCCGTCTATATTTCGCACTTAGATAGTTCATATGGATTTTTGGTATACAAACTGAGAATATATTCTGAAAGATCATTTCATATTTCTTTAGATATAATTGGAATATTATCACTAGCTTTCCTCTCATAAGAAAAAAAATTAGAAAAATCCTACTCTAACCTTTCTTAATTGGAGAATGATAATTTTTTTCATATAAAAAATTTTAAATGAAATATTTGACTAGCAGCTTACCCTTTAAAATTTTATATATTAAACCAATTTTATTTTGAAGAATTTTGATTTTGATGTTTTTTTAACCTCAAAATATTTTTAATATAGATTTAAATTCAACCTCGACAAATATACAAAAAATTTTCTTGCTTGCTGATAGTAAGTAAGCATATTCAGAATTCTAATTTATTTATATTTTCTAGCATTAAATCAAATCATTATCAGATATTCTGAATCAATAATTAAATGACTGCTCAAAATAAATTTCATATTTCCATTGAGTAACTTAGCCCAAATCTAAAAAAATGGCAAGTATTTTTCATTAAAACTTAGATGTCAATTTAATTCATGGCTTTGATTGCATGTTATCATAAAATTGGTATTCATTTGAAAACTTACAATATAATAAAGTTTTGTTTCCACTAAAAGAGTCCTCATAAGGTCTAATATATCATGACAGAGAATATTCTTCTATTTCTTTTAGATTTTCATATGGCCAAGGCATTCAATTAGTAATAATTCAGGTTTTGAAAAAGTGGATTATGAAAAATAAGTATTGCCTTCGAATTAGGACATAAAAAAGGGGTTTCAAGTCTATATAGTGATATAAAATCTATGTGAAAGTATTTAATGGTATGCTATGGCTTATAAGCACGTTTGAATTTTCTTAACTCTCCCTTTCTTTGAACAAGTAAAATCACTTGAAAATTTTCAAAATTTCATTAAATATAAAAGGAAATTATTATAGTAAAACATATAACTAATCCTGCTAAACATTTAAACATTTGCATTACATATATATAATACGTAATTTTAATTTTTACTTTTCCAATTTTTGGGAATTTTTTTCAATTTCGAATAATAAAAATTTACTATAAAATTTATATAGTTTGGCTCATAAGAGAGAGAAAGAATTTTTAAAGGCCTTAAATTCTCCTTAATCATCCCCCTTTAATTGAAACAAAAAAATACTGTTACAATTAAAAGGATTAATTTTTTTTCATAAAAAATATTTATATTTAAGTTTTTTTTATAATAAATTTTAAAATATAAATTGAGCATATAAATTAAATTTATTTATTTTTATGAAAAATAATTAAAAAAATTAACTAATACAATGTTAAAAATGTTTAATGTATTTTATCAAGAATCAAATAAAAAAATTAATCGATTCAGCTTAATAACTATTTAAACAGTATTCTATTTGCGCTTTATCTATTAGATTGAATCAAAGCTAATTTTATAAAAATTATCTTTATTTTTTTTTTAAAAATATAAATTGAGCATTAATTATTTTATAAAAAATTAAATAAATATCAGTAGATTTAGTGTGAAAACTGTTTTTAAATAGCATTTTACTTCTATTTGCCTATATAAAAACTAGTAATTTCATCTTTAATATATTTAAAACCATAAATTGAGAACAATAATTTGAATTTTAATTTATTTTTATAAAAATTTAAATAACAAAATTAATCTATTCAGCTTAAAAAAAACGTTTAAATAGCATTCTGCTTGCATTTTTCTACTACATTAGGCCAAAGCGAGTTTATAAAATTTAGCATTTTCATCGTTAGAATTATCTAATGAAAAACAAATTCGTTCAAATTTAAAAGGGGCTAAAATACCAAAAAATGCAAAATTTACCGATCTTTTGTTCAATTTAAAGGTGGGGAGTTAATATTACAAATAATAAATCTATTAAACTTTAAGTCTACTTATTAAAATATTTAAAGCGCCATTTTTGTGTACTGATTAAACCACTCAAAAATAGTCATATAAAGCGTCGTAGCTGGAGCAGCCTTCACAACGCACACAAAGAATCCTCGATAAAATCCTAAAACCCCTTCTCTTTTAACTATATCTGCCACACATTGCCTATAACTAGAATATCCAGCTTCATACCCTCTAGCCCCGCTCACTTGCATTTTCGCTTTAATTGTTTCTAAAGGATATACCAAAAACTTCGAAATTCCTGTTGCCACACTTGCAACCCCAAAAAAATCCAAAATTCAATAAGGATAATTCCATTTCATTACATTATAATATTCATTTATTCCTAAAAATGCTTGCTTTTGTGTAGTAAAATAATAATCAGCTAATAAATTAAATGTATAAGTTGACAGTCCTAAATAAGGAACAAGGCCTAAAAACGTTATAATTGAGCCTTTATAAAAGCCTTTTATTCCTTCTTCATTAGATATTTTTTTAAAACAATCAATGACTCCTTTATAGTTCCCTTGTGGATATACATAAAATGGCGTATGGCGACCGACCCATCCTCCCAGTGACGGTAACCCGTGTATATCCGGGCATGGTTTTCAGGAGAAGCGACTTAGCCCAGCAGTATCTGGACCCTGTTGGCGACCGGGGACGAACACAGACCCGTCTGATCGTGGCCAGATCCTAGGGCAGTTAGTAGCATCTCCTTTTTCCAGCAGCGCTCAAGCCAGATGGAGCAGGGTGACTTATCTGCTCAAGCTGCTGCTGTGGTCTGCCCCGAATCGCGGAAGTGATTGAGGATTTTATCAAGCGGATAAGCTGGTAAAAGGGGAGGCAGATTAGACGACTTAAAGGCGATCTCTCCAGTTAAAAGGGTCCTTAAATGGACAATCTGGCCAACCGGAGACAAAGACTTGCGTAACTCGGGGCGAAAGGCTGAGTTGGAAATGGTGGTGCTCGGCGACGGTCGGGCTGACGACCCAATAGGGTAACCACTAACGAGAAACCAGGGGTTTCGGCCTGGGCTCAGAGAGCCAGTGATGGAAGTTCATCCTTTTCGCTCGTGCCAGCACGGCTCCTCATGGAGCGCGGAGGAATGTCACGCATGGAAGAAGGGACCTTAAATACATATCATTAATTTATTTTTATTTTATAGTTCCTTGTGTCTCTTTTAGAGCTTAAGTCAGTCATAAGTCTTGTTCTTATAATATCTAATGGATAAGTTGATAGTAAAGAAACTCCTGAAGAAATCCCACTAGTCATCATTTCTCATACAAAGCTGCCTTGATTTTTTGTTATACGATTTCTAAGCCATAAATGAAAATGCAGCCTAATCGTAGTTCTTGGTAAAATATTGATAATGGTTGCGAAATTGCCTCTCCAAATGGCTCTTATGCCCTCACGTGACCTGACATTTCAGAGGAAATTAAACATCCCATTATATTTTTCATTTGCCGGCAGCTTATTTAAGCTTTGTGACTGTAAAATCAGTTGGATCCTATCAAGAGGAGAGACAAGTGTTTTTGAGATTATTCCTGTAGCAATTCCAAATGCTGAGGCTATAGTAGAATTTTTCGTATAGTCTTCTTTTGCCATTAGAATTTTTATTATTAAATCATAGGAAGTTAGGTTTTTGGCACTTAAGCCTCATTGTTGAGCTATTAATTATAAAATACTAAAAATCCTATTATTTAAAATAATTTTTAATTTTAATAATAAATACCATGAGAATTCTGAAAGATTTTTGTGGAATTTTGATATGTATTATTGTTTACACAATCATTATACTTGTAGCTTGCGGGGTTATTTTTCTAGCAATTAAGCCTATTTCTGATGAAGGTTACTTTGATTTTGACTTGATGGTTGGAATTTATTTGCCATTCTTAGTCTTATCACTAACATCACATTTTGCATGCATGGTAACTGATCCAGGGATTTTAAATAAACAAAACACGGTAGAAATTTATAAAAGTTTGCTGGAAGAAGATAATAAGGAAAATGTATGCACTTACTGCAATGTGTGAAAACCTCCGAGAACCCATCATTGCATGACTTGTAGGTCGTGCATCCTTAACATGGATCATCACTGCCCATGAGTGAATAACTGCATTGGCTTTTATAATCAAAAATATTTCCTGCTCTTTTTGGTATATACACTTATCGGAGTTATTATATCTGAAGGATTTCTCTTTTGCAAAGTATTAGCAAACACTATTGAAGGAATAGAAAAATCACGATTTGAAGCCTTTTTTTTAACATTTACTATAGTGGTAGCTGGCGTATTTTTTTTGATGATCAGTTCTATTCTGAGTGATCAAATAAGTTAAGTTACGCCACTTCCAAGGCACTGTTCTACTGAGTAGCCATAATGTTACCACATGAGTGTCGCAGAGGCATGTAGATGGATCAACCTTAGTGAGAGCCAGGGCCGAAACCAATGGTTTCTCGGTACTGGATTTCCCTATTCGATCTGCCTTATGCGAATTTGCAAGGAACCTCTATTTCTAGCTCCCTTTTTATGGGGCTCTTTTAATTGGAGAGAATCGCTTTAAAAACCTTGTTCTTGCCTGTCTTCCCTCTTTCCTTGCATCATCTTCTTCGAAAGAACTCAATAGCTTATGCTATTATGAACAGGCCACAGAGCTGCATAAGCAGCTATAGTGAACTACACTGACTGGCACGGGGTGCTTTTGGCTCAGTTTCGAGCCAAAAGCACCCCGTGCCAGTCAGTTTAGTTAGCTATAGGTCGCCCTGCTTCATAAAAAGCTGCTGCTCGGGTAGGGCCACTAATCAGAGAATAATGATGTGCCTCTCGCCTCAGCTCTTTGCACCAAAAAAAAAGCATTTATGAATATATAGACTTTAAGACTTATTTTTTAATTATGGTTTTACCATGCCAAGCAGGCTTATTGTCATAAAGAGACCATTTACTGTTTCAGAATCTCTAATTTCTTCATTTAAATTTTTTTTTATACTTCTTTTCTTGGAGTGGCGCTGCAAGTGCAGGCCACTCCATGTGGAATTCCTGTGTTGGTTTAACCAACATAGGAGTTGGTCGAACCAAAACTGTGCGTTGGTTCGACCAAACCATGAATTCCCCATGGAGTGGCCTGCGCTTGCAGCGCCACTCCAAGGAAGTTTCTATATAATTGATCGGATCAGTGCAAAGTCGAACTGTATAATTTCAGTGATTTGTCAAACCAAAATGTGGTTAGTTTGTCAAATCTCGCTGGGATATGAAATTATGTTTCATATTAAAAATAAATGGAAACCAAATTCAAAATTTAGAATTCTAACTAATTAGCTTAATAATAAAAAATTAATTATGTTATATTTAGTTTATGTTTATGCTTATGCTTATAGAATTCCTCTAGCACTACGGTGCCTCAAAGTCTTTATTACTTGAGATCCAGCTTCAATAGCAGCTCTGAGCAACAGTAGGTGGATCGGCCTTACTATCCGACCGTTAAAGTTATTAAGCCCTTTCAGACTTCTCTAGTCCATGCCAGACTCAGCACAGACCTCTTCTCTTCAAGCCGAGACTCTCAAGAAACTTTGAATTCTCTCACAAAGCTCGGATAATAGGGCTATCCTGAAGATCAAAACTAAGACCATATCCCTAACTGCCATTTTTAATATTTTTATTATATTTAGTTAAATTATTGTAATAACTTTTACACAAGCTGTGAAGATAGCTTTAAATTTTCTAAAATTCAATTTTGGCTAACAAAACTGCAAAAGCCATGCGCTTTAACATCGTACTGAAACAAATTGTGACGATAAAGTTTTAATAAAAAAATAGAGATCATAAAAAAATTAATAGCATTTTTAGAGCAATTAAAACTGTCTTTTTTGGGTAGTATGCCAAGAGATAGGTTGCCCATTTTATGCATATAGTGATCAAATTAAAGCAATAGTAAACAACACATCGGGAATTGATGTCTTGCAGCACAAAAATTTTGTAAAGGTAATTGATATTTAGCGGCCTTTATATGTAAATTTACAAGAAATTTTTGGGGGCAAGTTGTCACCGTTATGGCTTATTCCAACTCCAATAAGCGGAAAACCTAAAAAAGTGGTAGAGAGAGGCTATGAAGCTCCAAAGACTCAGGATAATTCATAATGCGTTTAATCCCTCTTTATTTAGTAAGCAAAACTATTAGAAATATTTCTATTTTAAAGGAAAAATCTACTTAGAGCATCCATGATAGGATAATAAATTAACTTACTGTTTCAGACCGATCTTAATAGCATAAAATAATTACTGATGAAACTCTGATAATTTTATATATTAAAAGATATTCTCAGCTTATATTTGTTGAAGCAGAATAAATGAATCATTTTTAATTTCAATCAAAACGATTCAGTATAAAATAATTTTCCTGCATCATTATTCCCGTTTATTCTTTATAGTCTCATTTCATATTGATTTTCCATCAGATCTAATAAATTTTAATGGCTTCCAGAGTTGACACTTGGTGGGCAAATTCCTATCCAGATTGCTCTATCAAAAACTTCGAATCCATGCCAGTATTCCATAGATTCAGAGATACAAATAGAAGGCCATTTGTAAGGGGTGATGAGAACTATAAAGAAACGCTGTGGAGAGTCGACAATTGCGATATTTTCGAGTGGTTTGACCGTGCCAAGAAAACTGGCGAAAAATTCGGTCACGATAGAAATTCAGATACCTGGTTTTATGAACATTGGTATATGGAAGGAGATATTCATGTTGTTGTGAAAACTTGGTTGAGGAGACCTGAAGAATGGGGACAAGTCATTCGATACTTCCCAGACTATGAAATTCATATCTCTTGGAATCTTTCAGGAAACACCAAAACCTATGAAGAAATCCAAATAGACCCAAATGCCAGAAAAGGTCTTCGTGAAGGACTTACTCCTAAAATGTAATAATAAAAGTAAATTTTCAATTTTGCATTAGCCAGGCCCTTTTTAAATAAAATAATTGTTTTTAAGCAGCTTTAATGCCTGATTCAATGTCGAAAATTTAACTATGGCTCGTTCTATTTTAAAAAGGGGAGCACTATTTTTAATAGATAAATTTGAAATTAATATCAATTTTCTCTCACAAAGATCTAAAATTGAAAAATGCATTACGTTTCAAAGTTAAAGGGGATAGTTAGAAACACTCAATTTGGAGTCGAAAATTTTTCTGAAGCTTTTTGGGACTCACTTGACAGCTCTGGCCTTGAAAAAAATTGGAAAAGAGGTACAGCACAAGGCGGAGAAAAAGAGTACAAAAAAGGACCTGCAAAGTCAGGAGAAAGCTGAATTGAAGATAAAGACTACTACGAAAAAAGAGAGTGGAAAATCGAAGGCACTAAAAATACTGGAGTCTTCAAAGGAAAAAAAGGAGCCAAAACATGGGAAGAAAAATGGGACCAAGATACTGACCATGATATTGATGATAAATCCTGGACTGAAGGATCCAGACAATGGGGTCTATTAAAAACAAAAAGACCAGACCAGCAATTTAAGCTTGAATGGGAAGGGGACCGCCCAGTAATCGGAGGTTCTGGCGAAGACGGATACGTTAAAGGAAGACTCGTCCTAAAACTAGCTGAAGTCTATAGAAATATCAAAGAGCATATTAACAGCTCTCATGAGACTTTAGAAGAACTAGCAGCTGAAGCCCCATCTCTAGCCCCAGAGGTCAATAAAGCCACTCAACAACTAAATTCTTGGACTGACCCAGACTTCGACGACCCAGACTCCATTATGCAGAAAATCAATGACTTCAATAAATTTGACTCACAATTAGAAGACTTAAAACTAAAAGCCCATGAAATTGCAGCTAGTGAAAGAATAGAGCTTAAACATTTAGAAGAAATTTATAGTAACTGCGACAGCTCTGCAAACTCTTTGCTTCCTCTAATAAAACCTGAAAAGGCAGCACCATTTTATCATGAAAGAGAAGATATCCTAAGGAGCAAAAAAAGTGCGAAAACTGCAAAAGACTTGTATAGGATCGTTCATAAGTATCAGGGATTTTCGAATTATTTGATTACGCTGATTGGAGCTAGTTCAAATGAAGATGAAGATGAGTCTTTGGAAGAAACTATGAAAATTAATATTAGTTTTACAAGTAATTGGGTAATTTATTACAATATTTAGTGCTATTTTATAGGAAAATTAGATAGTGATAATTATTTATAAACAGAAAGATTGATCTTTATGATATAAAAAACTAGAAAACGTGCTAAAAGAGTTTTCTGAAGTCCTGAAAAGCTCAAGCACAACTTTATCACAAATTGAATCAAACTTCAAGCCTAACGACGAAGTAGCCCAACATATAATTGCAAGCCAGAATGTCAGACTCCACGAAATAAGCCATGGAATTGAGACAGGACAGCGGTACAACATCATTTTAGACCAAGTCCAAAAACTCCTCAAAGACCAAGAAAACTTCAAAAGGGAACTTATGAGTGAAGAAATTCCAAGCCAGCTCATTGAAATCCACAAGCTTCAAGAATTCGTCAGCAAAGAGCTCGCTAAAGCTTTAGATCATCCTGAACTAGAATCTCTTAAAAAAGTCAATGAAGAAGAGCTTATCCCCAGAATTTTTCCATTGGTAAATCACAATAAAAGACAAGCCAATTTAATTAGAGCACTCTCTATGAGACTGTTCGGAATTGATGAAGCCCCAGAAGATATCACTGAAGACACTGAAGAAATATATAAATCTATTAAAAAAAGAAAGCCAGGAGAAGCCATTTTGCCGATCGACACAATTGCTTTGCTTAAATTTATCAGATTTAATGGGCAAGAAGAACAGAAAATCAAGGCACAAGCAATTGAGCATCTAAAAGAGGTCCTGGAAACTGACGAAGAAAAAGAATTTGCCCAATCTTTGGTGGACAGAGGAAATGAGTCAATTTCTGGGCAAACCCCTGATAATGCAACAGACGCACTGACTGAAATTAAAGGAGTTTTGGAAGAATATCTGCAAGCTTCATCTGACCAAATTACATTTATTGAAGACATCCTTGGAAAAACCATAGAAAAAGATGAAGGAAAATCAAAGAAACCTGGAAAAGGCAGACAAGTTAAAGTGAGGTCGAAGAAAGGAGGAAACGACATCGACATCACCGAAAAAGCTACCAAAGCTCTCAATGACTCTTATGATACCATAGTTGGCTATTCTTACATAATCCACGGAAATCGCCCACATATCCAAGAAAAATTAGACCAGCTAGCTCACTACAAGCAATTAGTATCAGATAAGCTAAATGAAGAAAGAACAACAGCAGACACCGTCGAAGACATTTTTGGCCTCCTCGGTGAGTACGAAAAAGAAAAAAGAGACATCATAACGAGTTCTGACCTCTTCAAAAACCTATTTGAAATTTTGGATAAAACTGATAAACTGATCCAGCATGATGCAAAAATATTTAATTCGCCAATCCCAAGTGAAGTTGATGAAATTAAGGCGAGAAAGCAAGCAGAAGATTTGAATGATTTGGTTAAAAGGATCAAATATTTCATAAATGTGGTGTTAAGAATGACTGGGATTTCTGAGGAGTCAGAAAACTATGAAGAAGTTATGGATAAGCTGAAGAAACAGCATACAGCTTCATTACCATTTAAACCTGAGGATTTGCTTCATTCTCTTACTTTGTCTGGCTAGCAAGAAAAATGTTTTTTACTTGCTAAAAGAATAGGCTATTTTTTTAAAAAAATTATTTTTCGGTATTTGTGAATATTTGTGATATAAAATTTACGCTTTAGGATGTAAGTTACCTATAAGTTAATAGAATCAGATGGAGATTTCATTATAATTATTGATTATATGCAAAATAAGGACTTTTCTAATGGTTTGCTCACTTGCCAGGAAGTTAGAACTAAAAAAGATAAGGATTTAGAAGTATTAAAATTCTTAGGCTTATTAGTAGGCAGCGATGAAGTACTTGGTGAATGCCAAGCGTTAATAAAAGAAGCTAGAGACTCGATTAACGACCATGAGCCTGAAACTTCTGAACAAGCCTTAGAGTTTATTGAAGAACATTTGTCAACCTACCCATCATTAGAATCTTCTGTAAACACCAATTTTGCCATCATCGCATCCTAGTAACGACAGGATGAACTTAAAATTTTTGCCAGAAAACAAAAAAACGTAGAAGGCCACGGGGTCGCAGATGGTAGAATTACAGGTGGGGTGCGGTCTGGGCTAACTGGGCCTCCTCTCGACCCACAGACATTAGACCGGCGGTACAACACCAATCGAGCACTTCTGGAGGAACATTATCGTGCCTGCAAATGACAGAGGTAGTTCCAGAAGGAGGCATCAGATGGCTTCCTCATACCCTGAGCACTATTAGGGGTTAAGAAAGTCCTTTGCTGAAGCTTTTCGGTCCCCGAAAGATATCGACGCCATCATTTTTGGTGGTGTAGACAGAAAAGGGCGTTAGGTGGTTTTATTACTTACTCCGCACGAACGTGAAGCTGAAGCTGAACTAATTCAGGGTCTGAAATAAACCCCGCTTTAACCCTTTTTAACTTAATCTCTCTCTGTAAACACCAAAACCAAGCAACTTCTTGATGCTTTGCTGAAAAGATTAACAAATTCTGACCCTAATGAAAAAGATTTCGAAATGCTGCAAAATACCATTGAAGTCCTGAATTTAACCTCCAAAAAATTGTTGAAGTCAGGAAACGAAGAAAGCGACAGATTGGAGTCTAAAAAAGAACAGACCCCAACTGAGCCTTCAGAGGTCATTCCTTATTTAATTAGCTTAATTTCAGATTGGGCCAAATTAAACCTAAAATTAGTAGCTGAAAAGACTGGAAACAAAGTCACAGAAGAGGAGCACAATGAAATTAAAAAATCAATTGCAAAGCTTATGAGGGCAAACCCACTGGCGAAAATCAGAGAAATCCAGCCATTCTTCGCCGCGCCTGACACAAATGATATGGTAAGCATGATCGTTTTATTAGATAAAGCAATCGAAATTTTACCATCAACTTCACGTGAAAGCAACAAAAAAGCATACAAGCAATGCAAAAAAGCCTATAAAGAGCTCCAAACCCTTCAGCCCCATGAAGTAGGAGAACTTGGCAATAAATATTCAACGTTACTAATCCAATTATTAGAAGAGTACCTCAGCAAGCCAATAGGAGAATTTCTGAAAGAAATTGAAAAAGAGAAAATAGCTATATTAGAAGAGCGAAAAAATGGCAAACCAATATCAACTCATGGGTGGGATGAAATATTGAAGGGCTCTGGGATTGATATAGACGTTGACAGCATGTCTTCTCTAATAGATAAAGAACAAATGACAGCTCTACCTTTAATAAGCAACATCGTAAAATACTTCGGCACAGAAGAGAGCAAAATAGTAGAAGAAAAACTGAAAAAAGCATCAGAGGACGTTTTAAATGAAGAAGACAAGAGCAAAATAGAAAAATACATCAGTCTCAGACTGGAGCAGACCAAATTTTTGTCAGGCTTAAATAAAAATATTGGAACCATTGGAGAAAGATTAAGAGAGATGGACGCTGAAAAATCAAGAACTGTCAAAGCGGCAATATCAGAAACCTTGATACTAATTGGAAGCAGTGATCAAAGCTTGCTTGACAGAGTTAACGCCTTACAAGAAACAGAAGCGTCTTGTTCTGAAGAAGAGTCTACTAACTTGGGCAATCTCGTCATCAGATACGTAAAGCGAAACACTATAGAAAAAGAGCTGCAAAAAATTAGAGAACAATGCAAGCCTCAAGACAACTCAGAAGCGGAAATGATTGAAAAACTCAGAGAAATTGAGACACGTGAATATAAAGCCTTGAAGACTTCTTATTCGACATTGCAGAATATGGTAACCCACCTGAACCCTGCAGCTATTAATGACTTATCGTCTATAAAATCTCTGACTGACCTTTCTGACATAGCTTCTACTATTCCTTCACTGATCAGCTCTATTATGATAGGTATAGAAAACTCTGAAACTATTGAGCAGCGTAAACAAGAACTGTTATCCCAAGGCCCACTTAAAGCAAAGCTTGAAATCCTGCTGAAACTTCTAGTAGAGTGTTCAAATAGTGATAACTCAGAAACTGATAATGTCTTTTCTGGGCTGTTTAGACTATGCGGCTCATCTGAAGATAAAGCCAAATTCAAAGAACTCAAAGAAAGCAAGTCCCTCCAGCTGCTAGATCCACAAACCTTGTGGGAATTGATTGACACCATTGATATTTCTCTAAACAAATCTCTGCCAAAAAGACTAGAGCAAAGCAATTTGCAGAATAAATTAGTAAAAAGTGCTGGAAGCTTAAGAGATTCTGCTGATGAAATTGATATTCAGACTGAAGATCTAGTAAAAAAAGCTATCAGAGAAATCGCAAACACAATAAGTGCTGACGACACCAGGACAAGAGAAAATTTCAATAAGCTGAAAAAAACTTTTGATGATATTGAAGCAATTTCTCCTGTCAATATCCCTGAAGTAAACGATAAAACAGTTAAAAGGCTTGAGCAATGGGAAAAATTAGAAAGATTGAGAAGAGAAATAAGGGAAAGGATGACCAAAGATATCAACAAGCTTAAAGGAGACATACAAGAAAAACTCAACGAAATAGAGTCAGCAAGAGCAGTCAGTGAGGCCAAAAAAATCCAATATGAAGCCCAACTTCATTTCCTACAGACTTCTGCAGACCAGAATGCTCAATTAGTAGAGAAACTGACACAGGAATCCTCTGAAAAAGAAAAAGTGATTTTTCTAACTCCCCACCCTCCGTGATCGAACAAAAATTATTTTATATATAAATGATAATTAGTATCACGAAATCTATAGCTATTCTATTTGATTTTAAACAAATTGCGTTTTAAAAACATAAATTTTACAAATTAAATTAATATTTGCTTTTCAATTTTTGCGAATTAGGATTTTATAAATTTTTTGAAAAAAAAAATTTCTATAAAATTTCTATATAAATTTTTTTAAAAACAAAAAATTAACCCCTCCGTGATAAAACAAAATGTTTTATTTGCTCACGGAGGGGGGACTGAGCACAAAATCAAAATTGCAGAGCTAGAAGCGAAATTAGAAGAAATTAATGAAGATTTCAGGAAAAGCGAAGAAGAGCTGGAAGACAGCAATAAAGAACTGCGGAATATAAGGAAAGCTAATAAAGAAAAAGACAATCAAATCAGAGAGCTGCAGGGCTCACTTGACGGATATGAGAGGAGTTCTCGTCAAAGCTTCCAAGGCGACAAAGAAAAAGCTGAGCTATTAGATACATTAAAAGCCCAATTAAGCGCAGCCAGAGATGAGCTAGCCAGCAGAGCCAAGCAATGTGACGAACTAGATGACAGCCTAAAATCCACCCAGCGAGAAGTACAAAAAGCCTTAAATGAAAAAGCTGAGCTAGAAAAAACAATTGGAGAAATGAGAGGAGAAATTAACGAGATGAAGCTAAATATCCTCAAATTAGAAACCACAAAGAACGAGCTCGAAGAAAAGGTCAAGCTTGGAAATGTGGCCAATCCAGAAGAAATCGCTCATCTTGAAAGGTATTTAGAAGACAAAGACAAAGCATTATCAGAGCTAGAAGAACAGCTAGAATATGCGAAAAAATATCAGCAGCTTTATTTATTAATTAAAGATGAAAAAGATGAGCTCGACAGTAAGACGAGGACCCAGGAGATTGATATTGAAGATTTACAAAGAAAAATCAAAGAGCTGACTGCTGAAAATGAACAATTAAAATACAAGACCAGGCAGCTTGACAAATTAACTAAAGAAGTCGCTGCATACCAAAAAGAGACCCAGAAGCTGCAAAATAAGATTAATTATTTAGAAGAGTTCAGCGGGGAAAGCTCAGGCGATATCCAAGAAGCCATCAATAAAATGACTGCAGAAGTAAGCAGCAGAGATGCTCAAATTTTAGATTTGACTAATGAAATTGAAGAGCTTAAAGCAAAATATGATGATTTAGAAAAAAGGCACCAGCTAGCTATGAATAGAAACTTCTTAATCCGCCTCTGCAACTCCTTCAAAAACAAGCAAAACCAATATTTCAAGAAATGGCAGCACAAGCTAAAAGAACCTAAATCAGAAGGTGTTGACGAAATTACCTTTAAAGAAGTCACTGTCGTAATGGATGAAGATTTACCTGAGTCTGAAAAAGCTGTCTTTGAAGACGCCAATAAAGAAATTGCAAACGAAGACCGCAAACTGATAGAAAATAACATCATTATAGAGTCTTTACGTAGCTGTGGGTTTGGCAATGAAAAGCCTATGAGTTATCTTAACTTGTTTAAGTTCCTTGAAGAACTCATGGACAAGAAATTCGAAACTGACAAAAAAGATCTTGCAGAGCGCAGACAGCCTCGCACTATGACGGAATTTTTAATGGAGCATTTAAATAGGTCATTCGGGATTCAAAAACTTGCACTAAAACAATTAGCAAGCTTAATCCCAGCGCTGAAGCAGCTTTTCGACGAAGGGCACAAATATGCTGAATTTTATTGCAGACTGTTCCAGATTTTCCACCCTGAGCCGGCTAATTATAACCTTTCTATTTATTTGGCAAAAGCAAGAGTAAGTTTCCAGCCACTTACTGATAAATTAGATAAAACAAGGGCTTTACAAAATAAAGGAAAAACTGCAACAGCAGGAAAGACTCATGGGCGCGCTGCTTATGATGCTGCAGGAAGTGGAGGGTTCGCGTTATTAAATGATGTGATTGAGTTGTTATATTCAATGTTTTCTTTTGATAGAGAAAGCGGGACACTTGCATTAGAATTAATTAAGCCTGAGTCAGTCAGTGATGAAGATTTTGTAGCTTATAAGATTTGCCATAAGATGGCTAAGCTAGGTAAGACCCCTGAGGCGATATTTAATATACAATTTCTCTTTAGGTGTTAAAATTGTTATATGAAAACCCACAAAGGCTAGTTTTATCAAAAATGGGTTATGCTTGATAAAGATGCTGGCGGTACCATCGACGTAAACGAATTTATCACAGGAACAAGAGACGACCTCGACTTATGGATCACTGATAAAGTAGTTGGAAAATTCATGGCTAGCTTAGCTGGCAATGAAAACGGCGAAATTTCTAAAGAAACTTTCATGAAAAAAATCAACATGAAAAATCTTATGGAATGGAATAGAAGTGACGACTGGGTCGTCACAAAGGCTTCCTTTTTAAATGCCCTTGTAGACGTATTTAAAGCGAAGCAAAGAAAAGATACCACTTTCTTGTACTCAGAATTTGAGCAGTTTAGCAGCCAAACTATTAATAAAGACCAGTTTTCAGAGCAACTGTTGAAATATGATAAGCTGTTAACTATGGAGAGACTTAATGACTTGTATGAAGAAGCCAAAAGTGGCTCTGATGATGTATCTTAATTAATTTATAGAACGTTTAACGTCCACTACAAGGTTGCTCAACCAAGTTACCCCCAAAACCGCTCTAGGGCGAATTTTGCGCCATTTCTCTCAGGGCCACCTCGGATGCCGATCTTGAAGTTTAGGATTTGACGTGCTCTAATGATGTATCAGTCCATGGGTTTGTGAAAGTTATAATGAAATATGGGATTGGCGGCTATGGACTTGGAGCTTTTATGATTCGAGAACTTTTAGAGACGCTTTCTTCAAGAGCTTTTTATGTAGACGCGAATTTAGATGAGAAGAGAACGACTGAAGCTAAAAGAAAAGAAACTAGAAAAAGCTCTAAAAAACCTTAATTAATCTAAATTAATTGGTAATGGTGAATTAATTTTAATTAAATATACTCAGCTCTGTATCATTAAATGCTAAATCTTGTGTATTTATTGTAATTGATCTGGAATTTTTTGATAGCTCTATTGCGGTTTCTGAAGAAAATTTGGCATGCGTTGAGGAAATTGGGTTTCCATAAATAGCAAAAGATTTATTTTGGATCCAATTTTGGCTTAATAAAAGCTCGTATAATGAGAAATGGCAATGGATCATTATATACAGAGGAAAATTGTTCCTTTATTTTTAATAAGAAAATGGAAGGATTATGTATAAAAATAAGGGTGGAAGTTAAAAATAACCGGCTAATGGGGATTACTTAAATTACAGTAAAAGGTAGTTTTTAGTGAACAATGACAGAGGAATTCTGTAAACTAAGCGAAGCGGTATCTTTGTAAACTATCAAGGCAGAAACTCAAAAATTTAATTCTATATTGAATTTTTAACGGTAATTTTTTAAAAAAAACCCGGAAAAATCTAAATTATCGAAAGAGGATGTTTGCTAAATTAAGTCAGAACAGCCTTTTAAAAGAAACATGAGCAAAGTTTTTTTTCCAAATTCTAGAGAAGATAATTTAAATAAATTATGGATGTGGAACCTGCAATTTTTAATAAAAGCTTACTTAGTTATTTACTTAAATTCCAGATAGAGTAGTTATCCGAATTACGTTGAGCTGCATTTTATGAATTTTACTATATTTATGCCTTTTTTGTGAGATAATTTTAAAATATATAAATAACCTCTATATATATTGACTGCTAATTAAATATTTGTAAAATGTAAACATATAAATAAGATAAATTAAACATGAGTTTTGCGTGAATTTATCACAACTACTATACACTTTGACGACATTCAAAATATCAAAAATCTTAAATAAATTACTTAAGGAGGACTTAATTAACTTTCGTTGCTAGGATCTTTTCGAATTATTGGTAAAAACCCACTATATAAATCCTGACTAGGAGAGACGTAAAACAAAATTATTTTTATAATAATTTTACTATATTTCAAAAGGAATAATCTGATTAACTCTTATAAATAGCCAAACTAACTAAAATTATCCACTTTTAAGTCTTACATAAAGGCTTTCTTAACGTTTTGTTCCACTGTGCAATAAGAGCTACTGGAAGTAAATAGCATAGTTTTCAAGATCCTCTTCATTATTGTACCAAAACCTTTTTTAAATATCATAAAAAAATTTTAAAAATAATTTTTTTACATCTCTCCTAGTCAGCATTTTTAGTGGATTTTTACCAATAATTCTTAAAGGACCTAAGAAGCAAATTTAATTAAGTCCTCTTTAAGTAAAATTATTATAAAAATAATTTTTTTACGTCTCTCCTAGTCAGGATTTATAGTGGGTTTTTACCAATAATTCGAAAAGAACCTAGCAACGAAAGTTAATTAAGTCTTCCTTACTCCCCCCCCCCCTCCGTGAGCGAACAAAACCATTAGAAAAATCCCTATTTTTTTGTCAAAAACCCACCCTCCGTGAGCGAACAAAAAATTTTTTTTACATATAATTTTATATATAGTTTATTATATCTATATTTAATACAAATAAAGAGGATAATATTGAAAAATAATTATTAAGTTTGTTTGATATATTATTCAAAGGGTTAAAAAAAAGAATACCATAAGTGAAAAGGTTGAATTTAACAATTTTAAATTTAAGACAAAAAAATGAATAGAAGAAATCGATTAGATAATTAACTTCTTCATATTAACTTGATGGCTGAAAATCTTTGGATGATTAACGCCATAAGAACCCGTCAACTCAAATGATTTTCTGACAAGTTGAGGGCTTACAGCATCTCACGCCTTTGAAGCAATGTTTATCAGTTGCTGGCGATCAAGAGCTTTGAGGTTTCCAGTTCTTTTCGATCTTCTTTCAATCTGCTCTGTTTGGAATTTGATTCTGAAATCTGTTGTTTTTGATTTGAAATTTGCAATTACCAGTGCGTCAAGTGGTTGCAAATACTTTGTGCACCCTCCAGGGATCACAATTTTGGTTGCATCTAAATCTGAAATTGCATTAGAAATCATGATAGTTTTTATGACTTCCAGCCTGATCATAAATCAGCAGTTGGTTTTCTCGTCTCAATATTGTTCTGAGGTAGTCATTAAGAATCTGGTCAGAAATGTAGCCAGATTTATTTGATTTTATGATGACATTTTCTGGAATATTCAGTCTTTCTCTTACAAGGTTCGGGATCTGGCCATTTTTCTCTTGAAAAATGAGCAAAGCAGGGCATTTTTTTCTCCATCAGCTCTAATCATAAGCATAACAGTGATAAAATGGGTCATTTTAGCTGATTGAACGCCTAGAATTCGTTGAGTTCCCTTGAAATCATAAGTGAACTTGCTTTTTACATCTCAATCAAATCTCGTTTCATCGAAATTGTAAATGTTAGATGGAACGAATTGAGGAAGCAATGACGCTAAATCATCTAGGTATTGCCTGACAAGTTCTGCCTCTTTTTCGATTGGCTTAATGCTTGAGGCATTGATTTTTCTGAAAGATAAATTATTTCTGGTCCTAAATCCTTGCCACCATTTATCTCCACAGCCGAATCGCGCCCAATCCCATTTCTGCCGCCAAACTTTTTGCTTTCTCCTCAATCGTTGATCTGAGAACCTGAATACCTTGCTCACGGATTGCAGTAAACCAATGAACTAGTTCTTTCTCTAGCTCTGGAAATTGAGTGAAGCTTTCTAATTTTAATTTTTTATCAGATTTTACTGATTTCTTCAACTCATCAAGCTTATTCACCCATTCGGAAATCGAGCTAAAGGAGTTGACATGAAACTTTGCAGCAACATCTCTCATGCTCATCTCATTTTGGTGTTGAATGTAAAATTCAGCAATTTTCAACTTTCTGCCAAATTTCAATGTACTTTCTTTTCCCTTTGTACATTTTTATTATGATTTATAGAGAATTTGCTTATTATATTAAATAAGAAAATATATAAAATATTTTAACTGAATGCATATATTTATTACTAATAGGTTTATTGATTATTAAATTATTGAAAAATTAAGCTGTGTTTTACCTTTAATCAAATGGTATTCTTTTTTTTTTGGGAAATTCCCTTACTCTCCCCCCTAATATTTTTAAAATAATTTTCAACTTATAAAAAAATATTATTTTACAATTAAAAATTTATATATAATTTTTTTTAAAAAATAAAAATTAACCCCCCTCCGTGAGCGAACAAAAATTTTTTGTTCGCTCACGGAGGGGGGGGGGGAGTTAAGTATAAATATAGTAAAATTCATAAAATGCAGCTCAACGTAATTCGGATAACTACTCTATCTGGAATTTAAGTAAATAACTAAGTAAGCTTTTATTAAAAATTGCAGGTTCCACATCCATAATTTATTTAAATTATCTTCTCTAGAATTTGGAAAAAAACTTTGCTCATGTTTCTTTTAAAAGGCTGTTCTGACTTAATTTAGCAAACATCCTCTTTCGATAATTTAGATTTTTCCGGTTTTTTTTTTAAAAAATTACCGTTAAATTCAATATAGAATTAAATTTTTTGAGTTTCTGCCTTGATAGTTTGCAAAGATACCGCTTCGCTTAGTTTACAGAATTCCTCTGTCATTGTTCACTAAAAACTACCTTTTACTGTAATTTAAGTAATCCCCGCTAGCCAAAATAACCCCTAATAGGTGCTGTAGCTCATACCCCTATAGAGATTTCTTTATCGACTAAATTTATGGACGGTTAAGCGACCAAGGCAGACTCTCTCAAAGGCACGAGCTGGATCTCTATACCAGGAAGTGCTAAAAGTGACATGTAAAAAAATGCTTGACAAGTGTGAAAAAGTTGACAAGCAAACGCACCAATTTGTAAAATGGGTTTATTATTAAATTAACTTTAAATTAAGATACTTTTTAGACAGAGATTGATTAATATCTTGATTGCTTTTTTCTCTTTTCTGGAAAAAGTAAATTAAAGCTAAATTAAGTAGATTTTTAAATAAATAATGCCAATTGTTATCGTCGATTGATCTATAAAGCCAAAGTTTGTATTGAATACTTGCTGCTCATTATAAAATTCTTATTGGCTTATAATAATGTTTTATATTTATCATATCAATTCTAAAAGAATATTTTAAATTTAAAATTTATTTAATAATAAAGCCATTTTAAAAATTAGCACACTTTCTTGTCATTTTTCACAATTGTAAACCATTTTTTTGGCATGCCCCTTTTTAGCACTTCCTGTATAGAGATGCAGCTCTTCCCTTTGAGAGAGTCTGCCTTGGCCGTTCAACCGCCCATTCATTTTATTGATAAAGAAATCTATAGGTGTATGAACTATATTATAAATCCTAGTTTTGCTTCCAGATATGCCGAGCAGCTATAAGAATGGCAAACCTGAGCTAAAAGTATGCCCAGACTATTTTAAAATAAGTTATGTTCCTTTCTCTAATAAACTCACCTTCATTAACTTTTACTCCTAGAGAATTCAGATATAAAATCTCATCATCGCTATAGGCAGGATCATATAACTCTGACTCGCCATTCCCAATTTCTTGGCTTAAGGCTTCAAATAGAGCTTGCTGTGTACAAGGATATAAGGATGAAGAAAAATTTCCAAGCCCAATTCCTATAATTTGGACTTTATGACTATTCAATGCATATGAAAATTGCTGTATAAAATCACTTCTAAGCATAGATGATTTAGCAGTTGCGATTCTATCAATAAATGAGCTTAAAAATATTTTTGGAGGGTTGCAAGCAGTTTTTACTTTGTGACTTTTTAGCTTTTTTCTATTTCCTTTAGTTATGACTTCCCAATCTCCCATTTATATAATTTTACAGTCTTAGTTCATAATAACATAATAGAACCTATTTTTAGTTATTAGATTAAATTTTTATAGTGCATCTCTTTATGTTTTTATTATTCCTATAGTTAGAAATCATTCACAATAAAATTTATTTTATCTCTTATATAATTAGCTTTATATAAAAGGTAATATTATAATCTAAAGCACTTTAAGCCTAAATAATATATCTGAGAAAAATCAAAGAATATGCCATATTTATACATCTATAAATATCTTATAAGTGTTAAATATTTCAGTAATTAATCTTAGTCTTTAGAAAATTAAAATTATTCTATAGAATTTATCATTAAAAATTGTTTTACTTATGAATCCCAATAATATTCCTATTATTTTATATATTTTTTATAAATAAAATGTTTGAAGGGTTGATTGAAAAAATTCTCCTTGCCAAACTTGGAAAATTCATAGAAGGTTTAAGCAAAGATAGCTTAAAAGTTGGGATTTTAAGCGGCGACATCACTCTAGAAAATGTTTTCTTAAAACCTGATGCCCTTCTGATGATGCAAATCCCTATCATCATCCGATACGGCTGCATCAAAAAGCTTGCAGTCAAAATTCCATGATCAAAATTATCAGAATCTCCAGTCGAGCTAGTTCTTGAAGGTCTTTATATTGTTGTAATTCCTCAAGAGAAAAGTGAATGGGATTATAGTGAGCAAGGAGAAATCATTAAAAGGAAAGAATTTATGCATTTTCCCTTAAATTGCCTTCTATATCTATATATTATTTGCTAGCTCCCCACTGTAAGGGGGCAAATGATAAGAAAAAAGCCTTATATTTTGGGACAAAAAACCTCTATGAACCTGTAAATTTTTTTAATACAAAAGTTTTATAGAAAAAATATACAATGGCAATTATTATAATAAAATCTCGGGCTAATTATATTAGATTTAACATCTTGTGTCCTAAAACATAAAATTATTTATTCTTTACAGTTTTTGCGAATTGAAAAAAAATTAAAAAAATAATCTCGCTGTGAGAGATCAAATTTTCATAGAGCAGGAATAAACAAATAAACCCTAAATTTATCAATGGACAACTCAAAGGAAAAAACTATATAGAAGCATGCGAAACCAAAAGAAAACAAATTCAAGAACAAAAACAGCTATCAGCAGAAGACGAAGTAAAACAAAAATCGTTTATTGAAAAATTGACATTGAGAATTGTAGATAACCTTAAATTGACTATAAAAGATATCAATGTGAGGTTTGAGTATATGATAGAAGACAGATGTTTTTCTGCTGGGATTACATTGAATAGGATCGAAAGTTTTACAACAGATGCTAATTGGACTGCATTTTTTACAGATAGATTTCAAGCAGGCCAAGACAGCGGAATTATAAACAAGCTGGTAAACATCGTGAATTTCTCGATTTATTGGAATAGTGAAGATTCAAATTTATTAAACTTTTTGAGCTCAAAAGAAGAAATACAAAAATGCTTGAAGCTGCAAATTGATAAATAAATTCAAAAAGACTAATCTTTCTATATAAATTAATACTCCTATTTCTCTATAGAATATTTTTATATTAATAATAAATTAAAAATAAAAATTATTAAAAAGGCATAATTGTGAAAGCAATCAAAATATTATCTCTCCTAGTAATTTATAATTAGTCACCGCACAGGTAAAAATCACCCATTACAACTTATGGTCAGGATTTGAAAATCCTCAATACAAAATCTTACTTATTTTCCCTGACGTAAAATTTGTTTACAAGCAAAACCAATTCCACGATTGTGTCAAATTATTTGAATACTTCGCTGATTTCAACCAATTCATACTAAAAATGTAATTTCTATGAAGCGAACATAAGAAAAAATTCAAAGCTTGAAGCCCTGACATAAAAAATGCTAGAAATCTCTGACAATTTGCTATCAACTGCGTTTTAAAATCAGTCAAACAAAAGAAAAACAGGGCAATTGATATGTTCAAGCTCACAAAATCAAAAAAAGATTACTATCAAGAACAGTTTAAAATGCTCAGCCGTGAATTGCGCCAAAAAGGCTCGTTATCTAAAGAAAAAGAAGATCTCTATAATAAAATTATTTTCATATCAGAATATGACGATCTTTCTGAATGAACCAATCATGTTATAGCTGTTGTCGAGCATGAAGAAGAAGCCAAAAAAAATAAAAAAACCAGTTGGTTCAGCGTATTTGGGAAAAATAAAGACAAAGCTAAAGGAAATGAAGAAGAAAAATATGAAGAAATTTTTAAAAATGTAAACAGCTCAGCTTCACTTCAAGATAATATTCCTCCAAGCTATGTATGGATGAAGCTTGATTTTGAGCTTCATCAGAGCTCTATTGAGATTTCTAAAAAAAATGTAAAAGGGGAAAACGAGAAAATTGTATTTGTGTGCCAAAATTTGTATTATCATTTGGACATGAGAAGAGATGGAGGGGATATGAGCTTGAATATTCATGATCTTTATTTGGCTTCAATAGATGAAAATGAAGAAATTATTATTTGTAAACATTGCAGGGCATTAATTATAGTATTTAAGGTGTGCCACACTCATTATAAAGATGAGCATTTCTGATCCAAAAGGTCAGAATATCCCAAATGAACCAGCTGCCATCCTGACTAGCATTTCTCACCTGCCGCGATGCTTTCGCCCTTGCCTGACTTAACTCCTGTGTGTGTTCCGCTTAAGGATTACCCATCTCAGATGTGCTGAGAGATAAAAATCTGAGCCTCTTGGTTCACTGTGTGAGCATTTCCTCTGGTTATCCCAAAGTTAAACCACTGTTGCTGTGCAGAAGTTCTCATGAGAAAATCCCATAAATAAAATTCCATGAGAGATAGAAAATTAGCAGAGCTAATTTCTCTCGAGCCAATGCCTATTTATTATTATCTGTAAACAGTTGAGCCAAAGTGAAACACCGTTTATAAGAGCTGCGATAAATCTAAAGCCACTTGATTTAGATGTAGCATGTCTTTTAATTGTGATTTTCCTCATTGGGTAAATTTTTTTTCATTAAAAGTTGCTTTTTCTACCAAAGGCCAGACGAAGAAAAACCTTCCTAAGAAATTCCTGCAGAGGGAAATTCCTGAGGAAAAGTAAAGCAATCTATTTAGACTGTGCTGCATATTTTGCATTCAGGTCGCAGCCATTTGAAGTTATTTATAACTCAAAAGCATTGTCCAGGATTTTATCGTTTTTTGTAGTCCCAAGCTCTCACCAAGCTGCTAAAGTCATCGCAGGGGATATTCTTCAATCAATTGCAGACACAAGTCAAGAAACAATTACCGATCTCCTGTATGGTGAATCAAAATATATAGTCAATATTTCTGCTTGCGGGCCTAAATTGAAATTTCCCTCTAAAAACAAGGTTCTAATCATAAGTTTAGGAGATTTAGACATTTGCACAGAGGATAGTTCACAAGATGATTATTATAGTAGATATCAATGCTCACTAAAATCAATTGAAATGGTAGCTTGCTCAAAAAGAGTAACTACAGAAATCGTCTCAAAATTCGACATTTATACATCAATTGATTTTTTAAAGTCAAAATACCAAAAGCGTAAAAAATACGGGCTTTTTGAACAAAATGTGACGAGTGTTAAAACAAAAATTCAGCTGCCACTGCTGAATATTACGGTTTCTCCTGCTATTTATGAGCAGCTTTTAGAAGTAGAAAAATCAATAAAACTTGAAGATGAGGCTGCCTTATGCATTTCAACTGATAAGGCAGAAATTCTTATCCCTTTTATTCCTAATAGAAATAAAATGGTAACGATGACGGAAAGTGGACTCCGAGGGGCGCTCCTTATGGAGGAGGTAGGACCCATCCTGGAAGTAGGGCCTCTGTCCCGGTGGAAGTAGGCCTTCGGGCTTAGTGATGCCTTGCCGAAAATGGAAGTTTTATTTCTCCCCCGACGGTTTTTCCCTGTCCTGCCAGATGGGCTAGACAGGTTTTGCATACCACATGGTCTTTACTCATCGAAATCATCGGGGTGCTATCTAGGAGCGGCTCTGTCCAGGGCGAGCTAATCCCCTGGGCAGGTGGCTCAGGTCGGAAATCCAAAATGGCGTCCTCAGATGCCATTTTAGAGCCGAGACGAGGCTGATGGTCAGCGCCTGCTGGAGCGCTTATGGCCGGATACATAATAACTTAACTTAATTTTTATTTCTAATGAGCATTTTTTATTATAGCAATCTAAATATTGCATATTTAAAATAAATTGATATAAAAATTCTTTATTATCATCGCCCTTACAAAAACTTGGAACCATTACATTACATTATTACTCTGGTATTTAAGGTGTCTAGTGCCCGCACCCCTATAAAAAGGGCTATAGCTAAACTAGTGACGTCACCGAGCCATCTTGGATTAACGATGGTCAGCCCATCGCCCAAGCCTTCTATCAAAGCTTCGCCGCCAGTCTTCGCCGCACGTCTCACCCGGCGCGTTCCGATGCCTTGTCTTACTCAGCTCCTGCGCGTGTTCCGCCTAAGGGTCATCTTCCCGTGGAGATGTGCTGAGAGGTGAAAACCCTGAGCCTCTTGAGTGCACTGACTCCCCCCCCCCCCTCCGTGAGTGAACAAAACCATTAGAAAAATCGCCATTTTTTGCCCAAAAACCCACCCTCCGTGAGTGAACAAAAATTTTTTTAATAGAAAAATTTTTATGGAAAAAAAATTTGATATATTAATGATAATTAGTATAATGAAATCTAAAACTAATTCTGTTTATAAAATTTATATATAAATTTTTTTAAAAAAAAAAAAATTAACCCCCCTCCGTGAGTGAACAAAATTTTTTTGTTCACTCACGGAGGGGGGGGGAGTGAGGAGCAGCCCCTCTGGTTATCCCCAGAGTTAAACTGCTATTGCTGTGCAGAAGTTCTCGTGGTAAAACCTAACCCCATATATAAAATTGCTTGAGGGAGAGAAAATTGGCAAAGCCAATTTCTCTCGGACCGAATGCCATTTTTATTTATAAAACTTGGAACCAATATGCAGTTATGATATAATTATCATGCTGTTTTATCAGAAAGCTATATTTATTTCTTTAAAGACGAAAGTGATGAAATCGCTGATACAAGCTACTACATCAAAGATTGCAACCTGATTTTGCAAGAAATCAATAAAATAAAGCTTGAAAATCGCTATGGTGAGTGTATTTTATGCTTCTCATCCCCAGATCTCTATGAAATTTGGTTAAAAACTTTAAATAAACAAATATCTGACCTTTCCTCCACAAAAAGTGCAGCTGTATCATTAGAAAGAGCTAGGCCAGGAAACCATCTTGCCAATATAGTATTTTTTGCCAACGAAATTAGCTGCAAGCTGCTTGATGAAGAAGATTATTTATTGTGCGAATTTAAATTGAGCGAAATTATCAATGAGTTTAATATAAGGCCATATGACGTCAAAATTTTGTCTAAACTTCAGCATTTTGAAATGATAGGGTTTAAACAAAACCATTCTGAAGAAGTCGAGACTTTAGCAAAAAGTTCTGATGAAAATGAACTGATAGGAATTGAAATTTTAGTAGCAAATAGCCAATCGCCATATTTTAAAGGAGAAGATATAAGCTTAACCATAAGATTTGGGAGCCTGAATGTGATTTTTAACCCAGATTTAATAAGAAAAATTTTTTGGTTTTTTACACTGACGCCAAAAAATGAAGTCAAAAAATCATCTAAAACTGCATCGATAAACCCTGACCATATCTTGTGCCATACCATAATTTTTATAAATTCAATATCAGCCACTCTTATTACAAATGAAACCCCATTCCCACTCGCTTTATCAAATGTCCAAGATCTCTATTTAGAAATTTTCATAAAAAATGGCTCAGTCTCTGTGATAGGTAGTTTAAAAAATTTAGAAATCAGTGACTTGACAAATTATCCTTACACTGGGGAGCTTTCTTCAAGTATGCCTTCTAAGCTGTTTTCTATAAGACAAAACGAAGAAAGCCTATTATCTTTCTCCTTCGTTAGCTATGATAAAGATAACTTTAAGAAGCCAGCTGATAGGGACTCAATATTAGATTTAAATATGAACTCAATTTGTGTGAATTTTATGCAGCAGCCTGTTATGAGACTTATTGATGTTTTTATGATGAAAATTTTGACAATGTTTGATAGCAAAAAATTAATTGCGGACTATTTATCAAATGATGTGAATTTTACGAGCATAAATGTGACGGTAAATAATCCTTTAATATATCTGAGTCCTTATCCTGGCCATAATGGAATTTTTGTGGTAGATTTGGGAAATATTCAATTATCAAATAAAAGATTAGAAAATGAAGGATTTTTTAATGATGTTTATATGGTGACCTTAAAAAATATGAATTTAAGGTCAAATTATCAAAAAATTAGTGAGAATTTTGAGGTCAGGCTAGATATTTTGACAAATGTTTATTCAGTACTTCAAGAAAACAACCTGGAGTTAGACAGAAGTATTAAAATTATTGGAGAAAGTGACAGAATAAAGCTCCATTTTTCTCAAAATGATTATGCTTTATTGATGAGGCTTCTAAAATTCAATTTAGCCTATGATGATCAAAGGAATGATTGATTCTTTTATGGTAAAAATTCAAATTCTATAATATACAATGCCCAAAAATCTTTAATTTTGCTGTTCAAAATGTCAATAAAAGATTTTTCTATATTATTTATTGAAAATTCAATTAAAATATTAGAAGTGTTTGTACTTGGTCAAAATCTTGAAGTAAAACAATTTACTGATAAAAACATAAAAATGTCATATTCATGTCATAATTTATGTGGGCTAATCAATACATATTCTAGCAAAAATGAGGTAGAAAGACAAAAAACTCAGCAAATTTTTAGTGTCCCAACAGACAGTGTGATAAAAAACATTGAATTCCAAGATGATGGAACCCCATCCTCTTTAGTTCTTTTTGGCCCAATAAATGATAATTTTGAATATAGTCCACCAATACTAGACTTGTCAATTAATTATGGAGCTGATGGAAGTCAAGATATTCATATAGAAATGAATGAAATCAGGATTAATTTTCACCTTGGCATATTTTTGGAATTATCAAATTATTTTTCAAAAAATTTAGTATCGCCAGAAGAATTTGAAAATATCACACACAAGTCCCCATATGCTTCAAAAAATAATTTTTCTCCAAAGCCTTCACTTCACTTTTCTCTTTTTATAACCTCCCCTATCATTGTAATTCCTTCATTGGTGACTAATAGAGTTTTAGCTCTCCAATCAGATATTGAACTTACTTATTCAATAAGCTATTGTTGGCAAGGGACTAAAATAGAAGAATTAATTATCCAGCTTATAAAAATTGAAAAATTTGAAATATATAGCTGTTTACTTGATGATTTATCAGGAAAAAACTCTTTCCAAAACATCCAGAAAAGAAAAATAATAGAGCCAGTTCAAGTTTCTCTAGAATTGAAAAATGAAAATATTGAAGGCTTAATTACAGGTAGAAATCTTTATCAAATCGGCTGCTTTTATATTACGATTTCTTATAAAGATTTATTGCTCATTAATGATGCCTTAAATATTCAATTAGAATCCAAAGAAAAATATGATGGAAATTCGGGCCTATCTAAAAATAGTAATACGAAAAAATATATTATTGAAGAAAAACAAAATAAAGACATCACAAATATTTTTAGTGTCCAAGGATTGAAATTGATTATTATAAATGATGCCTCTGGAGCTTATAGCCCAGTATTAAATTTTGAAACTCAACCATTTTCTTTTAAGATGTCACAGCAAAATGATTTGTGTGATATGAGAGGGATTATAGAAATCAAGTCTGATTATTATAATCCACGAATTGATATTTGGGAGCCTTTCATAGAGCCAATTATGATTCGGGTTGAATATAAGCATAACCCTAATCTTTTACCTCAGAAGCAGGCTGTCTTTTTAGTTGATGATTCTAACCCTTTCAATATAAATCTTACTGAAGTCATGATTTCTCACTTTTTGTGGGTTTCAAATACCTGAAATGACAAAAATTCTCAAATTTATAGTGACTGCTTAGAAAAAGTATCCCCACTCTGCATATATAACGACCTAGGCTACACAATAATTGTTGAAAAAAACTCAAATATTTCTAAAAATGACCATGGTTTTGTTATGATAATTGAGCAAGGCAAATTTTCTGACTACGAATTTAAAACTAGTGATACCAGAGTGATGGAGTTTTCTCAAAGCTATTTAAACATCACAATCTATGATTCCGAAATCCCTTGTGAGCCCATCACAAATGTCCCATTCAATAGAGTTCAGTCTTTAACCTACAACTTTTCCTTAAAAAATCAAAAATACCCAGTTATAATTGATATAGAGCTTAAAGAGTCACGAAAGCTTTTAAGAGTAAAATCCCCAATTACTATTATAAATCAAACAAATGCTGATATGAAAATTCTACTTCACAATGGTTTTAAAACAGAAGAAAAATTTTGCGAAATCAGCAAAAGCTGCATAGTCCCAGTCGATTTTACTAACTCCCCCCCCCATCCTTGATCGAACGACTCGCCGTCGTTCGATCAAGGATGGGAGTTAAAAAAAAATTTTTTGGGAAAAAAATTTTATATATAAAATAAAAATATATATAGAACTTTCTCTTCAATAGCGCGAAAAGACGTGCATCCTGGTTTAACTAAAAGGTCTTTGGACAATAAAAATCTGCTATTTCTTCTCCATAAGAGAGGAAAATAGTGAAAATGAAGATTTCTGTCCGATCCAGTTTCGAGAACTGGAAGGGATTATTTTGTCCTAAATTAAGAATACCTGAGTTATTGTGGGATTTTGATTTCCTACAAAATTTTTTAATTTTAATGTATTTTGGTTCGTCAAATGGTTTTGACGAGTTAATTCTGGCAGGCACGTGAAATGAAAAAAAAATAATTAATTGCCATAATTTTTTAATTTTCTGATGTTAAGGATGATCAGAAATTTTAATAAATGGCACAGGATCAAAAAAACGAGATTAAAGATTAGTGAAAGCAAGCATATATTTTCTAGCTATAAGACGCCCAGATATTTGCTAATAAAATAATAAGAATTCTAATAAATAACTTTTATATTTCTCAAATTAATTTTTTTATTTAAATTTCGCTATTTGATGCCATTGTTTTCTCTTTCTGAATTTGAACCCAAATTCATTTTTGAACAATTTTTGTTCGTTTAAGTGCCATCTTGATTTGCACGCTATATAAAAAAATTAAAACTCTTAAGTCACCATTTGCGGTTTCATTGAAAGTATGATATTTGAGATTTTAAAATAAGCTATTTGGTGCCTTTATTTTCCGCTTTCTGGACTCGAGCACAAATTCATTTTTGAACATTTTTTGTTCGTTTAAGCCGCCATCTTGATTTTGTACGCTATATAAAAAAAATTAAAACTCTTAAGTCACCACTTGCGGTTTCATTGAAAGTATGATATTTGAGATTTAAAATAAGCTATTTGGTATCTTTATTTTCCGCTTTTTGGACTCGAGCACAAATTCATTTTGAACATTTTTTGTTCGTTTAAGTGCCATCTTGATTTGCACGCTATATAAAAAAATTAAAACTCTTAAGTCGCCACTTTGCGGTTTCATTCCAAACTTGGTATTTGAGAACTAAAATAAGCCATTTGGTGCCTTTATTTTCCGCTTTCTGGACTCGAGCACAAATTCATTTTTGAACAATTTTTGTTCGTTTAAGTGCCATCTTGATTTGCTACTATAAAAAAAAATTAAAACTCTTAAGTCACCACTTGCGGTTTCATTGAAAGTATGATATTTGAGATTTAAAAATAAGCTATTTGGAACCTTTATTTTCCGCTTTCTGGACTCGAGCACAAATTCATTGTTTAACATTTTTTGTTCGTTTAAGCCGCCATCTTGATTTTTGTAGCTATAGAAAAAAAAATTAAAACTCTTAAGTCACCACTTGCGGTTTCATTGAGAACTTGGTATTTAAAGTATTAAAATAAGCTATTTGGTGCCTTTATTTTCCGCTTTCTGGACTCGAGCACATATATTCATTTTTGAAGAATTTTTGTTCGTTTAAGCCGCCATCTTGATTTTGTACACTATATAAAAATATTAAAACTCTCTTAAGTCACCACTTGCGGTTTTATTGTGAACTTGATATTTGAGATTTAAAATAAGCTAGTTGACATCTCTATTTTCCGCTTTCTGGACTCGAGCACAAATTCATTTTTAGATATTTTTGCTCGTTTAAGCCGCCATTTTGATTTTGTACGCTATGTAAAACATTAAAACTCTTAAGTCACCACTTGCGGTTTCATTGAGAACTTGGTATTTAAAGTATCAAAATAGCTATTTGGTGCCTTTATTTTCCGCTTTCTGGAATCGAGCACAAATTCATTTTTGAAGAATTTTTGTTCGTTTAACCCGCCATCTTGATTTTGCTCGCTATATAAAATATTAAAACTCTTAAGTCACCACTTGCGGTTTCATTCCAAACTTGGTATTTGAGAACTAAAATAAGCCATTTGGTGCCTTTATTTTCCGCTTTCTGGACTCGAGCACAAATTCATTGTTTAAAATTTTTTGTTCGTTTAAGCCGCCATCTTGATTTTGTACACTACATAAAAAATTAAAACTCTTAAGTCACCACTTGCGGTTTCATTGAGAACTTGGTATTTAAAGTATTAAAACAACTATTTGACACCTTTATTTTCCGCTTTCTGGACTCGAGCACAAATTTATTTTTGAACACTTTTTGTTCGTTTAAGCCGCCATCTTGATTTTGTAAATTTTCTGATCATCCTTTACATCAGAAAATTAAAAAATAATGGCAATTTTTATTATTTATTTCAAGTACTAACCAGAATTGACTCGTCAAAACTATTTGACGAACCAAAATACATTGAAATTAAAAATTTTACAAGAATCAAAATTCCACAATAGCTCAGGTATTCATAATTCAGACCAAAAAAATTCCTTCAAGTTCTCTAGACTGGATCGGGCAGAACTTTTCACTTTTACTATTTGCCTCTCTTATGGAGAAGGAAAAGCTAATTTTCATGGTCCAAAGACCTTTTAGTCAAACTAAGATGCACGTCTTTTCGCGCTATTGAAGAGAAAGTTCTATATATATATTTTTATTTACTTTTAAATAAGAGTGCTAAGAGTATTTAATAATTATTTTTAGAGCAAAAAATTGAATTAATCTCATTAAAATACCAATTTTTAATATTTTTATTTATTAGTTACCCCTTTAAACTGTATAAATTTTAATTTGTTTCTTATTAAATTAAATTTTTTTTTTAAAAATTTTAAAGAATCTCTATTTTATTAGATTATTGAGTTTTTAAGCTCTGATTGATGACTAAATCACTTCATACGGTTGATTCCGAAGCTTTCTGTCGTCTCAAAGTCTCTGAAAACAACTTCATTATGCACATCTTCCCAAACTTTTGATAACTAATATATTTTTATATATATAAAATTTTCCATGATATGAAAATCGTTCGATCAAGGATGGGGGTTAATTTTCCCAATTTTTAGGAATTTTTACAGTCAATCGTTCGATCAAGGATGGGGGGGAGTAAAAGCTTATTTGGAGCTGCTCCTATCTGTTTTGGCGGAGACCCAAAACTTCATAGTTTTCAAGAGTTTTGTTCCAATAAAAACGGATATTCTATAGAGATGAAATGCGAAGAATTTTATTTTATTATGCTGCTTAAAAAAGACAAAATAAACCCAGAGAAAAAAACTATTCTTTTATGCCCAACTTTTATTATCAGAAATTTCTTACCAAATATGATGACTATGAATTTATTTTGCCAGAGTCAGTATCAGTCAAATGTGGAGGATTTAGAAATTGAGTCTGGAGGAAGTGCATCTGTTTATAATGCGTTTAGTGGATCAGAAATCCAGTATTCTGTAATGGTAGCACCATATATAAGGTCTCCTCAAACGCTATTATTTTCTAAAAAAAAGCCGCCTCCAAAAACAATGACGCTGCTAGATCCGTTTCTTCAAGAAACAAAAATAAATATAGAATACCAGCATAATGGAAGCAGAATTTTTACATTTTATCCTATTGCAGTAATCATAAACTCCACAGCTCTGCCTTTGTCATTTTTCTATAAAAATGCAGGTGGAGCCAAACCGTTTGCAGGGCAATGTGATAGACTAAATATAATTCCTATTCAAAACGAAAACAAAATCGCGATAGGATATGAGGTTGCAAAGTCAAAATTTTTCAAAATAGACGCAGTAGGGCTGAAAAATATTATATGCCTTTTTAATAAAAATATATAGGAATTTATCTCAAGGTGAATAAAAATTTATTCTTTTAAAATAGATATAGAATTTGAGAGTCCTAAAAGAATAAAATATCAATTTACTTATGAAGTCACCCTTAACAGAGTCGTTGAAAACGAAATGCTCTTCATGAGAGCCGTAAAAATTGCACCAAGGTTTTTATTTGTGAATTTAATGAATGATGATCTGCTAATAAAGCAACACAACAGCACAGGCGAGTTTTTATTAGCTAGAGAGTCAAGGGAACCTTTCCATTGGATGGACTCTACAAAAGATGAATTAATTGCTATCACTATCCCTGGACAAATTTGGAACTATTCAGGCGTTTTTTCTATATCAAGCATAGAAGCTCTGACACTTCAGCTAAAAAATCTTTATGATCCAGGCATTTTTAAGCTGATAAAAGTAGAAGTCAGACTTATCGAAAGCATTGCATATGTAATGTTCCAAGAAGAAAATACTGAAAATTCGTCATATAGACTAGAAAACTGCTCCAGCAACTTTTTTGTGTCTATTTATCAAAAAGGCTATAAAGATGACGAAAGATGGGTCGACTGCAATTCTTCGCTGCCTTTTGCATGGACTGAGCCATTTTATGAAAATATTTTGGTCGTTGAGTTTTTCTATGGGTCTTTTGGGTGTATACCAGAGAGATATGAAGAAATCAAGGAGTTTTCATTTAATAAAAATCGGGTTAACTATGAGATTGGTGTGAATGTTGGGAAAGAAGTGTTTTTTATATATGCAGCGACTTATAATCAAGGGTCAATGAAAATTCTCAAAATTTCTGATTTGCCGCTTAATGAGGATTCTAATGATATTTCAAATATACATACTCAATGAATGCTGACAATTCCATGTTTAGGGATTTCTTTGATAGAAAATTCGCATGAGCATACAAGGGAACTTTTATATCTAAATTTCAGCGATATCATTCTATTAACCCAGCAAACCAAAAATATGAACAGAACAGAACTAGCAGTCAAAAATTTCCAAATTGATAACCAATTAAACCAAAACGCTGTTTTCCCAGTTCTTCTTTACTTTCCAAGCATTCAAAACAACGCTATCACTATGCTAATTTCTACAAGTACAAATACAGTGAAAAATTACTTTTATTTCGAAACCTTAGAAGTAGTATTTCAGCCCATAAATCTAAACGTTGAAAGCAGCATGGTAAAGAAGCTCCTTAGTGTCTCTTCCCGCATACATTTCAATAAAGGCGCAATAGAACTGTCCACTTCCACTTATACCAAGCATTTCCATCCAAGCTGATCCTTTGAAGATACTCTTTATTTAGACTTGACATTTTATTTTGAAAGCTTTTCTTTATCTCCATCAAAAATAATTCTCTCTTATACCCCTATTCAAGAAGAAAAAGAAAATAAAGCAAAATCCTTTGATGTCCTCATAAAAGCTTTAGGGATGGCTATCACTGCTGTTGAAGAAGCTCCAATTGAATTTTCTGAGGTAAAAATGACAGATCTATATGGAACGCAATCACAAATTATGTCAGCATTAACGACTCATTACAAAACACAATTAACTGGTGGACTTATCCATTTAATTGGCCATTCTGTAGTATTAGGAAATCCTGTAGGCCTGCTCAATAATCTGAAGACTGGAATTTCTGATTTTTTCAATAAGCCTATTGATGGGATGTCAGGAGGGGCGAAAGGGGCTGGAAAAGGCTTTATCCAAGGTGCAGATTCGCTAATGAAAAATACAGTCCAAGGTGCTTTTGGGACTGTCTCTATGGTCACTAATACAGTGGCGACAGGAATTTCATCAATAACAAGCGACAAAGAATATATGATGGAAAGGCAGCAGGACAAAGTAAAAAATAAACCAAAAAATATTTTCCAAGGACTTGGAATGGGCGCTTCATCACTTTTTAAAGGAATTGGCAAAGGGATTACTGATATCGCCACAAAACCTATTAAAGGGTATAAAAAAGATAAAGGAAAAGGAGCAATTAAAGAAACTGGAAAAGCTATGGCAGGGCTCATAACAAAACCTATTGCAGGTGTTTTTGATGCTGTAACACAAGCAGCAGAAGGCATAAAAAATAGCGCTAGCAATAGAATTCCACCATCTGCGCACAAAAGGTCAAGACTGCCTAGACCAGTCTATGGAGAGAATTCTATGATAAAATGCTATAATAATAATGACGCATATGTAGTATTTGAATTAGCGAAAAAAGACAAAACCTTTATAAATGAGAAATTCATGGCTATGGACAGTGGGACTGACCAAAAAAGAAATCAATGACTTCTTGCTCTTTATGAGACTAAAATCACACTTATTGACGCAGACAGTTTCGCGATTAAGTGGATCATACATTTAAAAATGATTGAAATCATAGAAATTATGGAAAATGGATGTGCGATTCATATTGTTCAGGATGAAAATAATAGAGCTAAAGGCAGATCATGCTTCTTCGTACCCATAAATACTCCAAGGATTATTGAAATACTAGGAGAAAGAATTAGTGTGTTTAAATCTCAATAAAACTATAATTATTTCCTTTAAATAATAGATCATTGTTTTAAATACCCTTTGGGATAATTTTTATTAAAAATTTTCTTATCCCATATTCCATGGAATTTTTGCTTCTAAATTGTAAGTAATTATTACTGGACAGATGTCAGAGCAGGCAGCTCAAGCCAACACAGTGAATAAAAAGGCATCAATCTTTAAAATTCTCCCACCAAGGCCAGCTAAAACTAACTTTTACATTACAGACTTTTTTACGAACATTGACGAAGTTACCAAGCCAACTTTTCTTGAAAGAAATACTGCACGATCCAAAATCATCAGCTTTCTTACAGGTTTTCATGTACTAAACCCTACCACTTGTCTAGCTTTAATAATTCTTGGTCTTTTAACCTCGCTCTTTGCATTTGGTATTGAATATGCTACATTGAAGCTTTTTGAATTCAGAGAATTTTGTTCAGAGACAGGCATTATGAGTCTTGATCTCTTTATATGGGTAATATTTTCTTTGTTTTTTGGATTCTGTGCTGCATCAGTAGGAAAATATATAAGTCAAGATGCTGAAGGCATAGGAATTCCTGAAATAAAATCGATTTTATCAGGAGTTAGAATTAACCGCTTTTTAAGCTACAGAATTTTTTACGCAAAGGTCCTAGGCTTTATTTCAGCATGTGCTGCAGGATTAAGTATAGGCAGCGAAGGCCCATACGTTCATATCTCAGGGATTATTGCAAACAAATTGACAAAAATTAAAATTTTCAGGCATCTGCGCGTTGTAATATTTTATTTAGAATCTTACGTTAAGAAATCAAATTCTAGGCGCTGCAGTAGCCGCTGGGATTGCTGCAAAATTTGGCTCGCCTATAGGAGGAATGCTATTCAGTATAGAGGTAACAGCGACTTATTATATTGTCAATAACATGTGAAGAGGCATTTTCTGCGCAATTTGGTGCGTTATTGGATTTTGGATTGTGAGAAGCGGGAATGCGACAGAATTTTTTGAATTGACTAGTCTGCCTAGTATTGAGCTTACCTATGAAATCTTCTTTTTTATGATTTTAGGGGTGATTTCTGGGCTTCTAGGGTCTTTTATTGTATTTGCTACCAATAAACTGACATTTTACCGGACAAGAGCTTATTTCCCAGCAATTCATAGCCGCTATGTGTACACCCTTATAATTGTCTTGATAATCTCTATCATTACCTTTTATATTCCATTTATGCATGTAACTGAAAAAACAGTCCTAAACACCATGTTTAAATCAGGGTATATCCCTACCAATACAGAAGCTGACTGGCATTTATTTGGTTTAGGCTTAGATATGCTGCTATATATTGTTATAAAAACAATTATATCTATATTAAGCTTTACCTGCCCAGTCCCATTTGGAGTATTTTCCCCAGTATTTACAATAGGTTCAGTATTAGGAAGATTAACAGGGTACGTTATAGATAATTCTGTAGGGACAATTTATACAGGAGTTTACGCAGTTGTAGGGGCTGCATCAGTAACAGCCTCAGTCACCCACTCTTTATCAGTCGCTATAATTGTCTTTGAAATCACTGGTCAGATTTCCTTTTTACTTCCTATGATGGTTTCTGTCCTTATATCTTTCGCAATCAGCAATTGGCTTGGGATGTCTATATATGATGCAATATTAGAGCTAAAAGGCTTGCCATACCTGCCAGGTATAAAGCCTTCTAATTTATATTCATATGCAGCTAAGGACGCAATTGGAAGCGATTTTACATATGTAAAAAATGACGCGACTATCAGAGATTTCATAAATGCAGTCGAAGAAGCAGGAGTTTCCCTGAATAAAATCCCTATTGTAGACGATAAAATGACTTTGATTAAAGAATTATCAGTAAGTGGCATTAGGGAATATTTGAAAAAATATTACAGCGAGTATCCTGAATACTTGCCACCTTTTTCTAGGGATAGATTGGACGCTTTTTTTAAATATTTGTTAGAAAATCCTGATGATATGAGCGTTGTGGTCCCTGTGGATAATCCTGGATGGAGAGACGAAGAAGAAGAGCCAGAAATTAAAGCCTTTTTAGACGCGCCAGTTAATTTCGACAGTGATAGCTTGCAGATTGATGAAGCGCCGCTTGCAATACCAGAGACTACACCACTGGCAAAGGTGCATTTTCTATTTATCATGCTTGGCCTGATGCAGATTTATGTAACTAAAAGAGGAGTGCTAATAGGAGTGATTTCAAGAGATAATTTCACTATGAATAAGTAATAGAAATTAGAAGCATAATCGGTTTTGCTAAAATTTATTAACAATTTCTTATAAATTTAAAAACAGTTATAGCTTTATTTACTGTTTGGAGTTGAAAGTAAAGCCTCGAGCTGGTCTTTGAGTCTCTGGTTCGTTTTCTTTCTGAACTCAATTTCTTCTGTATGAGCTCTTGCTTCGATTTCTTCACGTTCTTTTTCTTTCTGTTCAATTTCTTCTATTTCTTGGTCAAGCTCATCCACTTCGACAGTAAGGTTTTCACATTCTTCTATCAGTTTTTTAATATCAGCGTCTGTTTCAGCCCTCCACTGTTCAGCTTGCAAAGCTTTTCTCATCCCATAAGCAATGCTGCTTTCATATAAAGTTTGGTAGGACTGAATAGTCATTCTCAGCTCATCTCTTACTCTGAGTAGTAAAAGTCCTCTTTCAGTACAAATAATTGTAAGCTGCCTTATAAGCTCGTCAAAACATTGACTGTAGAGAAATTCTCAGGATTAAAAATATGGCTTAGTTGGGATTTTCTGGTCTTCTGACCGAAAATTCTTATCTTGCACATTTTAATTTATTGATTTTGGTTTCCTGGTGAAATTAAGTCAGATATAGAGCTGTTTGATTTTAGGGAATCGAATTTTCCAGAAAGGTATCGTATACCCCAGGCTTTCGAGGCTGGGACCTTTAGGGTGCCTGATAGACCCAAATAGGTAACCTTAGCTCAAAGAAGTTCGTCGAGACCCAAAGTTAAGATTGGTGTTCTCTTCGTGAAACTTAGTCAAGATAGCATTACTTTGGCGCACCGAGGAAGATGGTGCAGATTTGACTTAAAACGGCGTTAAAGGCACTGCGGACAGCAGGTAACCTTGTAGTGAACGTTAAATGAAGAATCTTAATGAATTTAATAGTTATTATTGTAGAGCTCTTCTCTTATTGGGCAAATTCCTGTTTCTCTTGCTTGACGGAGTTCGAGTAAGCTGTCAAGCTGCTCTTGAAGTTTTATTACGTCTTGAGTGGTCGCTGGGTTTGAACTGACATATTGGACCCAGAGCTGGCCATCTTCAGTGCTTTCGCGTGGCGGTAAGACTGAGTTAAGGACATCTTCAATTTGAGCTTTGTCAGGGGCAACGTTTGGCCTTCCTGGAATATTTTTTCCTTTGCCTTTGCCTTTAAGAGAAGTGGAAACTTGGATTTTGGTATCATATTTAACAAGAGATTGAGCTTGAGGGAGGTTATTTGCCATTTTATGCTCTTTATAATTATTTATCTTCAATAGGGAGTTATAGCTAAACAAATTATTTTTTATGTAATAAAATTATAATATTTTTAACCTCTCCAATAAAGAAATGCTTAGGAAATAATAAATTTTCATATAATTTTATTAGCAAAATCTTCGTTAAATTTTAATTCAAATAAAATGGAAACAGATACAAATTCTCTAAAGCGCAAGCATCTTGAATCTCCTTTCGAGCCAGCAAAAAAAATAAAGCCAAATCTCCCTACTCCACAAGTCTTTTGTACGCCAGTTTCAATTATAAAAAATAAGCGTCTAAGACCTAAAAAAAATCCTCAGGATACAAAGGCAGAAGTTAATTTCTTCAATACATTATTGAATGAACAAAGACTCCTTCAGACAGCTCCTATTAATAAATATCCTTCACCTGAAGATAAAGAAAACGCTGAATCTACCCCGATATCAAAACCTTCGCTAAAAGAGCCCCAAACGCACAATTCAAGCAAAGAAAATGGCTTCTTTTTCGGAAGAAGTTTCCATGTAACAGGATTTGTCCATAATGAAAATATTGAGCCAGACCCCAAATTAGAATTTCCCAATGAAAACAATAGCTCGTTGAATTTTGGAAGCTATAATAATAGAATATTGAATTATAGACTTTTCACTTCTCCATTAAAAGATCAAATACAAAAATTTAGCGAATAAACGAGAAGCTTAATAATGATAATATAATGAAATATATCAATATTTGAATTTGGTAATTTTTAAGCAATTTATAATAGGATAATAAAATAAAAATAATTAGTCTGCTTATAAAAAATGGAAGAAATATTTGAAAATAATTGCGGCAGTATTGGCTTACTTTGGGGAGGAGTTTTAGTATGGTGGCTTGTAAATGGATTTTATATAAAGAAAAAGAAAAGGGATTTATTGCAAACTGTTTTCGTTGTAGGATATTTAGGAAAATTTTTGAATTGGCTTTTTCTGATAGGTATAAGAGAATTTTACGATGATAAATCTAATCTCTGTCTTTATCTATTGATGGGGTTTAAATTTTCGTACATATTTGGAAACACAATTTTGTTTATTTCTTTATTAATAGCTAGTAAAGGTTTTTGGATTGCAAAGCAGATTTTTGATAAAGAAGACATTATTTTAGTATCATTTTTATCAAGCATCACTTATATTGGATTTTTGCTGAATTTTGATTATAAATTCAGATTAAATACTCTTGTGGCTGTTTTGGTGGCAATTCATTTTCTTTTTAATGTATATTGCTCACTTGGGAGTCTTAATGCTTTGAAAATGGAATTTGAGGGCTCACAAGAATTTGCCATAAACAGAAAACCCTCAATTTGTTCTTTTCGAAGATATATTAAAATATCCCAATTGTTTCTAATTGGGAAAATAGCGATTCTTTATTTAAAAGAGAACAGTAATCTTGGATTCTATAATGGCTTCGATGATTTATTCGAAGTTTTTGGATTTTTTTCAATTTATTATTTAACCCAAGATGAGAAAAGAACTACAAATAAAATTAATCAGGTCAATCATTCAAGATTTATCCCATTTTATGAAGCAACATTAAATAAAAAATGTGAAGTTTTTGTTTTATTAAATAAAAGATTCCCAGAAGACACTCCAAAGTTATGTATAATAGAAGACACTTGCGAGCCCATCTCATAAAATTGAGAAATTGTTTTTATATTGTTTATATTATGCTAATAGCATTTTTAATAATCATAACACACCTTTATGAGTAATATTCTGACTATCTTTTTTCTTTTTAAATAATTGCTTTATGCTAGAAATAATTAAATTTTGATATCTAAATTCTACCCGCAACATAATTAAATATTTCCTAAAGGGCAAACATTTCTAATATGGCCACTGACCAAATTCCCCAAATCTTAAACCCTACTCAATCCCAAGAAGACCCTCGCAAACGCAAAAAACGCGATGACGACTACAAGGATCTGGTAGCCTATAATGCTGAGCTCGTCTCATATATGCACAAACTTGAATTTACGCTTTTAGAAACTCAAAGAAAATACAAAAGAACCAAAATTCTCTTTAAAAAATACATACAAAAGCTCGCAAAGAACCTAGAGAAAGCAGGCTACACAGTTCCCACGCTACCTTGCAAGTTTCCTGAAGCAGATGAGGCTGTTGACTTAGAAGGGATTTGGAAAGAGCTTGAAGAAAATCGCAAACTACAAGAAGAGGAGGAGAAAAAGAAAAAAGCAAGGAGAGCCAAAAAAGCTGAGGTAAAAACTGAAAATAAAGATAATTAGAATTATTTTTTATACTAGAAAAGTAATTTTTTTATAATTAATTTTTGGTAATTTAGAGCTCAAATAATAAAACTTGCTTTTAATTTAAGATTATTGTCATATTTATCTAATAATCCTCAATATGGTCAAAAAGGTCAAAAAATCCACACAATCCCCAAAACTCGCTGATTCACAAATAAAAAAGGCTTTCAAAGCCGTCAAAGATCTGATCATCTCTTCTCGAAACACAAAAGATTTGCTGTCAGACGAGCATGAATTTATCAACATGCAAGTAGAAGTCAACCATTTACCAGAAATTGCCACATTAAGATGTGTCCCAATTCCGCTGCCTCATGCAATTTACGACAAAAAATTCAACTCACAGGTCATGCTAATTGTAAAAGACCCACAAAGAGCCATGAAGGAAAAGCTGGATGGCCTCGGTCTCAAAGATACCCCACTAACCAAAATTATTGGAATATCCAAGCTTGGCAAAAACTACACCCAGTACAAAGACAGAAGAGAATTAATAAGGCAATACGACTTGTTCTTGGCCGATATCAGAGTTTTCAATATGCTTCCTGATAGGCTTGGCAAGTATTTTTACGAAAAAAAGAAAATCCCTTGCTTGCTTAATTTAGATGACGACGTCGAAGCCACTTTGCGCCGAGCTATGAGCAGTACTTTTATCATAGCTGCCAAAGGTCCTATTTTCTGCATAAAAATAGCAAGGTCGTCTATGAGCGAAAAAGAAGTCATGGAAAACGTACAAGCAGCTATTGAAGCTTTGCCTAATGCAATTCCAGGACTTGAGAGGCAGCACATCAGAAGGATTGAAATCAAAGGACAAACGACCATGGCGCTACCTGTCTATAACTTTTTATCAGAAGAAGAAATTCAAGCTTATAAAAATTAATAGACTTAAATAAAATTAATATGTGTAGTGAATATCCTAGGTTCCAAGATAGGCAGGAATCATATATGCAGAACAATATAATACAAAATTATAATGAAAGACAAGAAGTTTATAGTATAAGTCTTAGAAGATCCAAAAGAGAAGAATTTGCTTACAAAAGACGCCAAACTTCGACAAATGAAAACACAGAGGTCCCTTTTATAATTACCGGGATGGTGGTGTGTCTTCCTCGCATAGTGAAAATCCAGGAGCAATTAAAAGAAAATTGTTCAGATGGGATAAAGAAAAAAGCTTTAGAAATGTTTAAAGCTATCATTATGAACCCAGAAATTGGGAAAGAAATTATAAAGTATTCAATTGAAAATGGCTTAGTTTTGGATATTTTGGGGTTTGTGAATAGTTCGTTTACTGAAAAACTTGTAGCTGAAGCTGTGAGTTGTTTATCAGTTATTTGTTATTCAGGAAATGAATTTATTGAGTATTTAAAAAGAAATGATGCGATTGCAAAGTTAATTGGTATTATAGATTATTCACGAGAGCTGGCTACAGAGCAAGCATTATATGCTTTAGGAAATATCTCAGGTGAAGCAGACTATTATAGAGATATTTTAATTAGTCTTGATTTCTTATCAATTGTTCTTAACTTGATAGAAAAATGCCAAAATAATCCGCAATCAACTCTACTAGAAGTTTCATTATGGAATTTAGGAAATTTAGTAAGGTGAAGACCTATACCATTTGAGCTTGGAAAACAGACTGCATCAATAGCAAAAAAATTTTTTTTTAGCCCTTCAGAAAAAGTTGTAGCAGAAGCCTTACGAATTTTCTTATCTTTATCTAACGGAAGTGACGAATTAATCTCTGAAATTTTCCCATTAAATGTAATTGAAGACATTATGAACTATTTAAATTCCCCAATTGAAGACATCCATTTTCTAGCAGTAAAAATCATAGGAAACTTAGCTACAGGTGATGACGGTCAAGTACAAAAACTCCTTGATTTAGGACTATTAGGACGACTATTAAATTTATCATTTATAGCGTCCCCAAACACAAAGCAAAACATCATGTGAATCTTAGGAAATATTACATGTGGATCTCATTTACAACGGCAGCAAGTTCTTGACCATACAATTTTTAATTTTATTATGCAAGGAATCATAGACCCATCTCAAAAAGTCAGGCTAGAAGCAAGCTTTGCAATTAATCATATAGTCCATAATGGAAATGACGAACAAGCCCTAGCTGTAATTGACCGAGGATTTTTCCGATATGTAAAAGATGCTTTAAGGTTCAATGACCCTGATTTTTTGTATAATATAATTGAATTTTGCCAAGGCGCTTTAGGTGCTGGAGACGACAGAGCTGAAGATTTAGGAACAAAAAATATGACTGCAGTAGAGTTTAATGAAACTGGATGCTTAGACGTATTGGAAAAACTGCAAGATCACAACAATGGAGACATTTACAAAAAAGTCGTATTTATTATTACAACTTATTTTGGGATTGCAGAAAACGTTCCTCCATTAGATATGGGGCCAGGTGTTGCGTTTTCATAATAAAATTAGCTAAATTTAATGCTTTCTTTTAGAAATAAAGATATATCTTCTTGGCAATTGTTAAGAATCCCCAGGATATCGTTTTTTGTTTTATCCATTTTAGATTTCAAGGAGTTTTCGGTCCCTTGCTCTTTTTGATAGCATTTTAATTTAGATTTTTGTGGGAAAATTATTGCTGGTGGCCGAACATTTCATTTTCGTATGGGTTCTTTATGCCAGGCTGGGATAGCTGAATCTTCAGCGTAATTTTGTTTTATGCAGGTTGAATCAATTAGATTTTTATATGCATCTGTACATGTTGTTTGGATTGAATCGTGGAGATTATGGGATTTTGGGGAATTGTGCGAAGAGATTGAAGGCAGATTGAGTGGCTTTCTATGTGTGATTAAATTTTCTATTTCAAACTCTCTATTATCGGAATTTTGAACAGGGCTTTCGCTTAATATAATCTCATAATAGAGGTGAATTTAAAAAATATATATAAATTATTTTAAATAAAAAAAATATTTTAATTAGAAGGAAAAATTATTATTATAATCATTAATTATATATCAAAATATTTACAGATTTATATTAAAATATTTTTCATTCACTACCATAGGGTTAATTTTTATAAGAAATAGGAACTTTTTCTAATGATGTTCAGATTTAATAGAGGGGAGTTAGCTTTGCTTTAGGATTTCTTAGTCGTCTATTTATAAGTGCGGTCGGAATTTCCATTGAAAATCTTGAAGATTTGGGCTTGATTTTGTTTGTTAGGGCTACTTGAGGGCCTAACTTGAATTCTTTTCTCGACGAATATTTCGGCTTATTATGCATAATTTTGATATACATAAAATATATGGTGATGCCTTACCTATCCTCTTATGGACGGCTATTATGTATATCTGAGTGTAGCTTGGGAGCACGAGTTGGCCCACCAGCATCTGATATTCCAAAGAGAGTGATTTAATCAAAATCTGTACACTATGGCCTGATCCAATGGGTATTACTCGGGACCCTTTTTTGCCAGCAAGCATTCAAGCAATTGGGCGCCCGAAGTGGAGCGGGGTGACTTAACTGCTATTGTAGTTTTTCCCTAACCGTGTAAGGGGTTATATTTTCCAGGGATAACCTGAGTAAAGTGAGGCAAACTAGAAGATCTGAGGCAGCTAAGGGTTCCTTTAATAGAGTGATCTGGCTGTGGATTTGATGCAGAAGATAGCGTAATAAGGGCAGAGGGACTGAATTGGAAAAGTTAGCGCTCAGAGGCTATATACAGACCAAATAGGGCAACCACTAACAAGAAAAAACTGGGTTTCGGTCTCGGCTTAGAGGTGCCAGAGGTAAAGCCTATCAAATTCGCTTAGGCCACCACACAGCTTCAATCTAATCTGTTCAGGATAACTTTTACAGAGGGAAATATTTAGCACTAATATAAGGCATGATTTTGAATTTTAAATAGTTTTCATACAAATTGCTTGTCGGCATAGGAGTAGCGCTAAACACAATATCATGATTATCAGGAAAACAGTCATATGCATTCAGCCTTTCTGACCTCCATCTTCTGTGTTTTTCTTTAGTCTCCATTTTTAAAATCATAAAATTGATTTTCCTTATTTTTGTTTGACTATTGAATTTTATATTAAAACTAATGACGTAGGATCTAATATAAGCTCGATGGCTGACATTTGAAAAATATTTATGATAATTCAAAATTTTTGATTAAAAATGAAAATTCTGTTAAATATAAGAATAATGAAAAAAATAAGTAATTTGGTGTTTGGAATTACTGATGTTTTGACTCTGAAGCAGTCAACTTTAAGTGGAGCTCTTGATGTTATTGTTATTGAGCATGAAGATAAATCATTGCATTGCAGTCCTTTTCAAGTTAGATTTGGGAGATTAAAAGTATTTTTTTCTGAAGAAAAATCTGTAAGATTGATTATTAATGATAAGCCATCAGAAATTTATATGAAATTAGGAAAAGAAGGCCAAGCTTTTTTTATTGATCCTAAATCAGAAGAACTTAATAGCGATTTAAATGAAATTGAAAACATTAATGCTTAAGTTTATGATAACTCTTCAAGTCTCGTACTGGTCTCAGCTTGGAATACCGCTTTGAATAACGATAGGCAGGCTGGCCTAACCGTCAAACTGAGTCCGCATCCAAGTCCCTAAGACCTTTCTGATCTAGACCAGGCACAGAGTAGACCCATTCTCTTGAGCCGAGACTTTCAAAAAGTCGTCCCCCAAACTGAGATTTTTAATTGTGAAAACATTAATAGTAATACTGATACTTATCAGAGAAGTCCTGATATTATTATGAAAGAGTTGGAAAAAAGGCCTGATATTTTTAAGTGGCCTTGGGGATCAGCTCAGAATAAAACAAAAGCGACAGGATATATTAGCTCTCTTCTTGGGTATTTCAGGTCGCAAGAAAAATGCCAGCCAGGTTTTGAAATGTCTTTATGCTTACGTTCCCTATTTATATACTGTGTCGCAATAAATATAGTCTGATACAAAAATTGTGTATCACATAATAGCCTAATAAGGAGCATTTTTTTGCTAGCCAGACATTAGTTGGTGAGCCAGATTTTTTGAATAACCAATATTATATTTTCTAACCAAAAAAATGCTCCTGAGTAGATTATTTCTTTGTAAGTATACAAATATAATTCCAGTTTGCAAGTCTTGAAAAGAAAAATTCAATTAATTTTATAAAATTTATGTTAAAAATTAAGTATCTGAAATTTAACAGAATTATGTAAAGACATCGTTATAGCAAGGATTAATTATAAAAAAAAATTCCTTGCAAATTTTTCCAATAATTATGCTCACTCTTAAAGCTGGGAATTTAGACCAACTCAAAAATAATGAAAATGATCCTAAGATCTTTGAAGAGAACAAAGTTTCTTGTGAAAACTTTAATGCCGATCCATTTGCTATTTTAAATGATCCAAAACTTGCTTTAAAAATAAATGGAAAGATATATGATCTTGATACAGCTATGCCTGAAATTTTATCTATAATATCTAGCAATGAAAACATAGATCCAAATGCAAAAGAAATCAAAAAAATTAAAAACATTATTGAGGAAGAAATTGTTATTAATAAAACTTTGAAATTAAATTCAGAACAATTGAAAAAACTAAATTTAAAAAAAGGCGGAAATAGGGTTTGCTATAGAATTGAAAACGGTTTGCAATCTGTCATCGGGAAAATTTATCTTTGGAATTGAAAATCTAGAATGATCGCATCAGATATTGATGGAACTATCACAAAATCTGATGTTTTAGGCCAAGTTTTACCAATGGTCGGTAAAGACTGAAGCCACTCAGGAATTGTTTCATTCTATAATAATATCAAAAAAAATGGCTATAAAATAGTTTATATCTCTTCAAGAGCAATAGGCCAATCAGAACATACCAGGGGCTATTTAAACAGTCTTTATCAAGATAATCAGCTTCTCCCTGATGGACCTATAATTATGAGCCCGGATGGCATTTTTACATCATTTGTGAGAGAAGTCATAAGAAGATCTCCACAAAAATTTAAAGCAGAAGTGCTAACTCCCCCCTCTGTGAGTGAACAAAACCATTGGAAAAATCGCTATTTTTTGCCCAAAAACCCCCTCCGTGAGTGAACAAAAATTTTTTATTAAAAAAATTGATAGATAAGTGATAATTAGTTTATTGAAATCTCGAGCTAATTCTGTTTAATTTTAAACAAATTGCGTTTTAAAAATAAATTTTATAAATTAATATAATATTTGCTTCCAATTTTTGCAAATTAATTTTTTAAAAAACAAATTTCTATATAATTTATATATAATTTTTTTTTAAAAAAAAATCAACCCCTCTCCGTGAGTGAACAAAAATTTTTTTGTTCACTCAGGGAGGTAGGGGGGAGTAAGAGATATAGCGGCGTTATTTCCTACAGAAAGAAATCCTTGATACGCTGGGTTTGGTAATAGAGACACTGATTCAATAGCATATAGCTTACGCACCTTAATAGATTTCTGTATAGGTGATTTGAGGTAGGCGATTGAAGTGCTTTAGCATTTATTGTTAATAAGTGATCTAGATAGCCCTGATCAGTGAGAATTAAAGTAAAATAATTTAATTTTAACGAAAACTAAGTTAAAAAGTGATGGAACTCTTAAAGAAATAAAATTTAATTAGAAGTGTATAAGAGTATAAAAATCTGACGAATTCTTCCCTCATTACCATGGGATTTTGTTGTGTTCGCTCCATTTTTACATCTGGCTTTGCCGAGTCAGCTTATTTTTCCAAACCAAATACAAAGTCAAAATGGCAATATCTAATTTTGTAGCACACGAAATCTAATTATGAATCAGACTGCTATGCTGAAAGATAATATTATAGAAAAATAGTGAACTCAGTAATTGACTTTGCAATTCTGAATCTACCATCAGAAATCATTTTTGACTAAATTAATTTGATAGATTATATTAAATTATATAAATTTATGATTTTTTAAATGCACATATGACGTTGAGATAATGAGGCTTTAAAAATCATGAGTCGGAAGTACTATTTTAGGCATCAAGAAACACTTATAAAAATTATGCTTATGATTCAAATTTCACCGACAAACTTCTATAAAAAATTACTTTTTTGGCCTTTAGAAAGATTTCATAAAGACGGAGACATGAAATAGGAGATAGTTAAAATTTAAAAATCAAGAGCAGGGAATACTATTTTTGCTAGCAAGAATTACTTGTAAAATTATGCTTATAGTTCAAATTTTATCGAAAAAATTCTATAAAACTGCTTTTTTATCATTTAAAAATTAAATAGAGATAGGCATTGAGATAATTGTCTTACGTCAAATAAGGAATTTGCATTAACAGTGATTTAATTTTCATGGATCTTGTTTAAAAAAATACTCTATAGGACTTTAGTCTATGGTTCCGTTTTGACTTTTTAAGTTGACTCGCAAAGCCAGATGTAAAAATGGAACGAGCACAACAAAATCCCATGATAATGAGGTAAGAATTGTCAGATTTTATTACCTCAAGCTTCCAGAAACCATGATAAAGGCACTATTATGCACTTCTAATTAAATTTCATTTCTAAAGAAGTCCATCTCTTTTAAACTTAGCTTTAGTTTAAAATTTAAACTATTTTACTATAATTCTCACTGATCAGAGCTATCTAGATCACTTATTAACAATAAATGGCAAAGCACTTTAACCGTCTTCCTCAAATCGCCTATATAGAAATCTATTTAGGTGCGTGATCTATATCGGGCAGCTGGGATGCCCCTCCATAAAATTTTTCTAATTAATTCGACAGGGAATGTTTCGACGTTTAACAATACTTTTGTTAAAACTTATTATGAACTAAGTGAGATTTCTGATAATTTTTTCCCACCTATTGAAGAAAACACCATTTGTGCAGATCAAGAGTTTAATGACCTTAATTATTGAAGAATTGAAACTCCAGTAATAATATCTGATAATTTAGATTAAAATGCAATTTTTTAGGAATTATTTAAGAAAATAATAAAAATTGTTGAATTTTATTGAAAATTAATTAGGGGCTTTAAGAATATTTTCTTTTACATTTTATGACCTAAAATTTCAAACTGCCTTAGAAATATAATTCATAACATTTTTGTATTCTTTTAGCTTGAATCTTCAGCATTTTGCCTTAAATATATCATTATCCTTTATTCTCGGGATTCCCACAATAAAATGATAAATTTCTTTTAAAAATGAAGTTTCCAATAGAAAGCTACTTACAGAAAAAATCAGACCCAGACTATGGCTATCCTCCCTCAAAAGTAACATTTATTCAGTCTCTAAAACAGCTCTCTGAGCAAGCTTTAAAAAAAACTTACCAAATTCCCAGACAAAGGAAGAAATCTTTAAATAAAGTCAAACTTTGTCCTCAAGCACCTGGCTGTATCTCAATGTTCCCAAGCGACTCTTTAGCTCCTATAAAGCTTACAATTAACGGAAATCCTGACTCCCCCCCCCCTCCGTGAGCGAACAAAACCATTAGAAAAATCGCCATTTTTTGACCAAAAACCCACCCTCCGTGAGTGAACAAAAATTTTTTTAATAGAAAAAATTTTAATGGAAAAAAATTTTGATATATAAGTGATAATTAGTATAATGAAATCTAGAGCTAATTCTGTTTAATTTTAAACAAATTGCGTTTAAAACATAAATTTTGCAAATTAAATTAATATTTGCTTCCCAATTTTTGCAAATTAGGATTTTTTTAAATTTCGAAAAAAATATTTTTTAAAAAAAATTAACCCCTCCGTGAGCGAACAAAATTTTTTTTTGTTCGCTCACGGAGGGGGGGGGGGAGTGAGTTTTTCTTATGGCATACCTCAAATACTGACTTAAACAGCGAATTTATTTTTTCCTTGCAATTACTCAATGATCTTGGGGTAAATCTGCCACGTCCTCAACTATTAGATTTTGCTTCTAAATGTGCTATGAGTATCAGAGAACAAGTACAGCAATACAGAGACTCAATGGGCGGAAAACACTGTGTGCAAGGCTTGCCTGGGGAACACTTAGTTCCTCTTCAATTCGCAGGACAAGGATTTCAATGGGATATCGCTTGCCCAGAAAATAGCCCTGAATTTTTCGCCAAAATTTTATGCCAAGATATGGAATTACCTGCAAACGACTGCCCCAGTATTTCCTTTAAATTAAGAAGTGCTTTAAAAGCTCACAAAATGAGACTAGCTAAAGCCTTTAACGATGAAATTGCCAGAATCCCAGACATAAAAATGCATGTAGACGAAGCTCCAAGCTTAGACCAGCTGGAAATAGAAAATTCCATTCAAGAAAGTTTGCCACCTCCACACAGAAATTTAGGGGAAAATACATCTAACTTTTTGGCATTATTTGAATTTTATAAAAATATTCAAGAAAATTATATGGAAAATTTTGATAAAATTTTCGAATGCTATTTAGAATTTTTCCAATACCAAAAACTAAAATTTATCGAAATAATTAAAAATTGTTATTAGAGTAAGTAATAAAAATATGAATAAAATTTTAGTCAGAGGAATTGATAGTAAATTATCAGAATTTTCGTGTGAAAATTATGAGAATTTTGTTGAAGAGTACTCAGAATGGACTAAAATTCCTAGGGAGCATTTAAGGATTTCTCAATGCTCAAGAGGAGTTTCTGAAATAAATCCAGATTTTATTGTATGTGTCAGCTTGAAAGTATGCGGAGGAAAAGGTGGGTTTGGATCTTTGCTTACTCTCCACCCCATTTAATAACGAACGCTTTTTTGTTCGTTATTAAATGGGGTCTAACTTATAAAATTTTTGGAAAAAAAAATATATATAAAATTTATATTAAATATCTATGATTTTTTTATATAAAAATTTCAATTAAAGAGTTAATAATAAAAGGGATTCAAATGATGGCAACAGAAAGAGAAAGCGCCTAAATGAAAGCGAAAAGATAACTATTGCTAACTCCCCACCCCTCCGTGAGCGAACAAAACCATTAGAAAATCCCTCACCCTCCGCTAGAATAAAATTTTTTTTTAATAGAAAAATTTTTTATGGAAAAAATTTTGATATATAAATGATATACAAATTGCCCGAGGATGGTGCTATTTTGCGTCATCCTCGGGCAATTTGTATAATTATGATAATGAAATCTGGAGCTAATTCTGTTTTAATTTTAAATGAATTGCGTTTTAAAACATAAATTCTACAAATTCAATTAATATTTGCTTTCCAATTTTTGCGAATTAGGATTTTTTTTTAAAAAAAAATTTTCTATAAAATTTATAAAAAAATTTTTTACAAAAAAAAATTAACCCCCTTCGTAAGCGAATAAGATTTTTTTGTTCGCTCACGGAGCGGAGGAGTAAAGCACCAGCTTAAGATTAAGCCATTATTAACTTATTAGCTCTTATTTATTATTCTTTGCTCGATTATATTTGTCCTTATCTTATTCTAACTACTTAAAATTAGTAAACTATAAAGACTAAGTTGCTTATATAAATTTTATAGTAAATTTTGTTCGTTATTAAATGGGGCCTAAGGAAAAATTTTTAGGAAAAAAAAAATGCCGGTTTTGTTCGTTATTAAATGGGGGGGAGTTAGAGGACAAGGAATGTTTGCGAGGGTGGATAATTTTGAAGCGTGCAGAGATTTAAACGGGAGAAGGATAAGACATATAAATGATGAAATTAGACTTGCGCAATGGAAACAAAAGCAAGCTGAAAAAGAAGAAGAGGAAAGAAAAAAAGCTGAAGAAAAAGAAGAAAAGGTGGTTGTGCCTGCAAAAAGAAAAACTAAAGCAGATCCAAATTATAAGAGTGCAGTAGATGACTGTGTAAAAGGAGTTAAATCAGCATTGGCTGCAGGACTTAAGAAAAAGAATGATGAGCCCATAAAAAAAGCCAAAATTGAAGAGGAGGATAATGAGAAAGATAATAAGATTAATGATAAAAGTAATTAATTGTTATAAGCTAGACGTGAAATATAAATAGCCTTGGGAGCTCAAATAATAATTGTATTATATTTAATTATTTAAACTGATCTTTTAGTTTCCAGACTTGTTTGCTCTACATAGTCTATTTTTTTAAGCAGTAAATAGTCCTTGATAAGCCTTTCCAGTCATTTTAATACAGATTTGACACTTGGCAGCTTTGACAAAGAATTAGGAGGGGAATATTTTATTATAAGAAATACCACACTTTTATAAAATTCTTTTGAATCGTTTGTAATTTTTGCTTCTTTTATCACTTTTTGGCAAGCCCCAATAATTTGATCAGCATGCTCTACTCTTAGACTGATCATTATTTGCCCTATTATTTTTCTCATATTGCTTACAATGATGTCTTGAGAAGCTTTGTTTATTTTCACGGGAGATTTTTTTTTCTTTTTTATTGTTTTTCTTTGTGTTTCTAATAATTGATCTTCAAGCTCATTAATTCTTTGCTGGGCTTCGTTTAAATACTTTTTTAGTGATTCATTTTCTGCTACAAGATCTTGGTTTTCTTTTTCTTGCATTTCATTTTTCGCAATTAAAGTAAGCTCTTCTTGGCTTTTCCTTCTTACTCTTTCATTTAGAAGTGTTTCTACACGATTTTTTATGCTTTCAGTGCCATTTTTCAATTTTTCGACTGTTTCTTGAAATTGCTTATTTTGCGATAATAAATCATTGTTTTCCTTTGCCAATTTTTGGTTTTCGTTTTCTATTACTTTTATTTTCTGCTGGCTATCTCTTTATACCCATTTTTATGTATATGAACTTATAAAAATGTCTTTGTCATAATCCAGCCATTTTATAAAATACTTTAAAACCTCTTCAAGCTCAACTTTTTCATATGAAAACTGAATGCTAGCCTTTTCAAGCTCAGCAATTTTCTTGTAAAGCTCATTCTGCTCATCTATTTTTGAGTTTCTTTTCTCAAGCTCTTCATGCAACTTTGTAATTTTTATATTGAGCTCTTTAATATCTATTCTTGAGTTATGCAGCTCTTCTTTTAAATCCGAAATTATGCTATCTTTCTTTATAAGTTCTCGGTTCATTACTTCTAAATCATCAATTTTTGCTTTGGTGTTAAAAATTTCTTTCTTTAAAACGTCAATTTCTTTGTTTTCTTCAGCACCTTTATTCTGCTTGGAAGGGAAAGAAATTGCTCCATTGCTATACGGATAAGAAATCTGTTTCTTTTCAGGCAGCTCTGGAATTAGTGGGTAATCAATTAATTCAGGTTTTTCGCTTACCCAATTGTCAAGTTTGAACTGGCTTTTTCCTGCTGCTCTTTCAGTGTAAAATCCTGAATTGGCATCTTGATATTTTGATGTTGATAACTCCAAGTCGTCTTTTGATAGCCTTGAGCCATAAATAAAATGGTATTCAGTTCGAGAGAAATTAGATTTCTTAATTTTTCTCTCCCTCATGGAAATTTTATTTATGGAATCCGGCTATAAGAATTTCTGTATAACGACAGCAGTTTCGCATAGGCTTGGAGGACATTCAAGAAGTTTGAGGTTTTGTAAACTCAACACACCTGAGGAAGGTGACTCTTAGGTGGAACACGCGCTGGAAACTGAAGCATGATGAGAGAGAGCACAACAAGTTCCGTGGGGTTATCTGGCAAGCAACGGCGGAACAGGATTATCGGTCAGCCTGAAAAATGGTATAACGCCGAATGTCCGGTACGTCAAGCTTGGAGTTAAAAGGGTGGAATGTGGCCTATTCACCCTGTTGAAGGAGATACCACGTCAAGCACTAAGCTTATTCAGATAAAGATTAAAATAGCCTTGACCCGCTATTCCAATCTTTTATTTCAGAAACCCAAGACCCTTCACTCCCCCCCTTTAAATTGGAACTAAAAATTTTGTTCCAATTTAAAGGGGGGTTAAGAAAATTTTTTTATAAAAAAAAAAAAATTATATAAAATTTAAAAAAAAAAACAATTTCAAAAATTTATCGAATTAGATTAATAAATTTGTTTAATAAAATGCTATTTACTCTTTATCCTTTAAAACAAAGCAAGATATAACTAAAATTTTATTATTAATTAATACGCCACTATTAATTGGTATCAAAACTATTTACACAAAAATTATTATTTTTTTTGATAAAAAAAATTTAAAAAAAAAAAATTTTAGAAAATTTATTAATCAAAGTGCTAATTTTGTTTTAAATAAGATGTTATTCATACTCTATTCTTTAAAATAAAGCAAGAGATAAGTAAATTTTGAATTTTTGTAAAAGAATTCGTATTGAGTTTATATCAAAGCTATTTAAATAAAAAATATCATTTTTATCAAAAAAATTAAAATTTTTTTTGAAATTATTTAAAAAAAACAAAACAATTGATTTTTTTTTTAAAATTTACAATTAAGGATAATAGATTTATTTAAATAAGATGCTCTTTATACTCTATTCTTTAAACAAGAGCAGGATACAACTAAATTTTTAATTTTAGTTAAGAAGAAACATTTAAATTATATCAAAACTTTTTACATAAAAATTATGATTTATATATATAAAATTTTTTATTATAAAATTAAATTTTGTTCCAATTTAAAGGGGGGTTAATTTACCAAAAAAAGTGAAATTTTACCTATATTTTGTTCCAATTTAAAGGGGGGGAGTCAGAGCTTTCTCCAATAATCTGCATCTGTATTTTTTTCATTGATTTTTTGATACTAGAAATTCTTTCATCTACATCATAATCCATCTTTTATAAGCACGTATCCATTTTAAAAATCAGCTAGGCTGAAGATACTTTTATAATGATTATTTATTTAGCTTTATTTCTTGCAGCTCTAAGCCTTGCCGATCTTTACTTGAACAGCCCATTTCAAAGCTCACTTACTTCTTTCCCAAATAATAATCAAAATTTTACATATAGTTTGGATTTATAATAAATTATCAGTAGTAAATTTTATTTAGTGTCAAAATTTGCTGAGGTTAAATGCCAAGATTTTCATTTTTGACATATCCACCAATAATAAGCAAATTTCAATAAGCATAATTTATGGGAATTTGTACTAAAACTTTCATGAATTAATTATTGAGGAAGTTAGAATAAAATCATCAACCCCTGTTTCAATGCAAAGCAGCACTGATCATTTTATTCTTTCCCAAGAAACTCTTGGCATCGCAGTAAGAAGGATAAACACCCAAATGCAGATACTCTGGACTTACACCCTTTCAGGGCAAAACAATTACAATGCCATTGACTTAAAATTAGGCCTAACTACCATTTATGTAGTTTTAAATGTGAATTATACAAATCTTTCGGAAATTCCTGCACTAACACCTTCAGTGAACCCTAAAATATCAACCTATCAAAGCTTATTACTAATTATTTCAATGGACTCAGGGACTTTAAAATCGTCTCAATGGCTTGGGAATTGTTTTGACAGCAACAGCTGGGTATCAGAAATTGCCTATGATGGGCTTGATATTTATGCAGCCGGGACTGATGACTGCAACGGTGGCAGAACTTGGGTAATTAAAGTCGGAAAATGGCAAAATTTCTATACTGGAAAAACTTCTAGCGTAAAATTAAGCTTGACTGGGAATTATGTCTACTTAGCTATGGGATACAGTTCGGATTCCAGCACAAAGGTCTGCAAATTTGATAAATATATGAATTGGCAGTGGGAAGTTGTCCTTGGGAATAAAATTCCTAATGATATTTTGGCAGTTAATGTAGGAGGAGCTGATAATTCTCTGGTAGTCACACAAAATCAAATTGTTTTATTAAGCCCTGCTTCGGTTACATTAGGGACCGTAAGTCTTTCTAATGTAAATTTTTTAAGCGCTATTTCAAACTCAGTAAGTGGGTTTATTGTATCAGGAACCGCGACTTCAGGAGCTTTCGGTACTAGTATTCAGGCCCAGCAAGCAGGAATTCTTATATGATTTAGCTCATCTTTATCAGTATTAAGCTACAGAATTTACGACTCAGGCACAACTGTTAAGATTTCACAATTCACCGAATTAAGCTACAAAAGTGTCTCAGTGCTCCTTAAAAGCTCTGAATCTTTCTATACAAATTCCTACTCCGGCACAGCCGTCTCCTCTTTACTTTTTTTCGCATATGACCCTTTTGCCTATGCAAGCTGCAATTCTTTATGCTCTCAATGTTTCGGAGATTCTTCGAGTTCTTGCTATTCTTGCAATTTTTATAATATAGACGATTTTTCATGTGGAGAATGCGCTGAAAATTGTGCAACCTGCACCAGTTCAAGCCAAAAAAATTGCATTACCTGTGCAAGTGGCTATGTATTTTTAAATAATTATTGTGTCCTTAACTTAAACTGTACAGATGGGACGTACCCAGATAATGATGCCAAGGGTTGTCTAGCATGTGATACTTCTTGTGGAACTTGTTCAGGGCCTTCATTTGCGAATTGTACATCTTGTGCTTATGGTTTTGTAAAAAATGATTTATTGTGTGTTAATAAGTGCCCTAGCTATAGGTTTCCTTATAATGGGGTATGTACAGATTGTAATTCTGCATGTGAGTCTTGTAATGGACCATATAGCTCAAATTGTACGCTATGCAAAACAGGGCAAATCGTATATAAAGGATCATGTCTAGCTAGCTGTCCTTCAAATACTTATAGTACAGGCATTGAGTGCTTTAACTGTAATGCTGCATGCTCAGACTGCACCGATAAATATTCATATTCCTGTAAAGCATGTGCAAAAGGGTATTTTTTATTTCAAAATGTCTGCCTCAATTCTTGTCCTGCAGGCTACTATTTTTCTAACTCTACCTGTTATAGCTGCTCTTCTAATTGTGCAAGCTGTTCTTCACAATCTTGCTCAAAATGCAATGAAAATTATTTTCTCAGCTCAGGAAAATGTTTGCCATCCTCAGACTGCCCAAGCTATACATATTTTAATGGAACAGACTGTGTATCATGCCATGCAAATTGCTTAACTTGTTATGGAGAAGAAGCCACAGAGTGCTTTTCCTGCACATCAGCCTATTTTTTAAAAAATAATTCATGCACTGAGTCTGTAGCTGTCTGTAACTCTTCTCAGTTTAAAAATGATGAAAATGCCTGTATTGACTGCCAAGAAGGCTGCACTTATTGTAATAATTCAAAAAGCTGCTTAAAGTGTGAAAGCAATAAGGTCCTTTATCAAGGATATTGTACTGAAAAGTGTCCAAGTAAATATATGAGTATTAATGGAACTTGTGAAAATTGTCCTGATAGGTGTGATGAGTGTCAAGATGGGAACTGTGTTAAATGCTCAATGAATTATCAGAGTCAAGGGTGATATTTATTAAAAAATGGAGCATGCGTAAAGAATCAAACAGTTTGTGCGGATTCTTATAGCTATGATGAAGATAAAGGGGTGTGCTTGTATGATGAAAATGATGAGATGGAGAAAAAGAAAGAGATGATAAAGACAGCAATTGGTTTGTATCAAATTACTTACTTCCCATTCTTTAAATTGGAACAAAAAATCCTTAAATTTTTCTCTTTAAAAAATATAAATTGAATGAAATATTTTGGAATTTAAATTTTATTTATGTAGAATTAATTAAAAAGTTAATCGATTCAGTGTGTGAAAGATGATTGCGCTTTTTCCATTAAACTAGGTCAAAACTGATTTTATATAATTACGGTAAATTTTGCTATTAAATAAAAAAATCGTTCCAATTTGAAAATTTTTCGGATATTTTGTTCAAATTTAAAGATAGAGGATTAGCAAAATAAGTGTAATTGATAAGGAAGCTTTTGCAAATAATATTGCTTAATATTGGAATACTAATTTTTAACTCACTACATAAATAGGATTTCGTTAATTATTATTATAATTAGCTAATTAATTATAATGGAGTTTTATCATAAGTTATTTAAGGATATTCAAACTAGATAAATAACGAAGCCTTGAAACCTATATGCTCTACCCATAATATTAAAAGCTAAAAAATAATTACTGAATCCTTTGCTGGTCTTATTTTTTCAAAATCATATAAATCTTCTAAAATCCAAAAATAAATATCCCAAAAAAATCTTTTTTTTGAACGGTCTCCCAGCTTTGTCTTTAAAAAAATATCAATGATGATATTTTTTAACTGACAAAAATAATTAAGAAAGATTTATGATCGCATCATACCATTTTCAAAGAAATAATTTCTCGCCAATAATTATTCGATCTCAATTAAAATTCATTTAAAATCAAAGAGAAATAAAAACGGTAGCATTGACGGACATTGAGGTGTGCTCCCTATTGAGCAGTAAGACACACTTCATTGATCATGGTGCATGCACTATTTCAGTAGACCTTTGGGTTGGGATGCAAGCCATAGAGAAAGTCTCGTTTCTCCCCAACCAGTTTCCTGCTCCCTGCTTAAGCAGATAGTTTTTTTGCCATATATTTCTTTTTCTTATCAGGGCTGCAGAGGCATCTCCAGAGGGCGTCTCTGTTCCAATGAACTATTCTTTTAAGCTGGAGATCTAAAGAGCAGCATTCCATCTCCATATTCGAATTAGGTATATGAGACTGGGCTGGTATTCTTAATCTTACCTTAAAATCAAAAATTTACTAATATGTACCATTCATGCCCTTTCATAATAAATTTTCTAAAATGGTTGAATGCATTGACGAATACTTGGGATCAGAGTACACATGCCAATTTGATTTCATGTTAGACTCAATGCAAGCCGAATTAATGCACCCTAATGAGCGTAAGCTTTCATTTGTTGACTTACTGAGTCACTCCTACGCCCATCATGTTGATGTAATTCCTATTCAGATCATGCCCAGCATAGAATCTATGCCTGAGCACTTTGACGAGTCCACTCTTACACAATCCTTCACCCAAGACGATTGCGACGTAAAGCTGAACCCCTTGATCTTAAACTTAAAGTCAATTAAGATCATAGAAAAGCTCTCTGTAGGCCCGTTAAGTGAACCATTTTTACCTCCTTAATGCTTCACTGCTTGCTTGTCAGTCTGTAATGGCTTACCACTCCCTTGCTCCTCACAGAAGAGATCTTTCACTCACTGTTCGTGAGTTAGAGGTGCTGGACTACAATGGTGTTTGACTTCTAGAAAATTCGAAAAAGAATTTTCTGGTCACCTGCCGGACAAGATGGAAACTCGAAGCACATGGCATGGCACTTGATATCGAGATGGGAAACTTCCCAATCGACTAGGAGAATCTCACTGGTGTTGTTGCTGAAACCTCTCTTCTACCTTGATCACTATCTCCCCACGAGGCAGAACCTTGACCTTGATGTGAGCATACTGTCAGCATCACAATATTCCACTTCATCAAACCAAGTAAAGCCTAACCGATACACATTACTGAACGAATTTTACCTTCTATAAGATCCCTGAGCCGCCCAACTACAGGTATTAAGAGGGCAAGCTGGCTCATCACACCATTTTTAATGTATAACCCTGATCTACGAGGTCTACGAGACTCAGATACAAAAGCAAAAGAAAAAAAAGCCCGTTGCCTCAAAAGACACAATAGTTGTCATTCACAAACCTGTAGAACTGACGCCAGACCATATCATAGGCACTATTACTTTAGAAGAGCGACGGAAAAAGATCAAAAAGTACCTGGAAAAGAGGCAGAGGAGGACGTGGAACAAAAAGATCTCCTATGACTGCCGAAAACGAGTGGCGGATGGGAGGTTAAGGATCAAAGGGAGGTTCGTTACGAAAGAGCAAGCAATCGCTATTCTTGGGATTGATCACCCAGCTGTACAAAATTTGTTGGCAATGGAAAGGGAAAGCCAAAATAATTAGATATAGTATGGTAATCTGAATGGTGATTTTTTATGAATAAGCTGTCGTACGTAAGGTTTATTTTTTTAATTTTTTGGGAGGAATTTGGAATTCTGCTGATTTTTGATTTAAAAGTCAGTGAAATAATAGGGTGAAACAGTAAAAAGAACGTTAAAAAAGTAGTTAATTTTGAAATTAAATTAATAGGATATTAATGGAATTTAGATCGTCAAAAGCTATTATACTTGTGTTTTTAAGCGTGTTTTAAGCTGATTCAGTTAATTTTTGATGAAAATTAATATAGAGAGGTATACTCCTAACGGTTGAATTAGCAAAAATTAAAAAATTTATCAATTTGGATTTAGATTCTTCAATATAGAAAACACAAATAAAATGGCAGCCTGTCCTTCTACCATATCCTGGCTTTTAGGTTTAAGAGGGCAGGGCCTGAAACTAGTCCAGGTTTTATCCCTGATAGGACACCACGACAAATTTATTTTTTACCCTGCAGCATAGACAAGGAAGCCAGAATCAATTCAACCACACTTTTCGAAGCGAAGGATAATGGGGACTAGAAGGAGGATTCGGTTGTATCCTATCTCCTATCACGGAAGGATCATGCCAACCTCTAGGAGTTTTTCCAAGGAATTGCCTGGGAGCATCTCCCCAAGAAATATCGAAATCGACAGAAAAGGGCAAGAAACCTGAAGACAGCGAGGACTAAAATAAACCCCGAGCCCCACTCAAACTTTATCTAATCTAATGAATATAGAAAAGTGCAATTCTTCAGTTTCTAAATTTTCAATTATAAATTTGAATATAAATTTCTTTTTAAGTTTTATAATAGTTTAACTGATACCAGCATCTATTCCTTAAATTGCTTGACATTTGAGTGTTTTACGTTAATTATTCTATATCAAACAAGCCAAAACCTGGGTTTGATTTATGTGGTTATCTTACATTTTCAATTAAATATTAAATCAATAAGCTTAAAATCAATATCTATTTTCCCAAATATTCAGACGAAATAGAGAAAAATACTTCACAAAATTTTTAATAATAATTTTAGTCTTTAAAATATCAACACGAATAATCTACTTCGCTGAAATATCCAAAATAACTGCGGTGATATCATCAGAATGACTCGTGTTTGCTTTCCATCTCCTATACGATTCAAAGCACAAATTCTCGGCTGATTTTTCGAGCTCACTTGAGCTTATAAAATTTTGCATTAATTGCAATGCTTCGTCATTCGGTATAAACTCCCAAAGCCCATCGGTGCCTATAATAATATACTCATCCTCTACATCAAGTTCATAGACATACACTTCCGGTTCTGCTACAATCCCAATCCTCGTTGAAGCTTTATGGCCGAAATTTCTTGAAAAAGCAAGTCCTGGGAATTTTTCGTATTTAAATCATACCCTATCCTGCCCATTTCTGTTCCCATTTTCATCTAAAATCGGTTCTACTCTGCCCCCACAGGACTCAATTCTGCTTTTTTCTTCTGGTAAGCTTGGCTTATGCTCCCTCGTCATTTGTATTGGCTTTATTTTATTTCCTTCTTTTCTGCCTAAAATTGCTTTAGAATCCCCTAAATATGCACAAAACAAGCTATTTCCTTCTAATAGCACAATGATCCCGGTGCTCCCTGAGGAGTTAAAATTTACGTTTTCCAGCTGTAAAAGCTCTTCATTTGTCTGTAAAAATGCTTGTTTTAAGGCGTTTGACATGTTTGTTTCGGTATCCAAAATTACTTCTAAGTTATAGGGCAATTTTTCTTTTATGTATGAAGAAACCATATGCCCGAACTCGCCATTTCCGTCGAAAACTCCGAATAAGTGTCTGGTGTCTCTGTCACAAAATTGGGGCATAATTAAATAGTCATCTTGGTTATGATTTTTGGTAATTCCGTTGATTGTACCAATTATGGAAAAGCTACTGTAGTTCCTGATTGCGTTTTGGGGGCGGGATATTGTTGCTAAATAAAAAATTACATTTTCGGGGAGATTTTTCAGGAGAGTTATTGCTGGGCAAATTTAAGGGGAAACTACCACATCTTCCACGGCTCCCATGACTAAGGACAGAAGGCTGACAAAGCACTGGGCTGAGAGCAAAAGATTTGCCATGAAGTCTTGAGCCAAGCATAGGACTTACCTGATCCTCCTTTTCGCTATCTACCTCTGAAAGTGATGAGGAAGCTATCATGATATTAATGTATAAATATTATATGATTTTGAGCCATTATGTTTGTGGTAAATGTGCAGTTATTTGGCTCTGCAAGATTAACTGGAGAATTAATTCCCATTTCATTTGATAGGAAAATAATTTAAAATTTTATGGTGAGATTTTTTTACTTATTATAAGCTTTATATATTTGAGTAGTCTTACAAGATGAAATGCTGGATAATTTAGCTTAAATTAATGATGTGTTTATAGTTTTGGCTTTCTTGGTTTGTAGTGTAGCTGCAGGACGATTCACTATTGGCCGCCACTTCTGAGTTAAGGCAGCAGACAAGATTTTTTGGGAATCTCCAATTTTACATACCCTTGGAAGACAGATCACTATCATCAGCTATTTTATGCATAGATATTCTGGATAATTTAGGTAATAATTCTAAGGCATAAGAGCAAAAAAATGAAATTAGGATTTAATAATTAACTAAATTATTTAGATTTTATTGTATTGCAAAATGTAAGAGAAAATGAAAAATAAAGTTTCATGAATATATACAGGAATTCTAGGAATTAAAATCAGATATGACTGTTTGGCCGAGCGGTCTAAGGCGGTAGCTTAAGGCGCTATTCCGAAAGGGCGTGGGTTCAAATCCCACAGCAGTCATTTTTATCGATCACAAAATTCTACTAGATTTATTATTCAAAATACCTAAAATTTTATTTCTTAATTATATTTCTGTAATCTCACCAATTTTTATTCAATTTTTCTAAAATTTTCTTTTCTTTTTCCCAAATCCTACTTCTTCCATTATTTTTTATTCAAAATTCCAGACTGCTATAAATACTCTAAAACCCAGTTTCCTTTATTTTTCTATCAATTTATTATCAAAAAATTTAAAATCCTTTAGGTTTCGCTCTATATCCGTTTATAAATATGTCTTCTATCAAAAAGGAGTATTTATGCCAAGTTACAATTATCGAAGCACGAGATTTAGCTGGCATAAATAGTGAAGGTTCTTGTGACCCATTTATAAGAGTAACTTGTGGGAATGCAGGCTCTCAAGCTACAACAGCAAATGAAGATAACACTAATCCGTGCTGAAATCAATCGTTTACGTTTTCCAAATTAATGCTAACAGACATGGAGCTGGAGACATGGGAACTAAAAATCGAGTGCTTGAACCACAATCAATTTCTCAAAAATTCGCTTGTTGGGTCTTTTTCATTTGGTTTAGCAACTCTACATAGAAACTCAAATCACGAGTTTTATGGGATGTGAATCACGCTTTTGCATCCAGACCACGGTTCAAGCCCTAGAGGCTATGTACTTATGAACTGCTTTATTGTAGGGCCTCAAGATATCCCTCCTGCGCATGCAATAGGTGAACACATGGGACTAGAAGAAGATGCTGATGAAAGCGACGATGACATGATGGACGAACTTTTAACCCCAGAACAAAGAAAATTAAAAAAATTAAAAGCTCAAAGTGTCAAAATTGTAGGTGCTCCTATGATTGCAAGAAAAAGCTATCAGCTGTCAGTGAATATTTATAAAGCTGAACATTTTGGAAACCATCCTAATGCATTTGTCAGTGCAAGGACGTGTGGGTTTGTGGATAAAACTCATACGATGAAAGAAACCAATGACCCAATTTGGAATGTATGCTATTTATTTATTAATTTATAGGAAAAAAAATAAATTATTGCCTAAATTATATAAGAAATAGGATAATATTATAGTCAGTTTCTAATATTTTATTTAAAAACAAATAAAATTATCATTCCCCGCGTATAAACCAATTTTAAATGACAGAATTACTGTCAGGGTGTGGGACCAAAGGCCTTTAGCAAGAGATATCATGATTGCAACTATCCCAGAAATCCCCAGCGACCACGATTTTTTTAACATCACAAACTTGCTCAGCAGAGGTGGCGTAATGCCTTGCAGATGGATCCCTCTTTATGGGCAGAATCTTGAAGAAAGCTCTATTTGGGATGGTGTCAAAGAAATGGTCGGCTCAAAGAAAAAAAGCTACATTGGGACTTGCTATAAAGGAAGGCTTCTCCTATCACTTACTGTCTCTCCTAATGATGACCCAGAAACTGGTGCTTCCAGAGCTGCTCCTTATAGAGAGCCTATTGCAAAAATCCACTCCCTCCGCGTTATTTTATTTGAGCTCAAAAACGCCAAAAACTGTGGCGACACTGTCAGAATCCGTATTTCGATGGGGCCATTTAATGTTTGGTCCAAAAAAACAGGGAAAAGAGAAACAACTGACTCAAATACTAATGAGACTATAGAATATTTCCAATGGGGATCAGCTTATTCAGGCGAACAAATTGCTGAAATTAAAGAACCGTTCCCAATTGACCCTTCTCAAGCTCCTGATGTATTTTTAGATCTTTATTCAGAAGGACTCTTGGGTGGAGAAAAAAGAATTGGGTATATAAGAAAGCCAGCTTCTGAAATTATAGGGAGGGATTACCCATTTTGGCTACCTTTTAGGTCACTTGATACTTACTTACTTAAATTTATACGCTTAACATCCCTTACGGGGTTGCCCATCCCAGAGCTTCCACCTGCCTATGGCGCATCGGGCCACCGGCCTCTGGGTCGACCAGCTTTGCTTCTCCAAGGTGCACCTAGTCGCAGGTGTTGCCGACTTCGACGGCTCATGATTGAGCTACTTCGCTTGAGGACATGGGTTGCCATTCCGAAAATCCATAAAAAATGGATTTTCTGGTAGGCTTTCGGCAAAAAGGAAAACACGAAGCCTGGGACGTAACGCCCAGTTTCACGCTAGGGAGTTACCCGATTGGTCCTAACGGACTCTGCTGAGCTTCTCCTTTCCAACTTACGTGTCTCCTTCCCCATGAGGAAAAAACATCCCTGAAAATAGACTTGGGCTAGGCTCTGAGCTCCACCAGAATTCTTACCTAGCATTGCTGTCCCTTTCTGAAATGCAAAACCTTGCCGGATATAATTAAAATATGGCGTCTTCGTCTGGGCATGGCCTCCCGACCATGCAGCCTCGACTCATATTTTAATTATAGGTCACTTGATACACATTCAGAAGTCGGCTCAGATTCTCCTGGACTTGTACTGGTGTCAATGAGCTATCAAGTTGATGAAGGGTCTGGGCAGAAATCAGGGGTAGTTAAAAGTAAACCAAGAAAAGCTGATAGGTGGCTTTGTTGAAATGTGTATGGAGGCCTTGATATGGCACCTTCATTAGAAGATGAAGATACAAATCTTGCATTGAAAATTTACTGTGGAGACTCCGTTATCAATTTACCTGATGAAATTTCAGAGCAATGCGCCCATACAAAATATCCCATATGGAAATGGTCAGGGGTAAAGCCTCTGCAACTTCATGAAGACTTGCATTTTGAACAAAATTTGCGCTTAGAAGTTTATAATAAATCAACCATTATGAAATGGTTTGATTCTACTGATGAAATAGGGCAGTTTTCGGTGCCACTTTATGTATGTGAAAACCAATGGAGTCAGCCTCATTTTTTCCATGTAATTAATGCAAGAGAACAAGGGGTTTCTCAAGGAAGAGTTCTAGCAGAATTTTTTATTGCAAAATCAAGTATTGATAGCTCAAATAATCCATGTAAAAGAGAATCAGAAGCGACAATGAAATGTGACATTGAGTTCGCTATTATAGGGATCAGAAATTTAGTCCCAAAATATGAAAAGCCTGAAATCACAGTTACTATACCAGGCTACACTATGGAAAAAGATGTAAAAGCAGAAATCTCCGTTTCTGAAGTAAAAAATAAAGACAGGTCGAATCCGAATTTCTTGACAATAATTAAATTCAAAAACGTCACTTTGCCAGTGACACCTATTTATCTACCTGCTTTATATATAAAGCTTAAGGATACTGCATTTTTGTCCTGAAATGAGTGCTATACGTTTATTCCACTTATGCCTTATGCCCATTGGATCACAGATGAAGCTATCAAAAGAGAGGCACTTGAGCTTTATAATAGAAATTTTACAGTAAAAGAGCTAATAGAGCAAGTCCCACTGAGATCAGTCCCACAAGAAAAATTAAGAAGGACAGGAGATGAGTCCTATACTGATTACGCAGAAGACTGTATCCCTGATGATTCTGCTAATGAAGAAGACAACAACACCCAAGGCAAAGAATTGGACATGTCTGATATTTTTGATCCAAAAAATTCCCGCCTTACCAAAAAAATCCAATTTGACAAAGTAGAAGTTGACGAAGAAATCGAAATTAGACTGAGAGAAGACAAAGAAAAAGAACTTAATAGTGAACTAGAGATTTTACGAGCACAAGCCAAAAAGCAAACTGAGAAAAAAGGTGAAGTAAAAGAAACACTGAAGCTGGAAATAAGAAAAAAAGAAAGAGAGCTAGATGTGGTAAAAGAAGGGGTGATGACAGAAAAGAGGTTCATGAAAAAAGATGAAGTATTGGATGAGGACGGGTTTCAGTATAATAGACCGATTTATAAACAAGGGCCTTATGAAGAAGCGTTAGAGCTACCATATGAACGATACTTTTTGTTCAGAAAAACTAAAAATACAGAAAAATTATCAGCATTTAGGGTAGGTGAGCCTACTGGTGCTATATTAAAGTCAAGTGTATATATAAGGATTCTTGAGGACGGAAAGCCATATGACCCAAATACCAGTTTCCCTGACCCTGATACTTTTACAAATGATTTTAATTTCTTCCATCCAGGATTTCGAGGAACTGAAACCCTCATGTCAATTTTCGGCGAAAACAACTTTGACGTAAGAGTTTATATAACCTTTTATTAAGAATTTACAATTATTTTTATATTTTTTTACTATGACAGAAAATTCAGCTTATAGCAGCATATATTAAGAGGACTCTCTTTAAGTGCAGTCGACAATGCCCCTGATTGAATCGCCTTTTCTGGAGGCTTAGATGCCTTATCAAGCGCCAACAGTTACCCACAGCTGATAATAGGCGACCATAAAGACGTTGATGGGAAATATGTCAACGATACAAAGCCAGAATTGAAAAATTTAAACCCTGAGTTTTTCAGGAGTTATGAGATGGAAGCAGAAATCCCATCTGATTGGAAACTCCAAATAAGTATTTTCAATTTAAACGAGTATGGGTTCGATAACATTATTGGCTCTACTATAATTGATTTAGAAGACAGATATTTTGGCGATCCTTATACAAGTAAAAAACTTATGATGAAAGAATTAAAAAATCATTGTGACAGAGAAATTGAAGAAACCCAAGAACCTAAACTGAGAGAATGGCTTGTAAAGATAAGGAAAAATGTCAAAAGAGATGCGGCTAGACTAGATGTAAGCCAGCATGTTGCGCCTGTAGAATACAGAGCTTTAGAAAACAGAGGGAAAAAGACAGCGCAAGGCATGATAGAACTGTTTTTAGAAGTCTTAGACAGCCAAGAAGCTAGCTCCCCCCCTCCGTGAGTGAACAAAACCATTAGAAAGTTCTCTATTTTTTTGCCCAAAAACCCAGCAACAAAAGCATTTTTATAGAAAGAAACTTTTATATATAAATGATGATTATTATAATAAAATCTCGATCTAATTCTGTTTAATTTTAAACAAGTTGCGTTTTAAAAAATAAATTTTATAAATTAAATAAATATATTTGCTTTCCAATTTTTGCGAATTAGGGATTTTTTTAAATTTCGAAAAAAAATATAAAAATATATTTATAAAATTTTATATAAATTTTTTTAAAAAAAAAAAATTAAACTCCTCTAGAGAACAAAATTTTTTGTTTACTCAAGGAGGGGGGATTAAGCTAATCCCAGTCTCAAAGATCGCAAAACCAATTCCAGAAGAATATGAGCTTCGTTTTATCGTCTACAAATGTGAAGGAATCCCTAGAAGGCCTGACAAAGAAGTTACTGATATATTTTTCAGAGTCGCCTTCGACTGTGCAGGCTGGATTGAGGAATCAGTCCAAAAAGAAACAGACGCCCACATGGGCTCAAGTGACGGCCACGGCGTTTTTAACTGGAGAATGAAATTCCATTTCCAGCTGCCTTGTACATTTGCAAGACTCCGTGTAAATGCATACGATTTTTCTACTTTTGGGGACGATCAAGTGGTTTCTGAAGTAATTTTGGATTTATCGAGATATTTTAGCAGGGTGCTTAAAGAAGGAAAATTAAGTGTGGAGGAGTCTTGGACAGATTTGCATTTGCCGAATAAACCCGGGACAAATGGGGGGAAATTGATGTTTTCGTTTTATATTTTAAGCTTGGCTGAAGCAAATCAAAGGCCGGTTGGAGAGGCACAAGATGAGCCGAATAGAGATCCAGAGCTGGAAACGCCAGAGGAAGGTAGAGGAGTTAGTGATTTCTTAAAAGGAACTGCTTTTGATGTGTCTGGCTGGTCATTGTGGGATTTTGGGATCTTGAAAAAAATATTGGCTGTTTTATCGTTGGGAGGTATGGCGATTGTGCTGTTTATTTACCCAGGTTTCTTGACTGGTGGTGCTAAATAATTCAGATATTTAAAGTTTTTATGTAAAATTATTAAAGTAAAATAAATTCTACTTATTAATTTTTATATAGAAATATAGAGACAAAAATCCCCATAACCTAAATAATTATTTCATTAAATCTAAATAAGCATTTAACGGCTAAGCTGCTAACTCATATTGTTGTTGGCATTGTGATTCTCTCAAAAATATGATAAATCTTGGCAAATCCTATTTCTAATCAAGGATTCGTTGAAATTCCACTATTTTTGCAGCCTTAACAGAATGTAAATTCTAATTGAATCGGCTTTCTTACATATTACATTCATTGAAAATCCTTGGAATTTGAAATTCAATAAGGGTTTTCTTTAAATATTTTTATCTGTCCATTCAATATGGTGCAATTGAGTATTGAAAGAAATTTAATATATTTAAGATAGGATAGAACTATTCATCAGAAAAGCTTTAAACTTGATGGAGAATCAATGAAAAATGTCCATGCTTATAAAGTTTTATAAGGGAACTAATTCTGTATTTTTAAAAGCATAATAATATTACCACAGGATTTTTACCATTAATCAAGCTGCATCAATCCTGAATTTAATGGAATAATTTTCGATAAACAATTAAATTTATATAGCTCCTGCACTTTTATAGATCATTATTGGCCGTCACTGTAATTTTCTTTAATCATATTGACAATTTTCCAAATTTTTTCTTGTTTTGATATGCAAAATCTTATACAGCTTGAGAAAAGTGCTAGGCTAGTATTTTATAGCAGGTAAATAAATTATTCATAGTAATGTTTTTTATGATAGCTGCGCCATATAAGGCTCGAGGATTATTAGCTATCGTTTAAAGAAGATGGTTCTACTTTCGACGACTTTTTCATGTTATTAAATACGTGTGCGTTAACTTTCGATTTACTCCCAACTTGAAAAGCAAATTTAAAGAGAATGCTTGTATCTTTTCCTTGCTTTTTGTATAACAGACTTGGATATTTTTTCTTTTGTACATAAAATCCAATAGTCAAAATAATAGTTCATCCAGCAATTACTAGCTCCCCAAATATTTACTCGCTTTCAATAAGAATATAATTGTTTTTTCGGAAAAAAGAAATCCCAATTTTTTGCAACTAGTTATTTAAATTTTTAAATGCTTTAAAACCTACAATTATTTGATCTCGCTAACTCCCCCCCCCCCCTCCGTGAGCGAACAAAACCATTAGAAAAATCGCCATTTTTTGACCAAAAACCCACCATCCGTGAGTGAACAAAAATTTTTTTAATAGAAAAAATTTTAATGGAAAAAAATTTTGATATATAAGTGATAATTAGTATAATGAAATCTAGAGCTAATTCTGTTTAATTTTAAACAAATTGCGTTTTAAAACATAAATTTTGCAAATTAAATTAATATTTGCTTCCCAATTTTTGCAAATTAGGATTTTTTTAAATTTCGAAAAATATTTTTTATATAAAATTTATATATAAATTTTTTTTAAAAAAAAAAATTAACCCCCCTCCGTGAGCGAACAAAATTTTTTTGTTCGCTCACGGAGGGGGGGGGGGGAGTAAGAGCCTAGTTCTAGCCAGTGTTCGGCCTAAGGTCAATCCCCAATAGGCTGCTAGTCAGTCAAAATCATATGTCTTCAAAGTATCCTTGGGCAACTGAATTACTCTGTGTGATAATTCCATATTGGCATATTGGATAAAGATCTGCGTGGAAAAGTGGACCCTGTAATAATAAAATTGCGGACGAAAAAGGGTCGTTGTTGAAAACCGCTTCCTTAGTAGCCATTTTATTATTATGAAATGCCAATTTAAAAATTTAAAACATTCAATTTAATTATAAGTTATGCTTTATTTAAAATCTATCAAAATTACCCATTGCTTTTATTATACATTTGCCACTTATATATAAAAGGGTGAAAATTATGATATTTCTAATTGCTTTTCTCGCTCAACTGAGGAGTAAAGCGATTCAAGGAAACCCACTGTTATTTAATAAAATACTAATAGTTGCTATAAAGCCTAGCCACATAACTCCTACGATGCTCACTCCCTGCCACCAGCTGAATCTTGGATAATTATATGGCTTATATTTGAATATAAAAATAACATATAAAAGCAATGCAAGCAAAAATAAAAAACCATGAGTCGCTGCTTCTGCTCTTTTTACTGTTTTATTGAGAACAATTAGCACAATTTGAGCTATTGTTTTTACCATAAGAAATAAAGGCAACGTTTTTACATGTAAAACTGGTTGAAATTCCTGCCAAAGAGGCCTGCAAAAGACAGCTAAAGGCTCGTAAATTAAAATTGCAATCCCAGATAAAATTGCATAAACTATATGGCTGTCTTTCCAGCAAAACTGATAACAATCTTTTGCAAGGAAAGAATCAGTGAAACGGTTTCCTATTGACTCATCACATACGAATACATCTAATAGTATAGAAACAAAGGGAATAAAGCATAAGTTTCCCAAAATCGGCATTAGAAATTCGGCAAGCTGACCTAAAAATCTAAAAATAAAGATATGGTTATATTTTTCATCAAGCCTATAAAAAACAGTGATACATAAAATTATCCAGGCTGCGGATAACCCTAATACTGCATCACAAACAATTCAGAATACTCCATTAGTCAATTTTATAAAATTTCCAAGGTTCAATGAGAGAGCCTCCCCAATGTCTCATAAAAAACTATTAATCGGGTCTAAGTCAGGGCCCATAGCTAGATATTGGAAAAATTCAATAGCAATGGTCGCCCCTACTATGAAATCTTCAAATGAAATTTCATACTTTTCTTTTAAGTCTTCTATTTAGGAGCATTATTTTTCCTCGAACTTTTTACTAATACGACAATTTTTCGGGGTATTTAGTTCATATTTTTTTTATTTTTATCAAAATTTGACGATTTTTCCTTCAAGAAAAAAATGTCTACCAAATTTCCCGATTTAGCAAAAATGCCAAATGCATTCTATTTTTACATTCCATCAATTTTTTCATATAAAAAAAGTTATAATACTTGTAGATAATGCCATAAAAAAGCAAATTCCGAATACAAGATATCTGCCTTTATAAAAAGTTTTAATTTCTGAATCTGGGAAAGGGCATTTTAAATCTTGGTTTCTTAAATCAGGTGGCTTTATTGCAGTATATTTGATGTCATAAAAAAAGGGGTTCGCTATAGTTAAATATTGTGTGCTATAAGGGCTGCCTATCCCTATATGATAAACTTCGAGAGTATTGTTTATTAGAATATTACTGTCTATGCTCAAAGCATCCAATTCTCTATCATTGCTACCTTTCGAAATGGCTACTTTTCCAGTGCACCCTATAATTTTAATACTTCTAATAGTTTGATTCAGCTTATATCCATCTGTAAAATCTTGACCTCTATTTATCATAAAATCTATAGAACTTGCTATTAAAAAAGCAGAGTCAAAATAATTACACGAAAGACCAGGGGGAACTGTCTTATAGTCATTTGCAAGGCCATTATAAATCTTTTCTCCAAATGCTCCTACCCAAACCGGCATTTGAAATATCATCATAGGACAGCCAAGCTCAATTCTTTTGTACCTATAAGTATCATTTTTTGCTCCAATATCAGTAACAGCAGCAGCAATTATAGAAAAAAATATTAAGTCACCATTCCTAGCTCCTAAATCATAAAATTTTTCTAATATTACCCCTAATAAGTCATCGTACATAAATACAATTATAAGTCTTGCATTAGTGTCAAGAATTTCTTGCAAGATATATGAGTAGTTGCTTATTTGATCTCTTGTTAGAGCAGGAGGTATTATTGCTGATTTTATGACTGTAATTCCTCCTTCTTCTTCTATAGCTTGCTGAAATGCAAGATATGTAGAAATTCCCCAAGTTTCGTTTTGATATAAGACTGCTGCACTCCGCCAGCCTAAGGCTTTAAGTAAACTTGGTGTTTGAGATGATAAGCCTATAGTAGAAACTTGTATTCTTGAAAATCATGGATAGGTTGAAATTGAGCTTAATGCTGCAGATGATGCAACAGCGCTAACGATTGGAACGGTAGTATTTAAGCGTTTAAATGTTTGAAGAGTCCCTAATACAACTCCCGATGGATATGAAGACACATGGGTTAAGCCAAATTTGTCAATATCTTTTAAAAAACAATTATAGCCATAAGTCGAATCATAAATCGTGGCTCCACAATCATAAGTGAATAAACTCATTTGGAAATTTTCAAGAATTCCTAAGCCTTCATTAATCCATTTGATAGCAAGTGAAGTTCCTCTTGCATATATCGGAACATTAGGAGATGGCACTTGGCCATAATTGGTGGATCCTGCATTAATACTGATAGGCAGAGTTTTCTTGGTAGATATAGGAGGAGTTGTTGTATTTCCTGGAAAAATAATTTCGCTAATAAGGGAAATGCTAGTATTATTAAAATTTCCAACTATAGTCTTTGAGTTATTTATAAAATTCACTAATGAAAAAGTATTTTGGCAAAAGCGGTTAAGGCATGATTTTTCCAATGTTATTTTTATTTGATAAGGATCATCAGCAGCCAACGAGCTGTCAATTAAATTAATAATTTTTAATATTGCAGTAGAAATATAAATTTCTTTAGAAGTCGTATTTTCTTGGTTTTTTTCAGCGATAATAAGACTCCCAGCAATTATGGGATCAAAATAGCTTTCTTTGCCTAAAATGATCCCATTTCCAGCATTGGCAAGTTTTTTTTCAATAAGAGCTTGTTGGATAGAAGAGCTATAAGCTTCATCTCCAAAAATATAATACATTGTAGAGCCCAATGGTACAGCTATTCTGCCAACAATGTCATTTATATTTGAGTTTGGTTCAGTAATAACATTTTTAAAACTATTCGAAAAATCCAGCAAATAATCTTTAATAAAGGTATTTTGGTTCGAATTGAATATTATTCCTTGGCTCCAATTAAAATAGCCAAATAATATGGTCAGTGATTCTAAATAATTAACCCTTGATGTCGACCCAGAAAAAGTTCAGTCTGTTAAATAGTTTAGGTCGTCTTCAACAACTAAATGAATAACTTCATATTCTTTACACAATTGTGATAAGTCATAATGATTAACTCTATCATCAACCAAGTCAATCAAAATTTTTGGATTTTCTAATAAATCAAAAAGAGCCAATAATTCGTCAGAATTTGTCGCTGAGTATAAATATAGATTTAACTTCATTATTGCTCTTTTGAGGACAATGCTTTAACTTAAAAAATAAGCTACAAGATGCCAATTTTTTTTATAATTATAATTTAATATTGGCAAATCCAAATTGCAGATTAATAACTGCAAATTTTTAATTGACATTCACATAGCCTTTTAATAAGTAAAGGGATTGCTATTAAAAATCTATAAAGGGCCTTAAATTATAATGAGAAGACAGTGCTTGATTTTGCTGGAGAAAATTAAAGGATGCTGTTGAAGAGGTATCTGTGTGGAAGAAAATTAAATTTAAAGCATCAGCAAAAGAAATGGGTAGCATCACACCAAATAGCAGGTAAGCAAGCATAGGATTCATATTTTATATAGCTATTTTATTATTCGAATGAAAATAAATAAAAAAAAACCTGCTGATTTAAAAATTCTTTAGGTGAAAAAGTTTTTTAATTCAGTTTATTTGACTAGTAAATAAATTTTAAGGCTTAAAGCTATATGCTATCATTTTAACCGATATCACGATGCTTCATGATTTATTTTAATAGCACTAATTGCTCTTTTGCAAGTGCTTTAATAATTTTTCTTTATCGAAGAATTATATTGAACTACCATAAAGAGTTAAATACGAACAATTTAATATGTATTATGGTTGTGATAAAAATATATTGATAAATTAAAATTTTACTCTCTTGATCCTTGATTGAACTCATAGCTGTCGATTGGTCAAAAATATAGATTATAAAATTTTAGAAAATTATTTTATAAGCTGAAAATTTATATGAATTTTTTTATGCTAGCTGCAAGATAAGGTATATATTAGCAAACATGCTAAAGATTTTATTAAAACTGTATAGAAAAGTTTATGGTATAGTCTATATTCATTACTATCAGATATATATAGATTAGATTTAAACCGGGGGTTTCATTTTTTGCCTCTCTATAAGGACAGAGCTTTTCAAATATTTAGAAAATTTTACTGATATTTCTAGAAAATTAATATAGGTGATTTTTAGGAAAGCCCATTAAAATATTTATAATCTACACACTAGATCAAAGCTTGTTTTAAATATGTTTAAATACCAAGGATATTATAAACTGACATTAGGCAATTTATTGAGCATTAAAAGACTATTGAGACCCAGATTTTTACGTTAAGAATATTGGCTACTTTATAGGAGTTTAATTGATTAAAATGCATTTTTTGTTAAATTTGAATAACTTGGCACATCGAGGTATAATTTACTTTCTATGAATGCATAAAATTTTATAAGTCAACCATTTTTGTATTTTAAAAGCATAATAATATTACCATAGCATTTTTACCATTATTCAAGCTACATCAATCCTGATTTTAATGGAATAATTTTCGATAGACAATTAAATTTATATAATTAGGTTCAAGAATTATTAGCTATCTTTTATAGAAGATGGCTCTACTTTTGTTCACTTTTCCATGTTATTAAGCACATGTGCGCTTACTTTCGATTTACGCCCGACTTGAAAAGCAAATTTAAAGAGAGTGCCTGTATCTTTGCCTTTCTTTTTATATAGCAGACTTGGATATTTTTTCTTTTGTACATAAAATCCAATAATCAAAATAATAGTTCACCCAGCAACCACTAAAGAGATTCAAGGAAACCCACTGTTATTTAATAAAATACTCATAGTTGATATAGAGCTCAGCCATATAACTCCAACGATACTCATTCCGTGTCACCAGCTGAATCTTGGATAATTATATGGTTTATCTCTGAATATAAAAATAACATATAAAAGCAGGACAAGCAAAAATAAAAAACTATGAGTCGCTGCTTCTGCTCTTTTTACTGTTTTATTGAGAACGATTAATACAATTTGAGTTATCGTTTTTACCATAAGAAATAAAGGTAATGTTTTTACATGCAAAACTGGTTGAAATTCTTGCCAAAGAGGCCTCAAAAGACAGCTAAAGGCTCATAAATTAAAATTGCAATCCCAGATAAAATTGCATAAACTATATGGTTGCCTTTCCAGCAAAACTGATAGCAGTCTTTTGCAAGAAAAGAATCAGTGAAACTGTCTCCTATTGACTCATCGCACACAAATACATCTAATAGCACAGAAACAAAGGGAATAAAGCATAAATTTCCCAAAATCAGCATTAGAAATTCGGCAAGCTGACCTAAAGATCTAAAAATAAAGATATGGTTATATTTTTCATCAAGCCTATAAAAAACAGTTATACATAAAATTATCCAAGCTCCTGATAACCCTAATACTGCATCACAGACAATTCAGAATACTCCATTAGTCAATTTTATAAAATTTCCGAGGTTCAATGAAAGAGCCTCCCCAACGTCTCATAAAAAACTATTAATCTGGTTTAAGTCAGGGCCCATAGCGATATATTGGAAAAATTCAATAGCAATGGTCGCACCTACTATGTAATCTTCTAATGAAATTTCATGCTTTTCTTTTAGCTCTTCTATTTTTACGTTCCATCAAAATTTTTCATATATAAAAAGTTATAATACTTGTAGATAATGCCATAAAAATGCAAATTCCGAATACAAGATATCTGCCTTTATAAAAAGTTTTAATTTCTGAATCTGGGAAAGGACATTTTAAGTCTTGGTTTCTTAAATCAGGCGGTTTTATCGTGGTATATTTATTGTCATAAAAAAAGGGGTTAGCAATAGTTAAATATTGTGTGCTATAAGGGCTACCTAGCCCTATATGGCAAGGTGAGATAGTATTGTTTATTAGAATATTGCTGTCTATGCTCAAAGCATCCAATTCTCTATCATTGCTGCCTTTCGAAATGGCTACTTTTCCAGTGCACCCTATAATTTTAATATTTCTAATAGTGTGATTTAGCTTATACCCATCTGTAAAATCTTGACCTCTATTTATCATAAAATCTATAGAACTTGCTATTAAAAAAGTAGAATCAAAATAATTACACGAAAGACCAATGGGAACTGTCTTATAGTCATTTAAAAGGCCATTATAAATCTTTTCTCCAAGTCCTCCTACCCAAATCGGCATTTGAAATGATATCATAGGACAGCCAATCTCAATTCTTTTGTACCTATAAGCATCATTTTTTGCTCCAATATCAGTAAGCGCTGCAGCAATGCCAGAAAAAAATATCAAGTCACCATTCCTAGCTCCCAAATCATAAAATTTTTCTAATACCAAGCCAAATAAGTCGTTGTATATAAATACAATTATAAGTCTTGCATTAGTGTCGAGAATTTCTTGCAAGATATATGAGTAGTTGCCTATTTGCTCTCTTGTTAAAAAAGGAGGGATTGCTGCTGATTTTATGATATTAATCCCTGCTTCTTCTTCTATACCTTGTTTAAATGAAAGGTATGTAGAAATTCCCCAAGTTTCGTTTTTATATAAGACTGCTAGACTCCGCCAGCCTAAGGCCTTAAGCAAATGTGGTGTTTGAGATGAAAAGTCTGAATTAGAAACTTGTACCCTTGAAAATCATGGATATGTTGAAATTGAACTTAATGCTACAGATGATGCAATAGCACTAACGATTGGGACCGTAGTATTTAAAAGTTTAAATGTTTGAAGAGTCCCTAATACAACTCCCGATGGATATGAAGACACTGCAGCCAAGCCAAATTTGTCAATATCTTTTAAAAAACAATTATAGCCATAAGTCGGATCATAAATCGCGGCTCCACAGTCATAAGTGAATAAACTCATTTGGAAATTTTCAAGAATTCCTAGGCCTTCATTTATCAATTTGATAGCGATTGAACTTCCTCTTGCATATATTGGAACATAAAGAGATGGTGCTTGACCATAATTGGTGGATCCTGCATTAATACTGATAGGCAGAGTTTTCTTTGTAGATATAGGAGGAGTTGTTGCATTTCCAGGAAAAATGATTTTGCTGATAAGGGAAATGCTGGTATTATTAAAATTTCCAACTATAGTATTTGAGTTATTTATAAAATTCACTAAATTCCCCCTCCGTAAGCGAACAAAAAAATTTTGTTCGGATTTAATTTTTTCTTTAAAAATTTATTATAAATTTTATAATAATTTGTTTTTCAAAATTAAAAAAATCCATTTTGTAAAAATTGAGAAGAAAAATTTTATTTAATTTAAAATTTATATTTTAAAATGCAAGCTTAATCAGAATTATCTAGAGATTTCGTTATAATAGTTATCATTTATATTAAATTTTTTTTTCATTAAAAAAATTTTGTTCGCTCACGGAGGGGAGTAATAAAAAATCATTTTGACAAAAGTGGTAAAAACATGATTTTTCCAACTCTCCCTGCATCTTTTATAGAGCTATTCTCTAGAAAAATTGATCTCAACCAATAATCAAGCAATTTTCAGATGTTAAATATTGTAATTAATAAATCAATATTTTTTTCAGAATTTTTTATCCTATCATTGAAGTTCGTCAGGTCTTTTGATCATAATGGGAATGTAATGTATTTTTTATTTGATAAGGATCTTCAAGGTTTTCAATTAAATTAATAATTTCTAATATTGCAGTAGAAATATAAATTTCTCTAGAAGTCGTGCTTTCTTGGTTTTTTTCAGCAATAATAAGACTCCCTTCAATTATAGGATCAAAATAGCTTTCTTTACCTAAAATAATTCCGTTTCCAGCATTAACCAGTTTTTTTTCAATAAGAGCTCGTTGGATAGAAGAGCTATGAGCTTCATCTCCAAAAATATAATACATTGTAGAGCCCAATGGGACAGCTATTCTGCCAACAATGTCATTTATATTTGAGTTTGGCTCAATAATAACATTTTTAAAACTATTCGAAAAATCCAGCAAATAATCTTTAATAAAGGTATTTTGGTTCGAATTGAATATTATTCCTTGGCTCCAATTAAAGTAGCCAAATAAAATGGTAAGTGCTTCTAAATAATTGCTCTTAGAAGTTGACCCTGAAAAAGTTCAGTCTGTTAAATAATTCAGATCGTTTTCAAAAACTAAATGAATAGCTTCATATTTTTTGCACAACTTTGATAGATCATAATGATTAACTCTATCATCAACTAAGTCAATCAAAATTTTTGGGTTTTCTAAGAAATCAAAAAAAGCCAATAATTCGTCAGTATTTGTCGCTGAGTATAAATATAGATTTAACTTCATTATTGCTCTTTTGAGGGAAATACCTTAACTTAAAAAATAAGCTACAAGATGTCAATTTTTTTATAAGTATAATTTAATATTGGCAAATTCAAATTGTCAATGGATAACTACCAATTTTTAATTGGCACTTTTCAGAAAATTGGCATTCACGCAGCTTTTTAATAGGTAAAGGGATTGCTACTAAAAAATCTATAAAGGGCCTTAAATAATAATGAGAAGACAGTGCTTGATTTTGCTGGAGAAAATTGAAGGCTGCTGTTGAAGAGGTACCTGTGTGGAAGAAAATTAAATTTAAAGCATCAGCAAAAGAAATGGGCAGCATCACACCTAATCATAGGTAAACAAGCATAGCATTCATATTTTTTATAGTTACAAATATTAGAATGATATAAATAAATAAAAAAAACTACTTGCATTTAAAATTATTTAGGTGGATAATTGTTTTAATTCAGTTTTATTTGACTAAGTATAAATTTTAAGGCTTAAAGCTTTATGCTATCATTTTAGCCGATATCACATTGCTTTATTATTTATTTTAATAGCACGAGTTGCTCTTATGAAAATATTTTAATAATTTTTCTTTATCGAAGAATTATATTGAAATACCATAAAGATTTAAATATGAGCAATTTAATATGTATTATGGTTGTGATAAAAATATATTGGTAAATTAAAATTTTACTCTCTCGATTGAACACATAGCTATCGATTTGTCAAAAATATAGATTATAAAATTTTAAAAATTATTTTATGGGCTGAAAAATAATATATATCAAAATTTTATATGCAAGCTGCATAATAAGGTATATATTAGCAAAAATGCTAAAGATTTTATCAAAATTGTATAGAAATTTTATGGGATAGTCTATATTTTATTACTAGCAAAGATATATATATTAGATTTAAAACGGGGGTTTCATTTTTTGCCACTAGGACAGAGCTTAATTTTTCAAATATTTAGAAAATTTTTACTAATATTTCTAGAAAATTAATATAGGTGATTTTTAGGAAATTCTGTTGAAATATTCACAATCTACGCACTGGATCGAACTTGTTTTAAATATATTTAAATGCCAAATATATTATAAACTGACATTAGGCAATTAATTGAAAATTAAAAGACTATTTAACACCTGATTTTTACGTTAAGTATTTTGTATTGGCTAGCAAGCAGGAGTTCCATTGATTAAAATGCATTTTTTGTAAATTTTAATAACTTGGCATATCGAGCTATAATTTACTTTCTATGCAATGTATAAAATTTTATAAGTCAACCAATTTTGTATTTTAAAAGCATAATAATATTAGCCATAGCATTTTTATCATTATTCAAGCTACATCAATCCTGATTTTAATGGAATAATTTTCGAGAAGACAATTAAATTTATAATAAGGTTCGAGAATTATTAGCTATCTTTAATAGAAAATGACTCTACTTTTGCTCTCTTTTCCATGTTATTAAGCACATCTGCGCTTACTCTCGATTTACGCCCGACTTGAAAAGCAAATTTAAAAAGAATGCTTGCATCTTTTCCTCGCTTTTTGTAGAACTTGCTATTAAAAATGTAGCGTCAAAATAATTACACGAAAGACCAGGGGGAACTGTCTTATAGTCATTTATTAGGCCGTTATAAATCTTTTCTCCAAATGCTCCCACCCAAGCCGGCATTTGAAATATTATCATAGGACAGCCAATTTCAATTCTTTTGTACCTATAAGTATCATTTTTTGCTCCAATATCAGTAACTGCAGCAGCAACAATAGAAAAAAATATCAAGTCACCATTCCTAACTCCCAAATCATAAAATTTTTCTAATACTACCCCAAATAAGTCGTCGTGCATAAATACAATTATAAGTCTTACATTAGTGTCGAGAATTTCTTGCAAGATATATGAGTAGTCGCCTATCTGATCTCTTGTTAAAGAAGGAGGTATTATTGCTGATTTTACGATTTTAATCTCTCCATTTTCTTCAATAGCTTGTTGAAATGCAAGGGATGTAGAAATTCCCCTAGATTCGTTTTGATATAAGACTGCTAAATGCCGCCAGCCTAAGGCTTTAAATAAGCTTGGTGCTTGAGGTATTCATCCTAAGTTAGAAACTTGCACCCTTGAAAATCATGGATAGGTAGAAGTTGAGCTTAATGCTGTAGCTGCAGCAGTAGCACTAACGATTGGAACCGTGATATTTAAAAGTTTAAATGTTTGAAGATTCGCTAATACAACTCCCGATGCATATGAAGATACTGCAGCCAAGCCAAATTTGTCAATATCTTTTAAAAAACAATTATAGCCATAAATCGGATCATAAATCGTGGCTCCGCAGTAATAAGTGAATAAACTCATTTGGAAATTTTCAAGGATTCCTAGGCCTTCATTAATCCATTTGATAGCGAGTGAAGTTCCTCTTGCATATATCGGAACATTAAGGGATGGTGCTTGGCCATAATTGGTGGCTCCAGCATTAATACTGATAGGCAGAGTTTTCTTGGTAGATATAGGAGGAGTTATCGTGTTTCCTGGAAAAATGATCTTGCTAGTAAGAGAAATGCTGGTATTATTAAAATTTCCAACTATAGTATTTGAGTTATTTATAAAATTCACTAATGAAAAAGTATTTTGGCAAACGGTAAAGGCATGATTTTTCCAAAGTATTTTTTATTTGATAAGGATCATCAACAGCCAACGGCCTATCAATTAAATTAATAATTTCTAATATTTCAGTAGAAAAATACATTTCTTTAGAAGTCGTGCTTTCTTGGTTTTTTTCAGCAATAATAAGACTCCCGCCAATTATAGGATTAAAATAGCTTTCTTTACCTAAAATGATTCCATTTCCAGCATTAGCAAGTTTTTTTATTCAATAAGAGCTTGCTGGATAGAAGAGCTATGAGCTTCATCTCCAAAAATATAATACATTGTAGAGCCCAATGGGACAGCTATTCTGCCAACAATGTCATTTATATTTGAGTTTGGCTCAATAATAACATTTTTAAAACTATTCGAAAAATCTAGCAAATAGTCTTTAATAAAGGTATTTTGGTTCGAATTGAATATCATTCCTTGACTCCAATTAAAGTAGCCGAATAAAATGGTGAGTGCTTCTAAATAATTAACCCTTGATGTCGACCCAGAAAAAGTTCAGTCTGTTAAATAATTTAAATCGTCTTCAACAACTAAATGAATAACTTCATGCCTTTTACATAATTGTGATAGATCATAATGATTAATTCTATCATCGACTAAGTCAATCAAAATTTTTGGGTTTTCTAATAAATCAAAAAGAACCAATAATTGATCAGAATTTGTCGCTGAGTATAAATACAGATTGAACCTAATTATTGTTCTTTTGAGGAAAATGCCTTAGCTTTAATATAAACCCACAAGACGTAAAATTTTCCATATAAGTATAATTTAATATTGGCAAATCCAAATTGCAGATGAATAAATGCCAATTTTTAATTAGAACTTTTAAAAAAATTGGCATTCACGCAGTCTTTTAATAAGGCAAAGGATTGCTACTAAAAATCATATAAGAAGCCTTAAACTATAATGAGAAGACAGTGCTTGATTTTGCTGGAGAAAATCGAAGGCTGCTGTTGAAGAGGTGTCTGTGTGAAAGAAAATTAAATTTAAAGCATCAGCAAAAGAAATGGGCAGCATCACACCAAATAGCAGGTAAGCAAGCATAGCGTTATTTTTTATAGCTATATTATTAGAATGGTAGATAATAAAACAACCTGCTCAGATAAAATATTTTTAAACGAATGAGTTTTTCTAATACAGTTTTATTTGGCTAATAAATAAATAAATTACAAAGCTTAAAGTATATGCTATCGTTTAACCGATATCACGATGCTTATTATTTATTTAAAAGCGTGGCTCCTCATATGTAAGTATTTTAATAATTTTCTTTATCGAAAATTATATTGAACTGCCATAATATTTAATATGAAAAATTAGCATATTTATTATTATTATTATAAAAAAATATATGGAAAAATAAAAATTATTTAGCTGAAAATTTTCCCAGATATTTTTTATAGATAATTAGATTTAAAGCTGAATTGGAGTGGATTTCATTTTTTGCCATTCTGTTAATTATAGAGCTAATTTCTCTAATATTTATAAAATTTCGAATGGCATTGTTAGAAAATTTATATAGGTAATATTTGAGAAATAGACACTCTATACACTTTATCAAAGCTTGTTTTCAAAGTCTTTAAATATCAGCTTGGTTATAAACTGTGCATTCGGCATGAAATAGAGCATTGAAAGCTCATTGAGCTTCAGATTTTTACATTGAGAAATTGTGTTTGTTAGTAAGCAGGAATCTGAGAAGTTTTAATTTTTATTATGGAGAGAGTTTGAAAATAGTAGAGCATTTGTAATTTGAGCTGAGAACTCTACTTGGATACTTATTATTCTTTTTTTTATGCAATTAATTCTATGTGTAGAAATTTTATTAATGAAATTTTAAATTAAAATAATTTAGCTGATTGAGGTATAATTTACTTTCTATCCATAAATTTTTATCTCTATCATTATAAAAGCTTCTATTTTAAAACACATCTATATTTATAATTTTAAAGTAATAATATTTATATACTTAAAACTGCAAAATCATTTAACTTTTCTCCATTTTCTAGTCTCTTAATTTTTTCTTCAAGCTCCTTAATAATTCTTTCTTTTTCAATGAAGTCCTCTTCATACTTTTCTATAATATTTTTATAGTCCTCTGCCAATGGTGCTTCAGGCTTAATTTTAATCGAAGAATCAAAACTTGATGCATTAAACAAACTTTCATCGCCAAATACAAATGATGAGGATTCTTCATAAATTTCTGGGATTTCTTTAATTATTTTTGGAGGACTTATGTAAGCTTCCAAGGAATCTACAGCAGGGAATTGGGCAGGTTTATCATACTTTGGGCTTCCAACTAGCATTCTCAATTTAAACTCAGAAAATGCTTGCTTTATTAAATCAATAACGGCGCCTTGGTCTGATTCTGTTAAATGAGGCTCAATTTTATCAAAAAATCGCTTCAGTCTTTTATTTTCAATTCTTATAATTTCATTTTCTTTTTTTAAATTGGAAATACTAGCTGAAAGTTCTTCATGTAAAAATTCATCATGGCTTTGGGCTTCTTCTGTCTTCTCTTCAGGCAAAACTCCAGCTTTTTCTTTAAATCCTGCATATTCTGATTTAACTTTTTGAAGCTCAGAATTAGATATCATTAATTCTTTTGCGATTGAGTCTATAATTTTTTCCATTTGTGCTTTTTCAAACTCCAAGCCACTCACTTTTTTCTGAAATTCATTGACTTGGCCAGCAATTTCTTTTATTTGCCCATTAAAACTTTCCTTGACTTTTTCTGTTTCTTCGTGGTTTTTTATTTCTTCTTGCAACTTAACTTATTAACCATCACGTTTAACGTCTCCTACGGGGTTGCTCTTCCAGGACTACCACCACGCTCTCGTCGCTCGGGGCCCACTAGTTGCTGGGACAACTAGCTTTGATCTCCAACGCGCGCCTCCTCGCGATGTTCCGGCTTCGACGGCTCATGATTGAGCTACTTTCTCTGTAACGAGGGTTGTCTGCTGGGAAATTCAAAAAAATGGAATTTCTGGCCGACTTTCGCAAAAGAGGAAAACTTGTAGCCCGGGGCGAAACTCCCGGTTTCTCGCTAGAAATTTGCCCGAATGGCCTAGGGATTACCTGTAGGCGCTGCTGGGCTTCTCCTTTCCAACTCCAAGCCTCCTCTTCCCTCGAGGTAAAATCCTAACCCGAGAACGGACTGGGATCAGGCTCTGTACACTGCCAGAATTGCTTACCTGATGTTGCTGTCCATCTCTAGCTAGGCAAAACCTTGCCGATATAATTAAATAGGGCTCGAAACTGTCTGGCCGAGAGGCCAGACCCAAGTTAAGACGCCATATTTAATTATATTTTATTTCTTCTTGCAATTTATTTTCAAGCTCCATATTTTTAAATTGGAGTTTTTCTAACTCGTCTTTTAGGTTTCCGTCTGGGTTTTCACTTGTAAAAATATTTATTTTATTTTTTAATTTTGCGTTTTCTTCAATTAAATTTGACACCTGTTTCGATTTATTTTCTAAAGAAGCTTTCATCAGCCTTTCTCTGCTTTCGTATTTTGTGTTGATTTCATCAAATTGTTGCCTGAGCTTATCAGCTTCTTCTTCATGGACTTGTCCAGCTTTTTGCATTTCATTGGTTAGGCGAATATTCTCTTGAACAAGCTCATCAAATTTTTGCTGAAATTCTGAAATCCCTTCTGTTACAGATTTTAATTCTTCTAATTCATCTTGTTGCTTATTGCATTGGATTAGTAATTTATCTCTTGTTTCTAATAGTTTTGTTTTTTCTGCTTCGATTAATGCTTTATTTTTGTTTAAATCATCTTTTTCTGAGAGTAATTTTTCATAGTCAGATGATAATTTTTTCATTACGAAATTTAGGTCACTTTTTTCTTTTTCAAGTTTGCTTATTTTTAGCTGGAGGTCTTCAGAGTTTAATTTATTTATAATTAAAGTGAGATCTGATTTTTCTTTTTCAAGCTTGGCGATTTTTTGAGGAAAATCTTCAGATGAGAATTTTTTTATTATTAAGCTGAGCTCGAAATTTTCTTTTTCTAGTTTTTCTACCTTTTGAGGGAATTTTTGAGCTGAAAATCTATTGATTATGGCATTTAAATCAGCTTTTTCTTTTTCAAGATTTTCAATTTTTTGCTGAGTCTCTAGTGATCCCATTTCTGATTTTGAGCTATTTTCCAGCTGATTTTTTGAGTCTTCAAATTGCTTTTTCATGCTATTTATTTGAAGTCTCAAACTGTTATTCTCTGCTTCAAGGCCAATAGCTTTTTCTTTTAATTTCATGCTTAAGGCAGAGCTGCTATTCTTAGCAGACCACGCAGCTTTTATGCTTAAGAATTTTGAAATCAGCAAATTCGGAGACACAAGTAACTTTTCACTCCTTGCTAATATTTGTTTCAATTGATTTTTCTAACTCCCCCTCTGTGAGCGAACAAAGGCATTGGAAAAAATTCCTATTTTTTGCCCAAAAACCCACCCTACGGAGCGAAAAAATTTTTTTTATGAAAAAATATTTTGATATATAAAGATAATTAGTATAATGAAATCTGTAGCTAATTTTGTTTAATTTTAAACAGCTTGCATTTTAAAACATATATTTACTTTCCAATTTTTGCGAAGTGAGATTTTTTTGAAATAAAAAAAAAATATAATAAATTTTAAAAAAAAAATAAATTAGCCACCTCTGTAAGCGAATATATTGTTTTTTTCACTCAAAGGGGGACTAAGCTATTTTGAAAGAATAAAATTTGATTTTGTATTTGATTCATTGCATTTTTGTTGGGAATTAAATTTTTTAGTTCTTTTAATTTTTGTTTTTGTTTGGAAATTTTTATTAAAAGCACTTTTGAGCTGTCTTCTTCTGGAGATCCAGTTACAACATCATTTTCAATCAAAAGTTCGTTTTTTTCAAATTCTAAAATTCCAAGCCTTTCTCTAATTTCAAAAACTTCATCCGATAATTGTTTATTTAGTTTTTCAGAGTTTTGAAGCTTTAACTCCAATTCTTGGTTCGATCTCAATCGTTCTTCTAGATCTTTATTTCTTTTTTCTGAACTTTGCATTGCAATACTAAGCTCTTGAATTTGCTTTAGAAGCTCATCTTGGAGCTTTCCCTTTTTCTCATAATTTTGTAGCCTTGCTTCAATTTCCCCATTTATTTTCTGGAGATTCTCAAACTCTTTAACTATTTTTTCATAATTTTCAATTCTTGTTTCCAATTCTTGATCTTGTTTTTTATCTTTTTCAGCAATTTTCGATTTATTTTCCAAATCTTTGATCTTTTTTTGGGCTTCTTCATTTGTGTGTGTTAAATTTCTGATTTTTTCTTCATTTTCTTCAAATTTATTTTCAAATTCTTTTTTATCCTTGACGAGCTTTCTAATTTCGTCTTTTGAGTCAAAAAGTTCTTTTTTTACCTTCATAAGCAGTTTATTCATTTCTCTATTTTCTTCTTCTAATTTTACTTGCAAAATTAGTGTTTAGCATGTCGTTTGATTCTATAGAAAGGCCATAATTATAACCTGCCTTTTTTGTACTGAACTCTTGGGCATTCTTCCCCATCTGTACAAGGAGCACTTTTAAACTTCCTTACGACTTACCAGGCCATCAAACCTCCTGGCCTTCTGTGCTTAAATCTGTAGTGTTCCGCATAAGGGTCTCCCCATAATAATTTCCTTGAGGATGGAATTATTCTCGTAGAAAGCCTATTTCGAAGATGCCATTTTATTGTTATTTCTTCTAATTTTTCAGTTTTTTCTGCAAGCAGCTTAGAAAGATCTTCAATTCCTAGCCTTTCTTCATTCAGTGTTTTGATTCTTTCTTCTGCTTGTTGTAGCTTTTTTGTTATTGCATCCTTTTCTTTTAATATCGGCTCAATTTCTTCACTTCTAGGCTCAAATGATAATTTTTGATTTTCTACTCTTTCAATTTCAGCTAACCTGTCTATAAGTCTTTTGTTTTCTTGATTTGCTTGTGTGAGTTTCTTACCCTTGCGAAATAAAAATAAAATTCTTGAATCTTTTTTTCATAAAAAAAAATTAAAAATAAATAAATGATTACTATCATATTTATCCAAAAATGTTAATTATTATCGTGTTTTTCACCTTATAAACATTTATTTATAAAGAACGGAAATTAGTAAGTGCTTCTTTTTCTTTGCTAACTCCCCCCCTCCGTGAGTGAACAAAAAGCCATTAGAAAAATCGCTATTTTTTGCCCAAAACCCTCCTTGAGTGAACAAAAACTTTTTTTAATAGAACAAATTTTTTATGGAAAAAAATTTTGATATATTAATGATAATTAGTATAATGAAATCTAGAGCAATTCTGTTTAATTTTAAACGAATTGCTTTTTAAAACATAAATTTTATAAATTAAATTAATATTTGCTTTCCAATTTTTGCGAATTAGGATTTTTTTAAATTTCGAAGAAAAAAAATTTTTATAAAATTTATATATAAATGTTTTTAAAGCCCCCCCTACGTAAGTAAACAAAATTTTTTTGTTCACTCACGGAGGGGGGGAGTAAGTAAATTAATTTCTTCTGAAGAATAACTAAGCGTTTCTTTTTCCTTCTCAACCTGCTGAAGCAATGACAATTTTTCCCCAAGCTCCATTTCTAAAGATTTAATTCTTTTTTCACAGCGATTTTTTACGCTCATTTTTTCTTGTGCTGATTTTTCCAACTGTGCTTTCTCTTTTAGCAGTTTTTCGCAAACATCTTTTTTCTCGTCAAGCTCTTTACTAATTTCATTAATTGTTTTTTCATATTTCTCTTTTAAGCTTTGGATTGCTTTATTTTTTCCATCAATTTCTTTAGCCATTTGGTCGCCTTTTACCTTAAGTTCATTTCTTAATTTTTCTACTTGACTGTTTTGTTCATTAATTGCTGCTTTATTAGCAATTCCTCTTATATCAAGCGAAAACACTTTTTTTATTCCTGATTTTTTTACTACGATAGGCTGTGGTTTTACTTCAGACTGAGAGTTTTGTGTCTCGATCCTTTGGATGATTTCTTCATACTGTTTAATCCCATCCATAAGTTCCACTATTTGTTTCATTAAATCCTTATTTTCAGCTTCCAACATCATAACTCTTCCTTTCGAGCTTTGTGAGTCTTCAAAAAGTTTGTTCTTTTCAGCTTCTAAAGATTTTTTTTCTTTTTCCCATTTTCTTTTCTCTTTTTGTAGGTCATTCATATCTTTTTCTAAAGAATTAATTTTTTGGGATACAGCTGAACTGTCAGCACTTTGGAAAGATTTTTCCATTTCATTGGCTTCGCCTAGGGTTGCTGCTATGGTTTTCTTTCTTACTCCGCCAATTCTTGAAGGTCTTTCTTCTATTTGTGTTTTTATGTTTGTTATTTCGTCTTCTTTATGCTTGAGTTTGTGTTCAAAAGTTTCTTTGGAGGCAGAAATTATTTTTTCTTTTTCTGATAATGATTTTTCTAGCTCTTTTACCTTATTTTTAGCAAATTTTAATTCTGATATGTAATCATTGATAATTCTTTCTTTTTCTGTGAGTTGGTGGCTTAATTCTTCAATGACCTGTTGGGATTTATAAGGCTGCTCTATATATATACAACCAATTTGCATTAAACTTAGCGTAGGCTTCTTTTTTCTTTCTTCTTCAATATCAACAATTTGTTTTTGAAGGCTTTCTATATTAATTTTTAGCTCAAAAATCTCTTTCTCCTTCATTGCTATTTTTTCTTCAGCGTCTTTCATCTCAAAAGTATGTCTATTAGTGAGATCATTTTCTCCTTTTTGTCTATTTTCTTCAAAAGAGCTTAATTCTTTTCTATAAAACTCAATTTGGCTTTCCAGTACATTATTCGTCCCATTAAGCTTCACTATTTTACTTTGCAATTCTTCCATATCAGCAGACAATCTTTTAGCATATTTCATCTCTTTTTGGAATTTTTCATTAATTTGGTTCCTTTGGAGAATCAAGTTATCCTTTTCTTCTACCAAGCTTTTATTAGCTTCTACAAGTATCTTATACTCAATCATCATATTTTCTCGGAATTTTTTTTAATTTGAAAAAAAATATTACTTTTTTAAAATTTTTTAAAAAATAGAAAATTTATTTTCTCCAGCTGAAAAATATTCTTTTTTAATTTGATCTAGCTGATGTTTTTGCATGATGAAAATATTTTTAAATTCTTTATTTTCATTTTTCAAGCTTTCTTTTTCCTGCTTTAAAATCCTTATTGCCTGCTCAGATTCTTCTAGCTTTGTGTGAAGATCTTCTACAGTTTGTGCATGATTATAAGCTAGCTGCTCTACCTCTTGCTTCTTTTTTGATAATTCTTGGATTAATCTGTCTGGAGATTTTCGTCTTCTGCTTGATTTTTCATTTTGTCCTGCAAGCTCAGAAATCACGCTTTCTAATTCTAATTTTTCTTCATAAAACGCATTTAATGATTTTTTTACTGCAGGGTCATTCGTATCAAGCTGTCCATGCAATTGTGCACCTTTCATTGTAAAACTTTTCAGTGCTCTCCCTATCCTTCTCATTTTACTTTTGACGCTAGTTAAATAGCTTTCCATTTCTTGGCTTTCCTTTAAGTGATTTTCTTTCCACGCTTTATAAGCATCTCTTTCTCTCGTAACTAAAACCAGTTTTTCTTTCAATATATCAGCCTCTTTTTGAAATTCCTGAGACTTCCAATCAACTGGCTCACTAGGAGATCGGAGTATTGGAGAAATCAATAAACTCCCGCTCATCTGTTTTGCTGCTTCATGCGTAGAGTCTTCTGATTCATTAGAATTCGTCCCTTTCAGCAAAGAAATGTCAATATTATAGTTGGTTAACTGGTCTTTTATGCTTTGCAGATTATAATCATGCTGTTCTTTAAGTTTTTCGATTTTTTCAGAGAGGGCGTAGAAGTCGTCTTCTCTAGAAATAAGTTTAGTAGAGAGCTCAGCCACTTTAACTTGGTATTGCTTTACAGATTCCGTTGATTTTTTAAGCTCTTCTTGGATTAATTGTAGCTCTATATCTTTGCGATGAAGCTCTTCTTGGAGATCTCTTACTTGGGATCGAGAAGTTAGGCTTGTTGGGGATTTTATGTATCTTCCATTGTATTTTGGGTCGAGGATAATTAAAATATGGCGTCTTCGTCTGAGTATGGCCTCTCGGCCATACATACTCGACTCATATTTTAATTATATCCGGCAAGGTTTTGCCATTCCGGAAATGGGCAACAAAGCCATGGTAAGTAATTCTGCAGAGCAGAGCCTGGCCCATGTCTAACGACCAGAATGGATTTTCACCCCAGAGGAAAAGGGAGTCCAAGTTTGGAAAGGGTAAGCCCAGCAGAGTCTACAGGCAACGCCTAGACCAATCGGGCAATTACCTAGCGTGAAACTGGGCGTTACGTTCCAGGACTTGGAACTTCCCTTTTTGCCGAAAGGTGACCAGAAATTCCATTTTTTGGAATTTCGGAAAGCCAACTCTCGTCAACTCAAGCAGCAGCCGCAGAAATCCATAGCCTGCCCACTCAACACTTAAGCTGCGGGATTCCGGGGGAAGGAGGAGGCATATGTCCCCTGGCCGGTCTTCATAACTGGTTGGGACTATGTCGCAAAGCAGTTGAACCCTACTATTGGGTCCTTGGTGACTGCGTTAACAATACGGCAGACGCCTATTAATGTATAAGTAAGTAATTAAGTATTTTGGGTCGAGGCCTATGGAATCTGCACTCATTAGTTAATTAATTTATTGGGTAATTATGATTTTTTAGATAAAAGAAATTGATGAAAAATATATGTGATAGTGAGAGAAATATTAGAAAACAATAATTTATAGTGAAAAGTAGATTTATGCTGAAATATAAGCAAATTAAAGTGGCTCCGATATTGAAATATGATTTTTAGTTTTAAAGGAAATTTTACAGATAAAAATTCTCAAAAAGGCCAGTCAAAGATAAAGATTTAGATTTGTGAGATTTATATAGAGAATTACTAAAAAAAAACGAATTATCCAATTAATAGCTTGATTTGCCGATAAAGAAACTTTCCGTAGTTTTCTTGATTTGGATCAAGGCCTATCTCTCCCTTTAAATTGGAACAAAAAATCTGTTCCAATTTTAAAGGGGCTAATTTACCAAAAAATAGGATTTTTATATATATTTTATTCCAATTTAGAAGGAGGGTAAGCCAATCAAATAATTAACATGCTCCAAAATCCCATGAAATCCTGTTCTAAACGGTTTTGCCTGAAGATCATGATGAAGTTCTATGTTGCTTCTGTCAAAATCCCCACGATGTCCTGCTGAGGTTCAAGACAAAGTAGCTGGAGCAGAATAAGTGAAGGCTGAGATCAGGAAGTCCAAGCCTACGCACTATAAAGGTACGGACTGTCCACATGCGACCAATAACAATCAGAATAAATGAGCCAAGAGGATAAAAGCTTTTCGCAAGTCTTTCAGTAGCTAAGAGATACTGGCAACGTCCTAGGTGAGAGCTCAATCGTTAGTATACCGACCAGAATTCTATCAGAAATTTAAATATTAAGCCTAACTTAAGCTTCTATCAAAATTCAACACTTTTTCGATAGACTCTTTATTCCCTAACTGAATCAAGGCTCAGTTTTCATGTATTTCAATAGTCATTATAAGTTCTTCAGACGTTTCAAGATCCATGCCTATAATTTCAACAATTGAGTGCTTAGAAGTTTCATTGTTTTTTAAAATTGATGAGCAATTTAACTGTGTCGGCGTACAATCAGGGGTTGTAGAAATCAATTCTTGGACTGAACCACATTTTCTATTAGATTTTGAGTAGTCAATAAAAATTAAGTTGCCTATCTTGACTGGGTTATAGTCAAGAGTTTCGTTTTCTTGAATAAGACAAGGCTGCTCTCGCTTTACACAATGGTTTCCCATGGATTATTATTTATTTGTGCGGAAAACGAATTTCATTTATTTTAAAAATTAATTTTAATAGACAAATTTAAGTGAAAATATTATAAAAATAGAGATTTATAATTAAATAATTCAAATTTAATGTTAATTATCTATTTTGTATTATAAATACCATTTTAAAAGTTCTGCTTTTATTTATCAAATTTTTATTTTTATACTGAATATTTCAAAATTTCAGGATAAATTTTAGCTTAAATTTTATTTACAGTCCGTTATGGCATTAAATCCATTGGAATTTCAGCTATAAATATGAAAACTGAGAATAGATGCCTATCCCCTGGCTACTTTCAGAGCAGCATTGATCCATCTGTATCTACCATGCTCCCCTCTTTGCAATCTCCTGATATCCGAGGGTCAACAAGCACTTTTACTCCAGAAGTCACAAATTCACCCCAACTTCGTACTTTAGGCCAAAGGCTCCAAGAAAAGTTTAGAAATTTACAAAACGAGTATGGGAGAGCATCAGAGCCAGCCCCTGAGAGCATCGTCCAAGTTAACCAAAGCAGATTTTCACTCCCAAGTATAATTTCTGGAGAAATCCATGAGGCAAAATTTATTGACGAAAACAGTGAAATTGATGCGTATGAGGTGGATTTGGATCGACCATTATTGAGATGGTGCGCATATTGCAATGCAGAGACAACGACAAGGTCGGAGTATTCGAACTCAACAACAGCTTTTTGGTCTGCTGTTGGGATTTTTTTAATGGGAGGAGTTTTTGGATGCTTTATGATACCTTATATGACAAATAAATGTAAAGACATAAAATATGTTTGTCATAAGTGTCAGCATACCATCAACTAACTCCCCCCTTTAAATTGGAACAAAAAATTTTGTTCCAATTTAAAGGGGGTTAAGAAAATTTTTTTGAAAAAAAAATCGATATAAAATTTTTTATAAAAAAAAAATATGTATATAAAAAATTTTTTCAAAAATTCGTCGAATTAGATTAATAAATTTGTTCAATGAAATGCTATTTACTCTCTCTCTATCCTTTAAAATTAGCAAGATATATAACTAAATTTTCATTATTAGTTAATACGACACTATTAATTGATATCAAAACTATTCACACAAAAATTATTATTTTTATTGATAAAAAAAAATGAAAAAAAAAAAATTAGAAAATTTATTGATCAAATTGCTAATTTGTTTAAATAATATCTATTTATATGCTATTCTTTAAAATAAAGTAAAAAATAAGTAAATTTTTAATTTTTGTAAAGAATTCGCATTGAATTTATATCAAAATTATTTAAATAAATAATATCATTTTCTATCAAAAAAACAATTATTATTGTTTTTAAAAATTTAGCAATTAAGGATAATAAATTTATTTAAATTAAGATGATCTTTATACTCTCTTCTTTAAACAAGAGCAAGATATAAATAAATTTTTTAATTTTTAGTTAAGAAGAAACATTTAACTTATATCAAAACTTTTTACATAAAAATTATGATTTTATATATATAAAATTTTTTATTATAAAATTAAATTTTGTTCCAATTTAAAGGGGGATTAATTTACCAAAAAAGTGAATTTTGCTTATATTTTGTTCCCAATTTAAAGGGGGGGAAGTAACTAGTAAATAATTAACTGTGCATAGAGTTTGTATATAACTAAGGTGCCTTTTGGAAGTATTATAATGCATTTAAATAAGCAGCTTTTTCTTTATATTTTTTGATTATTTAAGATGGAATTATGTAATAAATTAAGTGATTTTCAGAATTTTCAAAATTGCATCCAAATGATGTATCCAAGCTTCCTGAAATTTAAAAATCACTTAGGGGGCCTATAATGGTTAGTAGAAATTCTATAGTATTAGGAAGACTTCAAGAAGAACGCAAACTTTGGAGACGTGACCATCCCCACGGCTTTTTCGCGAAACCTATTTCTACAGGCGAAGGCTCTTGTAATCTTATGAAATGGGAATGTGGGATTCCTGGCAAAGCAAACACACCCTGGGAAGGCGGAGTCTACAAGCTCTCTATGGACTTTACTGACGAATACCCAGCCAAACCGCCTAAATGCAAATTTGAGCCAGTTTTATTCCACCCAAACGTTTACCCTTCAGGCACAGTATGTCTAAGTATTCTCAATGAAGATCAAGACTGAAGACCAAGCATCACAATAAAGCAAATTTTAATAGGAATCCAAGATTTACTAGACAATCCTAACCCACAAAGCCCAGCCCAAGCTGAACCTTATAACCTCTATATGAGAGACAGAAATGAGTATACAAAGCGGGTGCGGCGACAAGCTTTAGAAATGGTCCCAAAATAGGTTTAATTAATTCCGGAATAAATAAAAATTAAATTACAGTTTTTTTCTGTTTCCAGGCTTTATTAATTGTTTTTTTCTTCTTTTATTTGAGATAGGAGAAGGCTCATCTAAAGATTTTTCATAATGGACTGGGGTGTGCTCTTCTGTATTATTCATAGTAGAGCTGGCTAAGCCTGGGGTTAAGTCTAGATCAGAGCATTGGATATTTGAAGAGCTGGTAAGGACGCGGTTTTGGATTTGGTTTATGACCTCTATTACTTTATCTCCTACAATTTGAGCAATTTTTAAATGGTTTTCAGGGGTAAATTCAATATTTTCTTTGATTTTTAAAGTTCTTCAAATATGCTCAAAAGTGCCTTTGCAGGTGATATAAACGATTTCTTGCCTTTGGTTGGCTTCTATAAAGTGATTTAGCTTCTTTTCAGCTTCCATGACGGCTGCATTTAGTTCTTCAATGTTGTCTCTAATATGCTTATCTTCTTGCTGCTCTTCTTTTTTTTGTAAAAAATTCAGCTTGGCTTCTAAGGCTTCTTTTTGTCCTTGAAGCTCATCTAATTTTTCTTCGACGTTAAATCTTGACTGATAAAGCTCTTCATTTCTTTCTAACTGCAAAATCACTGATGTTAAATCCTGTGGGCCATGAATATTTACGACATGTTGAAGCCTTTCTATTAGTGTTTCAAATTCTCCTAGTTTTGACTCCAATATTGACTTTAGCCGTGAAATTTTTTTCAGCATTGACTGTCTTTGCCTTAGCTTGATTTTATAATATCCTTCATGTTTTGGTAACATTGAGTTCGAAATTATTTCATTTCTTTTTTTTTCGCCCATTTGGAGGGTTTCTTGCACATTCGTTTTTAGCATGAATTGTTCAGCGACTCTGTCAATGGTGTGGCTTTGGAAGGTGACTTTGTCTTTATATCAGAGCTGAAACTCGTCTATTTGGTTTTCCATGGTACATGCTTTTTTACTTGCTATGAGAAATTTCCTCGGTACATTGGTCAAAATTTGACGGTTTTTCCCGGAAAATGTATCATGTCACACTAGCAAAAAACCGATCAAATTGCATATACCTGTTTTCCAGGGTTTCTATTTCATGCTCATATTCTTTGGTTTCAACCTCTTCAAGCTGTATAAGAGCTTTCATATTTTCTATGCCTTTTTCTAAGCCTCTTTCTCATACGTCGTTTTTAGCTGGGTTTTTAAAGCAGGATGTTACCACTTGTTCAAGTCTCCTGCACTCGACTTCGGTGCGGTTAATTTTTTCAAATATTGTGGCCATTTTTTTCTGCATGCTGGCAATTTTTGCTTTGACTTCTTCGCCTTCTTTAATTTTGTCTTCAGATTTTGCGATTTGGCTTTTAAGGCCTTCCAGCTTGATTTTTTTCATTCTGACTTCATTAACTAGCTTATTATAATATTTTTGAAGCTCATAATTTTCTTTTTTTTTCCTTTGGATTTCATGATTGGAATAATTTGAGACCTTATTGCCTAATTTTACAAGGATATTAGAAGGGGTCAGGTCTTTAAAAGAAAGGTCAAAATTGTACTCAGAAGAAACTTTGTGATGCTTTATGCGACCTGCAGAGCTATGGCGAGACATACTTTTAGGTATCGAAATGTCGTCTGTTAGAGATAGCGCATTAAGCGTGCTATTTAAATTCGCCTGGCTGATTTCTGGGAAAATCCCTGCAGCTTTTGCATAAGCTTTAACAGTCATACTTTTTGGTGAATCTTTTGGTAGAGATTTATTTGTGGCTTGCTTGCTTAGTGGCTGATATCGTTTACTTACTCCCCCCCCTCCGTGAGTGAACAAAAAAATTTTGTTCACTCACGGAGGGGGTTAATTTTTTTGTTTTAAAAAAATTTATATATAAATTTTATAAAAAATATTTTTTTTCGAAATTTAAAAAAATCCTAATTCGCAAAAATTGGAAAGCAGATATTAATTCAATTTGCAAAATTTAGGTTTTAAAAAGCAATTCGTTTAAAAATAAACAGAATTAGCTCTAGATTTCATTATAATATAATTTATCATTTATATATCAAATTTTTTTCCATAAAAAATTTTTCTATTAAAAAATTTTTGTTCACTCACGGAGGGTGGGTTTTTGGGCAAAAAATAGCGATTTTTCTAATGGTTTTGTTCACTCACGGAGGGGGGGGGAGTTAGGTTTTAATTTTGACTCTTTTAGTATCCTTAATGACGAAATAGCCATATCATATTCATTTTGGCACGTAATTGCATGATTATCACTACTGAACATCTTCATAATTTGTGATAAATCTGAATATACATCTAATCCGCATCAAGGAAATTGTATTCAAAGCCACCTTTTATAGTAATAATATTCCAGTTTTCTCCTTTGGAATCTCAGCTCATGAGGCTCATTTAAAATTTTTTCTTTTAACTGCTGCCTAAATCCTTTGTTTTCGACTGCAAAATTTTCGTCATCTTTTAATGGAGGCTGCTGTGTGGGGAAAAATAGGCCATTTAAATTTTCAATCTCATTTAAAAGATTGATTTCTTTAAGCTCGTAATAGCCTTTTAAGTGAGGATGCCGGAACTCACAACAGTCTGAAGTCTCTAAATCAGCGAATTCTTTAAAAAAGCGACAAAATTGAAGGAGAAGGACAAATAGGTCTTGGTTACTTGGGGAGTATTGGACGACAAAATGTTCTAGGCTTTTATTGTATTCGACGACTGGGTCGAAGTGCTGCCTTTCTAGCTTTAACCAATAAAAATATAAAGAAAGCCGGTAGTCTGGGGTAAACATTATTGAAAAGACCTCTAAATCTGATAAAAGGTCTTTAAGCTTCATTCAGTCTTCACACTCATATAAATGATATAAAAGCTCATCAGAGTTTCGAAGAGTAATTGATTCTTTATCAAGGATTTCGATTATTTCTGTGTGAAAATGCTTGGGAAGAGGAACATATCTTGATAAAATCACTTTTCTGTAAATATCATTAGAAAAAATATAAAAACCGTCATAGCATACTAAGCAGGATTTGAAAACTGCTAATATTTTTTTGACTGTCTTATGTGATTTCCCAATTTTACTAACTCCTCCATCTTTGATCGAAATAATCCATTGAAAATCATATTAAAAATTGAGAAAATTAACCCTATATGGAAACATGAAACCCGCTCTTACCCTGCCTCAAATCAAATACCTAGGAATTTATATAGAAATTATATTATATTGAACAAATTTTTAAAATAAATTAATATATCAGATTTTTTAACTTTATCCTTTATAAAGACGACAAAAGCTCTATTACAAAAGAGAAGAATAAGCTCATCCTCAGACAACCCTGTTCTGCTTAAAGCAATTTGTGCTAAAACATTAAGCAGCGCCCTATCCTTAAAATTATAAGTATCATTAAATTCTACAATTTTCTCAAAAAGCCTTTCTTTTGTGTTGACTTCCAAAATACTATCATATCTAAAAGGATGCACATTTTCTTCTTTTGGCATCGTAAAATTAAGCAAAAGCTTCATAAAAAGCGGATTCCCACAGCATTCATGAGCTATATGCAGCCTGAGTTCAGCTATAGTTGGCTGGTATTTTTGAAATAAATCTTCATCAAGTGCATTAATATACTGGTTAATCATTTCTTTTCTTTTATTTAAGTCAAACGGCTGCAGGTGCAAATGATACCCTGATTTTTGGAGTAAATGATGAAAAGCCCTTGTGTCATTATCACATGTGTAAATTAATTTGACAGACCCTGGGACATTTGTAGGGAGCCAATTTGGGGCTTCTTCTTTATTATTGCTGTCCCTGTATTTATCGACTCCGTCAATAATAACGACTATACTTTTCCTCATAATTTGAGACTCTTGTTGCCTTGAGTCAGCATTTTCTAATCATAAGGAAAAATAAATCCTTAATTTGTCCTCTATAATTTCGACTTTTTGAGGAATGTTATAAGCTTTCTATATAAAAAGTACTCGAATTTCGTTGTAAAGCCTATATAAAGTAACAAAATAAGCAGAGTCACTAGGAGATAGTTTTGAGAAATGCACTAGTAAGTAATCATTATCTTTTTTATGAGACCTTGTATGGAATTCTATTCATTTTGCGATAAAAGAACTTTTTCCGCACCCTGAATCGCCAGAAATTAGCAGAGGGGTATTTGTGATGGTTTTTGAGTCTTGATGAAATTCGTCTTTTGTTATCCAAGAATCTACCTCTTGGACAAATGCATCAATACCGACTAGAGGACTTTGCTTTAAATGGTCTAGGTATCCTTCATGAAGAGCTCTAAATAGAAACTACTCTGTACGACTTTTTAGTGAAGCTGATTTAAAACTCATTTTTAAAGAATTTAAGAGCGGAACTTTGTATTTAATTGGTGTAGGTTTTCAAATAGATCATAATTTATAAAGGATCAATTTAAAAATTAAATCCTAGCTTAAAAGATCCTTATTTTAATCATAAAAATCTATTTACTGATTATATTTGCATGCTCTTATTACTAGGTATTCTGTTTCATATTTTTTTTAATTTATTCCCTATATTAATTTAAGACTAAGTTTAATGAAGCTCCTCAAGTGCCTTTCTCCCCAGATCAAAACTATAGCAATGCATATTATTGTTATAGTGCAGACTAATATAAAACTTCCCATTGTAAAATGTCCTAAAAGCTTGGTTATAGCTCACAAAGTTTGAGCCTCCCACATTATTCCAAATATTTTCATTAAGTTCGTCGCTTTCAAAAATCGATCCATTATCTTCAAGGACATAAAGTCTTGACATTGCAGATAATAAAATTTTCCAACAAAGGAATTTTTTCAGATTTAGCGAAGAAATTTCAAGAAATTCATTTTTTCTAATATCAAATTTGTATATTTTTTGGAGATGGTAGCCAGCTATGAAAATCGAGTTTTTAAAGGCAACACAAGAGCATCAGCTGGATTCAAAAGGAAGCGGCGAAAGCTTGGTTCATCTGTTTTCTAATAAATCAAATTTTTCTGCATGATTTATATGGCAATATAATGATTTTTGTATATATAAAATTTAATAATGGCTCTATTTTTTAAAAATATTTATTACTCCCCCCCCCCCCCTCCGTGAGCGAACAAAAAAATTTTGTTCACTCACGGAGGGGGGTTAATTTTTTTTTTTTTTAAAAAAATTTATATATAAATTTTATAAAAAATATTTTTTTCGAAATTTAAAAAAATCCTAATTTGCAAAAATTGGGAAGCAAATATTAATTTAATTTGCAAAATTTATGTTTTAAAACGCAATTTGTTTAAAATTAAACAGAATTAGCTCTAGATTTCATTATACTAATTATCACTTATATATCAAAATTTTTTTCCATTAAAATTTTTTCTATTAAAAAAATTTTTGTTCGCTCACGGAGGGTGGGTTTTTGGTCAAAAAATAGCGATTTTTCTAATGGTTTTGTTCGCTCACGGGGGGGGGGGGGGGAGTTAGTATTTTTAAAAGAGTTATATATAATTCAAATAAAAATAAGATAATATTTTGGTGCCATCACATCCTCCAAATATAAAAACTGAGTTTTGGTAATATACGCCACCTGAGTTATAGCAAGGAGTTCCTGGAGGAAGCCATCTTTCTACAGAAAAAGAATTTGTGTTAATAACACAAGCAGCTCCTGTCAGCGGAAATGAATTCCCATAACAGAAAATTCCATAATTCGGAATCTGGACTATGCATGTATCAGAGCTAAATGGTTCATCAATATCTATTGATTTTTGCTGCTTCTCATGAGATTCTATATCATAAATATGCATTTTAGTCAGTGTACCCAGCCTATCAATATTAAATAGATTTTTGATAGTTTCAAAGCTGAATTCTTTATAATACTTCTCAATAAAAGCCTGCGTTTGTATTTCCAACTTTTTAGCAACATCATTATAGCTTGCTAAACAATTAGAATATAGTGATTTTATTTCACTGCTGTATTCACATATAAACTGAAGCTTTTCTTTATACTCTTCTGAACATTTTAAGCTTTTAAGCTCGTTTTCTAGCTCTGCACGAGAATTTCCGAAGTTTTCGAAATCGTCAATTGTCATGATTTCTTGTTCAATTTTTAAAAAATATTCTAAAAACATGCTGTCGATTTTATTTTCTACTTCGGAAAGAGATATCATCCTGTTGTTTAGTTCTTCAAAAACTTGGGAATAGTATGATAAAAAATCATTTTTATTATTAGTAGGGCTACTCAGCTCAATTTGGTAAGGTTTTAGATCACTTTTGTCTTGTCTTTTTAATGGTCTTAGATCTGGAGAAAGAGCTTTAACACTGAGATTTGCTCTGACTGATTCAGTGAGGTTGAGAATGTCGCTATTTCTTCTTAATCCAGTGAGCTGCTTAGCTATAGGCACATCTCGTTTGCTTTTTTCTATTTCTTTTAATACTTCTTTTAATGCATTTTTGTTTTCACTGACTTGACTACTTAAATAATCGACTTTGTTTTTCAAGTCTTTTATTATAAGTGAGGTTAATTCAGCCAATTTTTTTTTGAAAAAAATGACAAATGGTTGTTTAATATTCTGGATAATCCTCTTTAAACAGAATATATGATTATTCGCATTTTCAATGGTGTTCTTAAAGCTTTTTTCCATTCCATCTATTCTCCATTCAATTTCTTCAACTTTTTTAGCCACTTCATCAATATTTGAGATATTTGAGTAATAATTTCTTGCTTCATTAATCTGAATTTTTCCATCCAATAGCTCTTTGATTTTTCTCTCTACTAAATCTTCAACCATTTTATTTATACCTTCGTCAATAATATTTTCATCAAATCTAGAATTTTTATATACGCTATCACACTATTTTTACTAATTTAGGATTTATTTAAAAAATATAGCCAAAATTTCATTTTAAAAACATCTAAAAAATTAATCTCAGCAGCTATATATAGATTTTTTAACAATTTCCAAAGCTTCAGATGAAGGTAAAGACAAGGATTTCAAAATAGGATCTTTTTCATATCTACTAATTTTGTCGACATTAGAAACTACAGAAAATGTTCTCATTATTGCTACCAAATTTTCTTCAATTTTTTGTATTTTTTTCTCATGAAGATTTTGGTAATAATTTGCATTTTCCATGAAAAATTGTTCAGCGATTGTTTTCATTTTTTCTAAATTGGCTTTTTCTGAAATCAGATGGTTTAGTATTGCTTCTTTAGTATCTTGGCATAAGTTGACAAAGACAGGCTCTATATTATGAGGCAAGTTTGACGAGTTTATGTGCTCACTTTGATGGGTAAGGCATATAAAAGTCGCTGGGAATGTGCATTTGCAAAGAGTTTCTGGCTTATTTATGCAATTTGATGAGAAGCAATTTTGTGTTTCTTGCATAAATAATTGTCTTTAATAATGGTGGTATGCCAAAGGTAAACAGTGAATAAACTCTTTAAAAATAGATAAATTAAACATAATTATTATTGAAATTATTTTGGCTTATTTTTACCCTCTGAATATCTGAATAACTAATAAGTTTCCTCATTATAACCATTAGAAGCTTTATAATAGAATTTCTCTATATTAATCCCACCCAGATTTCCTAGGATACCATTTGTTCTGGAAATGCCAATATTATTCCAAGGTTCATTTAAATTTAGACAATAATTCGAAGTTCTTTTCTATCAAATAAGAATAAGCATTATCTACATTTGTCCCAACTAAAGCTGAAGTTTCAAAGAATGGAAGACCAAGTTTTTTTCCTAAAGCCTGCCCTTCACTATACAATACTTTTCTTTCACTTTCTAAATCACACTTATTGCCAATTAAAATTGCAAAAAAGTCTCTATCTATATTCTTTCTGGCTTCTCTAAGCCAATAATAAATATATCTAAATGTGTCTCTATTAGTAATGTCATAAACAAACATTATTCCATTAGTTTCTTTTTTGAAAGTACATTTAATTGGTTTGCATCTATCATCAACTGTGTAATCCCAAGCCATAATTTTTAATTGCTTTTCATCAAAAGATTTTATTTTATTGCCACTATGGAGTTTTACGATTACGCAAGCTGCTTTGACCCTTGCGGAAAATATGATTATTAAAGTGAGAATTCTTAAATTGAAGATATATCGATGATGCTATAGCTGAGGTGGAGATGTGGGAAGAAGAAATCCGCGTGATGGAGCTGAGTAAAATGATGAGATCTCATTTAATAGAGTAATCTGGGAAGTGGAAACAGGTGACGAGTTGGAAAGTGACAAAATTGGTGAATTTCTATTGTGGGCGGCTAAGCAGGAAGGATTTTGCTAGATGATAGGGAATTGATGCTCGCTGCGGGATTTAGATCAATATGAATTGACTTAGAAGAAAGCTCAGAAGGAAACCTAGAAGAAAATGCAGGAGAGAGCCAGGAAGAAAACCCAGAAGAGAACCCAGGAGAAATGCCAGGAAATTGGAAAACGAGAAGAAAAAGAACCATAAGACTCTTTCGATGGTTTTAACTACTTAGTTAACCCTAACCCTGCTTTTCGTGAAAAACTATTCAATTTATTTAATTTATAACCTATAACTGATTTTCATTATTTTAAAGTATACATTACGGGATTTCTATGTAATTCTTACAGATTCATTTCCCATAGAGGCTTGCAAGTATCCATGAAAAATGCCTTCGGTATACCGAGCAATTATACTGGATATCCCCACCTCATGAGCGCCAAAGGTATTTATTTCAAAAAGATAGTCGCTTTTTAGAAAGTTACTACTCGTTTTCTGTCCTCATTATAATATTAAGTAATAAGACTAGCTCAGATTTTAGATTTAAAACGAATTATTATTATAAATAGAATAATATTATTCCAAGGTTTATTTAAATTTAGACAATAATTCGAAATTCTTTTCTATCAAAAAAGAAAAAGCATTTTCTACATTTGTCTCATCCAAAGCTGAAATTTCAAAGAATGGAAGACCAAGTTCTTCTCCTAAAGCCTGCCCTTCACTATACAATACTTTTCTTTCACTTTCTAAATCACACTTATTGCCAATTAAAATCGCCAAAAAGTCTCTATCTATATTCTCTTTTGCTTCTCTAAGCCAATAATAAATATATCTAAATGTGTCTCTATTAGTAATGTCATAAACAAACATTATTCCATTGGTTTCTTTTATGTAAGTACGTTTAATTGACTTGCATCTATCAGTAGCCGCGTATTCTCAAACCATAATTTTTAACTCCTTTTCTTGAAAAACTATATTACGGGATTTCTATGTAATTCTTACAAAATCAATTCCTATTGAGATCTGTGAGTATCCATTAAAAAAGCCTTGGGTATATCGAGTAATTATACTGGATATCCCAACGCTTTGATTGCCAAAGGTATTTATTTTCAAAAGATAGTCGCTTTTTAAAAGTTACTACTCATTTTCCTTCCCCATTATTATCTTAAATCGATTTTCGACTAGCTGAGATTTTATCTTTAGAGCAATTATTCTTGTAAATAAAAGTAATATTTGAATAATTAAAAATTCACTTGCAAATTGATTATTTAACAAATACATAAATAAATATTGTATTACAGCCTCAAGTTGCTTAGCAGAGCTAAAAGGCAACAGTTTGAGGACCCTAACACTCGAATAATTTTGCTTCCTGGCATCAAAGCTGGTGTAAGACTCAATGGTGGTATGGAAAGTGTAGTAGGAGAGAATAAATTTTAAACTTTTAAGTAAGATAATAGTTATTTGACAATTTTTCTGAGATAATTAAAAAAATTATTTGCTAAACATATTGAATTGCAAATTAAAATAGGATAATTAATGTTTTACAATGACAGATACCTTGTAAGAATTTTATCAAGCATTCCAGTAGTCATAGTCCTCTTTATCATTTCTGGAATTGTTTATTGCTATCACGATTCCTTTATCACTACTCAAGAACCCACAATACCTCTTTTAGCACTTTACATATTATTCTATATCGATATCATTTTGCTCTGCTGGTCCTACATCTCGTCTGTTATAACAGACCCAGGATCTATCCCATCATATTTTGACTTTTTATCTGACGAATCTCGTATAGAAATTTCCAATAATAAGTACAATGATGAAGACTGCTTACTCACTCTTTAAATTGGGACCAAACATTGGTAAAATTTGCATTTTTTTGGGTACTTTAACCCCCTTTACATCAGAAAATTTTTTTTCAATAGGAAAATTGTCCTATGTAGATTTCTTTATCTAACAAAATGCAATGGACGGATGACAGACTAAGTCAGACTATATCAAAGATTATGATTTTAAAAATTTTTATAAAGAAAAATTCAAATATATATTTTTTAAAAAAAAAACGTTTGAACAGGATTTTTTGTTTTAATTTAAATTGTGGGAGTTAATATCAAAATCATCATTTTGCAATAAGTGTGACAGAAATCGGCCCCCAAGAGCTCATCATTGTAGAATATGCAACCGTTGTATCCTCAGAATGGACCATCATTGTCCATGAATCGGAAATTGTGTAGGATTTCACAATTATCGGTATTTTATACAGTTTTTAATATATGCTTGTATAGGAAGCACTATAGCTGGGGTATGCTGTGGATGGTTAGCTATAAAAGAAAATGAATTTACATCAACGGCAAATATTATTGGAGCATGTGGAGGAATTTTTATAGGCCTAACGCTAACACTTTTATCTGGGTTTCATTTGTGATTACTTTTTACTAATAGAACGACGTTGGAGATTTACTCTTCTATAGAATTTAATACATTTGATAATGGAGGGCAAAATAATTTCCAGATTATTTGTGGTAATTTTTGGGCTGCGTATTTTTTACCAATAAATGCCAAAAATGTGGGAGATGGAGTTATTTATCCTATTAAATTACGAGAAAAAGCAGGGGGCATTGAATATTTTGAGTCGAAAATTCTTAAATAGTAGTAAAAATATTAAGCTAGATTTAATGTAAGATTAATTCTGAAAATGCCTAAAAGATAGTCCTGATTCTCCATCTAATAGAATTACTCCCATTAAAATAAGCCCTTTTTCATCATACTGCCTAAAACTATATTAAAATTCTACGTCCTTTTGTCTTCATATATAATTTTTTAGAATAGAATTATTGCTAATTTAATTCAAAACTCTATAAAATCAAAGCTATAAAGAAAATCTTTATAATATGTATATAACTGCGAAATCATTCTGTTCCATTTTATCAATATTTTCATAAAACTTGTCTCTCTCTAAAGCCACTTTTAGCTGCATAAATAATATTTTCTCCATAATCAAATATATACAATTTATCTTCATTTTTATAGAAATGCTTGCTTCCAGGAATGGCAAATATTGATTTTTTTCTGAATAAGAACTCGCAAAGCAGTCTTAAATATATAAATATTTAGAATCTAAAACCATAGTTAAATTTTGTTATCAAATTATATGCATGATTCTATTAATATTCTATGGCACCCTACACCATTATGGATGTCATCTACTCAAAATTAAACCTGGTACCAATAATGCCAATATATTGGGTATCAGCGAAATTATATATAGTCATTTAATTATAGCGTAATCCTTTAGTCTAGCCCTCTACATGTGAGAGGAGATGGAAGGAAGAGATCGAAACTATTTATGAGCGAGCTAATTTTTTCTGTGCTAGGCCTTAAGGCCTTTATTAATACTCAGTCGAGCCAATATCTTTTTGGCTTATATTTTCTGTGAGTGAGCAAACAAAATCATTGGTAAAATCTCTATTTTTGGTAAAAATCCTTTAATTTAAAATTTTTTACAAAAAATTATTATGGCATATAAATAACATTTATTATAATGAAACCTCTAGTTAATTCTGTTTAATTTTAAACAGCTTGCATTTTAAAATATAAATTTTACAAATTAAATTAAAAAGATGTTTAAAACTATTTTAATTTGTATTTTTTTTTTTTAATTTTTTTTCCAAAAACGTGTGCGAACAAAATTTTTTTTGTTTACATATAATTTTATTGCTAAATTCAATGCAAGACTATCAAACGCCCTTGTCTGCGATTGACATTCACTGTAGGTTTCCTCGATATAAGCTAATATTTAAGCCTGTAATCCCATTATGCTGGCTTCCATAAAATAATATATAGTGCCTTTATTATAGCATACATTTTTTGTCAATCCCTCTACATGAAAAAGGAGATATTTTCCTAGCTCAAAATCATCGCCACAGCATTGATGAAAATATCGATTTCTCATTTGATTGCTATAAAGAAAATTGCTCTCAAATAAAGCAAGCTGTCCGGTTTCTTTAAGTCTATTTCTATCAAAATCTGTTATTCGGTAGTTCTCAAATCTATGCAATAGAAAAAGCAGCTTTCATCATCAAAATTAGTAGAATATCAAAGGTATTCAGATTCTTCAGGTTTTTTCTGTTGTCTAAAATTCAACAACTTCATATTTATTGTAACTTTTGTGCAATTTATTATTCAATTGTATTTAATTTTGTGATTTATTCAGTGTTAACAAAATATTTTAATTAATTGAAGCTTTAGAGTAGGAAAGCAGGTTTATGCTTGACTATAATTATTATAATGATGGCTTATTATAATCAAGTTTTATTCTAAACCTGAATTTTTTTGAGTAGTTCAATACGGTCTCGACCTAATAAATCGTTAATAAAATTGATATCTTTTTCAGAAAGGTTTCATTCATCCCCAGGGAAAACGTCACTTGCTTGATTTTCTTGCATCAAATTATAAGCCTTATTAAAGTCCTGCAAAGCTGCTGCTTCTTGTCTGAGATAATTAAATACTCTAGCCCGGCTGCATAAATACAAAGGATTATTGGGTTCAAGATTAATTGCCTCATCATAGCATTGTATTGCTTCTTGATATCTCTCTAAAGCATAAAGAGTATTGCCTTTATCATTATAATAATCGACATAATTTGGATTGATTTTTATTGCTTCGTCATAGCTTTCTATTGCCTCTGGATATCTCCCTAATTCATTTAAAGCACGCCCTTTATTATCATAGTAAAAAGCAGACTTGTTTGGATTGAGTTTGATTGCTCTGTCATAGCATTCGATTGCTTCTAGATATCTTTTTAAATTAGAAAACGCCTCGCCTTTATTATTGTATAAAAAATCATCGTTTGGATCGAGTTTGATTGCTTTGTCATACGATTCGATTGCCTCTAGATATCATTCTAGATCATCAAAAGCATCGCCCTTTTTATTATATAAATCAGGATCGTTTGGATTGAGCTTGATTGCTTTGTCTAAGCATTCGATTTCTTCTAGATTTTTTCCTAACTCCCCCCCCTCCGTGAGTGAACAAAACCATTAGAGAAAAATCCCTATTTTTGCCCAAAAAACCCACCCTCCGAGTGAACAAAAATTTTTTTAATAGAAAAAATTTTTATGGAAAAAAGTTTTAATATATAAATGATAATTAGTATAATGAAATATAGAGCTAATTCTGTTTAATTTTAAACAAATTGCTTTTTAAAACATAAATTTTATAAATTGAATTAATATTTGCTTTCCAATTTTTGCGAATTAGGATTTTTTTAAAATTTCGAAAAAAAAATTAACCCCCCTCCTTGAGTGAACAAATTTTTTTTGTTCACTCACGGAGGGGGGAGTAAGTTGTTTAGAGTTTTGCCTTTTAGATTTCATTCATATAGATAATGAGGATCGAATTTAAAATTCTGGTTATTGCATTTTTTTGCTACAATCTTTTTACCTACTCTTCTAAGTGAGACATGCGCATTATAATAACCAACATCGATAATGATTTTTTGATCTAAATTAAAATAATAATATTCTCTAACCAATTCAGAAATAGTTGAGATGTATATTCCTCCTTTATTATATGAGCAATATACTTGAGAAGGATCATAATCGATTATTGATTTTCCTACTCGTTTCCAATTCATGTCACTTCCAATTTCGCTTTCATAGATTGATCCAGGACATTCAATCAAATATAGTCTCTCTGCATTTATCAGGATCTTTCTGGTCTTCTCTGCAAACTCATAAGGAATTGACGAGAAAGAGTCAATGTCAATTGAATATAATAAAAGCTTTCTATTTCGATATCCAGAAATCAAAATATTTCCATTAAATATTATACTATTGCAGCTGTAATCAGATTTCGGCAATAGAGTTAATTGAATTCATCGATTTCGATCCAAATCAAATCTCTTAGATAGAGGTAAAGTGCCTTTATTCTTTCCGCCAAAGCAATAGATGCTGTTGTTGAAATAGATACATGATGATAAATAGCAAGGAGTTCCAGATGGCAGCACTTCTAATCCACCATTCACATCAATAAGCACTGTAATTCCAGAAAGTAGACCATTACCAAAACAGAATAGCTTGCCATTAGGAAGTTGAGTTAGGCACGTTTTAGAGTCAAGTTTTATTTGAGTCTGCATGACTTTGACTTCTTGGACTTCAGTTTCAGTGTTATAAATATGCAAATAAGAATTTATTTTTTCATCTCTTTTAATATTAAAAAGAGATGTCTTTTTATCTCTTTTAATATTATAAAGAGATGTCTTTAGTTGATAAGCATTAAGATAATCTTGGTAAGCTTGCGTTAGATCATAAGGACTAGAATTGGTCTGAATTGTTGAGCAAGTTGTTCGGAAATCTATCTCTAATTCTGGATTGTTTGGTCTACTCAAAATTTCCGCTGTTTTATTTCTTAAGGTGTCTGTAAAGTTTAAAGCGATTTCTAATTCATTGGATTTACTGTTGAGATTATCAGAAGCAATGCTTATTTGAGAATTAAGCAAGCTTGCCTTGTTTTCTAGGCTTTTTTTTACTGGCTTGTTTAGGTTTTCACACCCTTTTAAGCTCTCAATGTTTTCATTTATTGAATCCTTAACGTTTGCTGATTCTATAGTTTTATCATACACTTCAGGAGTATTTTGCACATTCATATTTTCAAGATGTGAATCTCATTTTTCTTTAACAAATGGCCTATTTAAACTCGCTAACTTTTCATTGATTATATAAAAGAATCTTGCACTGTTATATAAGTCTTTCATGGCTATGGTCATCAATTTTACTTTCTCAAGAGCTTCTCCAGGCTGTAAAACTAATAATCCTAATATTGGATCTTGCTCTAACTTTGATAATTTTTTAACTTGGGAAATTTTTGCAAAGAAATCATTTATTTCACCTGAGCAATCGTCCAATTTTTTTCTGAAATCTCTTAAATTTCTCTTTAAATTAAATGGACACTGGCTAAAGAAATCTATGATTTTTCTTCTCAGTTCGCTGTATTTTGAATTTTCTTTTGTAAGAAATTCAAGAATTGCTTCTTTTGTCCCTTCATAAGGCTGAATAAATGTTGATTCAAGGTTATGAGCTCCATTAGGCAAGTTTATATGCTTCCCAATATGCACTTCGCAAGATGAAGTCTCAGGAGAAGAGCATTTGCATGAATATTCAACCTCATTTATACACCCTGACTCGAAACATTTCTTGGCCATCATATAATAATTATTAAATAGACGATTTTAATTCCAAATTCCTACAATTAGCTCATACATTTTTGTCAATTCCTCTATATGTAAAAGGAGATATTTACCTAACTCAAAATCATTGCCACAGCATTGATGAAAATATTGATTTCTCATTTGATTCCTTTAAAGAAAATTGCTCTCAAATATAGTTGTCCAGTTTCTTTAAGTCTATTTCTATCAAAATCTGTTATTCGGTAGTTCTTGTAATCTATGCAATTGAAGAAGTAGCTTTCATCATGAAAATTAGTAGAATATCAAGATATTCAGATTCTTCAGGTTTTTTCTGTTTTCTAAAACTTAACAACTCATATTTATTGTAACTTTTGTGTAATTTATTATTCATATATAAGTTTACTATTTATTCAGTGTTAACAAAATATTTTAATTAAATTGAAGCTTTAGAATTATCTTGAAAATGGCAAAAAGATGGAACTGTAACTCCTGTATTATCTTTATCTAAAATTATCTCACCTATCAAAATAAGACCTTTCTCATCATTTTGTAATAGAATAAATTTGTTGAATCATTTATAGGATAATTTTCATTTATTGGCATATTTTATCCTTAAAAAACTTTATATTAAAATCCAATTCAATCCAAAACTCTATAAAATCATACCTATATATTTTCCCTTTAATCGATATATAGATAGAATCTTTATAATATGAATACAGCTGTGGAAATCATTCTGTCCCAATATAGTCAATATTTTCGCAAATTTTCGATAAAACTTCTCATTCTCCAAAGCAACTTTTAGTGACATAAATAATATTTTTCCCATAATCAAATATATACAGTTTATTTTTATTCTTATAAAAATGCTTCATTCCTGACTGATCAAATATTGATTTAATTTTTGAATGAGAATTTGTAAAACAGTCATAAATAAATAGCCACTTTGAATGTAAAGTAGAAATTATACTAAATTTAATTAGATTAGTAAGTATTAACAATAGTGGATCCTTATAATTTATGTATAACAATAATTATAGTATTATATACAATTTTGCCATCAAATTCAATAATTGACTTGATTTTTGCATCTTTAGGTAGTATCGATAACCATTCTGCTCGCCATTTAAGCAAGTTAAACCTAAAGCCAGCAACTCCTATATATTGAGTCTTTGTAAAATTATATATAAAATTTCCAGATTTACAGAATCCTCTAGTCCATCCTCCTACACGTGAGAGGAGATAAGCTCCGATTTCTAAATCATTATCCTTACATATATAAAAAAACCGGGTTCTCATTCTCCTGTCTCAAAGGAAATCGTTTTCATATAAGTAAAGAAACCCAGATTTCTGAAGTCTATTGGCATTGAAATTTTCAAGGTCTAAACGGTAAAAAACGCAATTTTCATTGTCAAAATCAGGAGAATACCAAAGATATTGATGCTCTATTGCTTTATCCTTCTCAAAAAGTGGTAGTTTCATAATATTTATTTAAAAAATACATACCCACTAAATGCAAATAATCCTTTTACTAGATATTCCTCTTATAAAATAAATAAATATTATTTAAAACACTCTATTTATATTTTCTGAACGTCATAAAATCGGCTCCTCTCCCAATAAAAGATGCAGGTGACACTCGTTTAATTCGATTATAATCCAGATATTTAGCGTGCCTTCTCGAGTTATCTAAATCGTCTTTGATTATTAAACTTCTATAGTTCCTCCTTGAGGACTGCTTATCAACGCCTCCACCAGTAGAAGTTATTTTTACAAATTCTGTCGGAGACAGCGGTTTTTCACTTTTAGGTGGCTTTGGCTGGGCATTTTTTACAATTTCAGGCAATTTTTCTTCATTTCTAGCTGGGGAGTTATTTGCTGACTCCCCCCCCCCCTCCGTGAGCGAACAAAAAAATTTTGTTCGCTCACGGAGGGGGTTAATTTTTTTTTTTTAAAAAAAATTTATATATAAATTTTTAAAAAAAATATTTTTTTCGATTTAAAAAAAAATCCTAATTTGCAAAAATTGGGAAGCAAATATTAATTTAATTTGCAAAATTTATGTTTTTAAAACGCAATTTGTTTAAAATTAAACAGAATTAGCTCTAGATTTCATTATACTAATTATCACTTATATATCAAAATTTTTTTCCATTAAAATTTTTTCTATTAAAAAAATTTTTGTTTACTCACGGAGGGTGGGTTTTTGGTCAAAAAAATGGCGATTTTTCTAATGGTTTTGTTCGCTCACGGAGGGGGGGGGGGAGTGAGGTATTCAAATAACTGGTCGCTTTTAATAGCTTTTTATCCCATGATTGAACTATAATAAAAGTTACTGAGATTATAAATATTTTCAAGGTGGTCTTCAAGTACTTCTTCAGTTGTAGGCTGAGGTTTTTCGAACTGCATTTGCCTTAATGGGATATATTTTTCTAGTCTTGATGTTGACGGTATTATCGGTCTATGTTTAGGAGGAGGCACTGAGGACGCTGTTATTCTTTTCGCTGAATTTTTTAGGATTTTTTTGTCGGTTTTTTTCTTTTTGGCGAGGACACTTACTTCGGGAAGCTCAAATCTGGAATCATCAGCTTCAGACATAGAGGATTCGGAGTCGTTATCACTTAGTTCATCAATGTTTCATAGCTGCTCTAAATCCATAAGAGATTCATTATTTTGTATAGTTTTTAAAGCTTCTTCTAACTTCCTCTCTTAATCAGGCCGATTACTATTGTTCGATCAAAGATGTGGATTAGGAAAAAAATTATTAATCTTAAAAACTTTATATTTAATTATTTTGAACATATTATATACCCACCAAAAATTCGATATATTAGCAAATATTGAGAAATAATATTATAATTTGTTCAGAAACAATTAGTAAGAATATCTATTATAATCACTAATATTAAAGGCAGGCAGTTATATTTTTGGAAGTTTCATGCTTGACTATATAAAAAATCGTAGATGGAGATTATTTTTCCAATTTTTAGGAAATTTTGGATGGTGTAGTTCTATAAATGATGGAATGAGTAAGTGAAATTCTTCTTCATTTATATTTTCTTCTTGCTCTTCTCTGATTTCACTATCACTGCTGTCTTTTTCTAAATTTTCTGTATTTTCTGTACTCTCTTTATTTTTTTTAACATTAAAATTATACAATATTAATCTATTTTTTTAAAAAATTCTAACTCCCCCCCCCCCCTCCGTGAGCGAACAAAAAAATTTTGTTCGCTCACGGAGGGGGGTTAATTTTTTTTTTTAAAAAAAAATTTATATATAAATTTTATAAAAAATTTTTTTTTCGAAATTTAAAAAAATCCTAATTTGCAAAAATTGGGAAGCAAATATTAATTTAATTTGCAAAATTTATGTTTTAAAACGCAATTTGTTTTAAAATTAAACAGAATTAGCTCTAGATTTCATTATACTAATTATCACTTATATATCAAAATTTTTTTCCATTAAAATTTTTTCTATTAAAAAAATTTTTGTTTACTCATGGAGGGTGTGGTTTTTGGGCAAAAAATGGCGATTTTTCTAATGGTTTTGTTCGCTCACGGAGGGGGGGGGGGGGGAGTAAATAAAAAATAATTTTCTTATTCATTTAAGACTGATATAAATGGCACCGACCTTCTATATTGATTTAAAATTTCTTTAAGCTTTTTTTTGAACAAATATGGGTTACAAAAAATAAGACAGACTTTACATAAATCAGAGCCTAAATTTTCCAAATGGCATCGCTCCATATGAGCATCTCCCGAAGCTTCTCCATCATAAGGGTCTCGATTTTGTAGTGATGCTTGATGGCTTGGCCCATAAAAAGAGCATTCAAGTGTATAGCTATTTAATAAATTAATTTCTCTAAAAATAACAATTCTGGCTGTGGATTCTTTACATTTTTCAATCCTGAATTTTGAGTCTTTAAATGAAAAAATTTTGTTTTTTTCTGCCAGAAGTAGGCTAGGTTAATTAAATATTAGGAGATTTCTTTATTTAACTTCTGACTCAAGAAGAGCCTTAGAAGAAGACTTTTAGCTACGGGTGAATCTCCCTGGGGATGTCAGATATAGCTTTGCTTTGGCTTTCGGCCTGGTACTTGATGCTATCTCCGAAGCTTTGAATAAACAGTTTTGGGCTTGACAGTTGCATCCTCAGTAGCTGGAGTTCCAGCTAGTGGTAAACTTTCTAGCTAGTACCAATAGGGTATACCTCGATCTCCGGTACTTGCGGCCTTTAGGGTTAAAATGCCTCTTTCCCAATGTCCATAATAGATGCAACTCTATAGATGGAGGCAAATCCATCTGGCAAAAATGCCCAGTGCCCATAGGTTTGCTCATTTTGGCCTCAAGTGGTATCTAGATCTCATACTCTGAGAATAGGACGTGTTCTTGACATCTGCATTCTATATATTTTTCTTCCAAAAGCAATGGTATCATTTTTATGAGCACATTATTTCTCCTATCTTCTATTTCTCTTCCAACTGAGCAGCACGAATACATAAAAACATTTTTCTTCATCGAATGCCCATGTATATCACAATACATAACAACCTCCATATCTTCAGAGAACATTTTTATCAATCTTTTTGTATAATAAATAGTAGGGTGCAGATGCCTATTTGGTCTGATTCATCGTCTATTTAAGTCCACTCCTAATAAAGAGCATCTATAATTCCCATATATAACCCCATCAGGGTTTAGCATAGGTATAATTTTAAACACAAAATTTTTCCTCAAAATTTTAGCTTCTTTAGAATTTCCTAACAAAAATTCAATTACTCCTTTCATTGCATAAGAAGAGTTGCTTTCCCCTGGATGGACTCTGGCTGATATCACAATCCCTTTTTTCTTGCTGTGCTCAGTTTCTATCTTCATATATCATACCTTTTTTTAGTATTCTATGCCTCATGCTTTTAAGTCTTTGGAGCTTCCTTCATGCAGCGCTTTTTTCAAGCTTTTGAAGCTCAATTTCTCAGGATTCGTAGGTGGTGACTGATTCTGTTATTGTAAGAACTGGGCAATCATTTCCAGCTAAAGTTTGACAAAGGGTATTTATCCTTAGAATTTCTTCACAATTTTGTAAAGAGTTTAAAAGGTTTTTTAAATCGGTATAGGTGTATGGATAACAATGTGCAAAATAAACGAGATCATTTTCATATTCAAAGTTATATATAAATGATAAGGTGTAAGCGTGGTTTCGCTTTCTGTCTTCTTTACAGTTTAAGTTGTTTCTAAAATAAGAAATATTTTCTCCAGCCCTATGCCACTGTATTCCTGAATTTTTATATTTTTCCGTTGAATTTACAAGTGGCTTCATTCCATTATTATACAAAGAGTCATACTTGCTCAAGTTTACTATATTCAACGTAACTCTATGGTTTCTCTTATAACTTTTTATTGAAAAATAAAACCATTGTGTATGTCCTTTCGTGCCATAATCATACTCCAAGTACAAGTTATCTTTTTATCTTTTAAATAATCCCTATACTAAATTCTTTATAAATTCTCCCTATTTATTTTATTTAGCATATACTCATTTTCACTGATTTTTATCGCTTTCCACAGATTCCCACTTTCAAATTTCGAATCAAAAATCAGTACGTTTTCTGTAGGCGCAACCAAGGTGTATTCACATTTCACATACTTTTCAGGAGTAAAGGCAGGGAGGCTCTTAAGCATATTCTTATCTAGTTATCGATTACCATACTCGTCAGCGTTTTCAATGTCTTTTAGGACTGCTGGAGGAGTCATTCTGGGAGGAAGTGGGTTATACTGTGTGGAATCGTCAAAGCGCCTCGAATGGGAATCGTATATAGCTTATCCACCACAATAGACAATTATATAACTTAACAGAAAAAAAAATATGGCCTTAGTTATCTCTTATACAGTCTGAGTTTTATTCGGCATCTCACCCTATATAAAGAGATCTGCCATTTCAGTCCAAAAAAATTGACAAATGCAAATTTTATTTTAAAATTATTGGTCAATAATTGTCTATTAAAATGCAGGAGCTATACAACACAGCCGTCACTTTCATAACGATAAAGTAACGACTTGTTGGTAGTTGGAAGATCCTGCTTAGGCTTTGTGAGATTTGGGAGGAGTTTGTTGAGGTAATTAGAAACAATTTCGTTAGTGGTAGAGTTTGAAGTGAATTTTTCTTTAGAATCATCAATTAGCAAGGATTAGATTAGATTAGATTAACGCTAGGTATTTAAGGTCCCCACTACGTCCGAGGAAGCATTCTACGGTTTTCCAGTATGGTGGCAGAGCGTTCACCAAGCCCGGGCCGAAACTCCCGGTTTCTCGGTAGAGGCATTGTCAAGGGCCGTCTCATACCGGCTTTGCTGACCGCCTCCATTTCCAACTTGGATCGTCGCCTAAGTTTACGCCAACACTGCTGCGTCGTCCGCCAGATCTGCCCATTGAAGGGCACCTTTTAACCTGGATAGGCCCCCATTTAGTTGTCTAACTCGCCTTCCCCTCTTTCCGGCCATCCCGAGAAAGAACTCAACAGCTTTCGCCATTCGGGGCGAGCCACAAAAGCAGCTTAGGCAGGTAAGTCGCCCTGCCTCATTTCGGGCACTCACTGGGCTGAGCGCTGCTGGCAAAAAAGAAGTCACGAGTAACTGCCCATGGGTCTGGTCACAAAAACAGCGGCTTTTGCGCTTAGGCCTCTCGCTTCGAGGTCCCAGACGTTGTTGGGCTAACTCCTGGCTCCAAAAACCATGCCCGGATATACATGGGTAACCACCACCGAGAGGGTGGGTCGGTCGCCGTCCGCCATTTTATGTATATATCAACTAGCAAGGATAAGCTTTGAGGAAACGGCTTCGGGCAAGGAGAATCTGTACTTAATGATTTTGTATGATTCATTATTTTAAAAATATTGATAGAAAATCATATAATTAGAAAGAACTAATAAGTTTTATTGATTAAAAGAGTTAAATTAATTATTCTCCTCTATCACTGCTTGAGCTTGAACTTTTTCTGCTATGTCTCTTATGACTATGCTTTCTAGAGCTTGACTGACTATGGCTTCTTGAGCTGCTTCTGCTTCTATCTTTTTGTTTAGCCCACTCTTCGAATTCTTCGTCTTCTTTTTTCATATCTTCTTCTCCGAACTGATAATTATATCCTTTTCTCTCAGCTTTTTTAGCTAGATTTTCACACTCTATCTGAAACTCGCTTTTTCTGGGAGGCTGGGCGTCTTTAAGTCCTTTGGTTTCAAATACTCCGATCCCGTGGGTTCCTAAGCCATGATTTATGACCAATTTATCAAAGTCTGAGACCTCAATTTTGCTTTTTCCTGAGCTGACTTTTACCCAGAACTCAGCCATTCTTTCTTCACTTATAGAGGAGTCGTATTTTCTGATGACGTTCTTAAACTCGTTCATATCTAAAGAAGAAATCCCTGAGGATTCTAATTCAGAATGAAGCAGTGCAGTGTCGTATCTTTGTCGGGATTTAAATACATCAATTAAGGTGTTTAAGTAGCGAGCTTTGCTGACAATCCATTTGGCTACATGAATTTTCTTGGATCATTTTCCTGACAATTTCTTTTTGAAAACTGTTATTTTTCGATTAAATATCTGACGAGAAAAGTCAAAAAATTAACCAAAACACCTGCCGGAGGAAAAAGTTTCTATCAAAAGACGCGCCCAGAATCCATTCATCGTGACGGTCCCATTCCATAAGATTTTTCATGTTGACTTTAGCCATAAAGCTACTTTGGGATATTGTTTTGGTGCCTTCAGGGTCTAAGACTCTCCACAAAGCATCAAGTTCTTTATTAGAGATCCAAAGGTCAAGCTCTTGTTGAGTCCCTCTTAAAAACTCATTCGGGTCTATTGTTCCATTATGGTTTCTATCTAGCATATCGAAAATGGCCTGTGGAGACTTTCCAAGCCTTGCCATTTTGTGTAAGATTTTATAAGCCACAAAATCGTCATCATTAGACATATCTGGCCTAAGAAGTTCTAAGGCGCGCATCCCGCTGCTCTTATCATCTCTAAACTGATCATAAATTAAGTCCATAACGTCGCTCATAGATGCATATCCTCCAACTGCCGCCATTTCATAGGCTGTCTTTCCAGACGTCTTTTGGGCAGCATCCACTGACATTCGAGATGATCTCAGTTTTTCAACTAAAGGATGGAAATCAAGCCTAGCCCTTGCAATATATATAGACAGATGGTATGGGACTGGGTCTGGGTGGAAATACTGCAATAATCTTAAATAGAACGTTGCGTATAAGTTTCCTTCTTTATGAAGCTTTTTAAGTGTTGATAAAATGGCTGCAAGCCGAGACATTGCAAGATTTGGAATTCCAGAGGTTCTTTTGATGTAGTCTACAAGGCATTCTGCAATAGAGACAGGCCTATAGTTAGAATTGAGCTCTTTGAAGTCATGCTCGTGCTTTCTGTCCATGAAGTTTTCTAAGAACCTAAAGACATATAAAGTGCTGATTGGTGGCTCGTCTAAAACTCCTGCAACTTTAAGTGAGTGGGCTAAAAAGCTGCTTTCAATGGCAAGTCTACTTTCTTCTTTCATGATCCTGATAGCAATATCATAGTATCTCTTAAGGCGGTCATCTATATAATCAGGGATTATTATGGATTCTTAAATGAAGTAGGCTGCTTAATTTATTTTTATTGTAATAATTTGTATTAAAAATAGAAATAGTATTGGGTAATATTAAGAATGGGGTAAGATTAGAATGGAATGTATCAATATCGATGATTTCTTCTACCCTTATCTTTATAGATAGATATGATTTCCAGCGACTGAAGAAAAAGGAGTATTTACTAAACCCTGCAAAGATCACTGAAACCAATTTTTCTTTCAGATGGAACTGATATTTGAGTAATAGCTTTTCATAGTGAGCTTTAATAATAACCATTTCACTTGAAATTTCTGAAATTCTGGTCTCAGATTTAGCAATTATTTCTTGAGCGAAAATTTCAGCTCTGATTTTTTCCTCCCTTACTCTTCCTATACCAGCATTGAAATTTTATATATATTGAATATTTTATCTCTTGTGGTTAGTGCTTAAATTATTTTATATGGAAAAAATTATCAATATTTCATTTTTAAGAATTTTTTTGCCTCATCTTGATCGAACTTGGCGATTTGAAAAAGGATGGGGAGTTAAGAAGCCGATAGTCTTTTGGTTGATTTCCATGTCTCTCCGCAGGATTATTACTTCTTTTTGATATTCTTCAAGCCTTTCAATTTTTATTACGAGCTCAGATTGATAAGCGCTGAGAACTTTTATTTTTTGCTCTAAATAGCCGATATATGCTAAGAACAGCTGATATCTTTAAATATTTTATGATAAATTCTGCTATAATACTTAATATATTAATCGATTAAGCGCAGTATAAATGATTTTTTCCTTAATTTCTTGGATCTGCAAATCTCTTATTTGGGAGACTTCAAAGTAAAATTCTTTGTATCTCCAACATTCTTCGAGCTGCAGCTCCAACTCAGTAACTTCTTTATAAGTTTCTTCTATAATAACAGCCATTTCTTCATAGCCAGTTCTTCTTAAAAACTCTATTTTCAGCTTCAATCTCTCTATCATTTTCTCATATATCGTTATTTGGATCTTCAAGTCTGAAATTTCTTTTTCGTGGAATTTAATTGTAATTAAAAGTCTCTCAATTTCTACCTTTTTTTCCCTTATTTCGCTGACAGACACATCTAGTTCGTATTTAAGTCTCACTATTTTGCTAATTTTCTTCCTAATAGTTTCTTTAAATGTCTCAAATTGTTTTTCGTAATCTCTTATTGTTTCTTCTTTAATTTCTATGCTTCTAATCTTTAGTTTTATTTCGCTTTTTAGCTTCTCGTTTTCGCTTTCAAAAATAGCGATTTTTTCTGATTGTTCTCTGTACTCAATTTTAATCCTTTGGTCAATTTTGATTATAAGTTTTGGCATTAATTTAGAATGGGTTGTACCACCAAACTGAGGCGGTGGGGACTGAGACGTAAGAGTGCCTGGCTCAAGTTTGTCCGACCAAGTTAGAAGGGCAGCTGTCTAAGAATCCAAGCTGGCGATCAATATCAAATCGATTCAGGGGGCTTGCTGAGCCCATTGAAAATTCAGCTTCGTCAAGGATATCTCTAAAAAAACTGAGAAATAAAGAAATTAAACTTTAAGTAAACCTAAGATTCTAAACAAACTTATTAGAAAAAACAGCTAAATTCCCCTCAATTTTAATCCTTTTTAAGCTCTTTTTCTTTGCTTTCCAAAATTTCTTTGATATTCGTAATAGTAATTTCAAAAGTCGAGAATTTATTCTTATATTCAATCAGCAGACTTTCTTTTTCCTGCAAGCTTTGCTGAAGAATTTCTATTAAGCATGCTTTTTCCTCAAAATTTTTCTTCAGCATTTCTATCGTAGTTTCATAGCGCTGCTTTTCTTTAGATATCGAGCTTTTAATATCTATGATCTCACTTCTTTTGCTTTGAATTTCTACTCTAAGTCTGCTAATAATTGACGAGTACCTGTCCCTTATTTCTCTTCTGATATCTTCTAGCCTCTTCCACCTTTCTAATACAAACACAAATCTTTGAATTGCCCCTGAGAGCTTGACTTCGTGTTCTTCTCTATTGCATTCAATCGCCCTTACAAAATTCTCGATTTCGTCTTTAGACTGTTTAGAATCTTCTATAAGGATGCTTAAATCAGTTTCCCTGATGGCTCTTTCTATCATTTCTTCTGCAAGTTCATAGCTTTCTTCTATTTTTATGAAAAATCCATTGATTTTTTGTATCAGCATATGATGGAACCTCGATTGCCTATGCTTGATATCTTTAACCCTCTGTAGATTTATCATGATCATGCTAAAAGTGTCAAAAATCCCTTGGGCGTCTGCAACTAGGTCAAATGACCTGTCCTTGATTAAGCTATCAGCTTCAGCTTTTTCGCTTACAGTCCCACAAAACCTCAGCAAAACTGAAGAAATTGCTTCAACTTCTGTATCATCAAGCCACGTTTCTTCAATAATCCATTTGATAAGCTCCACAATGATAGCTTTTAATGGGGTTGAGCTCGCAATAAGCTGTTTTTCATCTTCTAGATCTTTACACCCTCTTTAATTAGCACAAATATATATTTTCAATTTAAATGAAAAAATTATTGTTATATAATTTATTTAAATTAATTGATTCGGTTTTCCAATTGCTTTTGGATTAAAGCTATTTTCTAGTTTTATTATTTTCATCTTAAAATGTGGTCACTCGAAAAATTAAATTTCGCTCTAATAAAAAAGGGTTATTATCATAAAAATAAAAATTTTTCTCAATTTTTAAGGGAGTTAGAAAGTTTAAAGCCTAATGATATTGATTTAACGAGTTCTGAAATTTTTTTTCCATTTGGACAAGCAAGATTCTCTTTGAGCTCTGATACACCTAACAGCTTTTTAGGGTGGAAATGTTTTGCCATCGTTTCTAAGGTCTCATAGGAGCATTTTAAGAATTTATATTGTTTTTCTTCAATGCTTTTTAGAATTTCTATCATTTCTGCTTCATGGTTGTCTGTAGGCTTTCTATTGATAATAGCATCATAAATTTCTTTTTCAAGAGAAATTCTTTCGAAAATCCTTATAACGATTTGGCGAATATTCGTGATTTCTTCTCTTTTTAATTTAAATTCTCTTTCTTTAAATCTCTCGTATTCCATCCTGAGTTCTATAGACTGTTTGACTATTATTTCTGCCATGCCTAAAGCTTCTTGAACAGCTGATGCTTTTTCTCTATCAATTTGTTCAATCATTTGGAAAAACATAAAAAGCTGGTTATTTAGTGCTTTAAAAAGGCTGAATTGGCTTCTCCTGAACCCAGAATATTGGTCAATCGATCCTTGGTCTTTTCTCAAAATTGTTTGGGCGTTGATCCTTAAATCTTTTTCAGTCGAAATCTGCTGCTCTGTCCCAAAATACTTGGTAAACGATTCCAGCAGCGGGACAAGATCAGACTGTTCTTCTACCATCAGGTCTAAAATCCCACCAGAATTGCTACCACTTATGACTGTTTTTTCAGTTCTACTATATGAAACTGCCTGAGTGGTGACCCCTGCTCTTTTCGTCGTCGTAATTTTTATTTCTTCATCAATTTCTCTAAACACTTCTTTAATAGGCCTATTAATTCTTGACTCTAACAGCCTTAAAATAAGTTTCGAGTACTTATCTCCTAGATGAATAATATAGTCATTCGGCAAATCTCCCAATCTTCTATAATCTTCAAATTTCCATCTTGCAAGATGGAAATCCATTTTGGCTCAGCAACAGCAAAAAAATCCCAGAATTCGGCCGTGTAAAAAAAAAATAAAACGGCCGGAAGGCCAAGGGGTCGCAGATGGCAATTCTCCGGGGTGGGGTGCAGGCTTGGGCTGACTGGGCTTCCCCCTCGACCCACAGACAAGATACTGACGGCGCAACATCAATCAAGCACTTCTGGAGGAGCATTATGGTGCCTGCGAATGGCACAGGTGGTTCCAGAAGAAGACAATGGACGATCCTCTCATACCCTGAGCACCACCAGGGGTTAAGAGAGTCCTTGCCGAAATTTTGATCCAGCAGGGTCGGGTGAGTCTCCCCGACAGACTGAGGACGTCACCATTTTTGATGGCTCCGAAGAAAAAAGGGCGTTAGGTGGCTTTAGTGCTTAGTGCCACATGAAGCACGAAGCTGAAGTCCGACTGGCTAGGGGCTGAAATAATCCCCGCTTAACCTCTCTAACTAATCTCTCTCTCTATAATCTTCATTGCATTTTAATATATGTTTATCTGCATTATGCCATTTCATTTCTGTCAAAATTTCTACAGCTTTTTGCAGTCTTAATATAATCCTGACTGCATAGCTTGACAAATCGTCATCTTGGTGGTGGCGGGATTTATTAGAAATAATCTCTATCAGCTCATGGATTTTGGCGCTTACTTGGTTTTCTGATAAATAAGAGATTAACTGTTTAAAAATGGTATCAAGGTTTTTTGTAGTCTCTGGGAGATCGTCCCAGGCTGACTCAATGATCATTTTTGAGTCGTTAACGTGGTCATCTCCTGCTAATTCTGCTAAAAACAGCAGCCTTTCTATATCATTTTCTTTTCTCTGCTTAAAAGCTCGCAATAAATCAATTGGGTCGACATCATTGCTGGAACCGTCCAAAATTTTGGTCTTTGCCCTGACACTTTTCTTGGTCGGCTGTCTGGTAATCCCAGAAATTTTGGAAATTGTAGGAATTGACCCTTGAGAGGGCGAGCCCGACCTGATTTCTTCTATAGTTTCGGATTCTGAGATTTCTTTATATGCCCTTTTTTTGATGTCTTCAAAAACGTTTCCTAAAGAAACAAGTTCTGTTATTTTTGAAGTGAGAGAAATCGGCTGGTCAAAATCTGGGTCAATAAGGCTATTTAAATCACTGGTTAGCTTATTGGCTTCTTGCAAAAGACTGCTTGATAGCGCCCTTATTGATTTTATAGTATTGGTAGAAGACTCAATTAATGCTTTTTGCTGCTTATACAGGTCATTAAGCAAGTTTAGCAGCTTAGCTTTTTCAATTTCTAGCTGGTGAATAGGTACCTGGCCTATGTCTGGGCTTTTTCTATGGAAATCCGTTTCTGATTCGGAGTCGGCGATTTTTTCTTTTCCCCAGAATTTCTCAGAAAAATCTTCGATACCAGTAGAAGTAAATTTTGGTTCTGCCAGCCTTGTACGTGGCTTTACGACTTCTTTATGCTTTTCTGTGCTGATGTCCCAATGGGTATGATGCTCTTGGTCGTTTGAGTAGATAACAACAATTCCCCATTCATAGGTTTCTTTAAGCCAAGTTTTTGAAACGACATAAGAGTCGTCTTTATAATGCCAATTCTCGTAGAAATAAGTATCTGAGTCTTTGTCATGGCTGAATTTTGGTAGCCTATGTTTTTTTCCAGAAATTAGCGCATCATCACTATTAATTTATAAAAAAATTTAATAAAAATCTATTTTTGCAGAAAAATATACCGAATTTTTCACCTGTCTGAGAGGTAAAATCAAACCATTGGTACATGTCGCAATTTCTCAATGTTGAAAACACGACTTGGATTGAAGGTGAATGCTCATAATGTTGTTTAGCCTCAGTAAATTTGCGGAAAATAGGCATTGATTGAAAGCCTTTTATTGAGTGAGAAGGGTAGGAGTTTGACTTTCAAAGTAGATTCATTAAAAATGGCATGATAAATTATTTCTATTAAATTCTGTAGCATGAGTCTATGTGAGCAGCCGAAATCTTGAAGAAGAAAATAGGCACTTGATATTGATAAGGACAGATTAGGCGAGAAGCAATGACTGACTAGCCAAATATTAATCCAGATTAATTGATTTCATATGAAAAAGGACCAAGTGCTACTTAGACTCTCGCTAAGCCGATAGAACGATTTCTGAGGCGATAAGGGCGTTGAGCCCATGTCATTGAGTTTCGTCTTTATCATTAATCAGCCAGAAATTCGATTTTTCGAATTTTCTGAATTGAGGCAGTCATCATTCCAGTCTATTCCCATTGAAGCGGACTAGCCTCTGCAGACTGAGTCTGGCAAACCTAAAATGGTTGAAATAAACGCCTAGGTTTAATCTTATTCTCTCATGATAGATCAAAACCATTGGAAAAATCCCTATTTTTTGAGAAAAAAAAATGAACGAGCTCAATTTCTTATGAAAAATATTTAAAATATAAGTTATAGACAATTTATTTTCTAAAATTTAAAATTTATAAATAAAATTAATTTTAGGGATTTGTTTTTAAAAAGTTAACCCCTCACTTAAGGGAGTTTAATTAATTTTTAGAAGCTTCCAAAGCTGAAAATTTGACGCCATTAATTATAGACGAATTGATAATATAGGAAATATTAGGGTAATAATATGAGAAAAAGATGGCCAGCCAAAACCATAAGAAAATTTTTTATATGCAAAATAGAGAAAAACTAATGTAAAGAAGTAAGGATTTTTGAGCAAAAATTGAAAATAAAGATAATAACTGATTTATAATAGTTCGCAAGGAAAATTAAAAATTTTATATTTTTTGAGCTGGTGAAAATATTTTCCTCCTTCAGTTTTAAGTCTTATCTAGTCTTTTTGGAGCTTAAGCCTGCTTTTTAGGATGCTTTTGATAAGTTTCCATGAGAGTTATTGGTAAATAACTGTGTGATGCTCCATATTATAAATCATGAATACAATTAAATTGATAATTTAATCAAAGCAATTGATTCTGCTGAGAATATTAACTTTTTTTCTTTTTACTTTTGGAATGATAAAGCTTTTTATTTAACCTTTAAATTTATTTCTGTTATGTTATAATGATCCTCTCTAAGTTATAATTTTTATTATAAGAATATAAATAAAAGCTCTATATGTTTTTAAAAGATTAAATAAACTTAAAGTCAATATTATTTAAATAGCACAAGAAAGAAGATTTCAATACAAATTACTAATTTCATAGATTAATAAAATTAGTAATTAAAATCGAAAGGCTTCTTTTGTTAGTATTTCATCTTTTATGCAATTATTGCTCGACCATTTTTGTCACCAAATAAAATCCTTTAAGACTGCATCTAGCTTATAAAAACGAAAGGAATTATAGTTAGCAAAAATCACTTACTATCGTATCAAATTAATTATTTAAGACTTTAAATCTCTATAATACAAAATGCGTTACAAAATATGCATAATTTTTTAAGAATTTAAAGCATTTATTCAAATTAAATCAAGCCTTTTATTTAATGTAATTAAGCCAGCTTAAAAAGACCTTATAAATGCATATTTAAAATAAAATTTAAATTACAATTTTTGCTTTCAAAAGTTTTACTTCAGATTAGTAGACTGTTATAGCTTTAATTTGGCAAACTCTCTGTAAATTTTTGGTAAAATATTTTGTAAATAATGATAATTACTAAAATGCATTTCCATTTAGAGTTAGATTTTATTTTAAATCAAGTCAAAACAATACGTTTTAAATTATATCTGAGAGTTATCTATTTCATTAAAGACAACTAAGATTTTTATTTACTCCTCCCTTGAATAGCTAAGCAAGGAGAGCTAGAAATTTTATTAACTATAATATCCAATATTACTTGAAAATCAATGTAGGAGAAACAAATGCATCAGAAATGAATAATAATTAATTCACCTTCAATGAAGTGCTGGCATAATCATTGTAACTCTAAGCTAGAATTCACCTGCCCTTGTGCAAATCCGCCAGTTTACTCATGCGGGCTTCATATAGTAGAGCATTTAAGAGATGAGAGCCTTCAAGGTCATCATCCTGAAAATCTCTTCACTAACTTCCCCTTCGTGAGCGAAAAAAAAAAATTTGTTCTGAGGAGGGTTAATTTTTTTTTTAAATATAATTTATTTTATTTTTTTTTACTAAATTTACAAATATTTCAATTTTTAAATAGAATTAGCTAGAAATTTCATTTTAGCCCGATCTTTGCCGGGAACGGGCTATATACTAATTATCACTTATATATAAATTTTTTTTCATAATAATTTTTTATTCGCTCACGGAAAGGGGGTGGAGTAAGCCAAAACCAGAGACCAAAAAAGCGCTGATTGAGCAGCTCGCCAAATTATCGTCAGATTTATCCACTGTCAGGGAAAACCTAATAAAGCAGGTATCAGAGAAGGTAAATGCTTTGGTTTCCCAGATGAAAAAATCTTTAGAAGAAATCGATAGAATGAAGGAGGAGCAGCAAAATTTAATACAGAAAATAAACTCAACATCAGAAATTTCTAAACCCTGCCTGCAAATATAATTATTGGAAAAATATGAAGTGCAGAAATCTTCGTACTGGTTACACAATTAAAATGGCGAGCCATCCGACCCGTCCTTCTCCTGTACCCTCAGGGACTACGGGTTTAAGAAGTAAACGGGGCCTGGATATTGTGCCCAGGGTGGTTTTTTTTTTACCTTGGTCGGGACACCACGACAAGGTTCTTTTTACCTCTCACAAAGACGAGAAGACCAGAGCCGCAAATCAGGAGTCACACTTCAGGACTAGAAGGAAGTGAGGAAACTTGTAGTGGAGCTTGGGGACCAGAAGAAGACTCCGGAAGGCTACTTTTTCCCCCTCCCCAGAAAGGACGGCGCCGGGTCACTAGACCCTGATCAAAGGAGTACCTGGGTGAGTCTCCCTGTCAGATGGCGACGTCACCATTTTTTGGTGACGTCGACAGAAAATGGAGTGAGCTACAGAGCCGGTGCTTAGGGCGAAAGCCTGAAGCTGGCAGCGCTGGGTAGAGGCTGAAATAAACCTCCATGACCCGCTAAAACTAATTAATCTAATCTAATCTAATCGTACTGGTTAGCCATTCACGCATTTTAATATATATAAAAATGAATTTTTCTCTATAAAAAAGAGCGTAAAAAAATTAAGCCCGATGAGCAAGAAAATTCTTTAGCTCGCTCACTCAGAGAGAGTAAAGAAAACAGAAGCTTTATTGAAGAATTACTCAGTCTTTCACCTGAAGAAGCTGTAAAAATGCTTAAAGATCTAAAATTTACAATAGAAGACGTAAAATTAGATAAAACCCCAGAATGCTCCCCAACGAAAATAGAAGAAAAAGTAGAGACAAGGACAATCTCAAGGGAAAGCTTTGAAATGGAAGTTGACGAAATTGTAGTTTTCAGGAACAGCACAAAGAAAATCGCTAGAGTAAATTTAGCCACTTTTAACACCACAGAAGTAGAAGTAGAAGTCGCTGATCCTATTTTTTACTATGTAGCAATGTGCGAAATCCCTAACACTGGAGTTTTTTGCTTTGGAAACTGAAACCCTTGTAGAGGCACAGCGTATATAATTTATCCTGATAGTCGCATAAAGCAGCTTGAAGATGGAGCTCCATGCTGCTATTCTGGAGCAGTTTACTATAAAAAGGCAGTTTATGTATTTGGTGGGTGCAGTGGCAATTATTTGACTTTGGCTGAAAAATATAATTTTACGACAGAAAAATGGGAAAAACTGAGCCCGATGCCTGATGCTTCTCATTTAGTAACGACTTTAGTCTATAATTGTCAGATTTTGCTGTCTGGGTACCATCATAGCAAACTTTATAGCTACGATATTAATTATGATACCTATTTAGAAGTCCTTGATCTGAAGCCAGATGTATGCAGAATGCTTTGCAAAGGAAACGACAAAGCTTATTTAATAGAATGGACTGGACAGATTTATGAATGCGAATATAATATAAGTTCATGGAGAGTTGTAGGAGAAGCACTGCCATCAATGGGATGCCCAATTGGCTATGGGTCAATTTATAAAGGATTCAGCTATTTTGTTGACCACACTTTTACTTTATATCAGTTTGATTTAGGCCAATTGAAGATAAATAAGTCCAAACAAGTTTAATAATTAAGCCTTATTATCCTCTTAAAAAAATTGCACCTATTAATTTTTTATAAAATAATTACAAAATAATTTATATAAATAAATCTTACTCCCCCCTTTTAAATTGGACAGAATATAGGTAAAATTTCCATTTTTTTGGTAAATTAACCCTTTAAATTGGAAAAAAAATTCAATTTTATAAATAAAAAATTTTATAGATAAAAATCATAAGTTTTATGTAAAAAGTTTTGGTATAAGTTAAATGTTTCTTCTTAACTAAAATTAAAAATTTAGTTATATCTTGCTCTTGTTTAAAAAAAGAGTATATAAAGAGCATCTTATTTAAATAAAATTTATTATCCTTAATTGCTAAATTTTTTAAAAAATTTAAATTTATTTTAGATAAAAATAATATTTTTATTCAAATAATTTTGATATAAATTCAATACGGATTCTTTACAAAAATTGAAACTTTACTTATTTCTTGCTTTATTTTAAAGAATAGAGTATAAATAGCATCTTATTTAGACAAAATTAGCATTTTGATCGATAAATTTCCTAAAATTTTTTTTATCAATAAAAATTTAGTTATATATTGCTTTGTTTAAAGGATAATGAGCAAATAGCATTTTTATTAAACAAATTTATTAATCTAATTCGATAATTTTTGAATTTTTTTTATAAAAAAATTTTCTTATCCCATTTAAATTGGAACAAAATTTTTTGTTCCATTTTAAAGTAGGGGAGGAGTTAATAAACTTTGCCTTTAATTAACCTCTGCAACCTAGCTTTCTTTATTGGAACAAAATTGTTCGGGAGTATTCTGGTCTTTATTTTTACACATTCTACCTGAAAATCTCCTCTTTCCCTATTGATTTCTTGTGAGCGACTTTTCAGACTTCTGGATCTGAAACTAATAGATTTTAGTTTTTTACAAAACCATCTGTGCCCTACCGCTTCTTCAGGAGGGATTCTATTTTCGGGATTAGGATCAGTCAACCTTTTAATTAGGTTGATAGCATCCTTTGATACGTATTTTCATACATGGTCATTGAAATTTATTATACACTCAGTGTTTTTTACAAGGATGTCTTTTACTGACTCACTGTAAAAAGGCATTTTTCCGGATAATAATATATACATAATGATCCCTACAGAAAATAAATCACTTTTGGTGCCGTATGGCTGCCTTCTGAGAATCTCAGGGGCGATATAGCCGGGGGTGCCACATCTGAGCTTTAGATCTCCAGAGGCTTCTGTTGCTAATCCAAAATCAGCAAGCTTAAAATCGTAGTCATTTTCATAGGAATCCATAAGGATGTTTTCAAGCTTTATATCTCTATGCACAATATTTTGGGAATTTAACTCCCCGCCTTTAAATTGGAACAAAATATAGACACAAAATTTGCATTTTTTGATATTTTAGCCCCCTTTAAATGAAATAAATATTTTTTAATAGAAAAATTTTATAGATATAATTTTTTTTTATAAAATTAGATTAGACTTAGTTTAACGAAAAGCTCAATTAGAATATTATTATAGTCAGTGTCACTAACTATATAATAATTTTACGCTGGATCGATTAATTTTTGTATTAATTCTTCAAAATAATCAAAAATCTCGTTTCAATTTATATTTTTAAATTTTTAAAATTCTTTTTTATACATTGACAGAATATAAATTTTCTATAGACAAAAAATTTAAAGAAATTGTCCCCTTTAAATTGGAACAGATTTTTGTGTTCCAATTTGAAGGGGGTATAAGTAATCTAGTACACATAAAAGTTTTTGGCTCAATTTAGCCACGTCTCTCTCAGTGAAATTATCTTTCATGAGAACTCTGGTATACAGGTCTTCGCCTTTGGCATAATCTAGAACTAAATGTACGTGGTCTTCATCTTCATAAATTTTATGAAGTTTTATTATATTTGGATGATTTAATTTTCTCATAATTTTTATTTCCTTTATGAGTGCTTCGTAGTTTTCTTGGCTTCCTTTGATTTCAAGCTTATCGATAGATTTTATGGCATACTTTTTACAATCTTTTCGATGTTTACCAAGGAAAACCTTAGAGTAGGCTCCTCTTCCTAGAACTATTTCAAGCTCATAATCATCTTCGAGATCTGTTAGAATCCCTACGTATGACAGTTTGTCAAGCCATAAATCCAGTTGCCAATTATTTGATAGAAATTTTTTCTTCGTGTGACATCCCAAAAATTTTTATTAATAACTTTTTCTTTGTGAGACAAATTTTTCGGGAAAAAAAGCTAAAAATCTATCACGAGAAAAAATTTCGATAAAAAATATGAAAAATGATACACAGGAATATTCCAATTTATATCACATAAAACCCATAAGTCCAGCTCTTCTTTATTCTTTACATAAAAATCGTGGCTTGCATTCTGGTGTCCAAGGCTAAAGCCATATCTAGTAATGTCGTCTTTCTCCTCCACAAAAGGCTCGATCAGCTTCCATTGGATATTTACAGTACTTACAGGGACTTTCGAGCCAGCTTCAAGTTTGATTAGGGCTTTATCAGACAAAATGTAAGTGTTTTCTATTAGAAAACCCGGCTTTTTAGCCTCTGATAGCTGCCATTTGAAGACTTCTTTTATTTCTTCGTTGTTGAAAGGCGTTCAAAACTCGTAAGAGCCTTGCTCAACTTGGTTTATCGATAAGAATACTGACTGCATAACAAAATAAACTTAATTTTAAAATAGAGAAAACTAAGTGGTTCATATTTAAGATTTCGATCCAGTGTAAGAGTTACGTCATATTTATAAAAATAACTTTTCTCAGGTCTTTTCTTGATCTTTATAAAGCCATAATTTAGAGAATAATTATGGATAGCTGCCAGATGATCAAATGCTTTTAGAGGAATTAAACTGCCAGTTTTAGCTAAATTAGTCGAAAACTAATTAAAAATGCTCTAGCTTTTTTATGAGTAAATAAAGCAGAATGTAATAGACCGAAGTGAAGTAGGCAAACCCAAAATTACTTTTATCATTACTAACCTATATAGAAATTTATATGGTGGAAGACGAACATAAACCTCTTGGTGCGATTTTCTCAACACTCTGCAAGGAAGAAACCAAGCTGAGAAGCAGGCAGGGTACCTTTGGTGTATATCGGGCTTGGGGTTTTCTTGGGCCTAAGGGCTTACCTCCAATGTTTTTTAGATAAAGCATGATCAGTGTAGAATAAGGCAAGCAAAATCCTTACAGACCTGCTAGACAATTTTTGCCTGCACAATAATAGGAGTTATTTCATGGGACCGAATCCAAGGAGAAAGTCCAACTCAATTGTGCAAGACTCTACTGTGAAGGAGGAAGGTTGCATGCCGATTCCTAGGGGATAATGAGATGAGTAGCGGGCTGAAAATTCAGGCATTCAAAGACGATAATAACCTAATATAATCATTGCTGACCATTTTTATTATGCAACATCCAGAATAGGATAATGATAAATTTAAAAGGGAAAATATTCTTCTGATATAATGCACCTTGAAAATTTAAAATATAAGCATATTTTAGTTCATTTGGTTTTATTGGCATCTAATAAGCATATAAATTTGAAAATATTTGTAAATTTAAATTAATCGATTTTTAAGCTTACATTTATTTTATTTAACCCGATTTAATTTTAAATCATTATTTATTCCTTAAATTAAAAATTCTGTCAAATCGATATTTCAAAAAAAATCCAATAAAGTGCTCCAATAATTCGCAGCAATTAAAATAAGATTAAAAAATAAAGGCAAAGCATTGAAAACTTCTTTAATATTCTTAATAATATAATATTAAATTTCTTACTCCTTAATAATAAGAATATAAAAGAGATTAAGTAAATTTCGATCTAATCATATAAAATATTTCCAGATAATAAAACAATTTTATTATTTTTTTGGGTAGGAGTTATATAAGTTTTAATTTTGAAATAAAAAAAATGAATAGGTAGAGAATTCTGAATTTCTGTTCAAAAGCTCGTGATATTGGAAAATAAATGAAAATTTTAAAAATATAAGATTTAATAATATATTACTGTCAAAATAACTGATAAAATAGACTAATATGGTCTTCTTTTTAATAAAATCTGTAATTATATTATTGAATGTCAATATTTTCAACATTAGACAAAAGTTCTCAAAATCTGGCTGAATTTTGGAAATCCTACAGCAATATCAATTTAACCCTTCAAGAGCTGCATCGGGGAAAACTTTTGGAGGTAATAGACATTGGTGTTGCTATAGAACGAAATTTTGTCCTAACAAAAAAACATTTAATAAAACTGGATTTATCAGAAAAGCCAGAAATGATAGCATCGCTTGAGTGGAAGCTAATATCAGCTTTTCAAGAAAATCAGAAAAATAATATTAGATTTGGGTTCACCCTCGGATGTAAAAACGCTGCGAAAGATTTTTATGTCGAAAATGAAGAAGAACTTAACAAATGGATTAGCTATATATCAAAAATTGGTATAATGACAGACATTGAAGACTCATATACACTTGAAAAAAATATCGGGAGGGGTGGGAACTCTACAGTTTATTTGGCAAAAAGCGTTACAAGCTCAACAATGTTCGCTGTGAAATCTATTTCAAAAAGCTTGACTACTCAAAGCATAGAATCAATTGCAAGTGAAATTAAAATCATGAGGAAGCTCAATCATCCTAATATAACTCACTTGCATCAAGTATTTGAAAGTGACACCCATATTTACATGATTTTAGACTATGCTAAAGGAGGCAGCTTATATGAAAAAATTATCAAAAAACAGACCCTCCCTGAGACTTCAGTGCTTAAATTTTGCAGAGAATTGCTAAAGGTACTCAAGTATTTAAACTCAAAAAAAATCGTGCACAGAGATATTAAATTAGAGAACATTTTACTAGACAGTCAAGATGATAATCTTGATTTTAAATTAGCTGACTTTGGCTTAGCAACAAAAATAACTGGTGAGCTAACATTAAGATGTGGATCACCAGGATATAGGAAAAAAATTATTTATTTATTAAACATAATTTTTGGAATTTTAAAATATAAAAAATATGGTCAGGATATATTGCCCCAGAAATCCTAAATCTCTTCTTCACAAGGGTTAATTTTTTTTTTAGTTTATATATAATTTTGTAGCAATTTTTTTCGAAATTAAAAAAAATCCCAATTCACAAAAATTTAAAACAAATATTAGTTTAATATGTAAAATTTATGTTTTTAAATGAAAGCTGCTTAAAATTAAACAGAATTAGCTAGAAATTTCATTATAATAATTATCACTTATATATATCAAAATATTTTTTTTATAAAATTATTTCTATTAAAAAATATCTGTTCGCTCACAGAGGGGGAACTTTCCAATGGCTTTGCTCGCTCACGGAGGGGGAATAAGAAAAGAGAAATATGGGTACAAAGTTGACATTTTTGGAGCTGGGGTTATTTATATACTTTACTTACAGGGAAAATGCCATTTTTTGGGTATTTTCAAGAAAAAGTGTTAGAGAAAAACAGGGAGTGCAATATAAATTTCCATGATGTTAATTTGCACAATATCTCCAAAGAATGCATTGAGTTACTTCAAAAAATGACTTGTCCATGCCCAGGGCTACGAATTTCTCCACGAAGAGCATTAAAACATAAATGTTTTTCAAAATATTTCCCAAGAAAAAAACCATTTAATCAGTCTATAAGCATGTTTGAGTGCAAAAGCTCAAGAAAAGACTTAATAACTCTTTCAGCATCTTTGGAGATTTTGCAAGCTAAAACTATTGTCCTAAAAACAAATTTTATGCCCATGAAGAAAGTTGATGAACTAAGAAGAAAACTTATGAAATTAATATAATTAAGCTTTGAGAATTTTAATAAAATTTTTTGTTTTTCTAGGAATTCATATCATTCTCAGCCTATTTATTTGATAGATTTTAAATGCTAAATAAGGAGATATTGCTAACTTTCTCATCTAGTTAATGAAGGTGATTATTTGTTTTTAAAATTTTTACTCGCTTGGAAAAGGAGTTAATTTTTCCCTAAAAATAGGATTTTTCCAATGATTTGCTAGCACTTTAAGGGGTAGCAAGATAAAACAGTTCAATAGAATCTTATTTTTTATTAATTTCAGCATTATAACTCTTTAATGTACAAAATTTATTCTGCCTATTCGTTTATTGAAAGGCTCTATTATTTTTATTGGACATTTTAGCTAGTTTATATTTTTATAAAAATTTTATCAGGCCAAACATTTCTGTAAGAGTATTAGTCTCTAATAGTTTACCTTTCAAAAGACCATCTAATTATCAAGCTGAAATATGCAAAAATTCGATAGATCATGCTTAATTTTTTATAAATAATATTTGCATAATAGTGGCTTATATTTAAAAATTCACTTATCGAATTAATTGCATTTTTGTGCTAATTCGTTATAATTTGGATAATTAAATAGTTTAAATGTATAAATTTATAAGTAAATCTTTAAAACTGATTTTATTATTCATTTTTTAATAGAAGCTCTAGATGTCTAAAATTTTATAAAACTAAATTAGTAAGTTTGAGGTTAATTAGACAATAAACATTGAAAAATTGTTTATTTTGAATATCGTGGATAAAATAAATAAAATAGAATCTACTATGCAATTATGTGGCATTATAACGATGACCCCCTCAATCTTCATGTCTATTGCAACAAAAATGCAATTTTTTAATATAAAATTTTATATAAAAAAATAATAATTTTCATGTCTCTTGCAACAAATTATATACATTAAAATGGCGACATGTGTCAACCTGCCCTCTTGGCGCAGCAGTCCAGACCTTATGGCTACAGCGAACTGGGACAGACTCCGAGCCGAGAATCAGACGCAGGCTCAAGAAGTGTGTGTATCCGGGTAGATTTTGGCTGCTTTCCTGTAGTTGGAAATGGAGGTGCTCAACAGCGTCCTTGGATCCGAGGACCCATGGGTATTCCTCTAACGAGAAACTGGAGGTTTCAGCCCAGGTCACAGGGAAACAGTCTTTTTCCTGTAGCTGCCGAAGAAAGGCACTTTGACACCCAATAGACTCAAGAGCTGATCCTTGGAATCAAGCTCCAATCGCCCGCAGCAGGGCCGCAGAAATCCATAAGCCGCCCACTCAAGACTGAACTCCCAAGGCAAGGAGGAGACAGAAGGTACCGGAAGGGCACTCCTAACTCCCCCCCCTCCGTGAGTGAACAAAAAAATTTTGTTCACTCATGGAGGGGGGTTAATTTTTTTTTAAAACAAATTTATATATAAATTTTATAAAAAGTATTTTTTTTTCAAAATTAAAAAAATCCTAATTCGCAAAAACTGGAAAGCAAATATTAATTTAATTTATAAAATTTATGTTTTAAAAAGCATTTTGTTTTAAATTAAACAGAATTAGCTCTAGATTTCATTATACTAATTATCATTAATATATCAAAATTTTTTCCATAAAAAATTTTTGTTCACCCACGGAAGGTGGGTTTTTTTGGGCAAAAAATAGGGATTTTTCTAATGGTTTTGTTCACTCACGCAGGGGAGGGGAGTAAGAGGGATAGATCCTCTGGGCTGGAGTAGAAAAGCAGTAGAACCTTCCGTACGGGAGGTCTTTAATGACTGCGTCATCAATATTGCTAGCACCTGTCTGTAATAATCTTAATCCTAAAATCTTGCAACAAATTTTCGATGCGCGTCTTAAATTTTTCCGTACTTTTTAGCTAGATAAGTTTAATAAAATGGCGAGCGATGGCAATAGCCGTCCAAATCTCGATGAGAAGGTCATTGATACACCTACAGTAGCGCTGTTTTATGTTTTTTTTTGAGAAACTCACCTAGAGAAAAATGAATTAATTTGTTTTATATAAAAATGTTGTGTTGCAGTAGGCATGAAGATTTTTTCGAAATTTTTGTTGCAATAGACATGAAGATTGAGGGGGGGGTCATCGTTATGAAGGAATAGAATATATAAAACTATAAATTTAAAAAATAAAATTTTTGGTTTGTGATTATTCAAGCAAAATTATTTATATTATCTAGCTGTTTATTTCTAACATCAGCGTTAGAACTGCTTTATAAATTGTATTTAATTCTCTGAATAGCTGAATAGGATAAAAGCTATAGAGCTCAAATATGGCCTGCTATATTTCTAAGCCACTAATTAGCCATTAAGCCTAAACCATTAGACTTCTCAACAGTAGCAGGCCAAGAAAAGATTTATTATGACGTAATTTATATCAATTTTTAAATGGAGATGAAATTATATAAAATTCTATCGTAATTTCTCTATTTAGACAGTATGAATAGTTTGGTGCAATATATTCCTTGGATGCTTAATTTTTGATATACCTGAACTACAAATTTCTCCACGAAGAGCCTAAGAGCATAAATGCTTTTCAAGGTATCATATAAGAAACGGTCATCAAATCAATATGGGCGAAAACGCTCAAGTAAATGCAAAATAGATATCGCAAAATCCTTAAAAATTTCACAGACTCAAATCATTGTTCTCAAACAAATTTTGCACCAATTAAGAGAGCAATTGAACTAAGGCAAAAGCTCATGAAAATGATAAAACTATTAATTGAAAAAATTAAATTATGTAATTATCCTTGGCTAACCAAATTTGGCTCATACCATTTCCAGCCTTTCAGAGCACCATTATCATATGCTACCAAAATCAAAGTGCCGTCTGCATAGGTGAACACTCCATTGTCATGATATTTATCATCAAGAAATCCACCTTCATAAACGATGCAGTCTTTATATAAAGTTTTAATTCCAGTAAACTGGTACCAGCAGCTATCTCCAGTAATAAACCTCCCTTTTCCATTCTTTTTATCATTTGCCCAATATCCCTCATATAGTCTATTATCATGATAATTCATGACTCCATACCCATTTTTCGTGCTATTTACAAACCACCCAGTAAATTCATCTCCATTGGAATATTTATAATTCCCCTGCCCATGAATGGTATTATTTTTCCATTCTCCCTTATAACTTTCATTATTTTCATAAGAAATAAATCCATATCCATGCTTAGCATCATCAAAAAAATCTCCTTCATAAATTGTTCCATTTTCATTGGAAAATCCTTTACCATTTCTTTTATCTGACTTTCAGTAGCCTTTATAAGTATTTCCATTAGAATATAGATAGATTCCAAATCCGTCTTTAAATCCATCTTTAAACTCTCCAAAATAATTGTCATTGTTTGCCAAGGTTAAGTTTCCTTTATTATGCATTTTGCTTCCTTTCCATTCTCCTTCATAAATATCTCCATTAGAAAATAATAATTTTCCAAATCCGTCTTTTAAGCCAAATTTAAACTCGCCTACATAGAAATCTCCACTATCATATGTGAGGTTCCCTTTCCAATAAGGTTTACACAAATTAGCATTAGTTTCTTTACAGATTGAGGCAAGATTTATAAAATCATCCACAAATTCTGCAAGAACTGAGGTTCCGTTTGAGTAAAAAATTTTTCCGGTGCCTTTCTTTTTGCCTTTTTCCCAATATCCTTCAAATTTCTCACCTTGGGTATCAAAAAAGCTTCCAAATCCATCAAGCAGCTCATCTTTAAAATCACCTTCTAAAATTTCACCATTAGCTTTTACTATTTTCCCTTTTCCTTCAAATTTGTCATTTTTCCATTCTCCTATATATTTATCGCCATTTGACTTATTAAACTCCCCATTTCCATGCTTCAGACCGTCTTTAAAATCGCCTTCATAGTAATCTCCTGATGAATAATTCATTTTTCCGCTGAAGTAAATTTTATCATTTTTCCATTCTCCGTCATAAATATCTCCATTAGAAAAATAGCAGATCCCTTTTCCATGTTTTTGGCTGTCTTTGAAATCGCCTATATAGGTTTCATTATCTGCTAATAAATATTTGCCTTTGTTGTAAAGTTTACCATAATTTCATATACCTTCATATAAATCTCCATTAGAGGTATTAAATTTTCCTCTCCCATGCATTATGTCATCATAAAATTCTCCTGTAAAAGAATCGCCATTTTCCAAGGTAAGAATTCCTTTACCATTCCGTTTCCCATCCCACTCGCCTTCATATTTTTCTCCGCTTTTATATAAAATTGTTCCATTTTGAGATCTTTCATCATTTATGAAAAATCCTTCAAATGCATCTTGATTTTTAAATGTAAATCTCCCAAAGCCATCTTTCTTATCATTTCCCCATTCGCCTTCATATTTATACCCCTCTTCTAGGTGAATAAAAACTCCAAAGCCATCTTTCAACCCATTTACAAACTTTCCTTCATAGCTGCTTTTATTTGTATAGGTCAAATTTCCATAGCCGTTTGGCTTATCGTCTAGTCACGAGCCTTTATATATGCTTTTATCATTTTCATTCGAAAATATTCCAAACCCTTTTCTCAGTCCTTTTTCAAAGCTTCCATCATATTTACTGCCATTTTTAAAAACTAATACTCCTTTCCCATGCTGCAGCCCATTTTTAAGGTCTCCTTTATATACTCTCCCATCAGCGTAATTACAAGAAAATTGCCCAGTTGCTTTGTCATTTATAAAAATTCCTTCAAAAGTATCCCCATTATCAAAAACAAGGACTCCTTGCCCATCTTTGATACCATTCTTGAATTCACCTCTGTAGTAAATATTTTTAGAATACTTTGCATGTCCTTCTTTTATATTTAAGGCTACAGGCACAGCTAATGCAGTTATTAAGACAACAACGAGCAATATTAAACTTTTGCCATGGCAGCTTTTATATGCTTTTACAAACTTTTCTTTATCAATGTTTATTTGATAATCCAAGCCTGCGTCGTAAGTTTCCTGGCCAATTTTATCATCATTTGGTATGTAATTACATAAAAATCCTACAAGATTTGTTTTTGAGGCTGGGCTTTGTTGGGGAAAACTGATTTTTGGAGTCTCTTCTATAGTACTCATTTCCAGATATCTAGAGTCTGGATTAATCAGCGAAAGAGGTGGACAATTCAAATGGCGACAAACGTGGTCATGGCATACTAAAACATTGGATTCTGAGCTACAAATAAATTTCGCTTCATTTGCGCACTCATCTAAAGCGCATTTGGACATTTTTACTACAACAGAATGCATAAAAAAATAGCAGGATAATGCGCAACTCAATAGAAATTTCTACAGCTGCAGAGGGAAAAGTCTTAAGCTAGTTTATTCTTTGATTAGTCTTTAAAATTATTGATTCTAATTAATCGCTGACTTTGGTTTTTTTTTAGCGTAGTATTAGTTCAACAAAATATCCACAAGGAATTAAATCAAATATATGAAGCGCAAAATTATCATAAATAATAACTAGAAGGCTGTGTTTGCTTATTTGATCGCTTAAGATCTTAAAAATAAAAAGAATTACTTATGAAGCAATCTCAGTGGAATAATAAAGCTTCTGGATACTTGTTAAAATAATGATTTTTATTTCAAATCGGTATAAAGGTTGATTCAAAATTTTATTACAAGACTATGGCAAGCTATTAATCTCACTTTATAAGGAATAAGTAATTTTTTTTGAGTCAACAAAAACGAGTCAACCCATATAAATTCCGAAATATGTGCGGCTTTTGGCTTTGAGTTATGAAAGATAATCAACAAATAACTTTTATTTTCCCAAAAAGCTTACAAGTAATAATTTTAAAATTGATATTGTCATGGTTAGCATAGCAATATAAAATTAACATCAAAAATGATAGGCTTCACTTTTTATGCTAAGAGATATTACTAAATGAGAACGACTCTTAGAAGAAAATAACTTATCGGGGTACGCATAAGGAAAAGTCAAATTCAAAGCCTTTCAGACAACTGATCTTTAATAACTGTAAAATTAGGCAATATAATAAAAACGATTACATGGAAAATCGAAAATAAAGAAATAGAGAATAACTGTTAAAGCTTTGCAAATCGGAAAATTTATGATTTTATGATAAATTTATAAATTTTTGCAATTATAAGAAAATGCAAAATTTTACATAATTTATAGATTGCTATTTAGCTTCATAAGTTTCCATCTTAAATTCTTCAAATTCTGCTCATTAAGGTCTGAGTATTCTTTACTTGCCTTCTTTGAGATTTCACCTGATTTTGATTTTAGTCCCTTAAATTCTGGTTTCTTTATTATATATACACTTTTCGACCGATTATCTGCACTTGTAAACCATTTATGCATGAGAGCATTTTCTGGGGTAATCCTGAGATCTGGCAAAGTGCAAGTGAGTTTTTTGACCAAGTCTATTCCTTGCTTAGAAACATCTCGTAAATTTTCATCATGGAAACAAATATTGCAGCTTCTGTTCTTCTCTAACACTTTTTGAGGAGTGGACCCATGAAATGGCATTTTTCCTGAAAGGAGTATATATATAATGATCCCTACGCTAAAAGTATCAATTTCAATCCCATATGGCTGTTTTCTTAACACCTCTGGAGCAATATATCCAGGAGATCCACATCTCATTGTAGATTTCTCGCTGAATTCTGCCCCAAGGCCAAAGTCAGCAAGTTTAAAATCATAGTCATTGTCATGGGATTTTAGCAGGATATTTTCCAGTTTGATATCTCTATGGAGGATTTCTTTACTTTTCAAATAGTCAAGGACCCCAAGCATTTTTTTGCTGAATTTTTTCACAGTTTTTTCCGGTAAGGCTTTTTTTGCGATAATCCTATTAAAAAGGTCTCCTCCTTTTACATAATCAAGCACCAAATAGACATTTGAAAAACTCTCATAAACTTTGTATAAATTAACAATATTAGGGTGCTTAATTTTTCTCATAATCCTAATTTCTCTTACTAGCGAATCCAGACTTTTTGTAATTTTTTGTTTGGGAATAACTTTAATTGCATACTCTTTTCCAGTCTTAATACAAGTCGCGGCATAAACATTTGAAAAAGCTCCATTCCCAATGATTTTTCCAAATGTAAAGCTATCTTTTATTCCAGTCATAATTCCGACTGATGACAAGCTTTCCAGCCAAATTTGTAACTCATTTTCACTATTAACATAAAAGTCTTTGGATTTTTCTTTATGGCCTAAGGTAAATCCATAGCGGGTAGATAGCTCATTTTCTTCTATGAATGGCTCAATAAGCTTCCATTCAACATTACTCATAACTTCAGGAGTTTTTGAAAGTTTATTCAGCCGAATTAAAAACTTCGCTGACAGTATGTATGAGTTTTCTTCTGTTACCCCTGCATTGTTTGATTCTTGTAAGAACCCTTGAAGGAGCACAGTGGTGTTTTCTTGGTTATAAGGTAGCCAGAAACTTGACGAGTTTTGAGCTAATTCATCAATACTTGCAAACACAGACATTAAAATATTATAATAAATATTGTTTTATTCGAATAAAAAAAAGCTATTCTTCAGATATAAAGCAATTAACTTCGAAATTTTTTATTTTGATTAATAATAAGAAATAGAATAAAAAACTATAACTTCTTCATTTTGTTTTCTTTCTGAGAGTCTTTGAATATCTTTTAGATAGAATAATGATTTTAAAAACTTAATTATAAAATCACAACTTATACTGACCATTTTTACATAAATTTTTTATCTAAAAGCTATTGGTCAGATTAATTATTTATTTAAATCAGTCATTAAATTATTTAAATTAGTCTTTCTTTCAAAAAGAATATCTATGATCTCATATTTTTCCTAAAAAAATTTAGTTCCGCTTAAAAAATTCAATTCATATTGCACAATTAAATTTAATTTTATACCCCATTATATTTGATATTTTTTAATTCTATTATTGCCATTCTAATTAAGTTTAGCCCTTGATATATTTTTTTATTATTATTTGATTAGAATTCATATAGAAAACAAAGTTATTAAATTTATGAATCCATATAGAAACAATAAAATTATTAGATTTATGCATAGAGATTATTTATTCAAGCTATAAAAGCTTTTATGAATGACATTTTACTATAAAGCATAATTAAGTATAATTAAATTTTTTTGGTATCTTTTTTCTCATCCGTCGGGATTTCTACTGCATTTTTTATATATATATGATTGTGTGCTGGGATATTTCTTGTTGAAAATTCAGTTGGGTTATCGCCTTTTGTATTATTGAGAAAGCAGCTCATACGCCTTGTTGTAAAATCAACTTGGCTTTCACCTCTTCCACCATTAGCTAAGCAGCTGGATCGTCTTTGCCTTGACATTTCTTGGAGAACCACTTGTGTAGGCTTCGGTGAAGCAGAGGCAGCATTAAAAATATTCGCTGCAGATGAAGTTTTACGAAGAGAGATTTTTACATCTTCACAATGTTTTAAAAACCACTCATGCTCAAGAGCTTCTTTTGCAGTTGGCCTAATTTTTGGTTGAGATCTTGTTAAATATAATACTGCATTAATTGCTTGTCTTGATATATTTTTCCAATATTCATCGTAAAATAATATTGTGCAGTCTCGGTTTTTAATTAAAGTTTCCCTAGGATTTTTCCCAGCAAAAGGAGCTCGGCCTGACAAAATTATATATAAAACAACTCCAACACTAAAAACGTCAACTTTTGAGCCATAAGGCTTCTTTTTTAAGATTTCTGGGGCTACATATCCAGGCGACCCACAATTTTGGGTTAGTTCAATATTTGTGAGGCTTGCAAGCCCAAAATCAGTTATCTTGATTTTATTGTCGTTGTCATCTGACATCATTAGAATGTTTTCTAGCTTGATATCTCTATGTGCTATGTTTTTGGAATCCAAGTACTCCAAAACTTTTAAAATGTTTTTTATTAATTTAGCTGCCTTTTCTTCCGAAAAAGGACCTTTATTTAAAATCCTGTGGAGCAAGTCACCGCCTGGTGCATAATCAAGAACCAAATGAATATGATGTGGGCTTTCATAAACTTTGTGCAGCTTGGTAATAGCCGGATGATTGAGATTTCTTAATATATCTATTTCGTTCACCAAGGCCATAAAATTGCTTTTGGATTGAATCAAAGCCTTTTGAATTGATTTTATGGCATATTCTTGGCTATTCTCGACGTCAACAGCTAAATACACATGTGCGAAACTTCCAGTCCCCAGAACTTTTTTAAAAGTATAGTCATTTTTAATGTCAGTCATTATACCAATTTTGGATAAATGAATAAGCCACTGGTCAAGTTCTTCTGAAGACTTTGTGTAAAAGTGTCTGCAGATGTCTCCTTGACTGATTCGAAAACCATATTTTTGCTCGCTATTACCCTCTTCTACGAAAGGCTCAATAATTTTCCATTTCAAAGATGAAGACTTTTTGAAGGGCGAGCTCTCATTTTTTGACCTGAGTAATGAAAATTGAGACAGACAGAAAAATCTCTCTTTAAGTTTCTCTGTTGATGTAAGTTCAATTAAAGTACCTTTAATATGAACACTTGATTTAGTAGGGTTGCTTGGCTTTTCTAAGCTATTTCAAAAGCTGGGCTCTTCTTGTTGATCTACTGAAGCAAACATTGATAACATTTTATTATTTACTAATTATTAAGCTCGGACTTCATTTCCTAAAACTCATAGCCATTATTTTCAGGCTCAATGTGAATATTTTTTTAATTAAAGGTTACAAGTAAAAATTTAATAGGTATTTTAGACCTAGGAACGAAGAGATTTTTATAATTGAGAATAATGAGGAAATAATAATATATAATTTTTGTATTTTCAATGATAAAATTTGAAATTTTGCAGTAGTTAACTTAAAAAAATTAAAAAATTCTGACCAACTGGAAAAGGCTAGTTATTAAAATACTTGAAAAAAAGCTCATAATTTAAATTATTAGTCAACAAGCATCTCTCTTAAAAGATATTAATTTTGAAAATATTAACCAGTTAAAATAAGTTAAATAAATTTTGCATTTTACATAAAAAATCTTTATAATCGAGTTATAAGTTTATAGTTACGAAGTCCCTTTTATCATATACCTATCAGAAAATGGCTTTTATCATTTAATCATAAAAGCTAAAAATCCAGGAAATTAAATTTGAATTTAATAATTAAGATACATAGTGGATTATTTCATTTCTATCCAAAAAATTTAAAAATATTATTGAAATCTTAATATTTTGCATTTAAATTCAAAATGTATATATGCCCTTATTTTTTGCTGGAAATAGATAATATAAAGTGATGGCATTTTTATCAGAGTCAATCTTAAGATAATTTAATTTTAGAAAGTTTTCAAATGAAGAATTAGTGGATCATTATTTCCCTTAATATGAAGATATAAGACATATAAAATTTATAAATAAAAATTTCTTAATTATTATTGGCACAAAGAATAACTACAAGCATTATATGCAATCAAGCAAAGATGCTATATTTTGGGAATTTTTTTAAAATGATTTTAGATTTTAATTTGTGTTTTTATGATGAAGAGTTCAATTCATGACCGAGTTTACTACCAAAAATAAAGTTCAACTTACAGCAAGGCCTCTGTAATTGGCCCTGTAAAAAAGAGAAGAAAATATTAAAATAAAAATTCTTTTATAGCTCCACTGCAGCAAGAAAAATATTAGCTGCAGAAATGGTAGCTCAGCAGACCAAGAGCTACAAAGATTTTGAGATATATAGGGATTATGGAGATTATGATGATTGCGAGTATTATGATAGCGATGAAAATTACCAAGATTATGAGGATTATGAATATTACTAAGACTTTAAGAATCACAATGGCTAGGAAGAAAATGAAAAGTTTGAGGAATTTGAAGAGAAAATAAGGTCAAAGTTTACAAGGTTCTAAGTGAGATAATTTGTGGAAAGCAACTAACCATGGGAATGTTAAAGATAAAGATAAAGCTTATCTTAATGAGGCAGTAATTGAATAAAATTATGCGAATTGATTTGCATCGAAGCATAAAAATGCGAATGTTTAACCAGAAAAAGTTAGGACAATAGAGAAAAACGGCATATGGTCAATGAATAATTAGACAATGATAACGAAATAAATGTTAGAATTTGGAATGGATGAAGACATGAGTGCTTGCAGAAGGTTAAAGAATCTGCTAGCAAAAATGATAATAGAAAAAGTGATATTGAATAATTGTATAGTCGCGGAATTGTAAAAGTCGTGCAATTTTTGATACTTGAACCCTTGAATATGTTTTGAAGGAATAGTGATAAAGAAGAAGATTGACCCTTTAAAAAGATAATAAGCATAATTATATTAATTTTTTGAAAATACCTCAATAGCAATATTACATTAATATTCTATTATCTTACATATATATTTTTAAATGAATATAGATTATTAATTTTATAGATTGCCAGTTGCTCGCGCACTATTTGAACTGCTACTTTTTAAAAATAATAATTTCTATTAGCCTTTAAAGGTTTTTCACATTTTTATAATTTTTTAATCACAAAAGCTTTATTATTCACAATGTCAAAATATGCAGTGCTAGTTGGAATGGCTCTTGTTTTTACTGCAGCAGCTGGCAAGGTCCTTATAAAAGGTGTCAGACAATATAAAATGAACAAAGCGGCTGGAACTCCTTTTGACTCTTCCAAAATCCAGATGTACATGGGAGCATTCAACTCACCAATGACACGTAGAGAAGCAGCCTTGATTTTAGGAGTAAGAGAAGGGAGTTCTGAAGAAGTTATTATTCAAGCTCACAAGCGTCTTATGCTATTAAATCACCCTGATTATGGAGGCTCTACCTATGTGGCTATGAAAATTAATGAAGCTAAAGATTTACTTATATTAAAGTAAGCATGTGGATTTCAATTAAAGGCAAATAAAAATGCAATTGCTAATACAAATTTTATTAATTATTTTGAGTATTTTTTATAATAAATAAAAATGCTTTTTTTGCTGTCTAATGTATAGGCTATCGTATATTTAACTGATTCAATGCAATTGCTTGCTTAGTTTAGGGAAATGGATTGGATTCGGTGCGAAAAGTGATAAAGATTGATGGAAACTAAGTGCGAGTGTGCATAGATTCTATTCCAAATGATATATTTGATAAGTATGTGGAGATTTAAATAATTTTATTAATAATTATGGTAAAGATAAATATAGTCCAGGAACCCTTTTAGATGAGATAATGCAGTGTAACTCCCCAGATTGGCTTTCCATATCAAGCTGACGAACTAACTCGGGGAGTGGGCAAATAAGCTTGATACTGAGGGAATATCATTTATAGCAGCTCTGAAGCAGTAAAATCCAAACTGAAATTAATGAAAAAGAAAGTTTATAAGCAGATGAGTATTGAAAAAATATATTGATCCAATACAACTTGAAATGTTTAAGTTTTATAAATGAGTTAAACAAATGCTCACTATTTTTTAAAAATCAAATTTCATTCTTTTTAAAATTGAATAAAGAACATAAGCCATCATTATAAACATTTTTATTTTAACTCTGAAATCAGTTAAATTTTTAGCTTCACCAAATAATAAATAATTTATTAAGAGTAGTAATTGGCGAACATAATAGATTGACGCCTTTTCAATTCTGGCATTTATTCTTACTAAATTAAAACCTGCTTATAATGCATTACTCCTCCATTCTTAATAAAAAAATTTCTTGAAAATTGAAAAAATTACACTTATTCTTGATTGAGCAATTTTCATATTATTACTTTCCTGTCTCACCACAAATAAACTACATATTTTGATAATAATAATAATAATAAATCTTATAAGTATTACAAAAAATCACTCTTAAGCAACTTTCAGGATTTTTAGCATATTTCAATAAGTTGTGTACTTTATGTCTTATCATTAGCGTATAAAAATATATTTTATATACGAAAAAAGCTGCTCGACCAAGGATGGGGAGTTAAAAATATTCACTAATTTATATATAAAAAAATGATTTGCAACTAATAAATAGAGGAATAATTGATTAAATGATATCATTGTAGTAATATTAATATGGCAGATTTTGACGAACCACTTTGCGGCTGTTTGCAAGATATGTTCAGTTGCCTTATTGTATTTTGTGTCCCTTGCGGAGGAATTTGTATTCAAGCCTATTCAGTTGATAAAGCAACAAGTTCAGGGATGGTCTGTCCATTTCTGTGGTCATGCTGCTTAGGATGCATTGGATCAGCTGTTAACCGTGGACAAATCAGACAGAAATACCACATAGAAGGGAGTTTTATAATGGATTGCCTCATTTCATGTTTCTGTGGGTGCTGTGCTGCCACTCAAGAATACAGGGAAGTCATGAATAGAGAAAGACCTAAATAAAAGATAATATCTTACCTAATTTAAAAAAAATAAAAAATCAGGATTCTAATTAGAAATTATTAATTAGCTTTAATGAAGAGATTTAAATAAAAGAGTTAACTTCCCTGGAATAAAATAATTAAATTTCTATTTTTGGGTAAATTAGTCTCTCTAAATTGGAAAATGTTTTTTTTCTACTTAAAATGAGAGAGTAACCAATCAACTTAATATAGATGATTCTTATTCAAAAACAGCTTATTGAAGTATTTATTTTTATATGGACTGATAAGTAAACAGACATGAAAATATAAAAACTCCAAAAAGGATTTATTGAGTCACCATAATAGGTAAATGGAAAATACTTGATTTATAGTAAAAGCATAAGAAAATTATTTTTAAATTGTTTAGAGCTGTATTTAACATATTTAGCCGTAAGTTTTGATAAATTTAATAGTTTTATATTTAGGCTAACCAATATAGCTTATATAATCCTAATCGCTTTGTAAAATTGCGAAGAAGCCAATAAATTACTTTATTATATATTTCTTACATCCGCAACGGCTGATATATATAAAATAAATTTCTCAACAAGAGACATTTTTTATGATAAAAATATTTTCGCAATTGAAGCCTAAACTATTTTAACTCTGTATTATCATTCTATCGCTAGATAATAAATCTATATAATAAGAAATTAATTTTCCCAAATCTCATATAGAAATATCATAATCAATCTCCTCCCCTCAAGCCCAGCCTATAAAAATTAAAGATCCTACTTTTATTTTATTTTTTCTTGGAAGCATCCTTCCCTTTTCCTTTTTCTTTTCCTCCTCCATCACCTCCTCCTGCTCTACGCATCTCAATTTCTCTTCTTTTCTGTTCTTCCAAGTACAATCTTCTTTCTTCTTCTTGCTTTTGCCTCTCTTTTTGTTTAAACTCCATTTCTTCCAATTTTTGCTTGATATTTACTCCATCATCATCAAAGAATTTTCCTGTCAAAAGTTTATACCTCATTTCTTTTTCTTCTTGTTTCGCAATATGTGTAGGCTTTTTGTTCTTTTCAGACCCTCTGATTAAAGCCGTGTATTTTGTGAGCTCGAAATCTCTGAAATAATTTATATCTTTTATATATGAAATTATATATATTGATAAAAAATAGGGAGAACTACTGATGAATTTTTATATATATAGAGAATAGTCTGGCTCTATAATTCCCAGATCCACGCTCAACCATACGGACATCTTTGACTAGAGGTGAATACAAAGGTATAAACTGCTCGAGCTGCGTATGTGAGGCAATCCCAATAACATTTAATGAATTTGACAAAGAGTTTCTTCTTCTTCTCGATGTGCAGACCCCTACAAATGACGAATGCTGCTTCCCTGATAGCGAATAATAATTTTGTACCTCAATTAAATCCCCTGTCCTGATTTCGTCGTATTTTTTTGTTTTTTTAATCTCCTGTAAATACTCGTTTTCCAGCGCCTGGACTAGGCCTTTTCCTTCAAGTTTTGTATATTTCGGCATTTTTGGAGGCCAGTTGTAGTTAGGATCATCCCATTTTTCTTGCCTTTTCCATAGCTGCTTGTCCTTGGGGATGAAATTTTCAATGTAATTGGTTTTGTCAAAGGGACTTCGCAGAGGAACCCATCGGTGAATGATGGTGCGAAAAGATGCAGAAGAAAGCATATTTATATGATAAAAATGTCTAGTGATTAATAAATTAATTGGGCTTTATAGCCTAAAGTCAGCGATGTAGTCAGCAAATTGTTCTTTGGCAGTTTGCTCCAGATATTGCTCAATAAAAGAGTGAGTGATAAGCTGGTCTGCAGAAGGCCGCTGGCTAGGCTCTTTGGTTAAGCATAAGCTTACAAAGGCTCGGAATTCTAAACTCCATCTCAGCTTGTTTTGTAAGGTAGGTGGAGGGTTTGAGACGATATTGTAAAGAATTTTCATAGGGTTTTCAGTTGAATATGGAGGGCGGCCTTCTGCGAGCTCTATAAGAAGGATCCCAAAAGCCCAAATATCAACTTTTTCATCATAGTTTCCACCTGTGATAAGCTCAGGCGCCATCCATGAAGGGTTGCCTGTAATGTTTCCTTTTCTTGTCACTTCTTGCACTAATTGTGCGGCAAAGCCAAAGTCGCCTAGTTTTACGTCTCCATTCCTACTGATCATTATATTGCTGCTTTTTACGTCTCGATGAATTCTTCCTTCTTTGTGTAAAAATGAGAGACCAATTAACAATTCTTTTATTATGTAGGCCATATGCTTTTCTGGGATAAAGCCAGCTCTGTCGCTAGCAAGCTCAGCAATGGTAAAGTCAAGCATTTCGTGAGCAATCCAGATTTGGTTGTCATGATAAAAGGAGTCATAGTACTCTAGCATGTTTTTGTGAGAAGAATGCTGGTTTAGCACAATTTCGTCTTGAATTTGTGTGGGGGAGTAATTATTTTTGAATATTTAAATCATTTTTTTAATAAATTATTTCAAAAATTTATTTAAAAATCCTGAATTTGTGTCAATTGAGCTAGGTTTTCTGGCCTGATTTTCTTTAAAATTGTATTTTTGCCAGTTGAAAAGCTTCTGGCTGCATATACTGTGGCTGTCGCAGCACTACTAACTTGTCGAATAATTGCATAATATATTTGTGGGTCATTATCTAGCACCACTATAGTTTTCCTTAAAGACTCATCGATTTTCCCTTTACTTGGCAGCGGCTTAAGCCCTGTAATTGCTACAGTCACAGCTTCTTTGACTTTATCTTTATTTTCTAATTCTTTGCTAGAAAATCCTGCATTTCTCGCAATGTATTTTACCTCAGTAGTTTGCCGAGGGACCCTTCTATAATTTTTAGGGGTTTCAATATCCAATACAGACCTAGACATGGCTTCTTGATCAGCCAGCTTTGTCATCCTTCTATTTCCTTTACGATCTTGTGGCTCAACAGATTGTGCTCTTTTTTCTTCAGCCTGTGGAGATTGCTCTATCTTGACATCTGTTATTTTTGTAGGAGACATATGGGAATGGCATTGAAGACAGTATCTTTTATTCTATTTTCAATAAAAAAAAATTTTTTAATGAAGATTTATTTGAAAGAAAAAAAATATTTTGCCTTAGGTAATAGGCATATAATTTTTTGGAGCCTTCTGTTTTCACTTTTAAGCTGCAGTTTCGGCAGAAACGATGGCCTAGATAGATTTTACCACACTGCTCACATTTTCTGACTTTACTTGTGAGGGAGAATTTTTTGTTGCAGGAATAGCATTTGGCGTGATTGAAGACCCTTTCGAAGATATTCATTATTAAAATAAAATTTTGATAATAGAATTTTCTTCTCCTTATTCCATTTTTGGATAGTAATAATCTATGTTTAAGTTGAGCTTTTTATCTGTCTAAGCAGAGGAAATAAGGCTATAGATTTTGCTTCTATTTATATAGACCTAATTGAATAGCTTATGCATTTTTAAATGATAATGACTTATTTTCTATAAGAAAAGCTTAAGGCCTATGATTTTTATATTTACTCCTATAAAAATAATCAATTAAATAAAAATTATTATCATTGTGAAAAGCAGTTTTTTCTGTTTCTTTTTAATAAATGTCAAAACAGGGATCAACGTAATTTCCACATAGACTAATAATCAAATCACATACTTGGTTACGTGATTCTTACTCCTTATTTAATTACGAAGACAACGCCATTACCAAAGACACACTCAAAACAAGCCACGACTGCTATATTTTTCGGTCAGGGGAAGATGTCCTAATTTCAGACGGCACTTCAGACCTTGGGCCAAATTCAAAATATCTTGCGAAAATCCAAAAAATCGATGGTAAGTATCATTTAGGTCTTTTTATAATTACAGTATCAGATTCAATTGGTGGAGAATCTCTAAGTCCTAATGGATACGAAAAAATTTGGCTTGTCATAAAAAGTCTACAACCGATCAACAAAATCAAAGGCTACAGGCTTTGTGAAGGAGACATCATTAGGCTTGGAAGGGTAAAATACCGTGTAAAAGAGCTCACAGGAGGGACAGGTAATGAAAAATTATCTCAATTTAGCCTAAATGACGTCCTTGCAGGGCTAAATAACGAAGATTCCAGCGAAGAAGCCCAAGGGATTACTTATAAACTCCCGTGCAGGGTTTGTTTAAGCGAAGTTATACACATTAGCATTAACATTAGATTAATAGCGCTTAACGTCCCTTACAGAGTTGACCGTTACCAGATCTATCGCTTACCTTTCGCCGCATGATGCTCACAGACCGCTGGGCCGACCTGCTTTGCTGCTCCAGGGTGCGTTTAGGGTAAGCCTTGCCGGCTTCGACGGCTCATGGATGAGCTAGTTGCTAGTGAGCATGGGCTGCCTTTCCGAAAATCCATAAAAAATGGATTTTCTGGGCTGCTGTCGGCAAAAAGCAAAAACACGTAGCCTGGGACGTAACGCCCAGTTTCGCGCTAGGGAGTGCCCGATTGGTCTTAAGAACTTTGCTGATCTCCCCTTTCCAACTTCCGTGCCCTCCTTCCAAACGAGATAAAAACCACCTCAGAAAGTAGACTTGGGCTAGGCTCTGTACACAACCAGAATTGCTTACCTAGCATTGCTGTCCATCTCTGAAATGGCAAAACCTTGAGGATATAATTAAAATATGAGTCGAGGCTGCATGGCTGGGACGCCATGCCTAGACGAAGACGCCATTTTTAATTATGCGAAGTTTATACACAGTCTAACCCTTTGATATCTCCTTGTAACTGTGATGGGACTATGAAATATATCCACGTTAAGTGCTTACAGCATTGCTTAAGGTCTAAATTAGTGACCAAGTCAAATGACCGTATCATTTCATTATCATGAAAAAAATTATGCTGCGAACTGTGTATGAAACCTTATCCTTATAAATTAGCTGTGGGGCAGCAGCTTGTGGAATTAATTGATATTCCAAAGCCGCCAAATCAGTATATTATATTGGAATCTTTAAGAAAAGACCAGAATTCGGGGAAAGGGCTTCATGTTATAAGTTTATATACCATTTTGAGCAACTTTTAGCATTGGTTTTATATAGAAAATAATAGTTATTATAAAAAGAAGGCTAGAAAATAAAGAATACAACAATAATTCAATTAAAATAGGCAGATCTCATGAATCAGATCTCAGGATAACTGACATTTCAGCATCAAGGCTCCACGCAACTATAAAGTACCAAAACGGAGGATTTTATCTAGAAGACCAAAACAGCAAGTTTGGGACCTTAGTTCAAATTAAAAGGCCAGTTTTATTAGAGCCTAACAACTTATTGTCTGTTCAATGCGGCAGGACGATGCTCACCTTTACCACAAAAAGGCCATGAAATTTAATTCCTTCATGTTTCTGCTCAAGTGAAGATTCTTCATATGATGTATTCAAATACCCAATGACCCCTGGCAGATTACCTATATTACCTATAAATACAGGGATTCCAGTAAGCATAAATGACGCGCAGCATTTATTAGCGATTTCAGGAATGGGACCAATAAGGATTGAAAAATATAAGGAACACAATAATTTATTATACCAGCATTATCAATTAGGACTGAATAGCTCATGTGAAGATGAAGGTAATGAAGAATCAATTGAAGAGGTAAAGATCGCAGAACTGCCTGATGATTTATTAGATGAGCCAATGGATCAGTCGTCATATGCAGAAGACAAAATGAATAAATCGTTTTCATAGTATACATATAAACCATTTTCTATCAATGCAGGATTTATTTTCTTATAAATTAACCCTGCAGCTTATTCTTAATAAATATCATATAAATTAACATCATTTTATATTAAATTTATATTATTAATATGCAATTAGAAATTAGAAATTATCTTGGTTATAGCAATTGATACTGCAGTACTCAAATACTTGCCCGTCCATATAATACCTGTCATTTGTACAGCCGAGACGTTTGCATTTTAAACTAATTGAATTTGGGCTTGTCATTTTTATAGGAGTAGAAGGAGCTGTAGTGCTTGGAGTTCTGAATGGGTTGATTTTTTGTGTATGCTCAGTAGAGTATGGAGATCTATAGCCTTGCCAAGAAAGGTAGTGGATGTTTTCAGAGCTGCCTGGAGTTTCCTCATATTTTAGGACCCGAGAAGAAGGCCCAGGCGTAAAAGAGTGGAAAAATGGCTCTGAAATTGGGCTTTGAAATTTTGATCGTGGAGGTGTATTTGTGGGCTCAGAAATACTTAGTGAAGCAAAATTGTTTAGGCCTTGAAAACTGTAAGGAAGCAGCTCAATTATTGCGTTATTTTTTGGCATATCTTTGATCTTTGCTAGTGAAAGCTCAGTTGATTTCCCACAACGATTGCATTCAAAGAAAGGGAAAGGGTTGGAAACAATGCATGCCATACAAAAAGAATCCCCACAAGGCAAAACTAACGGCAAATGATTTTCTGTGTCAAATCTTAAGGTGCATTTTGGGCAGGCTAGAGGGTTCGGGTTCATTTTTAATTTATATTTTAAGATATAGGAGGGATTCTAGAGGTGTCTAAAGAGGATGCTAAAAATATTTTTAAACTCTATTGGTTGTGCCATCAGCTTTCCACAGCCTCAGGGCATCAATAGAAGCCATTAAACATGGGAAAGTGCTTGCATTTAACTCAACAGCAATTGAGTGCAGCTGCTTAAATCCGCATTCACTGCACATTTCAGCTAAAACCACTTCCATTCACGGAGGCAAATTTCTCATATCAATTTCATATTCAGACTCTCCCAGTTGCTTCAGCACTTCGACCATACATACAAGAACTGCTTTTGGATTTCCTGAGCGGACATAAATTTTCATCAGTCTGTGCCAGGCAAACATAGAAAATCCACTGTCAACTGCATATCTATAAGCTTTTTCAGCCAGTTTTGGCCTTTTAAGTCTTTCTGCGAGAGCTCCTCTTCTGACTCAAATTTCTCCTCCAAAAGGAACTTTAACGTCTAAATAGATTTTACTTTTATTGAGGTCTTGCTTTAGATCAATCTCGGTAGCTTGTTTTTGTCAGTCGTAAATGGCTTTTAAATCATTTACAAGGCATTTAAAAAGATCGTCTAAATTTCGTGCTATACATCTAAATGAAGGGTGCATTAAGTGGCTTAGTCTATGATCTGTTGGTGTTGAGAAAAAATAGTCCCTGGGTGTAACGTCAGGTCTTGGCTCATTTGATTCGTCAATATCTTGTCCTTGTGAATCTATTGCAATGGAGTCAGAGCCATAGAAAGAAAAACGTTTCTTTGCTATAGACTGATTCTGACTGTCATTTAGACCATAATCCTGGCTTATATTAAGCTTTGACTCTTCATCCTCATTTTTTTCTTGGTTTTGGATAAACAAATTATTTTTCAATTTCTGCAAATTTTCTCACTCCATTTCTTTTTCCATACTTGCTATAATCGAAAACATTCTTCTTCCACAGTGGCTTAATTTATTAGACGGTAAAGCCAGTAATTTTTTTAAAGTGTCTTGGTCTTTTTTCGACTTGGCTCTCTCCTGAAATGGCCTAAAATCATGAATTTCCGGTTTAACTCAAATATTCCCCACACAGCTCATAGGGATTTTTGGCGGAATAATTACGTCTTCTTCTCTAAAATCATACTTTGTATCATCATTAAGAGACTCATAAGCTGGAAAACAGTTTAAAGTTAATAACACAGAAGCATATTTCTTTTCTTTTAAGTAGCATCAAGTTAGCAATTCTCAGAAACAAAAAGTTTCTAAATTCAATTCAATTAAATATTGGCAAATTCTTCTGGCTTGGGGATAGTCTTTTAAATGATAATATGCCAATGCTTGGGTATAATATAAAGAAAAAGAATAAGGAGAAACTGATAACTGAGAGGTTGTAGAGTCTATAACTTCTTGGTATTTGCCAGTCATTATATAAGCTTTTCCAAGGTAATTCAGCATTAGTGGGTCAGTTGCTGACAGTTTTTTGAAAATTGCTGCATGGGTTTGGAACCTTTTGCGACGGAGTAAAAATTTGCTGCTAATTGAGAATAATAAATTTTCACCATAACGAATTTTGTCGTTTAAATCTCCAAGCACAAAACCAAGCCTGTCTCAAAAAGTCATGGCAGATTCAATAAACGATTGAAACTGCAAAGGCTGAGATGGGCCGTCTAGTAATCTTGCGCCTATAACTGGCTCTGCATAAAAATAGCGCAAAACAGAACTTACGTGAACACCTTGTCAATGGACGTTTCCGGCTTGAATTCTGTTATTATTAGAATTTACTAAATAATACTTTAATTCGAAATTCTGATTAATTTCTACTCTCAGATCAAATTTCGAAAACAAATCAAAAGCACAGAAATAAGCAACAAGAACTTTTCCTTTATTTTTCAGCTTAGAAGACATATAGCTTTTTAAATAATCCACAATGTTGGTAGTCGAGCTCATATTGAGGCCATATACGAAGTGAAATAATCCTCTATTAATTGGTTTTGATAAAAATTTTCTAATTCCAGTTTGCTTTATTTCTCATACAACATATAATAAATCTGGAGGTCCTAGCCCTCGGATTTGTTTTAAATTTACAGTTCTCAGGTCTAAAAAGCTGCCAATGCCTGGTGAGTCATGAATTTCAATGATATCTGAGCTTAGCTCCATTTCACTTAATTATTCATATTTTGGCATTTATACTTATTTGCTGAAGATAAATTTAATATAATTCAAGAATAATTTATTTTTCCTTAGAATCTTCACTTAAAGGTATGAAAATAAATAATAACTATCTAAAGAAATCTATTAACATTTTTTAGCTAGAAAATAAAGATTAACATTATAATTTTTCTATAATGCCTTTAAGCTTCTCACATATGTTAGTTCTTTTGCTTTTCCAAATTATTTCCCAATAAAAATTCAAAATTTAATTTAACGCTGAATGTCAGTTTAAATTTAAGCCATATATAATATGGGTTGCATTCAAGCACCAGCGCCTCAAGTAGATATGAATCTTCAGCCTGAAATCCAAGACACTAACCGTCCTCAAAGTGACAAACTCTTCGAGTGCTCCACGTCTGGGTATATCTCAGAGTTTTACTCTATCCAAGAGAGAATTGAGTCTTGCTCCTTCAGTACCGTTGTAAGAGCTGTTGACCAAGAAGGTTATGAAAAAGCAATAAGAATCATCAACAAATCAGTAATTGACCATAACAGTATCAGCAAATTTAACGACGCTTTAAAGGCTCTACAGGATCTTGATCATATGAACATGGTCAAAGTTTTTGCAGTAATTGAAGACGAATTTACTGTCAATATCGTCACTGAACACTGCACTGGAAAAGACCTTTTTAGCAAGATCGCTGATTGTAATCCGTTCTCTGAAAACCAAGCAGCTGTAATTATGTACCAAATTTTGTCAGCATTAATTTCGACCCATGAGGCTGGCATTATTCATTGGGGCCTCCACCCTGAAAACTTGGTCTTTTTAGATGAATCTGATGAAGCACCACTAAAAATTACTGAATTTGGAATATATCAATGGATAAAATCAATACCATCGATAACTGAAAATATTGATGTGTCTTTCTATACAGCACCAGAAGTCATTGAAGGGAAATTTGACTCTAAATGCGATATCTGGAGCTGTGGAGCAATGCTTTATACTATGCTCAGTGGGGAGCCACCATTTGCAGGAAATAATAAAGAAGAAATCTTCGCCAGCATTAAAGAAGCCAGCATCAAGCTAAAAGGATCAAGATGGGGTAAAATATCTGAAGAAGCCAAAGATTTAATACGAAAAATGCTTGTGTTAGACCCAGAGCAAAGAATTGACGCACAATCTGCATTTGATGATCCTTGGATCCAAGAGCGAGCTAATGGCAATATAGACGACAACGAAATCAGCTCACGAGTAGTCAGAAAGCTCGTCGAATTCAAGGTATTTTTTATATAGGCTAAAAACAAGCTTCAAGAAGCTACCATGGCATTTATAGCAAGCTACTTACTGCCATCCCAAGACTTGGCAGACCTTAAAAAAGCTTTTGAATCTTTAGATGTAAATCATGATGGAAAACTTACTCCCCCCCCCCCTCCGTGAGCGAACAAAACCATTAGAAAAATCGCCATTTTTTGACCAAAAACCCACCCTCCGTGAGTGAACAAAAAATTTTTTTAATAGAAAAAATTTTAATGGAAAAAAAATTTTGATATATAAGTGATAATTAGTATAATGAAATCTAGAGCTAATTCTGTTTAATTTTAAACAAATTGCGTTTTAAAACATAAATTTTGCAAATTAAATTAATATTTGCTTCCCAATTTTTGCAAATTAGGATTTTTTTAAATTTCGAAAAAAATATTTTTTATAAAATTTATATATAAATTTTTTTTAAAAAAAAAAATTAACCCCCCTCCGTGAGCGAACAAAATTTTTTTTGTTCGCTCACGGAGGGGGGGGGGGGAGTTAGCAAAGATGAGCTTAGACGAGGCTTTGAAAAATTCCCTAATTTGGCTGGAATCCATATAGAAGAAGTCTTCAAAAACTGTGACACAGATTCAAATGGATTCGTAAGTTACCAAGAATTTATTAACTCAACCCTTAACTGGCAAAAAGAATTAACACAAGAGAGGCTTGAAGCAGCATTTAAAGCAATTGATAAAGATAACAGTGGGACTTTAACGGCAGATGAAGTCAAAGCATTTATAGGGCAGGGAGCTGGAGAAAATGAATGGCAAAATATTCTGAAAGAAGCTGATAAGAATGGAGATGGAGTTTTGGATCTTGACGAGTTTAAAGCAGCTATGATTAGAATAATGTCCTAATTCTCTAGAAAATGACAGTGATTTTTTGGATATAGCATTAATTATCTTTTGCCTTATGCCAAAATTAAAAAAAAAATAAATGGCTAGGGTAAGACTAAATCTAATTTAATTTCAAAAATAAATAAAATTATTTTGGTGCTTAATAGTGAGAAATTGCAGATTGTGCTGGAAAACAAGGTCCATTGAATTTAAATTTGTTAAATATATATAAGTATTATACACTTTTTGAATTTAATTTAAAATGTCATACTCTCGGTGGTGTATGGTGCACGCCTGTAAGGGAAATTCAGGAGGTGGAAGTTCGAGTCTTCCTCGAGAGACTTTTTATAAGGCATTAGTTGTAAAGCTGCATTAACCTCTCTAGCTAAAAACTAGGAATAATCTAACTACAAATTCCTAAACTGAAAAAAAAATTCAAATTTTTTCAAAAATGTCATAACTCTCCCCCCCCCCCTCCGTGAGCGAACAAAAAAATTTTGTTCGCTCACGGAGGGGGGTTATAAAAAAAATTTATATATAAATTTTATAAAAAATATTTTTTTCGAAATTTAAAAAAAATCCTAATTTGCAAAAAATTGGGAAGCAAATATTAATTTAATTTGCAAAATTTATGTTTTAAAACGCAATTTGTTTAAAATTAAACAGAATTAGCTCTAGATTTCATTATACTAATTATCACTTATATATCAAAATTTTTTTCCATTAAAATTTTTTCTATTAAAAAAATTTTTGTTCACTCACGGAGGGTGGGTTTTTGGTCAAAAAATGGCGATTTTTCTAATGGTTTTGTTCGCTCACGGAGGGGGGGGGGGGAGTAAGTAATTTATTTAAATAATTAATTAATTTCGAAAAATTCTAACTATTTTTTATTAGTCTTATATGAATGCTTCAGCACAAGTATGGGTACAGCCTTGCATACTATAAAAATTGTGCATTATTTTCAAGAATCACAAAATTCTAAATTAGAGTGGCTTATATAAATGATTGTGGTCAAAACATTATATGCATGCTTGATTGGATTAACCATTCTGTATTTTCAAAGACTCCATGTCAAACGACTGTAAATTTTTGCTAGTGCGCATTTCCTAGAGGAAAATTTTTTTAAATCATTTTGATAGACATTTGACTGAAAAAAAGCTAAATTTGGCCAAATGGTATATTATTAAAAATTTTCGATTAAATGCACACTATTAAAATTGCACGATCATTGGACCTGCACCCATTTTCAAATATACAAGATAGCAGAATGTTAAAACCTCTTATTGCATTTTTAAACCTCAATTAATTCTCCAAATACTTATGCATCTTTTAAATTATTGCTACAATAAGTTATTTATATAAAATTAAAGCATATCTTTAATAAAAATTACCGGTTTAACCAATAAATTTCTATAGCTTTAATTCTTGCTTTGAAGTTTATATTAGCATAATTAAAAATTAAATACTTTCTAATAGTAAGACTTTTTCATCGTCGTTGAATACGAATACATAGGTGATGGAAAAGGCGAGCTCACCCTGCTTTGGCAGCCTAACGATAACTTTATTCCAATCACCAATTTCTGTTTACCAGACAGTATATATGCTTCTTGTAGTGACAAATCATGGATAATTGAGTTTATTCCTTCAGGTCCGCTATATTCCAAAATGACATCTTGAGGTGTTTTTACTTCAGAAATAAAATTCATTATAACTTTAAAAAGCTCATTGTAATCTCTTGGTCTCCTGTCAAGCGCCAGTCTTTGGTCTTCATAAACAAGGTCTACAGGCCCACTTAAATGTTCAGGCTGGACACAAGTCATATTGCATCCCATATTAGAATAATAAAACTTAAAATGGAAATAAGAGATTCTCCTGATGATCACCTTTCAGACTACTTTTTACCATCCCCAATTTCAAGTCCTCTAATCTCAGTCTTCCTCCCCAGCATTGAATTCATGAACCTCCCTTGCAAAAGGCCTAAGCCATCTGAGACTCATGGCTATGACCCGTCAAGATTTGAGTCACAAGTCCCTGAAGACTTCTTGTGTGGCTTCTGCGAAAAAGTTGTAAGGGAGCCTTCAGAATGCATCAACTGCGGCACTCTTTTTTGTAATTTTTGCGTAAAAGAGAAAAGAGGAGCTTTTCCTTGTTCAGATATCTCAAATGATTCGGTACAGTGTCCGAAGTGCAGCAATAAAATTGACTTTCGGAAGCTCAGCAGGGTGCTTTGTACAATGATAAATGAGATGAAAATTTACTGCAAAAATTCAAAAAGAGGGTGTGACGTGATTTCTACACTTGGGGACATAAAAAATCATGAGGAGACCTGTAAGTTTAAAAACGTAAAATGCGGAAACCATAAATACTGCAATAATAAAGGGAAGGCAAGCGATTTTATATTGATTGAGGTGAAGCCTGTTTCGTATTATTCAAATGTGAGAAGAGCTCCTTGGCAGACTAAAATGTATGCGTGCTGCGAAATGTGCAAAAAAATGATTAAGTTCGAAAAGACTGTGATGAACAAACAGTATGATAAAGCGCTTGCTAGCTATTTTAAGACACTTAAAAAAATTGAGAAGAAGAACGGTGAAATAGCTGAAGAATAAATAATGTTTTAAATTATTAGTCAATATATAGAGTTGGTAGATAGTAGAAATTGTATTTTGGGTTGATTTTAGCTTCAAAGTTTAAGTTAATTAGGTAAATAGTTCCGCTATGAGGAGTGAAAACTCTTTAGGATAATTATATGTATCTTTAAATTCTTTTTTGTTTTTAATATTGAATATTTTATATCTAGCTGAGTTTCTTAAATTTCGAATTTGCTACTTCAAGAATAAAATAATTTGCTGACATAATGAAATATAAAATCATAAAATAAATCCAACATTAATAAGCTAGCTTTTATTGATTATGAATAATGAGATAAATAATTTAAATGGAGGAAAAGGCAACATCCATAATTATTTTTCTCAGCTTTTTGATCCTAGCTTACAACTGAGTACTGAAGCTCAAATTTTGCATATTGAATTGAATTCTCTATGGATCTCTAGTCGGTCTTTTCTTATTTTGAAGTCTAGGCATATTTCTGAGAAGAATAGACACAAAATTCAATATCCTTGCTAACCATGGCACATATTCTCAAGGACTCTGCAGCTATATTTCCTATAATAACAACAAATTTTACCTTATCTGTGGCATTATAGTTGGTAGCTATATTGGGTATAATTTATCAATCATATACTCTGCATATTTAGAACTAAAACCATCAATTGCCTTTTCCTACTTGGTTAATTCTACTGGCTCAATAATAATGACTTTAATAATGATTGGATTCGAAAATTCAAAAATTTTAAGACGGTTTTTACCATTTTGTTACCCTGAGTCATGCCCATGAACTTATTGTGAATTTTTGAAATCATTATATATTTCTATATCTCTTGGTGAATATGTAGGTCTTATGGCGATGATTTATTTAGGGTTTTTCGAAGTAATGTATTTATTAGCATATGAAATTGTGATAGGCGTTGAGTGATATTTTATATTAGGAGGAGTTTGCTTATGCTGCTGCTCTATGACTTGTATTGGATATTATGATGAATTACAGAAAAGGAAAAAAAAGCAGGAAAAAGAAGGCGAAGTTGAGCTTGATGATATAAGAACAGCTGTTTAAAATTAGGAATGGTAATAAATGTAGCTTTTCTTCAGTTTATCGCAATTTTTAATGATATAATATAATTTATTGCTATAATTTCTTATAGCGTTCCACGTGTGGGATTCTGCTCCACACATGAAAAATTTTTAACATGTGAAGTCTGCTTATTGGATTGCTTCCACATGCAAAAGATTTTTCAGCATGTGGAATAGAGCTCTACACGTGGAAGTTATAAGAAATTATAGCAAAAAAGTATATTAAATCAAATTAAAACTTTTTGGCAGCATTATAATAGTTTTGAGGTAAATTTATATTCTGAAAAATTTATACATGATATTATATACATATGAAGCTTGGATTATATTGATTGTAGGATATCCTGATGACATTAATGCTTATATATCTCCGGTTTGTTTATTTCACAAATTCAATTCAAATCTCATCATGAGGTGTAACCGTTTGACGTCTCCCATATCCCACATCTTCACTTCTAAATTTTGACCCTAACCTTCGATATAATTAATTTAAATAGTCCTCACAGTGCTAATAGAATTAAAATGGTTACGCTGAAATAGAAGATTTGTTTCTTTTCTGAAGGTTTTTCCTGTCCTTGCTAGATAGGCTAGACAGGTTTGCCTTCCTTATCGGACTAGCAGGACACTTTCCAGGCAGTTTCTCTATCGAAACTAATCCCTTGGGTCTTAAATATAAAACGGAGACTCTATTTTCCTCTTTGATATGAGATTGACTTTTATCAGCCAGACAAGGCCATAGTCAGTGGTTATTCCCTATAGCCAACACTTAATCTCAATCACAATGCCATATATTTTATTATCCTCATCCATGCCTCATTTACTTTTCATTCCCATCTCTCATATTTATTACTTTAAAGAAACTCAACTACTAAAGAATGGAAAGATCAATGACTGGCTCTCAAGATGTAAATAGCACACTGAGTTTTAATGGAAACGTGAAACCAATTTTGAAATTGCCGATTCCCACAGAGAAAATCTTCTGCTTTGCTGGGAGTCCTGTACAAATCGACCATAAAAAGTGCAAAGTCTCATTTCGAAAACCTGTGCAGAATGTAGTGTTGGTGGAACCTATCATTTATGAGCACGAGAAGAAAATCAAGAGTTGCGCATGTGAAATATTTTAAATAAATCTAAATTGAATAAGGGATATTATATAGAAAAGCTTTTATTTATGGCAAATCAGCATAAATTCTTAGCTAAGCTAATAATGTTCATATATTGCCAATAAAAAGGGTTAAAAATTGTTTTCAAAACGAAAAGGCTTGATAATTCAGGCAAAAAGTAAGCATTGAGATAATTTAAAATAAATTGAAGTAAATGATTATTACTGGATTTTATTTAGAGTTACGAAAAAAAATATGAAAGCTACAGATATTGAGGATTTTTCATAAGGTGTTGGTCCTAGTGTCTTTTCTGTATAACTACAGTCAAGCCCTAGAGAAAATATAATTCTCAAAAATAAATCCCACATGTCAATCAAATAATATGGAAGCCAACTATAAAGAAATCCCTGCTGCCCTTCGCGGATCTCATAGCGACTCCAGCGACGAAGAAAGCGGGACAATGCAAACCTTTGACATCGAAAGCGAAGATATCGGCCCCGGTCCTTTTTCCCAGCGAATCAAGTACTTCTGCTACTTCCTTATCCTAACATGCTGACTTCTTCCTCTCATTTCTTACTTCACCGGCCCAGAATCCTATATTTACCTGATTATGTCCGTCATCTCGCTCGCTCAGCTGATAATTGGGGTTTTAGGGGTGATTTGGTCGAAAAAGAATAAATTCGGCTCCATGTCAAATGACAGTGGATTTTTGACAGTGTAAATTTCATCGAAAAATTTGGCCGAAAATTAACAGGCTTTTTTGGTCAAATGTCTCACTATTAAAAATTTTCAACCAATTTTCGATGAAATGGGCACTATCAAAAAGGCAATGTCATTGGACCTGCACCCAATAAATTCACCCATATTACATTCTTTCGCCTGCTTCTACATTTGTTCTTTATTTCACTCATTGTGGCTCTTGTAGGTTACGAAGCGTTTGGGTTAGCGTTCACAGTCCAACATAACTATGACAACTGCAATGATTTTACCTTTAATAAAGTGTGCAAAAACCGGGGAGGACTCATGTCAGAACAGATGGTGTTGATACTGCTACTTCCAGCACTAGATGCTCTGGTAATTTTGCTGTATATTTATGTCACCAAACTTGCTAAGAAATGTGCATTGAAGATGACTTAAACGGCATTAATAACTTAATAGAAGTTATGCTACTTAAAGGTAAAATAAGTGTCTTTTGAGAGCTTTGAGAGCCAGTTTCTGTATCTCAAACTTTCGTATTTTTCTAACTCCCCCAACAAAATCATTAGATAAATCCTTATTTTTTGCCAAAAACCACCGCGTACAAAAATTTTTGGTCTATAAGTGTAATTAGTATAACGAAATCTCTTGCTAATTCTGTTTATTTTTTAAAAATTGCGTTTTAAAACATAAATTTTACAAATTAAATTAATATTTGCTTTCCAATTTTTGAGAAATGGGATTGTTTTAAATTTCAAACAAAAAAAATTCTATAAAAAATTATATATGAATTTTTTAAAAAAAAAATTAAACCCCCTCCGTGAGCGAACGAAATATTTTTGTTCTCTCATGGAGGGGGGAGTAAGTTGTTTGCTATAGGAAATAGAGGAATCATACTTTTAACGTATGGGTTTCTTATTTTTTTCCAATTTATCTGTGGGCCTGGAGCTGCTATCTTTACAGCAGGCTGAGGAGAATAAATGTATGAAAGTTGATCCCTATTTCTTTCCTGGCAAATTTGTCTTAAAATGTCATTTTCGACTTTCAGGAAATTTTTTTCTTTATTTTTCAATTTGATAGCTCTGTCATCTAAAATTTTCTTTATTTTCATCAGTTTATTATCAGGAAATTCGCAATTGATTGAATCTCTTCTTCATAATGCTAAATCTTTTCGTAATCTTTCTCTCTCTGATTCTAATCTCTGCTTTATTCTATTGTCTTTTATTATCATTTCTTTCAAATTTGGAAGATCATTTTCTTCATCTAAATCTTCAAACATTTGAATTTCTGCTAATACTTGACTATCCTCTATTTCAGGATCAGAATCGATAAAATCGATATCTTCCATTTAACTGCTATTCATTTTAAACAAAATAATTATTTCTTTAATAACAGTTATGCTGAAAAAATGCTTAAAGATATCAAGAAGAAAATAATAAATATATATATGATAATTTTTGCAAATTAAATTTAAAGATGCAAGCAATTAATAGAATTTTATACAGAAGTGAAGTTAATTGTGATTTATTATGGTAAATAAGAATTAAACAGGCTTTTAAATTAACACTTTAGATAAATAAGAAAATTAAAAGTGATAATGAGTATTATCGAAGGCTGATAAAGGAATCAGCAAAAAGAAGAGTATTTAAAAACAATTTGAGAATTAGACCCAGCTAGACAGTATGGCCGAGTGGTTAAGGCGACAGACTTGAAATCTGTTGGGATCTCCCGCGCAGGTTCGAATCCTGCTACTGTCGTTTTTTGAATTTTAGGATAGTATCGAATAAATGTTTTTTGCAAAAAATTACTGCTTCCTAAATATATCTTGCTGAATATTTTATAAAATTAACAATAAAATCAAAGGCATTCGAAGACTATATCCTTCAATTATTATTCAGAAGAGCATTTTAAAAATCGTTTTAGTAAAAAAGTAATAGCTAAATATTTCTTTGAAATAACTTCTTAAAGTGTATTAACTCTTATATTTTTATCATTTATTCTTTTATATCTCCATACTTATAATTTCTTAACTATTATTAAAAATGCTTAGCCACTCTTCACTATTCTCAAGCCCACACAGCCTCCTAACCCTTCATTCCTAAATTAATATCTCTACCTAAAATCTCTTTCTATTCTTTATTTTTTCCGTTTTTACATTTATTAATAAACTAATTCCATGAGTACTTGCATACATTGCAATAAACCTGCAAAATTTGAGTGCCTATGCAACTCTCATCCTCAATGCTTCTGCGAGTCACATCTTCCAGATCACATAATAAACAACGTGACTCTAGTTCATAAGTCACATGCAATACAAGGAGCTAATGAAGAAAACATTGAAACCTTTGTCTGCACTATCTGCGAAAAGAAGCCTGCAGAGATGATTTGTCTTTGCCAAGGTAGCAAGACCAAGCTCTGCCAGCCCTGCACATTAGTCCACTTTAAAAAACACCCCGAAAATTCACATCCTTTAGAGCCAATTCGTGCTGATGAATTTTTAAAAAGTGCAGCTGATTTAAATGAGTATTTAGGAAGAAAACAAATTATTGATTTCTATATGAATGAACTGAGGATTATGCTTATTTAGAGAAAATAAATACTTACTCCCCCCTCCGTGAGCGAACAAAACTTAGGAAAATCCCTATTTTTTGCCCAAAAACTCAACCTCCATAATTGAGCAAAAAATGTTTTTAATATAGAAAAAATTTTTATATATAAGTGATAAATAGTATCATAAAATCTCGAGCTAATTTTGTTTAATTTTAAAATAAATTGCGCTTTAAAAAATCAATTTGAAAAATTGATTAATATTTGCCTTCCAATTTTCGAGAAGTGGAAATTTTTTAAATTCCGAAAAAAAAAAATTTCTTTAAAATTTATATATAATTTTTTTTAAAAAAAAAATTAACCCCCTCCGCGAGCCAACAAAATTTTTTGTTCCCTCACTCTCACGGAGGGCGGGGGAGTTAGTAATTGCTTATAGAAATATAAAATATTTTTTTAATAAAAAAATTGATAGCTTTCTGAATGGTCATAATATTTCAAATCTAGAAAAGTTTTCAAACGATTTAGATTTGACAAGGACTCAGCTGGTCAATCATATTGACAAACTTTTCAATGAAGTTAAAGAAGAAGCAGTGACAGGAAAAGCTAAGTATGAAGGATGGATCAACGAACTAGAAAACGCAAGATATAAAAAGGAATTAGACGAAACTCGATGGGCTGACTCTTTAATTAGAAGGTCAAATTTGAACAATATGGCAACGGTTGCCCAAGAGCTTAAAGTAAATTTATCTGATTTAGATATTGAGCCAGCCGTCAGATCTATTGCAAATATCGCGAAATTGAGTTTTGAAGAGCCTCATTATGACCAGAAAATATGCTATTTTAAGGCTAGGTATAAAGAATTTACATGTGTAAATCTGAATAAGCTGGAAGTCTCAAAAGTGAATTTCCCAGCTACTTTTAAACTGAAAGATGGTGGTAGTTGATGCGATATCGGCTTTGGGAAGATTTTCCACTGTGGAGGTTTAGATGAAAGCTCATTCAGCTCTTCTGCTTGTCTTATTGATACTGGCTCCCTCAATTTTTCAGAGCTCCCCAATATGCATTTCCAAAAAGCTCTTCCTGGCCTTTATTATTTTCAAAAGCGTGTTTTTGTATTCGGTGGATATTTTAATGGAGAAAGTTTAAAGTCTGGAGAAGTTTATGATTTTTCTAAAAATGAATGGAAATTAGACTAGATTAAGCTGTGTGTTTATAGTCCCCACTTCCAAACCTACGCGTTCTGCAGCTGTCGTTGCGGGGTTGGCTCCATGAAGGCTTCTTGAGCCTGGGCCGAAACCCCCAGTTTCTCGGTAGTTCATTTTCCCTCCTTATCCGAGTCATACAGATTTTGCCGGGAACCACTATTTCCAACTCAAGGCCAGAATTACCCCACCTTGCTACAGCTTGGCCAGATCTACCCTTTTGGTAGGGACCCTTTTCGACTGGAGAGATTTGTAACATTTTAATCTCTTGTCGACCTTCCCTCTTTTCCGGATTATCTCCGAGAAAGAATTCAACCCCTTCTGGGATTCGGGGCGAAGCCACCAAGTAGCTTAGGCAGGTAGCTCACCCTGTCTCTTTCGGACACCGAGTCTAGGCCTCAGCGCTACTGGCAAAAAGAATGCGAAAACCTGCTGCCCGGGTAGGCCACAAAATCAGGGAAATTTTGCTGGGCCTCTCGCCTCTAGGCTTATCCTTCCCTTGAGTAGCTCTCCGTACCCAAAAATCACGTCTAGTATATATAAGGTCACCCACCACAGGAGGACGGGCCGCTTGTCTCCAGCCATTTTATGTATATTAAAAATGAATGGAAAATCCTGCCAGACATGCCGACAGCCAGGAGTGCGTTTACAATAGCGAGGCTTGGGAAGTTTTTGTATATGTGTGGAGATTCACATAAAGTTGACGTTTTTGACACTGAAAGATTGTGCTTTGTGGATTGTGATATTGAGCTACCTGAGGCTGACTCTTATTCCACCCTAGTAGAAAATAATGATCACTTATTACTATTCCAGAATGAAAAGTGCTGGAAAATTGAAGTCAGCGCAAACACAGTTCAAGAACTTACAAGAATACCAAAAGGACAATGATGGAGTGTTTTCCCTCCTATATCATTTCAAGGGAATCTATTTTTTACGAGATATGACGATTTCTCGCTGTGGAGGTTTGATACTGAAAATTATGAGCTCAGCAAGCAGTTAAGGTTTTTAGAATAATTATAATATGGAAATTTGTGCCGAAATTTGAGTTTTTTATAAATAATGTAATAATTAATTATTATGATTTAAATAAATTTTGATGGAATTATTAGAGTTTAGAATATTTTCTATTATTTATTTGAGCACCCATCCGTTTTCTGTTTCTTTAGCTACCTTATTGAGTACGCTTATAATTTTTGTACTTGGCATTGAAGCATTAGCATTAATCAATTATAGAGAAGTTTAGGCACTTAGGCCTCTAATCACCTACAATTATGCTTCACCGCTGGCTCGTCATCCGAAGAGGCTTTGATCTGCGTTGCTCTTTGTAGGCAAGGATTTGCTCAAGGAATCAGAAACTAGGTTGACTTCCAGAAAATTCGAAAAATCGGATTTTCTCGTCGTTATGGAAACTCGATGCCCAATACGCAAAGCATGGTATTGTGCTATGGACTTGTCCAATGGTCTAGTTGACGTCCTAGGCAGTTCTGAGTTCCCCTTTCCAATTCCCACTTTTTTCAAGACTAAAGCCATTTTTAACAAAATAAGGGATAATCATCTGCACGACAAAATTGGCTAGATACACATTCTGACTCAGCTGCATAGCTAGGAGGATAAATTAACTCCCACAAATTTTAACGCATGGTATTGAAGCACTATCAAAAATATCTCCTCATAGTGTTGATATAGAGAAGTGCATACTAACTACAAGACCTTCTTGATTAAGGACTGGCCCTCCTGAATACCCAAATCCTCCTTTACATGATGAAAGATAGCAAGGAATACGAGTAGATTCCAATTTCGTGAATTCTGTGTTAAGTATATACCCAGGCTCAAAAACTTTGACATTATTCGCATAAACCCCATATAAACAGACTCTTTCCCCTATTCTCGGTGGTAATTTACTAACTCCCCCCCCCTCCGTGAGTGAACAAAACCATTAGAAAAATCCTTATTTTTTGCCCAAAAACCCACCCTTCGTGAGTGAACAAAATTTTTTTAATAGAAAAATTTTTTATGGAAAACAAAATTTAATATATAAATGATAATTAATATAATGAAATATAGAGCTAATTCTGTTTAATTTTTAAACAAATTGCTTTTTAAAACATAAATTTTGCAAATTGAATTAATATTTGCTTTCCAATTTTTGCGAATTAGGATTTTTTTAAATTTCGAAAAAAAAATTTTTTATAAAAATTTATATATAAATTTTTTTTAAAAAAAAAAATTAACCCCCCTCAGTGAGTGAACAAAATTTTTTTGTTCACTCACGGAGGGGGGGAGTAAGCCTCAAAAATGCATTATTTTCTAGTTTTTTCGCTTTGACGATCAGCAAATCAGCTTCTTTATCATATGAAACCACAGAAAATTCATATTCCTCGTCTCTATAAACCAATTTGCATTTCTTTAATTCTCTTTTGGCATCATCAATAAAGTGATGAACACTTAATCCGAGTCCATTTGGGCCTATAAAAAAACCTGAAGCCGCCGTATATTCATGCTTCAAATAAAATAAGCCTGGGTTTACAGTGCTATTAAGGCTTTTCCAGTCATCTAATACCCCACCTTGGTTAGTGAGCAGAACCATTAGAAAAATTCCTATTTTTGAGAATTTAACCTTTATTAAGCGAGCTTTAAATGATTTTTTAATACAAACTACATTTTAATATGAAATTAATAGTTAAAAAATGAAATATCAAGAAGATAGCAATACTTTAGAAAACTAGTGTTCAAGACCTTAATATATAAATTAATTTAGAAATTTCATTCAAAAATTTGCCTTCTTAATAAAAAATTAATCTGCTAATAATCAAGATATTTTTGCTCGCTAGCCAATGAGACAAGTAAGCAATACACATACGAGTTAAGCAAGGAAATCCATCTAATCATATTAAATATCCATAAAACTTATGTGATTAGTTACTCAAATGGCTTGTATTCTCCAGCGACAACTGCATGATCCACTTCATAAGGCTCCAAAGTAAGCATTTCTTTTGGTGCAAATCCCATTTCCTTCAAAGTTTCAATTTCTCTTTCAAAAACAACGCTCGGCTCTACAGTAGAGTCAATGCAATTCGCCTTAATCGAAATCACAAAGTGTCCTCCATTTTTCACAAAATGCTGAGCATTATGGGCCAAAATTCTTGCCTGGTCTCTTTGTGCGACATCAGCAAAAATCACGTCGACCATTGGTACAAGCATTCTATATCTCATTGGGTGTCTGGCGTCGTCTACAATAGGGATGACATTTGTCCTTCTTTTGGCCATATTGACGAGATCTCTGCCTGATCTGTGAGAAAATTCGACAGCATAGACTGCTCCTTCAGGCCCGACAATGTCGGAAACATGGCTGACAGTTGTCCCTGATGCAGCGCCGAGATAGAGAACTTTTGCACCTGGCTGGATCCAGATCTGGTCGATTCCTCCTAAAATTGCTGCAGCAATTTTAGACCTATAAGGATTCCAAACTCGGTATTCGATTTTGTCTTCGCCGACTTGGACTGGGATTCGCTTTTCTTGATATACACTTTCCCCGGGGGCGAAACTTTTTGTGACTAAGGAGTCTTCGTTGCCTCTGGCGATGAAGATTCCTGGAAATCTGTGAGGCTCGATTAAGACTTTAGAGCCACCTTTCATGCCTCTTGGACCGCCACGGCCACCTCTTGGACCTCCTCTTCCGCCTCTTGGGCCACCTCTTGGTGGTCCACCACGGCCTCTTGGTGCTCCTCTGCCTCCTCCGAAGTCGCCTCTAACCATGATTAATAGGAATTAAGGAATTTCATGGAAAAGCTGGCTTAAATATCAATGCAGGCATGATTTTCTAAAACGAGGAGGAAGGTTTAGAAATTTATAAGAGTGAGTTCGTTAAATATTCCAGATTACCTAAGAAAAATTGTGAGATGACTAGAAATCAGTTAGGTATATTAAAATTATTTGTTATGGCATAAATTGATTTTGTTTGCTAATATTAATTGATGAGATAATGTGTAATTACAATAGCTTTTATTTGGTATAATCTTCTATTTAATTAGATATTCTTTTTTAAGATGTTACTGCTTTTATGGCTGGAATTAATAGTCATTTACTTTCTAATCTTCTCTCAACATGTAACAAATAAAATGGTGACTTTTCTGACCGTTCTTCTACCATAGGAGTTTTTGTGGGTCTACAAGGGACTGGGCCTGGAAATCGCGTCCAGGGTAGATTTTTTATCCCTGGTCGGAACACCACTGAAGGAAGAGATGCCTGCATCCTATCTCCAGTTAGATGGTGCTGACATCTAGCAGTTTTTTACGGGGAAGTATCTAGGTGCATCACTCCGAGAGATTTTGGTGATGTATACAGAAAAGGGCGTGAGTTCAGCCCGATGCTTAGGGCGGTAAGCCTGAAGTCAGTGAAGGTGGAAAGGGGCTGAAATAAACCCTGGAACCATTCTAACTTTAATAACTTTAATCTAATCTAATCTAATCTCTCAACATATTTAAAATGATGGCGAGTTGTATGAGGTCGTAGGTGACTAATGAGAGCTGAGTAAGTGGATCCCATGTTTTAGAAGTCAAAAGGTTTTTTGGGGGTCAAAACACCATAAAGGTTTCCACAGGTGTAAAATTGAAGGCACATTGCCAGCTCACACCTCTGGCGAAGCATATGCTGCCTAAAAAGTAGGCTGCTCCAGAAGGAGACTCTGATAAGCACCAAAAAGGGCTAAAAGTGTCCTTTGCCGTAGGGTTGGACAAAGAATGGTCGAATGGCGTCGACAGGAAAAGGGTGTTGAGCGACATCGGTGAATGAGGGCCACCCGAGCCTGAAGCGGCTGGAGAAGGAAAGGGGCTGAAATAATTCCAAAGGCCAGGCATAATTTTAATTAATCTCTCATTATTTAAGAAAAATAATTGAAATATATATCTATAAGGCATATATTAAGATGCTGGACCATTAATCTGCTAGAATTTAAATGGAAATGGCTCAAAATCAATTTCACTTTCAGTCTCTGGAGAGTTAACACTATAATAAATATCTCCAGACAAGGCTGCTTCTTCGTTTTGGCATAAAAGCTCTCCTCTGCTAACTTCTCCACAATTTTTTTTCATATTTTCTTCTTGGGGGTGCTTTTCATTCATATTTACATTTTCACTTTTTCTCTCGTCAGCCTTATCTGGCAAAGGAGAATTTTGGCCTTTTAGGGTTATTTCATGAGTTTTTTGTTCTTGGGTTTCAGGCTGGTTGGTTTTACTCCGTAAAATAAATTCTTGAATTAAATCAATTTTTTCTGATGACAGCTCGGGTTGGGTCAGCGTTCTCGCTTTATCTTTTCTGAGCCCTCTGTTTATCGTTTTTTTAACTGTTCGTTGAATTGGAGATTCAGTTTTAGTTCTTCGCACAGAGCGTGTGAAGTCGCTCTTAACTTTATTAAGGATATTTTCAGGCTTTTCCACAATTAGCTTCATTATTATTTATTAATTAACAGAAATTAAAATTTGAATTTATGTGGTTTTAACATTTATTATTTGGATAATTATGGGTTAATGGAGACAAATGGCTCGATTTTTGTAAATTATTATATTATCGGTATTGCCAATAGACTTCTAATTCGAATTTTAATTGTATTATTTTGAATAAATTTTCAGGATAATTAGTTATTTTTGAATATCCATAATTTTTTTTAAATTAGCTGGAATAATCTCGTTTAAGCAGTAATATATTATTTTCAAACGCTCCAAATCTGCCTTAAAAAGCAATAAAATTCAGAATTTTTTAATAATTTTGTATTTATTAATGAATTGTTAACATTTATCGTTTTTTTATTTTCTATAATTTAAATCTAAGCCAGAAAATTCATTAAGAGTTAATCATTGGCTTAATGTCCATGCTAATTAAAAAGGCATTAATTCTAACCTAAATATTTAATAAGAATCATAGAATAGAAATGTCTCAAAGAATCTGCTATAAGCCTGGCTGTGGAGGAAAGGCAAAATTCAAGTGCTTTTGCACCACTCCTGAAACTTATATGTGTGAAAAGCACATAGATGATAGAGACCCTCTCTATAGAAACCACGTTGGTCATGAGATGATCACCATTTACAGCAAGCCTGATTATGCTTCAAAAGAAGCTTTTCTTAAGTTTCTCAGCGGAGAAGTCCACAAACTCGACTCAGTTGAGAAAATTATCATCGAAAACACTTTGGTTGAAATCAAAGCGATCGAGGAAGGTCTTAAGGAAATTTTGCATAGGATTAATGACTCCAAAAATACTCTTAACCATTTAGTTGAAGAGATAAACTCTCTTAGAGAGATTCCATACAACAGCTCAAAATCGCTTCACAACTGGCTAAAACTTCCTGTACAAGAAGCAAATGCCTTGATAGAGAACCTTAAAAGGACGAAGGAGCTTCCCTCTTCTGATGGTTTATACCAAGAAATGGTCCAATTTACTTTGGAATTTGCTTTAAAACCAATCGAATCTCCTTTAGAAGCCCTAGAACTTCTGAATGAAAGCAGCAGAAAAAATCAGGTTCAGTTCAAGCAGCAAATGAACACAATCCTAAACTTGAAAAATATAGTGAACCATTACAAAAATAACCTCAAACAAGACTTAAGCACCCCTATAAACAATGAAAGATCCCCAAGTTCTCTTTCTACCTACAAGCAAGACTTCGAAGCTTTAGCCAAGCAAGATATTAACAACTATGACATCCCCAAGAGAAAAAGAAACAGTCAGCAGTATATGAACAATAATTTAGAAGTTGCTGATGCGATTCACCATGTAACAGTTGGAGGCCCCGAGCCTGACAGCTCAGACTCAGACCATCAGCATACAACTGAAGAAGAGTCCGTCAACACCACACACTCAGCCTACACTGCGGAGACTATTTCAGATTATTCTCCTCTTAACACCCAGTTCAGCTAAATAATTCTGAGACAGGACAAATACAATATAAATAATCCAATACCCTCACATTAATTTTTTATGCATTAGCGCAGTTAATTCCTAAATGGCCATATTTAATTAACTTTTGCACAATATTAAAAATGCCAGCAGGGATAAGTCATAACACCTGACACAAACAGGTTGGACCTATAAACCGAGCTAAATCAGAGAATTCAAGCCTCTTGAGAGTCTTGGCTTGAAGAGAAGAGGTTGGTGTCGAGGCTGGCAATGACTAGAGAAGTTAATGTGGCTGGACCTCAAGGAAAACAAGACTTATAACACTGAGTGCAAGTGTAATTCTATTAACTTAAACTTTTGCAAAGTTTTTCATATTTATGCCTTGGTACTCTCGAATAGCATATTCAGATCAAAAAGAATGGACTTATAATGATGTAGATGTGCAGCAGGTTGAATGCCAAAAGAGATATGATAATTGGCAGCAGTGCTTAAGAAAGAAAGGAGCGAGAGACCAGGGTTGCAAAAAAGAGTGTCTGGAAGACTATTACACTTGTATTGATAAATTGAATGCAATGAGGTCACATTTTGAAGTAAACTTGTCAAAGAAACTAAATAGGATTGCCTAATCTAATTTTATGATTTTTTAAGGATAGTTTAAGAGACTGTTGAATATATAAATTTCGGTTTTAATGGAGAAGATTGTAATAGTGATTGGCTGGGATTTTAAAGTTAAGAATCGGGATGTGATTATAATTTCGAGCAGAAATAGCTGTAAGCCAGTTTCAATATTTGGTGTTCTAGAATAGAAGAATAAGAAGCCATTTTAATCGTTGATAATTTCAGGTATCACATCAAATGAGATGATGAAACTTATGTAGCTAAAATTTATTATGAGATAATTTAAGCTTTTAAGAGCTGGATGATCTGGGCATTTTTAATTTTATCAGATGGGATATTTGGGGTTTATTTATAAACGAATTTCTTTTTTACCAATTTTTATTATGTAATAATAGACTTAACTCACCCGCCTCGGTGAGCGAACAAAATCATTAGAAAATCCCTATTTTTTGCCCTAAAATACACCCTCTGTGAGCGAGCAAACCATTAGAAAAATCCTATTTTTGCCCTAAAATACACCCTCCGTGAGCGAACAAAAAATATTTTTTAATATAAGTGATAATTAGTATAATGAAATCTCTCGCTCATTCTATTTAATTTTAACCCCCTCCTCTAGCGAACAAAATTTTTTTGTTCACTAACGGATGGGGAATTAAGTGAACTATAACAAATGGCAAGAGGTGCCTTTTGCAATTTATTTTAAAATAAAGAAAGATCCCAAATCCTTTTATTATATACTCAATTTATAATTATTTAAAAATGCTGCTGATAAGATGCTATTCTACCTAATTGAGTAAAAAATAAAGTATTAATAGAAATATTAATGTTTTCAGTTTTGAGTATTTGATTCTTAAATTTCACATTTTATTGGACATTATAAATGTCTCTATATCAATTAATATATGAATTCTTTAAATTTTACTTTTTAACATGTTAATATAAGCAGAGTACGAGTCATTAAATCTCCTTAATTAAACATAAGATTATGATTGATCTTAACCTTAAATTAAATCCTTATACACACAAATAGATTATATAGCAATATTTTATTCTAAATTTAAACTGAGCTGCCTGGTTCACTCTCCTCATCTCTGATCTCCAATATAGATTTTCTTCTGCATTTCTTTATAATCTTGTACATTAAAAGCCCAATCAATCCTAAGCTAGCTCCACTTATAGCAACAGCGGCTGAGACAATCCATCTATTTCCTTCTTCAACTGCAGTTTTATTGCTTGTTTGGGTCTGATTATAAAAAGTCCTATTATTATGAGTCTGACTAATATGTAATGGATTACACTCTGAATCAGCAAACCCTATCTTATTAGTTGTCCTATCAAAAATAACGTCCATACCTCTTGAAAATATTCCTCCTAATACATTACATCCTTGTCCATCACTATAAATTCCTAAACAGTAACTCCTAGGATATGAAGGCCATGCAAATAAATAATTTTCAGGAAGTCACTGCACCTCAATATTTTCAATTAATAAGGTAAATATAGGAAAGGTATCATAAAAAGCGAAAATATCAGGATAGCTATCGTCATCATAATTATAACACAAATGAGGCTCGTTTGGAATAGAAACTTTTTCTCCATCACATTTCCCAGCCTTTGAGCAAGCTGACTCAAAATGGCTCCAAAGAGCTTCATAAAGTGGCTGATGTAAATATACAAAGGTAGTCCCAGAATCTACTATTGTACCTGTGCCATATTGTCTTGAAAAATCACTTGCTGACAATTCAATCTTATTCCCGTCTACTTTTAGCCCATGCCAATTAATTGAATAAAAAGTATCATCATGAAGGTTCGCCCAGGCTACCTCACTGAGGTGCAAACTAGAATTATAGCCTCCAATAGTCATATACCCATCATTTTTCCCAAAACATATAGCGAAAATATCAGTAGAAATGTCATGGTCACTAAACAAGGCATCTACCAGTGTCGGCATCCTGCTTTTTGCAAAGGCCAAGCCCATAATCCCATCGGCTTTTTGAGTTCTGAACAGATTAGTCTCTCTATTGTGACATCCAAATACAAATTTGACTCTTTTTGAGTGCTGAAAATCGTCTCCGAACATAATAAAATCTTCTACAAGGATTCCCGCAATTGAGCTGCCTTCAGCGTAACTTTGACTGTATCCACATTGGTCATTTTTGCATGGAGAGCAAGGGATGTTTTGATTACAGTTTAAGACGCTTGAAGTGCTTGAGTTCCGATAATCGAAATAAGAGTCCATATGAGTTCCACAATCCCGGCAGCCTGCACATGGGAAAGCTGTAATTCTGCTCCCTGTGTCGATAATAACAGTCTGCTTCTTTGGAGGAGTGCCTACTCATAGGTCAACATAGAAGTAGCCTAAGTCTTCCGTATTGCCGTATATGACAGCATGCTCAATTTCTTGGGAGTAGGCTGATACAAACAGAAGAAGAAGGAAGCCTGACATTTTAAATCCTATTATGGAATTGATAGAATTACATAGCAAAATTCTTTATTATCTAAGGTTTTTCTATAAAGAGAAGAAATTTTGTTTATTTGGGCTGCAATAAGAATTATAAGAATTTATTAAAGTATTCTGAATATTATAAAAATGAGGTGCTGGATGGAAAGTTGTGAAGCAATCCCGAACGTATTTTGTGATTGTACTGAAGAAGGAGTGCTGGTTTGCATAGATCACCTACTAGATCATATGTGTGTGCAAGGCGTAGAACATAAGTATGAGCCTCTTGATGTGATCCATAACATCAAAGCAAGAAAGTTAGCCGAAAAACAGCTTGTAGCAAGAATTGCTGAATTAATAAGGAAAAAGTCAGAACTAGTAGAAAATGCTTCTGACTCCACTTTGGGTTTAAAATTTTTGTTTCTTTTGTCATTAACTGAAATAGCTTGCAATGCGTATTTTTGATTTTTATATAGGATATTTTAATTAATTTGTGATCTTGGATGGATAGAATCTGGTATCCTCATAATAACCACTGAGAGATTCAGTTAAATGCAGATTTATTTATCTTTTTAGCATTAATTATCTGCTAAATTAATTAAAATCGAAAATAATAATATTGCTTTTTTTCAGGATAAAAAATACATTTTTTTAAAAAATATTTTTTTTGATTTATTTGTTATTAAATAGCTGGGAGATATGCATAAATGGCCTGTGACAAGCGACCTAACCTCTCCTGTCGGATGTTCTTATGCATATCTGGATGTGTTTTTAGTGTAAAGAGCTATCCAAAGGTCGGAATAGCCTCGGAGCAATAAGTACAGCACTATTTTCCCTTTATTAGTAGTCTGGCTCGATAGGGCAGTTTTTTGCTTTTTTTTTTTGCCAGCAGCGCTGAGGCCCAGGTTTGAATGCCGATAGAGGCAGGGCGACTTACCTGCCTAGACTACTTCGTGGCCTGTCCCGAATTACATAAGTGGTTGAGCTTTCCTTTGGCTGTAAATCAGGGAAAAAAGGGAAGGCAGGCTAGACAAGACTCTTAGGGGCTAGAGTCTCTCCAGTTAAAAAGGGTCCCGTGAAAGGGGTGACCTGGCCTAAGTTAAGCAGGGCTGGGTAAGCTGATTGCTTGGATTGGAATAGAGGTTCCGGCAAAGTCCATGTGACTCTGATCATGGAGGGAAAATGCCTCTACCGAGAAACCGGTGTTTCAGCCCAGGGTCAAGTTAAACGTTCAACGCCCACTGCTCATGCTGTGGAATGCACGGTGCTCAGAAAAATACACATCTTAATCATCTAATCTAAATAGCTAGAGTAAAGAAATTCAAGAGCAGGCCCTAAATCTAAACCAACAAGCAGAAGAAGCAGGAGTTGCAATGAATATTCAGCCAGAAAACTCACAAGGCGAGTCAAGTGCATAAAATTAGTAATTAGTGTCATAGTTTTCTTCATAATCTATTTCTCATAAATTAATCAAGAATATCAGCCCAGAAAACCTCACTCCCCCCCCCCCTCCGTGAGCGAACAAAACCATTAGAAAAATCGCCATTTTTTGACCAAAAACCCACCCTCCGTGGTGAGTGAACAAAAATTTTTTTAATAGAAAAAATTTTAATGGAAAAAAATTTTGATATATAAGTGATAATTAGTATAATGAAATCTAGAGCTAATTCTGTTTAATTTTTAAACAAATTGCGTTTTTAAAACATAAATTTTGCAAATTAAATTAATATTTGCTTCCCAATTTTTGCAAATTAGGATTTTTTAAATTTCGAAGAAAATATTTTTTATAAAATTTATATATAAATTTTTTTTTAAAAAAAAAAAATAACCCCCCTCCGTGAGCGAACAAAATTTTTTTGTTCGCTCACGGAGGGGGGGGGGGGGAGTCAGAAAATATAGACTGCACTTATTTTCCTTCCACACATAAAGATGGACTTTTTGAGCATCTTGCGCTCTTGCATTACAGGGATGGTTCCAGTCACAGTCATTACTATTTCTGGCGCATACCTAACCCACACAAACATCTTTACCAAAGAATCAAACAGATATCTCTCTGGCAGCTGCACACGGTTCTTTTTTCTTATTTTTAATTTTTGAACCGCAATAAAAGTAGTGGAATTTTCAGCATTTGCCCATCTTTGGCCAGTTTTAGTGGTTCCTCTGATACTAGTAATCCTCTCCTGCTTCTTCTCATATCTGATTATTCCTTTTCTAACCCCCCCAAGCAGCTTCAAGTATTCAGCAATTGCAGCGCTTTCTTTTTCAAGCCTTGGAGGAGTTCCATTGCTTATAATTAAAGGAATATGTTCATCATATGGACCATTAAGTGGTGATAAGTACTGTGATGATGCTATTGGATATATATCTCTTTTAATATGCACAACAAATCTGTTCATATGGTCTGTCACAGGAATGCTGCTTAAATTTGATATAAGAAATAATGGGGATAATAGAGAACAGATATCAGTGATGAGACTTTTTATTTCTGGAATAATTTCACCTCTGGCTGTATCTTCATGACTAGGCATTGTTTTTGGACTGATTCCAGGATTTAAATGACTATTTGTGTATAAGTCTTCGCCTTTATTCGCTATTTATGATACTTTATTGAGCTTGTCTTATATTGGAATTATAGTATCGCAATTGATGATAGGAAGCAATTTAATGCTATTAAGAGGCTCCCAGAGTCCACTATCTAAAAAATATATTTTGAAATTAATTATCCTCAAAAGCTTTATCTTTCCAGCACTTTGACTACTTGTGATTTTCGGATTTTGGGAAGCTGGGATATTTGGGGATAATAGAGTTATGGCGTATACTATTTTTATAGGCCAAAGCAGCCCTATTACAGTTGTTGTGCTAATGGTTGCCCAGATGTTGAATGCTGCAATTGCTGAGTGCTCAGTGATGTTTCTGTGGCAATATTTAGCAGCTCCTGTTTCTTTAACTTTTTTCACGTATATTTTCTTTCTTATGACTTACTCCTTTTAAGTTGGAACCAAATTTTAGGGAGAGATTTTTTTTAAAAAATTATAAAAAACACATGAATTTTAATGATTAATTAATATTGAGTCAAAAAGTGATAACTTTGTGTAGAAGTAGTATTTTGCTTTATGAGCTATGGATTTTTTTTGATTTTGGTTATATTAAATTTGGCATCAATGGTATTTGCATAAGATAGTTAAAGTTTAAAATTAATCTGGCATGAGCAGGATAGACCCAATAGCCTTTGCCTCGTCTTGGATTCAAACTCCAGTCTCCATTGACTACACTGTAGATCTGGATTTCCTATCTGAACCACCTATATCAAAGATTAGCTATCCCGGAGCCACATCCTGATAGCGTTACGATAGTCCCAATGAAGAGAAGGCAAAACCTGTCTAGTCTAACAGGATTAGGAAACCTTTGGGGCTATTTATATCGAATTATTATTTTGCTAATTAAAATTAAATTTTTGTTTTTCTTTCCAAAGGGAGTTATTTTACCGAAATTTAATTCACAATATTTTGTTCCAATTTAAAGCTGAAAAGTTAGATTAAATCAAGTACACTTAAGGATAAATAATGGACTTTTTATCAATTTTAAGATCATGTATCACAGGAATGGTCCCAGTTACTTTAGTAACATTTTCAGGGGCTTATCTCGCTAAAAAAGACATTTTCAACAAAGAAGCTAACGAACTTATATCAAAAAGCTGCGCAAGGTTCTTTTTTGTAGTTCAAAGCTTTGCAACAATTCCAAAATCTGTGAAGCTTTCAAGTCTAGTAGAATTATGGCCAATCCCTGTGATTACTTTTCTAATAATCATAATTGGGCTGATTTTATCATTTTTGTCCTTATACTTCTTAAAGCCGCCTACTCACTTCAAGTTTACCACTTTATCGATACTTGTATTTACAAATGGAGGAAATATCCCTTTTTTAATTATGAAAGGAATTTGTGCGTCTTATGGGCCTTTGGCTGGAGATGATAAATGTGATGAGTATCCTGGGTATATAGCGTTAGTTATTTTTGTATGCAGCATTTTAATATGGTCAATTTGTATTGCTTTTATTAAAGCTGACGAACAAGAAACCAGAAAAATAGAAGAATTAGCTAGTTTAACTGAAAATAAGTCAGCTGAAAGCTCACTAAAAGACCTTATGATAAGAGGCATGTTTTCGCCAGTCCCAATTTCATGCATTTTAAGCTTAATTCTGGCTCTGATTCCGGGGTTTGATTGATTATTTGTCCACAAAACATCGCCGCTTTACTCAATATTTGATTCTTTATTTGTGGTAGCTTATGTGGGTGTGGTGGTAAGCCAGATGATTATAGGGAGCAACTTATATATGATGGAGAAGGCTGATTATGGGATTTCGAAATTTTATATTATTTCGACTACTTTGATGAAAAATGTCATTTATCCTTGCTTTTGATTGCTGCTTACACTTTTGCTATGAAACTTAGGATGCTATGGAAATAATAAAGTGATGGCATATATCATTTATATTGCTCAAGCAACGCCAGTAGCGTCGACTGTGCTTATGCAATGCCAGCTTGTAAGTTCGGGAGTAAAAGATTGCACTGTGATTTTATTATGGCAGTATAGCACAAGCCCCATTTTAGATCCCTGAGGACAAGTGCTTTTAGATAAAAAATTTAAATTTTAAATTAAGGAAAAATCTGAAAAGTCAATTTTAAAAAACTGACAAATAGGACATATATAATGGCATTTTCAAATTGATATTTGACTTTTTGGAATTTTTTTGGAATTTCAAAATAATTTTTTCTTTGAAGGGCATTTTCCTTGAAAATCTATAGGGGAGCACGCGCCATACATTACAGCTCCTATTACTTTAACAGTGTTCACTTATCTATTCTTTATAATTATTTAATCAAGATTTATATATTAATTTATTGAATTTTGTTTTATTAAATAGGCTAAATAATTAAGAGGAAACTAAATTCTCAAAATTACTGCACCTTAAACATTAAATTAAATTGTTTAGTCACATTTAAGCCTTAATTTTTTTTAAAATTAGGTACAATTCCTTCCATTTTCTCCAAGTCTATTTCATCATATTATTTATAATTCTCAAAGAAATTAGGCTAGCATCATAAATTTACCTCCTAAAATGCGATTTTAGCTCAATAATAAAATAAATTTATGAATAAAACTAGAGATGGCCGGCGTTTAAAGTAAAAATGGATCTCCTGCTAGTCTTCCAAGCTTGCCTTTTAGGCATGATTCCCCTAGTTTTAATCACTTTATCAGGCACATACTTAGCATATCATAAAATTTTTGATCACGAGTCAAACCGACTTATTTCAAGAAGCTGCACTCAATTCTTTTTTGTGATTTTTGGATTTGTGACAAACTTAAAAGTCGTTGAATTTGATGATTTAGCAGAAATTTGGCCAATTTTTACCATTCCTATCTTTTATACTTGCATTTCTATATCTCTCTCACTTTTCTTTTTGCCTTTATTAAAGCCATCGGCCCATTATAGATTCTTGACTATTTGTGTATTGTCTCTCCCTAATGCAGGAAATGTAAGCATTCTGATTATCAGAGGAATCTGCTCTTCTTATGGACCTTTATCTGATGACTCTAATTGCGATAAATCTCTTGGCTATGTATCTTTATGTCTCACTTTGGGAAATATTTTTACTTTAGCGATGTGTCCTGCATTTCTCAGTCTTGATGCAAGACACAAAGAAAAATCAGCAGAAGAACTGACTGGTGATCAAGAAATCTTATCTTATCTTATCTTATAGAATTTATATCGCTTAACGTCCACTACGGGGTTACAACTCCAGGTTTATCACTCGCCTTTCGTCGCATCGGGCCCACCAGCCTGCTGGAGACAGACTCGCTTCGATCACCAAGGGTGCTTCTAGGGCAAATGTCCACGTCTTCGACGGCTCATAGATGAGCTACTTGCTTGTACATGGGTTGCTTTTCCGAAAAACCCAAAAAATGGATTTTTCTGGTCGGCTATCGGCAAAAAGGAAAAATGCAAAAGCCTGGGACGTAACGCCCAGTTTCACGCTAGGGAGTTGCCCGAATGGTCCAGAGGACTTTGCTGGGCTTCCCCTTTCCAACCTTACACCTTCCTTCCCCACGAGGAAAAATCCACCCCTGAGAACAGACTAGGGCTAGGCTCTGAAAGCTACCAGAATTGCTTACCTAGCATTGCAGTCCATCTCTGAAATGGTAAAACCTTGCCGGATATAATTAAAATATAAGTCGAGGATGTATGGCCGGGAGGCCATACCTAGACGAAGACGCCATATTTTAATTATGGTGATCAAGAAATCACTGAAGAAATTTCTGTCAAAAAACTTATTATTGGTGGCTTATTTTCAAGAATCCCTATATTTTACGTCCTTGGAGTGGTTGCTGCACTAATTCCAGGAATTAAGTGGCTTTTTGTCTACGATGACTCTCCACTTTTAGCTATTTATGATTCGTTATTTACTCTAGGATATTGTGGTGTGATACTATCACAATTAATAGTAGGCAGTAACATTTATTTATTCAAACCTACAGATAAACACATAAGTATACAGTTTTTAGTAATAAGCTCTATTATGAAAAACGTATTTTATACTGCGATTTGGCTGTATTTAACAGTTTTACTATGAAATTTAGGGGTCTTTGGAGGCAATAGAGTCATCGCCTATGTAGTTTTCATAGCCCAGTCTTCTCCTGTAGCGACACTAGTGGTGCTGCTTTGTCAAGTGCTAAAAACTGGCATAAAAGAAATTACTGTTATTTTGATATGGCATTATCTATCAGCGCCTTTATTTTTAATGCTGTATTCATATGCATTCTTTATTTATATCTGTTTGTCAAGAATAGCCCACTAAGGAGCATTTTTGGTTCACCATTCTTAAATTTGGGTAGCCAGAAAATATGGCATGCCAACGAATTTGGCAAGCCAGCTATTGTCCGGCCAACCAAAAAATACTTCTTAGTGGGCTATTCTTGGTAAATAAGTATATATCTAATAAATATCTAATGATAAATTTGGTTTATCTTCAATTAGTTATCTTAGTTTATCTATTTTAGAAAAATAGAGAAAATTGTTAAAAATTGGAGATTTAAGCTAAATTGAGCTGAAAAAAGCATATTTAAAATGGCAAGAAGAGCATTTATATCAAGACATATTGTTTTATCTGAAGAAAACAAACCTGTTTTTGGGGCAATTTTAATTGAGGGAGAAACAATCAGTGAAGTAAGAAAATTCGATAAATTAAAGAAAATTGAAAACGCTTTGCAAGAACTTCAAGACTGGGATCCCAAAGTCTATGAAGATGCATATATTTTCCCAGGGATTGTAGATTGTAATGCCAAAACTAATGGGGATTGAGAAGGAAGGTCATTTTTGACCCAAGCAGCTGTCTCTGGTGGAATAACCACTGTTGTCATTGAGCCAAGTCTCTGGCAGCAGCCTGAGCCTCAAACGGAAAATTACTGTGATTATGGAGAGGTTGGACTGATAAATGGAGACTCTGTTTCAATTGATGGAGTTTTGGCTATCAAAGGATACCTTTATAAGCCAACTCGCTATGTAGAAGAAATCCAGAACCTTGAAGGCTTGCTTTCAGAAGCTGCCAAATCAGATATGCCAGTCATAATTGATCCATCTCTTCCAAATCCTAGGATGTTATTCATGGCATCGCCATGTAGAGCCTTGTCTCTTCAAAGAAGAAGCGAAATTGATGATCTTTCGGATATGCAACACTTTGCTGGGGCTTTTCCAGAAAATGTAATTGACTCGGGAGAAAATTCTCCTGTAGAGGCTGAGGTAGAAAATGACTCAGGGTTAGAGAAAAGGCTTTCGCTGAGAGACATAAAAAAGTCAGAAATAGTGAGAACGCAGAATCATAGAATTAGTTTGATATCTGATGCGAATATTGTTGAACATAATGATGGAGAGAATAAATTGGTAAGTATTCGCAAAAAGTACCATAGAAAAAATCTGTCTGATATTTATCAAGACTTACTCAAAATAATTAATCAAAATAAATACTTAAATTTAAGAATTTTTCCTGATTTGTTTATAATAATTTTTAAATAATATAATTTATATATCTGCATTTTAATAGATCATTATTAGTAATCCATTTTATATTCTAAAATATATTTGCACTTTATAGCTTTATTTTAAAAAGTATATATCAAAATAATAAATCTCCTTTTAATGGATTTAAGATGACTAATAAGACTATAGAAATAAAATAGTGACGTTGATAGAAATTTGACTCCGAGGCGCATTCTTTATGTAGCAATTATAGCCTACCGTGATCAAGCTGAAAGCAGGGCCTCTGTCCCTATTCGAAGTAGGCCTTCAGGTATGGGGATGCCCTGCCAAAAAGGGAAGCGTTTTTTCTCTCCTGAAGGTTTTCTTGTCCCTGCCAGAAGAGCTAGAAAGGTTTTGCATACCACATAGTTTTTCTCTCACCTGGACTATCGGGGCATCTCACAGATGGTGACTCTACCCAGGGAGCTGATCACTGGACAGGTGATTCAGGTTGGAATCCAAAAGGGCTACCTTTTGGAGTTAAGGAAGGCAACGGCTAGTGGCTCGATCCACTTATGTTCAGCGTAATTGTTTCAAATAACTGACTAACTAACTATTAAGACTATAATATCATCATTATAAAACTTTAATAAAATAAAAATTTCATATAATTTTATCAAAAATATTATTAATTCCACAGGAAGTTAGATAAGAGAATTAAAGAGTCGCAAGACAACATAGAACACTTAAGCAGAGCTGAGATTTCTTTATACTCAGAAGCAGGGACCACATCTGGAGACAGCTTAAATTCTCCCCAACTTCAGTCAAATTTCCCAGCAGCTCACTCATACCCTGACATGGCAGCTATAAAACCGCCTCCCTCTCTCCAAGAGCGCAGAAAAATGCGGCCCGCCACTCTTAACGTAACAAAGCAAAAACCAAAAGAAGAGTCTTTATACGTTAGATACCTCGCAAACTGTCCAGATTGCTGAGAAACAGCCGGCGTTGAAAGAATATTAAGAGCCATGGAAGGTATCAAGCACCGAGTCCACATTTCTAGCTTATCATCTGCAAGAAGCGTAAACTTAGTCCGTCAATTTAAAGAAACCTCAAAGTCCATTACCTGTGACACGACTTCTTATTTTTTATATTTCACCGACGTAGATATACAGAATGGGGATACACGATTTAAAGCCCATCCTCCAATTAGAAGCAATCTAAATTGCAATTTATTATGGGATTTACTTAAAATGAAAGCAATAGATATGGTTTCTTCAGCTCATAGCCCGATTCTTCCAATGTATAAGTTTTTAAATTTTGGAGATTTTCGAAGGGCTTTGAGCGGTATCAATTCTATGGGATTTGCACTACAAGTACTATGGACAAAACTAAGGCAGCCAGTCTTATCAGCATCTAGTCTTGAGCATTATATTGTGAGGCTTTCTAAATGGCTTTCATTACACCCTGCGAAATTTTTCAAAATTGACAGTTTTAAAGGCTCAATTTCGCCTGGAAAGCATGCAGATCTTGTTATATGGAAACCACACGAAACTGTGATTGCTAAAAGCTACAGTAAGTTTCCTGATATGTGTGTGTTCAGAGGTAAAGAACTCTATGGGAAAATTGAAGAAGTATATGTGAGGGGTCAGCTGGCATTCCAAGGAAACAATTTTTATCCTGTCGGGAGGAAGATTGTCAGGTAATTATTTAATTAACTAAGGTGATTAAAAGATAAATGGGAAACTGCAGCAACAGCGCAAAACCTGATATAGAGATTTACCTTGGATTTTCCATTATAAATTAATTAGAAAATTCTAATAGAAAAGTATAGAAAAATAGCATATCCCTCAGTCAGAAATTTCATACTCAGAAATCGCAATGCTGAAAATCAAAGAGCGTGACTATTCAGGACAAGTCATAAACCACGACAAAATAAAATTCAAATTGACATCTCCATGTCTCAACCAAACTGCCAAGTTCTTGCACATGCCTTATGCCTTTGACATCACAGGAACAGTTCTACCTGGGCTTGACCCTCGAGAACTTGTTGATAAGGAATGCCAAGACAACCTCTTTTTTGTGGAGAAAGAAAATACCCTCTTCGCTGCACTTTTTGACGGGCATGGCCAAGATGGGTTTAAAGTCACCGAATTTTGCAAGAGGTTCATGAATCGGCAATTTAAAGAAAAATTCGAAGATTTTAAAGTGAAGCCTAAAGAAGCGATCAGCAAAATAATTGAGGAATGCGATGCATCGCTCAAAGCAAATGCTGGGGACGTAAATTATTTAATATCAGGGACCACTGCTGTTGTGCTGTTTATAGATGGAAATAATATGTATGTAGGGAGTGTAGGGGATTCTCGGGCTATTTTGGGGACTATTCCTAAGTCTGATGATGAAGTGTCAAAAGCTATAAGAACACTTAAGCCTGTTCCTTATAAAACAGCGATTGAGCCAAGAAGGCTGCTAAAATCAATAGCTCTCACTGTCGATCAAAAGCCAAACCATCAAGAAGAACTCGAAAGGATTCAAAAATCAGGCGGAAAAGTCCAGCAGTTGACAGACGACAGAGGAATGAAAATAGGCCCATTTCGAGTGTGAAAAGGAAACGGAAATATCCCAGGCTTAGCAATGTCAAGGTCAATAGGTGACGGAATTGCCAAAGACTGTGGAGTTATTTCTACTCCAATAGTCCACGATTTTCAGCTGTTTCCTGATAGAGACCAATTCATAGTCATGGGCTCAGATGGGGTATGAGATGTTTTTGACAACCAAGAAGCCGTGAATTTTGTAGAGAAATACCGCTCAGAGTGTGTGAAAACTCCTGTCAGAGATAATTCGTATCCTATCAAAGTAACTCATATTTAGCCTGATAACTCAACTATATCTCAATTGTTAGGGGAAGAGGCAAGATATAGATGGTTTGGGGTCTGTGAGGACGAAGATGTGATGATTGATGATATTTCTGTGATTGTCATAGAAATAAGCACCTTAGTACCGATGTCAACGATTGATATGAGTGAAACTGAGGATAGGAGGACTGTGAGGCTTAATAGCTTGGGAGATATACAAGACTCGAAGCCGATGGTAGCAAATATGCTGAGGGGAGATGCGGTAAGAGGAAGCTTTATACCAGCAAAGGACCCAAATGCAAAAAGGATAAGAATTGACCCGAAAAGAGGATCACATGCTGTTGTAGGGGGAGAAGAAGCTGAGGAAACTGAAGCTGTCATCGATGTCCCATTTGTCGATGAAGAGCATAAACTGGATTAGTTTATTAAGTTCAAAAAATTTAGAGAATGCTAAAAAATAAATATGGATTATTAATTTTTAAAATTCCCGAACAATAGCTAGAAGCATTTTAAAATAAAATTATTTTAGGTTGAGGTATCATTTGAATTATACTTGCACTTATATTGTTTAATAGAGATATTATCCTTAGCGATTAATTTGAATAATTTATCTAAGCATAAAGAATAATTTTATAGAAGCATAATTTATAAGGAGATGCATGCTTGTACAGCCTCTATTCAAGATCTAGTTAAAAAAGCTATTGCGCCAGGAGTGGAAATTCTAATATTTTGAAGTAACTCCTTAGCATTGAGCCATCTATATAATCCCTCCTGACTTAAATATTTCAATAAAAATTATGGATTTCTATTATGGGTGGATTTAATATATGAATAAAACTAATAATAAAGATTAAATTATTTGTCGGGCTTATGAAAATATTTGCAGTTGTTTTCTGAATTAATAAAGAACAATTAGATTAAAATTAAAAAAATTATTAGTGTGATATAAAACATTGTTTGAGCACACGATTAATTATTATGCATATATAAAGTGTCAAAGTTTATTAAATGGTTTTGGTCTGAAATATAATTCATAAGCATCTTTATTTTTAGCAGCTATAAAGTCTTTGGTCATTCATTCCTATAGTAAAGTTCATAGTTAAAATTTTTATTAAAGCTGCGGATTGCAGCTTAGTCCAACAAAGGCATATTGCCTTTATGCAAGTTATAAGGTGCATATTTTATTATTATTGAATGGCTATTGATGTTCTTATTCATTTTGTATAAATCCTAAAACATTAAATGAATGATTTCTTAAATCAGAAAGTTGTGATAATAACTTCAACTCTTATTTGCTTTGCCAGAAAAAAATTATTGCGCCAGGAGTGAATCTAAGTCAACATGCTTGCGCCTGCATCGATAGAAACGCAATTCTGAATAAATCGAAGTAACTCCTTAGCATTGAGCCATCTTTATACTCTATAAATATTTAAATATCAATACAAATATGATAAATTAATTTATGGGGTAAAAACTACAATAAATTCTGCTAACGATAGCTAAACATTTTTAAATCGTAATTATAAATTTTATATTATTTAGCATGCTTATTATAAGGTGCTTATTTATTTGCTTATGCTAATTTATATTTTATAAAATAATTGGAAACTTGAAAGCATCTATATCAAAAGTTTTTTATTGTAAAAAGACCACTGCGCCAGGAGAAGTCTAGAGCAGGATAGAACTCACGCCCAACCCTTCAGTAGATTCAATACAGGCGATATGAAGTAACTCCTTAGCATTGAGCCATCATTATAGTCCCTCTTTATTTAAATATTTAAGATGAACTGATAATTTTATTTATGGGTCAAAACTTGAAAATTTATAAATTTATGGTTAAGCAAAAATTGTATCGGTCATCTCGTTTACTCTTAAGCACTATATTTTTAGCTACTATAAAGTAAGCTGCATTTCAAGATATAATGATCTTTGGTCATTCTTTGCTTTAGTAAAGCCTGCAGTTAAAAATTGCTGCAGATTATAGCTTAGCTCAACAAAATATATTGCCTTTATGCAAGTTATAAGGTGCATACCTTATTACTATTGAATAGCAATTAATGTTCTTATTCATTTTGTCTAAATCCTAAAACATTAAATAAATTATTTCTTAAATTAGAAAGTTGTGAAAATAACTTTAACTCTATTTGTTTTGCCAGAAAAAAGCTATTGCGCCAGGAGTGGATCTAAGTCAACATGCTTGCGCCTGCTTCGATAGAAATTCATATGAAATTGAAGTAACTCCTTAGCATTGAGCCATCTTTATACTCTATAAATATTTAAATATCAATAAAAATATGATAAATTAATTATGGGATAAAAATTACAATAAATTCTGCCAACAATAGCTAAACATTTTTAAATCGTAATTATAAATTGTATATTATTTAGCATGCTAATTATAAGGTGCTTATTTATTTGCTTATGCTAATTTATATTTTATAAAATAATTGGAAACTTGAAAGCATCTATATCAAAAGTTTTTTATTGTAAAAAAACCATTGCGCCAGGAGTATCTAAAGAAGGATAGAACTCACGCCCAACCCTTCAATAGGCATAATTCAAAGTTACGAAGTAACTCCTTAGCATGGGGTCATCATTATAATCCCTATTTATTTAAATATCTAAGATGAATGATAATTTCACTTATGGGTCAAAACTTGAAAATTTATAAATTTATGGTTAAGCAAAAATGGATTTGTCATCTCGCTTATTCTTATTTCCTCCCTATATTAAAATATTCTATATAAATATTGATATAAATCTTTCACAGATTTTGCTAAGCATATCATTTCGCTTTTCCTTATAAATGATAAGTATAAAAAATTAAAATTTCCTATATCTCAAGGGATTATAAAGACTGACACATCATATTTTCTTATAAATTATAGATTATTTAACTTCTATGCCACCCTCTTAAACAATCAATTTTTTAAAAAAATACTGACTGCATTTCTGTATTAAAATTAGTTTTTATTTTGATTTTTCTAAATAAGACAGCATTTATTAATAAGAAGTGCTTCTTTTAATATATAAAAATGTGACATGAAAGGATTCTTTCATTTTTAAAGTAAATTGGAAAACGTATATTGGAAATGTCTTTATATCACTTTAAAGCACTAGTATACAAAAATTGAATACTTTGGTATCGAAGACCACTAGGATCATTCTGTGAGCTTTTTTTCCCTATACTTGTATTTATCGTTTTATATTGGGTAAGAACACAAGTGACTTCTGATGAATACGAAGCAGAAAGTTACCTTAATAACGCAACTTATGTATCCCCAACTCAAACAACATCAGTTTCCTTTGAATTCGAATCTTCTATACCATTTTTGCAATGCTTAGGATATGTTGCACAAGGAGAGGAGTGGATTGTCGGACTTGCACCACAAAACGAAATAACTGAATACATTGAAGACCAGCTTGGCGACTATTTAAGAAGAGTTGAGGTCAGGTATTTTGAAGATGACGATGCAATCGAAGATTATGTTAAAGACAGTGACTATGAGGACGGGCCAAAGCTTTGTTTTGCTGTCGTTTTTACAGAGTGAAGTGATAACTACGTGGAATATAAAATCAGATTCAACCAGACTGATTCAATACCTGATGACGGCTTTGCAATAGGCGATTACGTGGATATTTTTAATTTCAATGACAATGAAGCTACTAATGAGCGACAAAGAGAGCCAAAGCCTGAATTCCAAGCACAATTTTTTTCGACTGGGTTCATACAAATACAAAATTGGGTCGATAATTATTTATTGCAAAAATATACAGGAAGCACAAATTCATACATTGCAGCAGGATTCGTGCCAATGTATTTTGATGAATGAATTGATGATGACTTTTTGGAGTATTTGGCAAATTTTTTGGCGTTTTTTATTATACTTAGCTTTGGAATTCCAGTTTGTAGGATGGTGACACAAATAGTTGAAGAAAAGGAAACGAAAATTAAAGAAATGATGGTTATTATGGGGTTATCTGGGACTTCCTATTGGGCTGCTTGAATTTTATATTACTTTTTCATATATTTAGCCATAGCAATTGGAGCAGCATATATCCTAAGTCGCAATTTCTACGAATATAGTGACATTTCTATCATTTTCATTACTTATTTTTTACTTGGACTCTCTTGTATTTCCTTTAGTCTACTTCTGAGTATTTTTTTCTCAACTGTAAAAACAGCCCTTATTTTTAGCATCATGATCTTTTTTGCCACATTTTTCGCATATTTTGCAGTAGACGACCCTCTTATATCGACTTCTACAAAGTACTGAATTTCAATTATACCTTCTGTTGCTTTTTCATTAGGGACACAAATCATGGTTGAGCAAGAAAGAGGGTATATTGGTGTAACATATGATAACATCACTGAAGAGCTTTTCAATTATAAATACTCAGCTTGCATCATTTTTATTGCTATCGACACAGTTGCTATATTTTTGCTGTTTTTATATCTTGAACAAGTATGGCCATCTGAGTATGGGGTCAAAAGACCATGGAATTTTTTATTCAAAAAAGAGTTTTGGGTTGAAATCCCTGTAGAAAGTAAAGATTTTGATGATAGGATTGAGAAAAACGAAAACACAGAAGAAGTTGATGCAATTCTTGAGGAGCAAAAAAACAAAGGAAAAGTTATGATGATCAGAAACCTCACAAAGAGCTATGATGGAGCGCTTGCAGTTGATAATTTAAGTCTTGATATATATGAAGGACAAATTTTTGCATTGCTAGGGCATAATGGTGCTGGAAAAACAACAACGATTTCAATGCTAACAGGAATGATAAATGTTACTAGTGGAGATATGATGGTCAGAAATTTATTACTGTCGAAAGACCTCAAGAAAATTCGAAAGCTGTTGGGTGTTTGCCCACAGCAAAATATTCATTATCCAGAGCTAACTCCTGCTGAGCATTTATACTTATTTTCTGTTTTTAAAGGAAAAACAAATAGCGATGAAATTAGTAAAGAAATCAATGAAAAATTGGAAGAAATCATGCTGGTTCCTCAAAAAGATGTCCAGGTAAAAACATTATCAGGTGGCCAAAAGAGAAAACTTTCTCTTGCAATTGCTTTAATAGGAGGCTCTCCAATTATTTTGCTAGATGAGCCTACATCAGGAATGGACCTCAATGCCAGAAGGCATATGTGGGAAATGCTTAAAAACAACAAGCAAGAAAGAATAATTATTTTGACAACCCACTATATGCAAGAAGCAGACACTCTTGCAGACAGAATTGCAATTCTTTCTCATGGAAAGCTCAGATGCTGTGGAAGCTCATTATTTTTGAAAAATAAATTCGGAGTAGGGTACTACTTGGTCCTTGTTAAGCAGTCTAATGTATACAGTCCACAGCATTCAAAATTAATCATTGATTTCGTAGAAAAATATATTCCAAACTCAAGACTAGTAAGTGATGTACAAGCAGAAATTTCATTTCAGTTACCATTGTCAAGCTCAGGACAGTTTAATGATTTTTTTCAAGCTTTGGATGAGAAAAAGACGGAATTAGAAATTAGGTCTTACTCTGTGTCTGTGACAACGCTAGAAGAAGTCTTTATAAATGTTACTGAAAAGACTCAAGAAATTAAAGAAAATGAAGAAAATCTTAATGAGACAAGATTCCAGGAAGGTGAAAACGAACTTCTGGTGGAAAAACCTAAAGAAACGAGCACGCTTTTTATCAGACATTTCAAAGCTTTGTTGAAAAAAAGGATACTATGGAGCATGAGAGACTTCAAAACTTTTACTTTTGAAATTTTGATTCCAATGTCTTTAATCACAATTGGAATAATTTTTCTCTTGATTGCTGATCGATATATTGACCAAGACCCTTGGGATTTAGTAATTGACCAGTAAAGTCCGATCTCTGCTTTGGATGCGCTTGTCTGACGTCGGGAGTGCCAAATGGGGAGTTGACTAACCAAAGTTTGTTGGCAAAGTCAAATCCCATCTGTCTCCTCCCGATGTCAGTCAAGCCCGATCCAAAGCCAGGATCAGACTATATGATACCCCTCAAAATATCCTGTACCCAGACAATATAAATGACTATACTTCTCAGCTGATGTCCTCTTTAGACTCCATGGAAGATATTGACACTTCAGGCATCACAGCTGAAGATATTGAAGAATTCGACCTGCTGATATTTGAGAACCGAGAAGTTGACCCGACACGTATGGGTTCTTATTATTACTACACCATGAATTCTGATATTGACAGATATGAACCAGTAATTTTCCACAACCAGACCGCTTTTCAATCTTTACCAACCTACTACCAGCTTGTTGCATTAGAAATCTTAAAAACATATAACCCAGATCTAGAAATTTTGGTACAAAACCACCCTTTGCCTATCACAGAAAAAATGAATGAGTTCGAAGCCTCCATAAGCTCATTCATTATCACCATAATTTTCGGTCTAGGAGCTGCATTTATTCCTGCAAGTATTGTCTCTTTCATTGTAAGAGAAAAAGAAAACAACGTGAAATTCCAGCATATGATAAGTGGGGCTTCTATGTGGGCGTATTGGATTTCTAATTTCATATGGGATTATGCGAAATATTTAGTCATTGCAATTTATGTATGTGTTTTAATTGTGATTGTGGACATAAATATCTATGTTGATGAAGACGACCGGTATGCAGCCTTTTGACTGATTTTTATTTTATATGGCTTGAGTGTGATCCCTTTTACTTATTTAAGCAGTTTTATTTTCACGAACCATAATACAGCACAAGTGATCACAATATCGTTTCATTTTCTTACAGGCTCTTTTTTACCAATTGTGATGATTTTTATGTGGTTTTTTGACGACACAAGAAACTATGTCAGAGAATGGAGGTGGTTTTTTAGGCTTTTCCCAAATTTCTGCTTTGGTAATGGAATTTTGCAAATAGCGTCCCAAGAGTTTATAGCGTATTTTGATGGTGATGAAACTGAGCCAGTGTTTTCATTAGAAGCAGCTGGAGGCGACATTTTATATCTTGGAGCCACAGCAGTAGGCTATTCAATTTTACTGATTTTTGCAGAGTGAATTAACAATAATCGTGCTCTTGGACAGTTTATAACTCAAAGATTAGCAGGAAAGCCTTCAGAATATCTATCAGATGAAGATGTAGAATCTGAAAAGCAGCTTGCCTTAATAACAAGCCCACAAGACGTTAAAGTAAATGTAAGAGAGCTGAGAAAATTTTATGGAAGCTTATTCGGCTCAAGAGTTATTGCTGTTGAAGAAGTCAGCTTTAATATCCCAAGCCAGCAGTGCTTTTGCTTACTAGGGTCTAATGGAGCTGGCAAAACAACTGTATTTAAAATTCTTGCTGGAGAGATTATAGCAAGCTCTGGTGAAGCTTTTATAGGAGGCTACTCCATTAATACTTCATTGACTTCAGCCAGAAAATGCATAGGATACTGTCCTCAGTTTGACGCTTTAAGTGAAAAATTGACCTGCAAAGAACACATAAGACTGTACTGTGACATCAAAGGAATTAATAAACAAAAAATCGCTGAATTGACAAAAAATCTATTAAGAGAATTAGATTTAGAGATGTACGAGGATTATAAAATGGAAAATTTAAGCGGAGGAAATAAACGAAAACTTTCAGTAGCCATTTCTTTAATAGGCAGCCCTGATGTAATACTTTTAGATGAGCCGTCAACTGGAATGGACCCAGAAACAAGGAAAAAACTGTGAAGAGTTTTGGGAAATTTGAAAAAGCAAAATTCTTCAGTTGTGTTGACGACCCACTCAATGGAAGAAGCTGAAGCACTTAGTGATCGGATTGCTATCATGGCTGCTGGAAGAATTAGATGTATTGGCTCTTCTTCACATATTCGAAATAAATTCGGTCAAGGTTATGAGCTTGACGTCAAAATAAAAATCCCAAAGCAAGAAAAAATCCACATTTTGAGCAAAAAATTGGACTTAGAATTAAAAGATGCCACACAAATAAGAGAATTTCAAATTAAAAAGTGTTTGCAAGCTTTAGAAGCTGAAGACTTGGAAGAGGTATTTAATTCAAAAAATATAGGATTTGCGATGCAGTTGAAAAATGAAGGAAGCATTGCGAGAGACTCGTTTATTTCATGAGTTATTACTGAAAAAAGAGGCTTGAAAGTGCTAAAGTGACTTAAAGGAGAGTTCAAAGATGTTGAATTAGTTGAGCATTATTTGAGCTCTTATAAATATAGAATTACTAACTCCCCCCTCTGTGAGCGAACACAAACATTAGAAAAATCCCTATTTTGCCCAAAAACCCACCCTCCGAGAGCAAAAAACAATTTTTTATGGAAAAATTTTGATATATAAGCGATAATTATTATAATGAAATCTCTAACTAATTCTGTTTAATAAACAAATCGCGTATTAAAAAATAAATTTTACAAATTAAATTAACATTTCCTTTCCAATTATTACGAAGTGGGATTTTTTGAAATTTCGAAAAAAAAATGTTTCTATAAAAATTTATATATAAATTTAAAAAAAAAGCCAATTAATCCCATCCGTGAGCGAACAAGATTTTTTTTGTTCGCTCATGGAGCGGGGAGAGTAAGCAGGATGATAGATCGCTAGGATATCTCTTCTCTTTGGTGGAAAAATCGAAAAAATCATTGAAGATTTCTGAGTATTCGATTTCACAAACTTCTCTTGAACAAATTTTTACTGAGTTGTCTAGTAACCCTAATTAATAATTTTAATTAATTGTTAATTTAAAAAGCATTAAAGATATGAGAAATTGGATCATAATATAGTCATTATTAGATTGTATAGTTTCAGATGAAGCGTATAATTAAATAAAAGCAAACTAATTAAAGTGTTATAGAGAGATACAAGAGATTCGGGATGCCTAAGGATTGTGAAATTAAGTTTAATTTAAATACAAACCAACTTTAATAATTTCATAGAGGTTTAAGTATTTTTAACTTCTCATCATCTGCTTCTCATAGCTGTTCAATTTCTACTAATGATCTTGCTAAAACCCTTTAATATGCATATTTTAATATTAAAATGTCAAATCATGTGCCCGAAATTTCAACTGCCTCTACAATTGGTTCCCCTTCTCTCCTAGAAGCAAAAAAACAGAGAAAGCAGCTTCAACAAGACGCTGCCCTCTTATCAAACCGTATCAAACTCCTTCAGCTTGAAGAAGAGCGAACCTGAAAAAAGATTGAAGAAGCCAAAAATCGAAAAAACCAAATTGAGCACTCAAAAATGCGTAACGAAAACAAACAAAAAGAAATCGAAAAACTCTACCAAACTAAAGAACAAATGAGACTAGAAGCCCAAGAAAAAATAAAAAAACTGAAATTTGAACGAAATTCAGGGAAAAATCGAAATGTTGAGTCGATTCAAAACACAAAAAAAGATTGCTACAAATATGGGAGAGAATGAAAAGTTTACAGTCTGCAACAGAGGATACTTACAAATCAGGCTTATAGGGAAAAAAACAAGCAAAGAGCAATGAGTGTTAAATTAGAAGAAAGGCATCGGCAAATGAAGTTAAAGAAAATGGGGAATCGGAGAGAAGAGGAAAATAAAGAAGATTATTTGCAGAGGGTCAAACAAGAGGAAGAGGCTAAAAAGCAGCTGGAGAGGCAAGTGATGGAAATGGAGCTGATAGAAATGGAACTGATAAGAAAACTACAGCAAACTCAAATGATCCAGCAAGAAGCTATTTCTGATTTAGAAAAAGCAGTTTCGTATAAGCCTGGATCAGTGCAAGATTAGTAATATTTATATAAACCAAAGTTATTAACTCTATTAGAGTTTAAGCTCTTAGGTTAGCATTTTTCGAAAAAAATGGTGTCGCATCCGGGTCGAGCTTTGAAGTTTTCTTCTTAGGATTCTCAGTCAAATCCTCGTCAGATAGAAGGTCATAAATAAACTTGAGTTGGTGATGATTTTCAGGCTCTTCTGACGTCGTCTCGATTTCATTTATAGAATTCTTCAGCTCCTGGTTGCTTTTTAGGAAAATTGGGGGCAAATTGTGAGCCAAAAACGGCTTTTCTAAATCTAAAGGATTTTCTAGTGTAAAATTGAACTCTAATTGTTTGGGCTGCAGATGGTTTAGGAACAGAAAGTCATCCAAGGATTTGCTGCTATAATTATTCCAGTCTATGCATCCAAACTTAGAAACTAAGTGTTCTTCTAGATGAGTGTAATCGGAGAATTTAAGGATTTCTGATACAATTTCTTCAATAGTAACTTCATTACTCAAAAACGCAAAAGGTTGATTTGTCGCACCTTTCTCCACTTTGACATTTTTAATTGTCCTCAAAAAGTCTTTTAATTTGGAAAACCCAAATTTCGTTATATCTAAATGCATAGAAAACCTCTTTTTTAAATGCAAAGGAATCTGGGCGAGTGGAAGCCCAGCTTTTTCATCTTTTAAAATTTCAATGATATTTTTTCTGATGTCTTCTAGTTTAGAGTCTATTTTTAAATCTTCGATTTTATTTTCGACTGTGGAAGATAAAACTAATAGAGCTTTTTGGTACCTTATAACATCTTCATCAATAGCTAACTGCACCATGTAGCTCAATTTTCCTAATGAACATTCTTGTAAAAGCTTCGGCCCGAAGAATTTTATTAATTGAGCACATCCATATCTCCCTCCAGGAATTGCAGTGCTGGCTTCTGATTCAGTTTTATAATAACTTTCGCAAAATGCTATTAAAGTATTTCATTCATGGGTATTTTTCATATTAAGAGGATCCCCTGTTCTTATGTATTGGTCATAAGAAAATCATTGATCTTCTCTTGGGAAAACTAAAAATGTTGTGGATTCGTTTTGAGGGTCGTCTATTTCTGAAATCAAGTAATTCTGGCTATTTTTGCATTTTTCTAATAAATTTCGCCATTGAGAATTAGTTGGCTTGAAATCAAAAGCTTCTTTGATTCTTGACTGGATGGTTCTTTCAATTGGAAGCATTTCGTCGATTTTTAAGGATTTAAGCACCCATTGCAGACTTTCCAAGCTTAAACTTTCAAGCTTCAGGCCAATGAAGTCTTTTGGATTCAGGCCTCCAAATTGTTTTCTGCTTAAAAACAAGATCCCTAAGTTGCAAGTCTGGTTCAGCACTTCAGATGATTTTTCGTAGCTTAGTCCATATTTTATTGAAAAATCATTTATAAACCACTCGAGGTCTATCGTCATCTGTCCATGTTTTACAAAGGACTTCAATCTTTTTGCCACTAAATCATGGTATTGGTTTTGTCCACGTTTTACAGTAAATTGTTGTCGGTCGCTGCAAGATTCCATTAAGTCTCCTGTTTTGCAAAGTTTTGGCTGGTCTGGATTAGAAATTTGAGGATCTTGGTAATTGACAATTCGATAAAACCCGAATGGAATTGGAAGCAGCTGTATATTTTTTATTTCTAATGGAGAAATGGACTGTGAAAAAAGAAGGGTTACGTTTGGAAAATTATTCTGAATTTGTGTCAAATGGGGCTTCATATAAGCTGCATATCCACTTAGTATCAAAATATGGGTCAGATATTTTCCAGCAGATAAGGAAAGCTCTAGAATAAATGTTTGCAAGTCTTTAAGCTCGTTCGAGACGATCAATTCAATGCCAAATTCATTAAACACACTACTCCATTTTTGGTAGCTATCCCCAAAGGCCTTGATTTCTGCTATATTATCATAAAGTGTTCTTATATTTTTCAAGACGGTTTCAACGTCTTCTTTTTTACTCACTCGACAGGAATGCAAGTCCCAAAACACTGAAACCTTGCTGACAAAGGATGTAGGCTCCAAGGCATGATCAGGATGATTTTTGGTACAGTTTTCGCAAAGAGGGACTTCGCAGGTTCAGCATCTTTTTTGGGCTACAGATTTGCAGTGCTTACATATGAGCTGTCTGACATGGAGTTTTCGCTTTCCACCCCTATGAATGGATTCAGAACAATCTTTGCAAAATAGCTCATCACATTCTGAACATACAAGAGTGGCCGTTAAACAGTTGCACTCCTCACAATGCATTTGGATTTATATGATTTGAGACTTTTTTAAATTTCGATGAATAAATGGACTACTTATCAGAATTAATACTTTAATGCTGTTCATATATAATTTATTTATTGTAAAACTTCTATTTATTAAAATCATAATTATATATCTAAATTTCAATTAAGGGGTTAAGAAGATGACGGGGAATGAATAATTTTGTTGAAAAATAATTTTAGAATATTAGCGAAGAATTAAGAATAATTTAGGTGCGCTTTATTAAATAAAGTTGATAACATCTTATAATTGATATAAAATTTAAAGCTACTAAAAATTTTGCCCGCTAAGCAAGGGGAAGGGAATGATCATCATAATGCAAAGAGAAATCGTCAGATTTCTTATAAATATGGCAACCCTTCAGTCATTTTTATAAACCTTAGCTATATTTATTATTTCAAAGAAAATATCTAAATTAAAAATATATTCATTCGGAAATATCATTTTTCTATAATCATAATATAAGATAAATATTCTTATGCCATGTTATTTTGGGGCTTCGAATAAAATAGCTTTCTTTAGCTCCTCTGCTGAGGCTGCCCATCAATTAGAAGATCGTAACATTAGTCAAGTTCTTTTAATCTTTCAGCATTTTCTTTAAGGAGGGCTAAGATATTAGTCTAAAGGAATAATTTTTTAAAGTCCGATCCAAAATTTAATCGAAGCTATTAATGAAGAATTCAAAGTTATATAAATAGCTTAAAAAATATATTAAACAGCAGCTATTCATATGGAATTTCAATTTATTTGAATTTTGATTATACCTTTTATTTAATTAATCTAAAATGGAAATTGAGCTCAATCCTCGAGTTCTAAATATTTTAGCTCGTCAGGTCAATAGACTTCAACAGGAAAATCTTGAAGGAGTCAAGCCTATATTAAATGAAGACAACATTGCAGATGTTCAAGCTGATATTATAGGTCCTGATAAATCAAATGGCCTTTTAGTTAAGAGAAATTAGTTCATGGAATTTTATTTATAGAGATGAGTTTTCTCTGGAGAATTCTGCACAGCAACGGTGATTTAACTTTGGTCATGAGGCCAGGAAACTGCTCCGAGTGCATCAAGAGGCTTAAGGTTTTTCCTCTCAACACACCAGAGAAAAGGGTAGCCCTCAGGCGGAATGCGCGCGGGAGCTGAGTAAGGCAAAGCGAGTGAAACGCGCGCCATGAGGCTTTTATGATTTCTGAGTCAATCTGAAATATGGGTGACGTCGGAGTCCCGGGTGACGCCATAATTTTAGAGCTAAAGGGTGCCGCACCCTAGTCGCCATGCTGAAGAAGTTAAAACGCTAATAATTAAACTACCTAGGCCTAATATATTATAGGTCCTGAGGAAACCCCTTATCATGGCGGAATTTTTCGATGCAAGCTTGAATTCCCTGCCGATTTCCCAAACAGCCCTCCAAAAGGCTACTTTTTGACAAAGATTTTTCATCCTAACATATCAAATGGAGGAGAAATTTGTGTGAATACTTTAAAAAAAGATTGAAATCCAACTAATTGGTCGCTCTCTAACATTTTGCAAGTTGTTAGATGCTTATTGCTTGAACCCTTTCCAGAATCAGCATTAAATGAAGAAGCAGGAAGAATGTTCATGGAAAACTATCAAGAGTACTTTAGATATGCTAAGCTTTATACATCGATTCATGCAATGCCAAAAGCTGTTCATGCTCCAGTTCGAAAAATGCAGACTCAGCTTGACTATATCAAAAAATGGATACGCAGAGTTTAAAATCTTTTCTAAAAAATTATTGAAAAATTTGAAATTTTATTGTTTTGTTTTAACATTCTAATAATTGAATGATTTTATTGTAAGAATATATAGAGTAGCTTTTTAGTGCTTTTCAATAAGAAACACTTCATAATTTGCTTATGTTGCTTAAAAATTTTATTTTTAGAAAATTAATGCACTTAAAGAGCAAGAAACTTAAACATAACTTATTATTCATTTGATTGATTCAGCAATATGCACTAAAATGTCGAGATGATCAGCCCGCCTTCTTAACTCCTGTAGTTGATATCCGGCAGGGTGCAAATGGACTTGAGGAATGCAGAATGGAGTGAGAATGTACATCCCAGAACGATGTCACGATGTCATGAAGCGCGAATTAGCAAGCAAGTGGGAAAGCACTAGGGAAGAAGTTAGTCCTTCAGGAATCACAGTGGACTTTTCGATAAAGTTAAATTAAGATTAAAATTAAATTCAGCTTGGATTAATTTTTAAAATAATGTGAACTGGTCTTTATAAAAGTCACTTTGCTGTTCAATTAAAAAAACTTTGCATTACTTAAGCGCAAATATTCATCAGAATTAATATAAAAATTGTATTGAATCATTGATAAAATTGATATACGTTAAGTGTGGGGTAGATTTACTAATCCTGGTAACTATAACTAGTAAAACATTAATTATAATTATTTACTAATTTAAAGTCCACAGATAATGTATCTCCTCAAGGTGATCAGTCAACTGAATAAATTAATGCCAGCATTTCTATGTAATATCAAAAAGATGTGCAATAGGTCATATAATATCTCAAAAAAGCCAAATGCATTTCTGGAAATGCCAGTTTTTGAAAGCAGCATTCAAATTTAAATTAATAAGTAATTATATTTTTCTATTACAATTCATATGATATCTGAATATTCGTAGCATCTTCATTTATTGTTTTTTTACTTTCCCGTTATATTCTTCCACACTTATCTTTATAATCTTACAAATAATAAGTTATCATGGAAAATCCAATAATTGAAGGCTCCTGCAGAGAACGTGACATATCATACAAGTTTTTAGCCGAACATACTGAGCTAAGTGAGCTTGAAGCTGGAATTCCTTATAAAGAGAAGAAATAAATTGATAGTATTGGACTCCAAGGCGTACCTGATGGGGACTGGCGCGATGGGCAGCGAAAGATGCTCCTAGTGATGAAATATAGAACTATCTTAATGGAAAGCTGCTGAAGCAGAGTTTTTTTCTCCCCCAAAGTTTTTTATTGCCCCTACTCGATGGTCTAGACAAGTTTTGCCTCAATAGTTTCTTCTCACCGGGATCATCAGGGCAGTTTGAGACGGTGGCTCTGCTCTAAACAGCTAATCCTTGTACAACTGGTTCAGGCCAGAAATCCAAAAGAGCAGCGGTCAACTTAGCATATGGCCACCTCAATTTCTCAACTTACTAACTTATAAAGAGTTTTTCTTCCACAGCAAAGCAAGAGATAAAGACTTAGAGTTTCGAGTGCTCAAGCGGATTACGGAGACTCGGAAACATGCAGAATGTCTTGTCGAAAATTCTGCCATGACTTGCTCTATGAACCGTTATGCTGATATTCTTCCATATAAAGACACACTAGTCCACGTTCCAGGCTACTCGTACATTAACGCAAATTTCGTGGATGGAGCATGCTCAGGCTCCGAACAAATGATAATTGCCACCCAGGGCCCGCTTCACAGGACAATGGAAGCTTTCTGGGCGATGGTTTGAGAATATGAGGTTTCCCTCATAATTATGATGTGCAACTTATTAGAAGACGGGATGGTGAAATGTGAAGAATATTTTCCAAGCGAAAATAATATATATTTATATGACAAATAGCCAATAAGAAGCATTTTTTGGGCAGCTAAATAGCCAAATGATCCAAAAATTACTCCTTAATAGGCTATTTATCATAAATTATTATATACAATGCGATGTCTTTGAGATATCACTCGCGAAAAGCACAAATAAATACCCATTTTTGATAGAAAGGGTTCTCATTATGACCCATGTCCCTACTCAAGAAACAAGAATTATCACTCATTTACAAAGCACAGCCTGGCCAGACCAAGGTGTCCCGTCACTTGCTGACGAGTTTAGCTCTATCAATTATATGATTTCGTTGATAAAGAAAAAGTGGCTGGCAAATAGATCAAAAATCGTTGTACATTGCTCTGCTGGAATAGGAAGGACAGGAGTCCTTGTAGGAATTTTTAACGTTGTAACAGCTCTTGAAGAGTTACTTGAAAAAGAAGCTGAAGACGAAAACGTGGAGCCAAGAGTTTCAATTTTTGGAGCGGTAAGAAGACTGAGAGAGCAGCGATGGGGCATGGTTGCGAATGTGAAACAGTATAAATTTATTTATAAGTTTATGGAGTATTGGATCACTTCATTTTTGTCACATCAGCAACAAATCGGACAGTCATTATAATTATGTAATTAATAGATTTATTATATAAAAATGATTTAAAGCGATATAAGAAATGCTAAAATCAATTAAATAGGATGCTCATCGAACTTATAAAAACCTTCAATGACTTTCATAACTCCTAAAACTTCTTCATCCCTACTTGGATAGCCAACAACCTGCAAACAGACTGGAAGCCCTACACTGCCTTCCATAATTTCTTTGCAAGACTTAACTGCTTTGTCTCTACTTGTGCTTTCATATTTGTCTTCTCCTGCTCTAACAGTCCTAACAGGAACTACCCCACACGGATAATCCAACAGATTCCACACAAATGAATAGGAAAATGCCGCTGCTAAAGTTTTTGTCTTGGTGTGCTGAGGAGCCACAAGTGGCCAAATTGGACAAATTAATGCATCGATTTGCAAGGAATTCCAATAGTCGTGGAACTTGTTTTTGAAAACTGCAGAATCATTGAAAAGCTTGCAAAATTCGTCGAGTGAAATGTCACGAGGCAGACCTACAAGTCTTGCTAGCTGCTTATGGCCAAGTAGTCTCAGATACAGAGGAACCAGTGTTTTCATGAATGGGAATCTTGCTTGGAGATCCAAAACCTTGTAAACCCAAGCTGGCTCTTCTCCTTCTAGTTCTTCAGATAAGTATTTAGGGTCTCCTGCATAGGCTATTCTTGCATAGATATCTGTTCCTTCTGAAAACAGATTTCCAGCGTCAAACTCAACCAATTCATGCCCTTCTGCTTCCAATTTTTGTTTGGTTTCCCTGATAATGTCTTTTATTACCTCTGCACATTCGAAAACTCCATTATAATCAAAGTACCCTATCCTTAGCTTTTTCTTCTGTGTATTTTCATATAGCTCTTGGTCGAATTTCATAGGGAACAAATAGCAGTCTTTTTTCCACAGCTGTTCGTTCCACCACGCCTTAAGAACTAGCGTTAAGTCTTCCACACACCTGCCCATAGGTCCTCTTGTAGACTTTATAAGTAGCTTAAAGTGATCAATTTTATTTGGGTGGGTCTGGGCTCCTTCTTTTCCATTAGTTCTCCTTGATGTTGTTCTAATCCCATAAACTCCACAAAAAGCTGAAGGAATCCTTATAGAGCCTCCTATATCACTTCCAATAGCTAAGGCAGCACATCTTGCAGCAACAATTCCAGCGTCACCGCCTGAGCTTCCTCCTACAGTCCTACTTGGATCCCAAGGGTTTTTGGCAACTCCATAAATATTGTTTTCTGTTTCAAACCACATCATAATTTGCAGTGGGTTTCCTCTGACAAATGGAAGCCCACCTGATTCCCTTATCTGAGAAACCAAAGGATGATCAGAAGTATCAACTTTTCCAAGTCTCCTGACAAGGCCTGCAGAGGTGACACAGCCTTTTTGGGAAAAGCTATCTTTTATGGATATTGGAAGGCCATACAAGATGCCTCCTGGGAGGTCTTCAAGTCTATTAATGGCATCAGTGAACATTTCTTCAGCAGTGATTGAGTATTTTCTTCCTAATTCTTGAGCTCTCATAATATAAGTATTGAGAACTTGTTGAACTGTGAGTGAGCCTGAGTTGATTGCTTCTACAATTTGATAAGCTTTCATTGAAAGTATTTTTTCTTTTAGCTCAGGGTCAACATTCAGCTCAAGCCATTTGGAATTTCTTTCCTTTAGCTTTGCAGCTCCTCTTTGTCGTGCTTTTCTTGCTCTTATTTTACGAGCTGCATATTTCAATGCAAAATAGGCAATAACAACTGCAGCTGAAGCAGGAATTAATTCTCTATAGCCTATTTTCATTTTTATAAGAGATTTTTATTAGAAAATATCTTCGCCTAACATTTATTGCATTAATTATAAAGGATATTCGTGGAAATCGTAGTAATTCTCGAGAAGCTTCATCACGCCTAATACTTTTTCGTCAGAGTTAGGAAAGCCTGCTACTTGTATAGCTACTGGCAGCCCAACGCTATCCTTCATAATTTCTTTTGCGATTTTAGCTGAACCATCATTTAATGTTGCGTTATAGATATCTTCGCCTTTTTTGACCTTGCGTACAGGCACAACTCCTGCTGGAAAACTCATGATATTCCAAAAATATAAATAAGAAAATGCAGGGAATAAATACTCAGTTTTGTTATGCTGTGGGGCTACCAGTGGCCATACAGGACAAATTACACAGTCAAATCCCATTTGGTTCCAATAGTCTGTAAATTCTGATTTAAAAAGACATACTTGTTCAGCAAATACACAAAATTCTTTTAAGGTGTAAATTCTTGGTGCGTTAAGTGCTTCTGCAAGCTGATGATATCCTGACATAGAAAGAGCTGCTGGCTCAAACATAGATGAAATTGAGCATTCTGAGCTGATATATTGAGGCTTGAATGGGAATGTAGGGCTTTCTCCTTGTAGCTCATCCACAATTATGCTAGGGTCAATACCAAAAAACAGTCTAGATGCATACTCAAATGCATGCGCAAAGAAATCTGTATTCATTTCTACGAGCTCATGGCCATCATTTTTCAGCTTGTTTACTGTTTCTCTTATTACTGATTTAACAACTTCAGCACAAGGGAAAACTTGATTATCATCAAAATAGGCAATTCGGAGTTTTTTATTAGACATTTTTTCATATGATTTTGTATTAAAAGGCTTGGGGATTACATATGCATCGTATTTCCAAAAATTTTTATCCCATCATGATTTTAAGACCAAGACCAAGTCTTCAACACATCTGCCTATAGGCCCATAGGAGGTTTTTATTAAAATTTCAGTTGGCTCTTTGAGATTGGGGTGGGGGTTTGCCCAATCTCTATGTGTGGTTCTTAAAGGAGTTGGCATAAAAGAATAAACCCCACAGCAGGCTGCTGGAAAACGAATGGAACCAGCTATATCGCTACCTATTCCAATGACTGCAGCCCTGGACGCTACAAGTCCTGCGTCTCCTCCTGAGCTTCCTCCTGTTGATCTTGTGGGGTCCCATGGATTGACAGCAGTTCCATATATATTGTTTGTCGTTTCAAACCACATAGCTAATTGCATAGAATTCCCCCTCACAAATGGAAGTGCACCCTGTCTTCTTAATTGCAGAACCAAAATATTGTCATATGGGTCTTTTTTGTCAAGCCTCCAAGCTACTCCTGTTGTGGACTGGCAGCCATCTTGAAATAGCTCATCCTTAATTGATATAGGGACCCCTTTTAATAGCCCGTCAGGCAAGTTTAAAGTCCTTCTTGATGCATCCTCAAAGACCTCTTCTGCTGTTAAATTTAGGCGTCTGCCTATATCTCGAGCTCTTTCTATATAAGTTGATAAAATTTCATCAGGTGTCAGTTCATTATTGTTTACTGCTTGAACTAATTGAGCAGCATTTAAATTAAGAATTTTATCTCTTTTGGGAAAATCGACATTTTTTGGTACAAAGGCTTTGCAGTTCCTAGAAAGCAATTTATTTTTGCCTTTATTCTTCATTTTTGATTGCTTTATGAGACTCATGCCAATATCTAAGACTGAATAAAGCGCAAAGCCTCCAAGGATTGCCATCGGGATTTTTTCATTTAAATTGAAATTTTCAGCCATTAATTTATATTTTAAATATGGATAATTGAAGGTGAGCTTTTTTAAAAAATTAAATAGATGGATTTTCTGTTATTGAAATGAAAATAACTATATTTTAAATTTAATCTCATAATCATATGAATATTGATAATTTATTTCTTTGCTTATGGAAGTAATTTTTTTGCTTACTACCCCCCGCCTCCGTGAGTGAACAAAACCATTAGAAAATCGCTATTTTTTGCCCAAAAACCCACCCTCCGTGAGTGAAACAAAAATTTTTTTTAATAGAAAAAATTTTTTTATGGAAAAAAATTTTGTAATTAGCATAATGAAATCTAGTGCTAATTCTGTTTAATTTTAAACAAATTGCTTTTTTAAAACATAAATTTTATAAATTAAATTAATATTTGCTTTCCAATTTTTGCGAATTAAGATTTTTTTAAATTTCGAAAAAAAATATTTTTATAAAATTTATATATAAATTTTTTTTAAAAAAAAAAAAAAATTAACCCCCCTCCGTGAGTGAACAAAATTTTTTTATTCACTCACGAAGATGGGGAAAATTAGCTAAAACTATTTAAATAAAATTAATTAAAAAAACAATTCAAAAAAATTGGCTTGCATTTATTAAGCATCTTTCAGAATATAATGATCAAACAATCGCTGTTGCAAAAAATCTGGTTAATTGAAAATTCAGAAAACTTAAACTCCCTCTTTTTTTTAGAAATTTAAAAAAAAATTCCAATTCGTAAAAAATTGGAAAAAAAGAAATTAATTTAATTTATAAAAATTTTATTTTAAAATGCAAGCTATTTAAAATTAAGTAGAATTAGCAAAAGATTTCGTAATATAATTATCCCTTATATATCAAAAATTTTTTCATAAAAAATTTTACATTAAAAAATTTTTATTCGCTCGCAGAGAGTGAGTTTTTGAGCTAAAAATAGGGATTTTTCCCAAGGTTTTTTCGCTCACGGAGGGAAAGTAAGCATTTATAATTTGATCTAAGGAAACAAATGAACCAATTAATTAAAGTTTTCAAGAGTTTATTTAATTTGCATTTGGTTTTATGCCCATAATATATTGACTTATTCAATAATTCATTAGAATAATTACTTATTTAGTTTTTCTAAACCATTTTTATAGAATACAGCTTTTATAAGTGTATTTCTCAATCTGTTTTACAATATAATTATCAAATATAAATAAATGGAAAACTCATCTTTTCTTTTTGCCCAAATTTTGACTACAGTCATATACAATTCAACTACATCAAGAAAAACGATTAAAAAAGAACTCCCTGACATTCCAGTTAATCCAGCTCGCTCTTATTATAACAATGGAATAATCTTATCAGGAGGATTTTTAAAAGGAAATCCATCAAAATCTGTTTATTTTTTATGCTTCACAAATTTATCCTACATCGGCGATCTCCTTACCTCCCGTGTTTACCATTCTCAATTGCTTGTTAACGGGAAGTTATATGTACTCGGAGGCTGTGTCGCAAACAATCTAAGTGTTGCCTATTTCGAATGTTTTGACATTTTATCCAAAAAATCCACATATCTCCCAAGTATTCCTTACACAACAAAGCTTCAATGCAATTGCTGCCTTAATGATATTATTTATGTATTCGGAGGAGATCACGACGAAGCCATAAAAACAATTGCTGCATATACAATTGAAACACAAGTCTGAAGGCTTATCCCAGTTAATTATTCACGCATTAAAGGTGGGATATGTGTGCCGATAGACTCTAGAAACATTTTTGTTTTTGGAGGATGGCAGAAAACTTCTATTTATAATCATCAAAGATTTATTTTTGATACCAAAAATGAAATACTTTTTGATGTCAGATTCCCGATTGAAGCTGAAGTTTATTCTTCTTATTGGTTAGAAGGCAGCAGATTATCATTAAGTGATGAGCTTGGAAGAAGAAGGATAATTTATATTGACGAATTAAGATGAGAAACTTTGTGCGAAGAAGGAAAATCACTGTGAAAAGAAAGAAAAGGGATTATTTATATGCATAAATATTGCAAACAGAAGAAAATTGAGCATGTTTTGACGATTTTGCCTTTTAGTTTATTTAAAGAAATTGCTTTGTTTTTGTAATTACCCTATAAAAATAAATGGTAAAGATTATTATTTATTGCTTTTAAATTTTAATTTAGCTTAAAACTGAAAAGTGCATTAGTTGCTCTGAGTCATTTATATGATTTTGATAGAAACAGTAATCAATATTCAATTTATAAATTATTTTAAATTGTTTTACTATCGCATACTAGCTATAAGTTAAAGAGACTAAATATTATAGTTTTCGTACTTACTTACTTAATTATCTGGTGTTTAAGGTGTCTAGTGCCGCAGCCCAAAAGGGCCTATAGCAAAAACTAGTGACGTAGGCGAGCCATCTTGGCACGGGTCAGCCCCATCCAAGCCTTCTATCAATTCCTGCTTCACTGGCCTTGCTGCACGTCTCACCCGGCGCGTTGCCGTCGCCCTTGTCGCTCGACTCAGCTCCTGCGCGTGTTCCGCCTAAGGGTCATCCTCCCGTGGGGATGTGCTGAGAGGTAAAAGCCCGAAATCTTGAGTGGACTGAGGAGTGGTTCCTCTGGTTATCCCCAGAGTTAAACCGCTATTGCTGTCCCAGAAGTTCTCGAGTGAAAACCTAACCCTATAAATAAAATTCCATGAGGGAGAGAAAATTAGCAGAGCTAATTTCTCTCGAACCGAATGCCATTTTATTTATCATAGTTTTCGTACAATTTTCTTCATAGCTTTACTAATTAAATCAAATCTGAAGTATTTGAAATGGCTTGACCTACCATCAAAATATTCTTCTCCAATGTATATTCCGCATTTATTATAAGATCAGCAGATTTGGCCAGGATCATGCCCTCTAATTATTGAATCTGCAACTCTTTCCCAAGAATATTCATTCCCAGCCTCACTTTCATAAACCATCCCTCCACGAAACTCAATTAAATACAGTCTCCATGCATTTAATAGAAGCTTTTGCTTATTCTCTGTAAAATCATAAGAGATTGTTGAGAAAGAGTCCATATCAATTGAGTACAGCAGCAAGTTTCTATTAAAAAACCCAGAAATCAAGATGTTTCCATTGAAAGCTATGCTACTGCAATGGAAATCTGCTTTTGGCATTGGAGTGAGCTTAATTCACCGATTTTTATCCAAATCAAATCTTTCGGAGAGAGGAGCGCTACTCATTACATTGTATCTTCCTCCAAAGCAATAGACATTTTTATCAAAATAAACAGCTGATGAGCTATAGCAAGGTGTTCCAGATGGCAAAACCCGAGTTCTAAAGCTTTTATCAATTATTAATACCATCCCAGAGACTGGGTTTTCATTTCCAAAGCAGAATAATTCACCATTCGATATTTGGGTTATGCAACTGCTGCGGCATAGTGTTTGAGAGCTCTCTAGAGCTTTTTCTAATTCTGTTTCATACTCAGTGTTATAAACAATCAAACTTGTTTTACAATTCTTGCCTACTTCAGATCCATAATACTCATTATATGTTTTAATTAAGTAGAGAGACGTAGCTTGATGATAAGTAGCGATATAATTATGATAAGCTTCATTTAATTCTAAGTCAAATGGAGAAACCAGGCTCTCATATGCTGATACAATTCTTCTAAAATCTTGCTCAGTTTCTGGAGTATTAATGCTGTTTAAAATTTCAGATGTTTTGGCTTTCTGACTTACTTTAAGCAGGCTGAAAATCACTGCTCGTTTCCTTATAAGCTCTACAGATTGTTTGTAGTCCGGATAGGCATTTTGTATTGCTACTGCTCACGGACGAGAGCTTTCGCTCTATAACTGAAAGTCTGACTAGAAAAGCTTCTAGTTGTTTATAAATTATTTAATGAGAAGCTTATTTATGAGTATTTAAGCATGTCTTTTTTCTTTTCTAATGCTTCCTGTCTTTTCAGTCCTTTCTTTCTTTTATTTAGCATTTCTTGTCTCCACCTGAAGTTCCATTTCTTTTGTAATTTGATTTCAATTTTCTTATTTTTTGGAATAATTACATTTTTCCATACATTTAGTCGCTTAATTGATGCCTCAACTTCATGAATTGATTTTTCTACTATATCAATTGAGTCTAAATCTGGCGAAACGATAAAAGTACTAATATTGCAAAAAACTGATAAAAGCCAATTCATTTGTTTTAGCAAATAATGGAAATCTAGAGGTTTTTTTAAGCTTTCTTTATAAATGCATTCACTGATTTCTGTTTGGAATTTTTCAATGGTAGAGATAATGGTTGAATAATTTTTTGATTTTTCCCAGTCTGCTTTAAGTGCTTGGATATCCTTAGCTCTCGAAGATAAGGAAGAAAATAAAACTAGCTGTGGGATAGAAAAATTTGGTAGTTTTTTTCTGTGTGCTTTTAGTTTTCTGATTTTATAGACTTTATCATGATGGAGCGCAAAAAGCTTGACTTCGGATATCCAAGAAGTGTTATGTTTTACCAAATTTTCTTCTTCGCTTATCATTTCTTGATGAGTAACCAGAATTTCGCCATCTTTTGGAGGTAAAGTCAAATTAATAGCTTGATATTCTTCAAGAGATTCAAAGCTGGCTATTTCCACTATTTCTTGAATATCACTGGTTATTCCTATGAGTTCGAATTCTCTATTTAATTGCATTTTCATCATTGACTCAAATAAATAGTTTGGAGACCCATAACGAACGAGAATAGGCAAAAATTCATAGATCCTTGAGCCTAATTTTTTTTTAGATTTTGCATTTGTATCAGATTTATTAATTTCGCTTAAAGTCTTTACTGTTCATTCAAAAATATTAGCAGCAATCGAAGATCTTTTCCCTTTACTAATCCCTTTTATAATTGCTTCTTTGTGCTTCACTTCTGTATTTTTAGGAAAATACTTATTATGGATTTTAGACAATTTTACAGGTTTACCCAAAGAAATAGCCCAGCAGACCACAGCTTTTTCAATTATTTTGATGACTTTTCCGATTTTCATTTCAAAGAATTGGGCATCTAATAAAGATAAAATTGATGTCGAAATGTCTTCAAAGGCTCCTTGCTCGAAATAGAAGTCAATATCCAAATATGCGACAGTATACTGATAAAATGAATGATTTTTAAAAACTTTTTCATTAGAAGATGATATAATTGGCTTAACTCTTTGTTTTAGCATCTCATGGAAATATGAAGAATATCCTGAGAGTTTGCAGAGCTCATATGAAATTTGCAGTTCTTCTACAATCTCAGCTGAATCATGAGATTTTTCTGATAATTCCATCAATATCTGTGCTTGATTAAGCAGTGCATGTTTCGCTATTTTTGTTATCTTGATTTCATTCTTTGGCATAAATGAGCATTTTTCAATAATTAAATTCAGCACACTATCTTTATTTTCTACAGAGTTTTCTTTATATATTTGGATCTCATTTTCTAGAAATGCTATTTCTTTTTTATTTTGTTCTTTAATAAAATTCAGTGATTCTTTGTCTCCTTCAGCAACACTAAGGATTTTCTCCAGCCTTTTCTTATACTTTATGTGTTCTTTATATTCATTAGACTCTTTTAAGAACGTTGATGATAAACTTTCAAGCTTGTAAGGATTCCCATCAATATGGGAATTAATGAAGTCAATCATCCACAACTCTCCATGCCTATTTGATAATTCAGATATTGAAGCAAGCTGTGACTTAGGGTGAATATTTCTAACTTTTATTATAGAAATAAGCGAGTTAACAACTTCTTTAGAAAATGCATAGGCAATGCTTTTTATAGGGAGAATTAAAAATTGTCCTTCAATGTCGACAACATATACTTTTTCAATATCTGAAACATTGATTGTTTTCAGCAAAATATTGCTTTTATGAAGCAATGCGTGTGATAAGTGAGGAAATACCATTGTCACTGGGGCTGAAATTAACTGGCGGATCCCAAGTGGTGCTAGTATTGCAAACACCAAGGTTGAGTAATGGGAGTCAAGAATTTGATAATTTGAGCTTAGCAATTTTACAATCATACTTGACACCACCAAAATTTCTTGGAAGTCTTTATATGATAAATTTTGCAAGAAAGATTTTAGTGCAGGCTGATAGGCAGATCCAATCAATAATTGAGTAAAAAATGACAGGGCATCCCAAGCTCTCAATTCACTCATAGCTGTTTTAAAAGCTTTACCTTGTAGCACATCTTTAATCAATCCAATGCATTGTCTCAAGTAATTCATGAATAAAGACTCATCCTTTTTATTTATAAATTTCCACAAAATTTCATTAAACACAAAATACTCAGGGAAGCTCGGCATTTTTCCTAAAGAAGCGGCAGAGTTGAATTTTTGAGTAACAAAATGGAGAGCATTAAGATTGCAAACAACTGAATCTAAAGCAATTTTTGCAGCTTTGACTTCTTCTTCATTAGAAGGAGTAACGAAAGGAAGTCACGCAAAGTTTTCTTCATTAATTATCCCCAAATTATCAGGGTTTTCAAATGTTAAATAAATATGTTTGAAATTTTTATAATCCATAAATGAAGATGTCACTGCTAAAGAGTTTTCTTTATCCATGATATACACAGTTTTCTTCCAGTATCCTAACAAAATCAGCCCTCTGAATGACTCAATTCCAAGATTTCGCCCATCAAAAAACCTTTTCAGTGACAAATATTCAGGATTAATCATTTCTAATACATTATGAATAGCTGTATAAGCAATCATTGCTCTTTGGTATTGTGCATTCATAAAAAACGGCCTGCTTATGTCGTGGGGCTTTAATATGGAATTATTGGAATACTTAAAAGCTAATGAAACCACATACCTGCCTATCCTTCCTTCTAAATGATATCTATTGCAGACAAAAAGACACATTTTATACATCCCGAATTCTTCTAAAGTATCCAATATAATTCCTAATAACTCAGGAGAAATTTCATCAAGGTCAATTAAGGATGCCAATTCCCATGACTCAGCGATTTCTTGGGTGCTTACAAGAGACTCTGCTGATTTAAAGTCTTTTAGAAATGAAGACACATCTGTAGAAAACATGCTGACGTATTCAATTATTTTTCGCATGGCTTGATCTTCAATGAAAATGTCAGTTTTGGTATTAATTAGTTTTCCACCTTGATTGAGAGCTGCGGCGTGGACATTGTCGATAATTGAATAATCGGAAAGGACTGTGCCTTCTTTATTGATGGTGGACCCCAAAGAATCTATGACAGAGCCTGAGTCTGATTGAAGCCATTCGTCTTCAGGGTCAATGTCTTGGAGAACTTCATATATTTGGTCATCATCTTTTATTATGCTGAAACTGTCCGCCGAAGAGGATTCTAATAAGCTAAAGGATGCAGCAGATTCTTGGATTAATGAAAAAGATTCTTCTGGCTGTAAAGCTTTAGATGGAGGCTCCTCTTTTTCTTCTTCGCTTTCTTCTGCCTTTTCTTTTTCCTCTGGAATAATATTTTTATCCTCTTCTACAATTCTGTTAATATATTGTGTGTCTTTATCCGCAGTTGGTAGAACCTTTGGAATTAAGGTTTCTAAAGCTACAGGGACATATTTCTTGATAAATTTCTTTCTTTCTTCATCTGTCATGTTATTTCTACATTTATATATGCAATGCACCAATTTATCCCATTTTCTGCCGCATCTATAAGCATCTATAGCTCTTATATATTCAAATTTCTCTGCAAATAAATCACCTGCAGATTCATAAAGTCCACAAGCTAAAAATGCTTCTGCGGCCTGATTATTGAGCCCAATGCTTTGGAAAATATCAGCTGCCTTTTCATTTTCTTTTGCTGAGGCGAAACATCTTGCAGCTTCCTTTAGCATAATTCTCTTTTCATTTTCATCAATTTCAGAGAGGCTTAAAAATTCATTTCCAGCTGAAATAAAATCATTTCTTGCCTTTTCTAGTATTTCTCTGCGTTGTTTCTTTGAACTCTTACTACTATTTCAAGCTACTGAATTTTTTCCGTAGCATGTCTTTCGGCCTTGATTTCTTTCCAGAGCTATTTGTCCTCTTTATTTGCTTGGCAAAAATCATTATTTTTCAATCAAATGCTTGAGGAGGAAAATTTTTGGGTAAAATAATGTTGAGGAAATTCTTGAAAATAAAAAATATCTCCGAGGATAAGAATTTATATTTTTCCTTCTACAGCAACAAGAAGTTCAGAGGCCTGGGTAGCTTTAAGATAAGCCAAAGCTTTTCGCTCTAATATAATATCATCAGCAGCTCTGAAACACTTGGCAGCTTGTTCATAGAACTGATGGGACATCATTCTAAGCCCTTGCTCTGTCCATTCTTCTTTAGTAGACGATTTTGCAAAAGTTTGGAATAATGAGCCCTGTAGCTCTTCTGATGTTTGGAATGAAGAAGATCCTATTTTCTGCCAGAAACTTTGCATTTTGTCCCTTATTTCTGGCTTGTCATCATAAATAATCAGTCTGACTTTTGGCCTTGTGATGGCTACATATAATTGTTTTAGTTCAGTGCACAATAGTGAATATTTTTTTATATCTATGACCTTGCTGCATGATAACTTAGGGGTTTGGTTTTCTAGGTCTTCTAAACTACTTGGCTTATAATTAGGGTCATCTTGAATTTTTCCAATATAGTCTAAAGCTTTTCAATTTTTTATTGGCATTTCAGAATCAGTAAAGAAATTATAGAGAATTACATCGTCAAACTCTAGCCCTTTGGCTTCATAAACAGTCAAACACAGAGCTGATTTAAGCGATCTGTGAAGCTTCAATTTGGATTCTTGATTTCTCACAATAATAACTTGGTTGCAGCCGAATTGGATATTTGAAGCTTGAGAATTTTCATTATAGCCCTAGCCTCCTTTTGGCTTGGGCTATACAGATCTCCTGATGTCGGAATGGTAAAACCAACTCCCAGATGACAAATCCACTCTGTATTCGAAATTTGCCATCTGGGGATTAGTTTCAACTAATCCCTCTTTCAAATTCGGGAGAAATCAGGATAGTCCGAGCCAAAAGGAGGCTCGGCTATACTGGTAAATAAAAAATTCAATAAATCATCTGGGCTGCCACTGTTTATGATAATAGGATGAGGACCATCTTTTAAGCTTTTTTCTCTCCCCATCTTATCGATAGTAGCTGGGAATAAAGTTTCTAGTAGTGCCACAACTGAATTGGCGAGTTCTAAGATTTGATTGTGAGATCTGAAATTTATAGTAAGCTGTATTACTTTAGGAGGGTTGATAGCAGACTCATAATACAAACTTTTTAAGTCGCAAAACCTGAAGCCAACACCTTTGGCTATTGTTTGTGCAGTATCTCCTGAAAAAAATAATTTCTGGCCTGTAACCTCAAGCAGCAAAGTAAGTGTTGCAGATGTCAAATCTTGGACCTCATCAACCATCATATAATGGATTGGAATTCCTTTATACCCATGGTAATGAATTTCACACAAAATATAGTTTACTATGTCCTGAAAATCATAGCAGTAGGATTCTCTTTTCATCGTTTCATAAGCAATGAAAGCTTTGTATATTTCTATTTTTTCTTCTTTTGTTAGATTTGATGATTTTTTACTTGCAAGAAGATATTCATCTAATGTGAGGTAAAAGTTTCTAGATAAGTACGACTTTGGGCTTCCTTTGATATAAGCTGAAAATTCTGTCCATAAGACCAATGGTGAAAATTTACCTCGCCATGACAAATTTGGCCAAAAACTTTCAGAAAAATCTTTAAAATCAACTTCCCGGCTTCTCAGATGTTGTTGATAATAAGATTCTGGCATATAATTTTTTTTGCTTTCTTCGACAAGAAGGTCTTCATCAGAATCTGAGTCATCACTCATAAATTCAGACTGCTCCCTTTTTTTCTTTTTATAGGCTTTTCCAATTTCAAGCGCACCCATCAGTTCATTATGCCACTCAAAATTTGAAGAAGATCCTATCACTCTTCCATTTTTGTCCCTCGAAAAAAACGGTCTGTCTGACTCTCCTATATAACTATTTAAAATATTTTTGAATTAAAAATTAAATAATAATATTTTTTGAAAAGAAAGAGTAAGCTTCCGTCAATCATTAAAACTAGTTTCCTAATAGTAACGAATAATGGAAAATCGTTATCTGTAAGCAATTTCATAGAATGTGGGCCTGAAGTTATTTCTTCTTCTATTTCTTCAGCCTGTGAAAGTTCAGAGACTTGCCTTTCTAACTTGATTTCTTCTACTTTTTCTTCTTCAAGATCTGGCTTTGCTGCTCTCTCTTTGGCCTCTAAGCCATTTTTGATTAGTTTATTGAGTTTGCTATAATAAATCTTAACTTCATTTGTAAGGACTGGAGAGGCAGTGACAAAAATGAAATGTAGAGATGAAGGCTTATCTACATCTTCTGCTCTCAGCTTTTTCTTTTTTAGCATTTTATATCTAAAAAGAATTTCAGCTGAAAACATACGTAGCAGTGAGCAAGTGGTTTTTCCTGTTCCAGACCTTCCTATAGCAAGAACATTTCCTGGAGTGCTGATAAGTTCTAGTTCTTCTTCTGTCAGCTTTAAAGCCATGTTAGGAAGAGTCTTCAGAAGTCTAATGAAGTCCTTTCCGCTATTTTCTTCACTTACTTCCACGTGCTAATATTATATTCGCTAATAAATAAGATTTAAATAAACAGTTTTTTATTTTTAAATGAAAAATGAATTAAATACTTGCTAAAATTTATAGATTAATAATAAAAATATTTAAGTTATTAAAATAAAAGAAAGCTAGAAAACTATTTTGATCACAAATCCGATAAAAGAGTGGAGATTTGCTTTTATCAAATGGAGAATAAGTTAGATTTTTGACTAAGTTATTTTTAAAATTTTCATTTTTCTCTCGATTCTCCAAAATAGCTCGGTCCTTTCATACCCATCTTCCTGTACTTGCATCAAACTGTATACTTGCTGATTCCTCTTCAGTCAAAAACATTTGTGGGATTATTAATGGATATCATTTATCTGTAGCATATCTTAATTGATTAGAAATACTTAAGTCTCCAACCCATTCAGAATATTCAATCCATTTGTCAGGGTCCTCACTGATTTCGTCTGAGAATTTCTCTATCAATTCAAGTGTACCATAATCGCTGTCAATAATTTCAATTAGTTTGATATAGTGCTCATGTGAATACTCAACAACTTTACCATTTTTGACAATTGGAATTCTCTCAATCAAGCATGCACCAACTCCATGCCACTCGATGTCATAATAACCATAATTCACATTATAAAATGGAAATGAAAAATATACCATTCCAATACAAGGGCCATTTTTCAAGATTCGGCAATTATAATCATCAGATATATACCCAAGGCTAAACTCGATCATTTTCTTTAGTAGCGTACTTTTCATATCTTTAGAAAAATCCTTGAATCTCAATAAAGCTCTTTCAGAAATTCGAAATCTCCAAGGGATCTGGTTAATGTCTTTGAAGATATCACGAGATTTTCAGAACTCAGCTCTCATTTTTAGATCTGTGATGTTTTGTGGTTTCCAGAATGAGATTTCGCCTGTGAAGCGGTCTTTTTCGTATTTCTCGATCTCATACTTAAGATAGGTTGTCCAAATTTCGAGAGGGTCATCCATAATTTCTTTGTAATTAATTGGCATATACGAGCTAAAATCATGGTACATCTGCCATAGGTTGTTGATCATCTTACTATATACCTCGTTAACATGGCCTACAATGATGCCTTTAATGTTAGAATAAGCCATAGTATCTTGGCCAAGGACAGTATTGGTTTGCTTTTTCTTGAACTTTTTAGAGGCTTCCATAATATATTGTATCGGCACCGATTTATTTCTAAAAAATATGGAAATTATTAATTAATAAAATGCAATCTGGGAATATCTAATGAAACAAAACAATAAACTAAGCAAAATAATTAATCAATAAACGCTTTATAGATATCATTAATTTGTTCAGGCGATAGCTCAAATTTTTCAAGAAGGAGCCTTAATTTCTGCCCATAAGTGATTCCTCTTTTCCAAACTCTGGATGGGTTGATTGATTTATTGAGGTGTTTATAAGTCTGAATCAATTTCAAAGCTCTTTTTATTGCATCCTGGCTAAGCGGAGTCTGCAAGTAAGAGTACCTAATAGAAAACGCAGGATGATGCCCTACTCGCTTGAGTTGCTCATTATTGACTTGTACATTGAAAAGCGATAAAATCCCTTCAATTTTTGAAGTAGATAGATAAGGAGTAATAATGCAGCCAATAAACATGCTCTCTGAAGCTTTCTGATAGCTTAGCTGATTATCAATATCCAGTCGAGATGGGTCAGGATCAAAAGTTGGGTGAGAATGATATCACCCAACGATGTTCAGTCCTCTTTCTTCTATTTCTGACCTAACGTTCACAGCGCTGTCAATATCCATTTCCACATTTATGCGACCGTTTTCATGGTCAATTTCTTTCACTGGGTAGGCGGACTCGATTTCGAGTGAGCCATCAGTGAGTTTTCCAGCCATTCAGCCAATAATTTCATGGTGATATAGATGGGCATGCAAGGACATCATGAAGTAGGCTTCTTTGTGAATTGTTACGGAGATCATTGATGAGGATGCAGCAATAAGAGGAACTAGTTCATGTAAACTTTGAGTCCTTGTGAGTTTTGGGAATCGGGGCTTTCTAACTCGTTTTGCTGGTAAAATTTCTGTTTGTGAAGTTGGCGCCTTGGTATCAGTCAAGTTTTCTGATTGATGCTTTTCAGAGGGAAAGTCTTGCATATTGATATTTATTCTATTTAAATTATTAGAAACGAAGCAGATATTGATATAAAGTGAAGAATATAGCTTTATTAAATATTCCTGTAGCAGCTTTCAGAGGAGCCTAGATAGCGCACATTGATAAGCATCAACTCAAATAAATCGAATTTTGCCTCGAATCTAATGAAAAATAAGCTAACAAACTGGTATGATATTATCAGTGATCAATAAATAATCCAAGATGAAATATAAAATGGAATCTATGATAGGAAGAAGAAGTTGCAGAAAAATATCAAACTCTAGAAAGGTTCTCACACTTAGTTATGGGAATTTATGGGATTTACTGAGTTCTCAGTTTTATTTTTTGATTTTGACCTATCATAATTTACTATTGCATACTTTCCATATGCATCAGCTCATTTAGTGCTATGCTTATTGCTGTATTATATTGATAAAACACCGCAAAGCTCAAGCCAATATTTTCGATTGCATTTTCAAAGTACAATTGTACAATATGGTGACTCACGGGATGAGTGACTATTGATTGCACTATTATCATTCTCCTTTATAACCACTGTGAATGGCATTTAATACCAAGTGCTTGAATCAAAGATTTAGTTTTACTTAAGCAAATTTGCAAGGCTTTTAAATTGTAACATTGATGAAATGATTGGCAAGCTGTCAAAAATTGAATAATGCCAAGGCAAAAAATACTCTCATATGTCAGATCCCAATTTATTGATTGATGATATTTATATGATAAGAAATTTTCAGATAAATCAAGAAATTTTACTGGGTTAAACATAATCAAAATATGGTGTCGTTCGAATTTTCTATTCTCTTGAGCAGAAATTTATCCTTGGCCAATGTTTGGATTAAGCAAACATTTGTAATGGAGAGGTCAAAAAGTATTGTGGGAGAATAGTGAAGCCAATTGGTAACAGTAAGGGATTCAAATCATCTGATTGAGCTAGAACAGACAATATCTGATAATAAACTGAAAAATATTCTACTGAGATCTGCTTCAAATGCCGATAAATGCAATATCCTTTCTTTCATGGTTACTATTAGAAGAAAATGATATTAAAAACAATGCAAAATACAGCGAAAGGCTCGATATATATTCTGTTCCATCTAAATTACTCATATCGCTTATCAATGATTTATTGGATTATTCAAGAATTCTTGCTGAAGTTTTATCAATATAGCTCTTAAAAGCAGATCAATTTCATAGTGCCTTACCGGTTGCTTCACTTTTAATAAAAAATAAACTGGGTATTAAAAAACAAAATAATCAGCTCTCATCCCCTATTTGATTGCTAACTCTGTAATAAAATAATTTTTTATTAATAAGTGTGATTAATAACGCAATAAAGCTTATTAAAAATTCAAGCAGAAAAGAAGGAATCAAGACTCTTATGAGATTAGACCCTGAACTCCAAAATTTATATATTCAGCTCCTCTGCGAATAAGAAATTGAGAAGTAAAAGTTAATTAATTTAAAATATTTATGTTTTAAAATGCAAGTTGTTTAAATTAACAGAATTAGCTAAAGATTTCATTATACTAATTATTATTATATATAAAAATTATTTAGAAAAAATTTTTGTTCTCTTATGGAAGGCGGGTTTTTGGGCAAAAATAGGGATTTTCCAATGGTTTTGTTCGCTCAAGGAGGAAGAGAGTAAGTAATTTATTTTGTTGGATTTCGATACATTGAATATTTTCATGACTCCCGATAGAAAATCATATCGATAAATTTTTGCTAAATTTATATTAATGATATTATAAATTTATCAAAGAATTTTCAAGATTTCTTAAAATAAGATTCAAACAAACGAGCTGAGAATTTTCAATTGTATAGTAATTAATAATATAATAAAAATCAGGATGAAGCCAAATTTTATTTTCTGTTAAGTTATTCATAAATTTTTAATAATCTTTTATTCAGATAAATTCATTAATTATTGTTTTTCGTCCCATTTAATTGAATCTATTGATATTAACGCCAATAAGCTTAACAATTATAAATTTTTATTTTATTTTTAATAAAACTGTATAGGCTAAACAGTGATTATTAAGTGAGTCTCCATAATAGTTTATTCAGAGCATATTAAATTAAAACATAGATCCCTAAAATCAAGCTCATAATTAATATTAATTTTATTTTTTGCTCAATTTTTATCGATTACTGGCGATAAATCAATATAATGGATAAATTGAGAAGTGCCTGGTGGGAAGAAGAGATAGTAGAAAACTACAACATTCTAAAAAAATTTAATTACCGGCGACTTAAACTTTCGATCACATCATTGTGCTTGTTTTCAATGGGATATTTTATCCTCAGTTTTATAGCTCAGGAGAGATTTTAGATCGCCCTGGATATGAAAATGCTAGGAAAACTCTCCAAGTTAGTTTTAAACTCAATTTAACGAAAAACTAGGAGAGTTTACAAATACGCCTGATGCGAGGCATTTATTAGCTCCTCAAGTTAGTTTGTCAGCTTGAGTTGAAAAACTAACTTTAGTTTTCCAAGATTTTCCTATCCAGGGCGATCTAAATCGCTCTTGAGCTATAAATGCTGAAATTTCGTAATGCTAACTTTTCAAATGACTTTTATGCAGCTACTTATATATTTTTTAGTGTTGTTTTTCGAAAGAAGAGGGGTTTTTGCTAAAACTATATTTGCAATCGTACTTTCTGAGTATAATTGTTTTGTTTGGTGGTTAATGGGAAGAAGCCAATATAGATCTGCAAAATTATTATTATCAAATGTATCGCTTTCATACACAAATATTTTTGAATGGCCTTTCATTAGGAATCCTTATTTAAGGGTAATTATAATGGTAAAGCACATACTTTTCTGGCATTATTCCAGCTATTTTGAGTGAGAAGAGACTGAGAAAGAGCAGCTTATGCCTCACCTGATATCCTTTTTATTAATATGGCTATCTGACTTATACCATAGAAATATCAAGGCGAACTCTTATGAAAGGTTTTTGTCAAGAAAACATCTTGAAAGTGCAGAAAAAAGGCTGAGTGTCATTTTCAATTTATTTCCTGATGGAATTTTAATTATTTCTGGAGAAAAAGAAATTTTATATGTAAATGCTATCATAACTAGATATTTAAATTGTGAAAAATGACAAATAATGGAAACTTTATCATCAATTGAATATTGCCAAGGGAAAAAATACTCACTTTTATCAGATTCTAACAAATTAATCGATGATATCCACCTAGTTACAAGCTTGGAGCTCAACCAGCAGGTGCTGCTTGGACTAAGCCAAACTGAAACATCAAATTTGGAATGGAGAGCACAAAAAGTACAGTGAGATGACCAAGAAGCTACTTTATTGACAGTTAGAAATGCAAATCACATCATAAACTTGGAGCAGTCAATCTCAGACAACAAACTGAAAAACGTACTGCTGAGATCTGTATCTCACGAATTGAGAACTCCTATAAATGCAATTATTTCTATGTCTGAATCATTAAAAACAGAGCCAGAAGTATCTGGAAATGAGAGTTTTAAGGAGAAATTGGCCATTGTCTTTGTTTCTTCAAAGCTGCTGCTTTCTTTGGTGAATGATTTATTGGATTATTCAAGAATATTAGCTGGAGCTTTTTCCATTCAAAAAAGCAAATGCTTATTAAGAAGTATAGTCTATGACTCTGTCAATTTGGTAAAGATCCAAGCTGAGAAAAAAGGACTAAAAATACTTACTTCTCCCCTCCGTGAGCAAACAAAATAATTTTTGTTCGCTCAGTGAGGGGGGTTAATTTTTTTTTTAAAAAAAATTTATATATAAATTTTATAGTAAATTTTTTTCTACAAAATTGAAATAATTCTAATTTGTAAAATTTGAAAAGCAAATATTAATTTAATTTGTAAAATTTATGCTTTAAAATGCAATCTGTTTAAAATTAACCAGAACTAGCAAGAGATTTCATTATACTAATTATCCTTATATATCAAATTTTTTTTTCATAAAAAAATTATTGTTATTTCACGGAGGGGAGGGAGTTACAAGGATTGACTCGAATCTCCCTGCATATATTTATACAGACCCTTTAAGACTGAGCCAAATGCTGCTCAACCTCCTCAGCAACGCTTTGAAGTTCACTCTTAAAGGATGAATTGAAGTGTGCTGTGTATTAGTTTCCAAAGGAAAGCTCAAAATAATTGTTAATGACACTGGCATTGGCATTGAAGAAGGCAAGCTCTCCACGATCTTCAAAGAATTTAGCACTCAATTAAGCGCAACAATAAATCCATCAGGTTGTGGACTCGGATTATTCATTTCGAACGCAATTTCAAAGGAGCTCGGCTCTCAGCCAATAGAAGTCCGTTCAGAACTTCAAAAAGGATCCTCATTTAGCTTCTCAGTTGACATAGGTGAAGAGCCTGCATCTGAAGAACCTTTGTTTGAAGAGTTTAATACACCTATAGTTTCTGAAGATCTTCCTTTATTCCAAGTCAAAGATTTCAGTAAGCTTATTGAAAAAGAATTCCCAAAGGTCTTAATTGTCGATGATAACGATTTTAATAGAATTGCTGTTGGAACTTTGCTGCTTCATTATGGGATTTTGTTCACTGAGTGCTGCACTGGAAAAGAAGCTATAGCAGCAGTAGAAGTGAGTGACAAAAAAAAGAAGCCGTACAAGCTGATTATTATGGATGGAAGCATGCCTGAACTAAATGGCTGAGATGCAGCCAAAATTATACATCAATTATACTTTGATGGCAAAATTGAAGTCCTGCCAATAATTATTGGATACACTGCGTTTAGTTCAGAAGAAGAGCTGAATTTGTGCACAACTTCTGGGATGAAAGAATGTCTGATTAAACCTTGCAATCCTGAAGTTTTGATTGGTAAGGTTTTGCACTATTTGTCGACATAAATGAAACAAAGATATAAAATGTAGTGCTGAAATATTTAAAAAATAATTGAAAAGCCCAATTAAATTTTAAAAAATGGTAATCATAGAAATTTTTAAAATAAGGCTTAGGTAAACAATTAAAAGTTATTTCAATATAACATCAACAAACTTTAAATCAGTTAAGCAATTTTAAAAAATCAGATTTATGAATAGCTTTTTAAACATATAAGATATAATATCACTTTCTCTCCTCATTCGCAGTATCTCTCTATTAAAAATTAGGAGCAAAGTCTAGTATTCATACTCAAAAATAAAACGTCATAATAAAAGAGTTCTAAAGTCTCAATCAAAAACAATAAATTAATTCCGTGAGCACAATTATTTTTTATCTATCTATTAAATACAACTTAATGTCTTATATTCTCGAAATTGTTAATAAATTTTAAAATTTATTTTCTGTTTTATAAATAATTAAGTATCCATTTTAGATATAAGACCTTTTCCAATCTTTTAAAAACTTCTTTCTAGAATTTAACTGCCCAATCTAAATCATAAAAAATTTTATTATTATTTATATATTTTTATGGAAAAATTGCAAGCTATTTGGTGAGAAGAAGAAGTGAACGAAAAATATTTGATTATAAAAAGATTCAATTATTCAATTTTGTGAATGATGGGCGCTATATTGACATTTCAACTGCTCTTTCTTTCAGAATGATACGAGATAACTGTAAAATATGCTCCTTTCAGTTTAATGCATCTGCTTATATGCTTTCTTATAAAAAAACTGGAAAATCGTAGTGTTTCTGAAAAATCAGCTTTTTCTGTAGTTCTTTCAGAATTCAATTGCGTTGTGTGGTGGAGAATGAGCAGAATCGAGTGCCGAGACTGCGAAATTTTACTCTCAATCCTTTCTTTCACCTCTATTAACATATGTGAGTGGCCTTTCATTCAATCCAGCTTTAAAAGAAACATAGTATTATTTAAGCATCTCTTTATCTGGCATTACTATGATTATCTTACAGGAGATATGACAATCAATCAGGATTCCTTGCCTATGATGGTTTCTGGCTTAGTTATGCTTTTATGTGAGCTACATTGATGGCAAGTCAGGGATGGCTCATATGCGAGGTTTCTATCAAGGAAAAAGTTTGAAAACGCTGAAAAGCGCCTAAATTTGGTCTTCAACTTATTTCCTGACGGTATATTGATAATGTCACACAATGGAAAAATTCTATATTCCAATGAAAATCTAACGAGACTTTTAAGCTGCAGTCTTAGCCAAGTTTTCGCCATGATCTCTTCAATGGAGTACTCCCAAGGCAAAAAATACTCAGGCCTAACAAATTCAAATAGGCTCATTGACGATATTAATTTGATTCCAAGTCTTCATCTATACCAAGAAATTGTCTTTGGGATCTGCAAAGTTGGCCCTTCAAATTTAGAATGGAGAGGACAAAAGGTGCTATGGGAAGACCAAGAATCAATTTTATTGACTGTTCGGGATGCGAATCAGATCATACAGCTCGAACAAACTGTTTCTGACAACAAACTCAAAAATGTCCTTCTACGATCTGTTTCACACGAATTGAGGACTCCAATAAACGCAATTGTGGCTTTGGTTGATTCTTTAAAAGAAGAAATCGAAATTGTTAGTAATGAGGACTTTAAAGAGAAGCTTGACATCATTTCTGTGTCTTCTCAGCTTTTATTGTCATTAGTGAATGATTTATTAGATTATTCAAGAATTCTTGCTGGAGTATTTTCTATTCAAAAATCAAAATTCTCGTTCAGAAACCTAATTGGAAGCGCAATACAGCTAGTAAAAATTCAAGCTGAGAAGAAAGGACTAAAATTAATTACTCGGATAGACAAGGATCTGCCAGCTTATGTATTTACCGATCCTTTGAGGCTAAATCAAGTGCTATTGAACCTCTTAGGCAATGCTCTGAAATTTACTCTGAAAGGCTACATTGAAATCTGTTGCTTGCTCGCCAGCAAAAATAAAGTAAAAATAATTGTTACTGACACTGGTATTGGAATCGAAGAAAGTAAAATGTCTAATTTATTTCAAGAATTTAATACCAATCACAACAGAAATTTAAATCCTTCTGGATGTGGCCTTGGCTTATTCATTTCTAACGTGATTGTCCAAGAGCTGGGGTCAAAGCCAATAGAAGTGGAGTCTAAGCTTCATGAAGGCTCATCCTTTAGCTTTATAATCAATATTTCAGAAGAAAATTTCAATTTTGATGATTTAGAGTCTGTATTTACAGACGAAAGTATTTTAGAAAGCACCAGTCCAATATGAGTGAAAGATTTCACTGAACTCCTGGAAAAAGAGTTCCCACAAGTTCTTATTGTCGATGACAATGATTTTAATAGATTTGCTTTGGGCACGCTTCTAAATAATAATGATATATTATTTTCAGAGGCTTGCACTGGAAGACAAGCTATCAAATGCGTAAAAGAAGCTGATGAAAGAAGCAAACCTTATAAGCTAATTATTATGGACGGAAGTATGCCTGAGTTGGATGGGTGAGAAGCTACAAAATTAATATTTGAAATGTATTATAGAGGGGAGATTCACAGCTTCCCAATCATTGTTGGCTACACAGCTTTTAGTTCGGATTTAGAAATTTCAAAATGCATTGAAAGTGGAATGAAAGAATGCATTATTAAACCCTGCAAAGCAGAAATTCTTATTCAAAAAATCGCAAAATATTTATTTATGTAGATATATAAAATCGTTTTAAATAAAAATTTATAATTTGAACAGGATGCAATTTTTTTCATTTGAGACGGTCTAGAAAAATCAGAATATTCCAAGAAACAAAAGATTTTGTTTACTGAAATAGACTGGATTCAAAAATAAAAAGAGCCTAATGCATTCGAATTAAGTTAAATTTTAGTTGCGTATCTGAGCTGAGGCAAGTATCGAAATACATTTCATGCTTTTCATTATAATAAGTTTCTTATAAACTATTTTCTTATTTTTTAAATTTTCTATTATAAAAAATAAATAAAATCAACTTTCTTGTTGCTCTACTATAAGTCTTTTCAAATTTCTTCCAAGCCTGCATATTAAAATTTTAAATAATCTGAGCAATAGATATTCTGAGAAGATTAATAATATTGACTATTTCGGATTTTTTTTTATATAATATATAAATGGATAGACTCAAATCTTTATGGTGGCAAGAAGAAGTAGACGAAAAATACGAGATCCTCAAACGATTCAACTATTCCCGATTTTTTCTAGTTCTAATTTTTTGGGCAGTGATTTGAATTTTGCAGTCAACAACTCAAATTAGATGGCTCAGACTTGAATGAATTCATTTTATTTATGCCATAGCTCAATTAGCAGCATGCTTTTTAATAAAAGTTTTAGATAAAAGAGGAGAGCATTGCAAGTCAGTTTTTGCAATATTACTTGCAGAATGTAATTGCTTAGGGTGGTGGGCTTTAGGAACTTATAAATACAAATCTTCGAGGATTTTGTTTTCTAATTTATCACTTGTTTGCATTAAAGTCTGCGAATGGCCTTTCATTCAAACATCGTGGCTTAGAATTTTTATTATTTGCAAGCATTTAGTGATGTGGTATTATATGAGCTACTTCAATGGGGAATTAGATTTTTCTGCTGATACAGTTCCTCATCTAATAGGATTTTTGACTATTTTCCTTTGCAATATCTATTGCCAGCAAGGTAAAAAAAATTCACTAGAAAGATTTCTCTCAAGGAAAAATCTTGAAAATGCCGAAAAGCGACTGAGTGTCCTTTTTAACCTTTTCCCTGATGGTTTACTGATATTATCAAATCTAAAATCAATTTTATATTCCAATGTGATCTTGACAAGGCTTTTGTCTTGTGATATCGACGAAATTGTCCAAAAAATATCTGAAATTGAGTATTGCCAGAATAAAAAATACTCGAATTTGTCAAAGTCTAATAGACTGATTGATGATATTGATTTAATTCATAAATTGCAGTTAAACCAGCAGGTTGTTCTTGGCCTAAGCCAATCAGGCGATTTAAATTTAGAATGGAGAGCTCAAAAAGTGCTTTGGGATGAAGGGCAAGAAGCGATTCTGCTAACTGTAAAAGACGCAAATCACATTATCCAGCTAGAGCAAACCCTTGGTGATAACAGATTGAAAAACGTGCTTTTAAGGTCAGTGTCTCATGAATTGAGAACCCCAATTAATGCGATCACATCTTTGTCAGACTCTCTTATCAGTGAAAAAGAAATATTATGCAACGAAAAAATTTCTTCGAAATTAAATGTCATCTCAGTTTCCTCAAAACTTTTACTTTCACTAGTAAACGACTTATTAGATTACTCAAGAATTCTAGCTGGAGCCTTTTCTATACAAAAATCAAAATTTTGCTTGAGAAGCGCGGTTAATGATGCAGTACAGCTGATAAAGCTTCAGGCTGACAAGAAGAACTTGAAAATAATTGTGAGAATCGACCCCCAAATTCCTGATTATATTTATTCAGACCGCTTAAGATTTAGCCAAATCCTGCTAAACCTCTTATCAAATGCACTTAAATTTACATTGTCAGGCTATATAGATATTTGCTGTTTACTCAGCTCTGAAGGAAAGCTGCATTTGACAATAAAAGATACAGGGATTGGCATTGAGAGCTCTAAACTTTTCAATATTTTTAAAGAATTCAATACTGTTAATAACCCAATTTTAAATCCTTCAGGATGCGGGCTGGGTTTGTTTATATCAAACATAATTGCAAAAGAGCTAGGAAATGAGAAATTTGAAGCCCAATCAGACCTCGGTAAAGGGTCGTGCTTTGGCTTTTCGATTGATATTTATGAAAGCAAAACATTAGTAGAAAGTCGTGAATATGAAGAATTTGAGATTTCGTCAGAGGATATCTTGCCAGTACAAATCAAAAACTTTAGTGAAATCATAAAAAAGCAATACCCTCAAGTCTTGATTGTAGATGATAACGAATTCAACAGAATTGCACTTGGAGCTCTATTGAGTCATTATGAAGTTTTGTTTGAAGAGTCTTGTACTGGAATGCAAGCTGTAAAGAAGGTAAAAGAAGTTAGTCAAAAAAAGAAGCCATTCAAACTAGTGATAATGGATGGAAGTATGCCAGAGCTCAACGGATGGGACGCTACAAAAATAATTCATCAGCTTTACTACGAAGGCCAAATTGAGAGCTTGCCTAGTATTATTGGATACACAGCATTTGGCTCAGACGCTGATGTATCTTTGTGTATAAATTCTGGAATGAAGGAATGCCTTATAAAACCTTGCAGTCCAGAAATATTAATGGAAAAAATATCAAAATATTTATATATGTAAATAATTAACATATTATGAATAATACGCCCTACTTCCCAAATAAAGCTTATTTATTCTGATGGTATTTAAATATTCATTTTTGCTTATCAGAAATTTCCATTTTTATAAAAGCCATTTATTAAATAATATACTTCTATTGTATTTCTTGAAGAGAATTTACTAATTTTTTATGGTTGTACTTTAATATGTAAATCAAATGTTTTTGCTCTGCCAAAGCTTCCATCTTGCGTAGCTGCAACAAAATTTCCATTGAGAATAATTGCAAAGTTATTGTCAGCTGCAATGGTAAGGAGAGAAGAAGTTGGAAATCCAAAGATATCGAATTCCTTGGCTCCATGTCAATTGACCTGCACCCATGACTCTTCACCACCTGGATTTTCTATTAAAGTGCTTTTCCAAATCCATTTTGCGCCAGGAATTGAATTCCATGCTGAATGAACCCAAGTTCCAACTGATTTTCCAATATAACGAGAGCCTTCGATAGTTCATGACTCATCGCTAACAATATCAATGCTTCCAGCTGAAACTGGAACAGCTGATGAATGAAGTAAAGCGAAAAGAGCTAATAGTGCCCAAATCTGATTCATATTTATTATCAAAAAAATGTTACTATGTAAGGAAGTTGCAGCAGCAAAGAGCTGCCCCTAAAATCAATGATTTAAGGCTAGATGTCTTTTCCCGAGATTATTTGGTCGAAAATTTTTTCTAATAATCGATTTTCTACGGCAAATATTCGATGAGAAAAAATTTTCGATTAAATGCCCTTGGAATGTCTGCGAGGAAAAAATTTACGGCCAAAAGGCTTGCTGCTGATTTTAAAATGGAATGCCCACCTTGGTTGCAATAATGGCAAATGCCATCCTCTATGTAAGAAAGTCTTTTGATTTTTTGCATTTAGCGATTCTTACTCTATTTTGTCTTGCATTTTCTTGTCTCTCCGTTGCTGTTTTGCTGCGATTTATTATATTTAGCAGGCTATTTTCAGGATTTTCTCGAATGGTTTCTGCATGTACTAAATTGCATCCTTAATTCCAATAGCCAGGTGGGAGCCTCATGAGCTTGTGGAAGGGAGAGCAGCGTTCGGTATGTGTGCCTCGCCAGGTTTCTCTTGGTCTACTGGAGCGCAATGGTGAGTTGGCCAACCGCAAACTCGCTTCAAGAGCAAGGTTTTACTGCGAGAGAGGGTATATATAAAAATGGGACTTGCCTTTCGACCTCTCAACCCTATTTCCTCAACACTCGAAGGCAGCGGCCCAGTGATGGGGATTCAGGTGGAAAGGGGTCGGAAATCCTTTATGTATGTTGGGCTAGATTTTACTCGGCCTCCATATAGCTAATCCATAGGACTTGCGTGTAGGGTGAAAATCCCCGGTACCTGCTAGGCAAAAAGAAAATCTTAATCTTACCTCGAGAGAGGTGGAACTTGGAATTTGGAAATGAATAACCCAGCAAGAAAGGAGGACGTCTGATCAACCAATCGGGTATTGTCCCAGCTCGATACCTGGAGTTTCACCCTGGGCTACCGACCAGAAAATTCACTTTTTGAATTTTTGGAAAGGTAACCCCATCGACTTACTGTGCACAGTAACCCAGAGTCTTTATCCGGGTAACAAGTGTAGGCCCTTGTCTGGAGGGAGCAGCACAAGCCTTAGAGTGTGTAATGAGATGCGAGAAAAGTGGTGGCTCAAAGCTAGGATGTGAAAAGCCATTAGTAGGCTGTCCGGGAGCTTCTCTATAATAATTTAATAAATGAATACATCCTTTATTCCAGCCATCGTCAATTTGGCTATCGGAATCATCAATGTACGGCATTACAGCCCTTCCTTTAGATTTTTGGCTTATTTGCAGTTGCTTTCTCTTTGGAAATTTTCGTTTGGCTCAATAATATATTTTGCAGATGTTTTTGAAATATTTTTGTTTTGAGGATAAAAAGGTGGATATACTTCTGGACCGTCTTCACATAAATTATTACTTTCCAAATTTGATGCAGTTGTGAGGCTTCGCTGAAAGATGCTTGGAGTTTCCATATTAAAATATGTGATGAATAGACGATTTCTTTGATAAAACAAGGAAAATGCTTTTACCACATTTTAAAATAATTTAAATAAGGATTATAAATGATTTAGATGAAAAGACTAACTATTTTATATTTATTCGGAATTACAGCTAATTTTCGATTTTAAAAAAAATATTAATATAAAATATCTTAATTTTGAAGAAAATATTAAAAATGGACATGACTTTTTTATGCTAAATAGAATTGAAAAAGAATTATAAAATTAGTTAATTTTAGCTATTTCAACTTAATTATCAGAAAAATCTCATGATTCAGCTGAGATTGTAGAAGAACTGCAAATTTCATATGAGGTCTGCAAACTCTCAGGATATTCTTCATATTTCCATGAGATGCTAAAACAAAGAGTTAAGCCAATTATATCATCTTCTAATGATAAAGTATTTAAAAATCATTCATTTTATCAGTATGCTGTCGCATATTTGGATATTGACTTCTATTTCGAGCAAGGAGCCTTTGAAGACATTTCGACATCAATTTTATCTTTATTAGATGCCCAATTCTTTGAAATGAAAATCGGGCAAGTCATCAAACTGATTGAAAAAGCTGTGGTCTGCTGGGCTATTTCTTTGGGTAAACCTGTAAAATTGTCTAAAATCCATAATAAGTATTTCCCTAAAAATACAGAAGTGAAGCACAAAGAAGCGATAATTAAAGGGATTAGCAAAGGGAAAAGATCTTCGATTGCTGCTAATATTTTTGAATGAACAGTAAAGACTCTAACTCCCCCTCTGTTAGCGAACCAAAAAATTTTTGTCCACTCACAGAGGATTTAATTTTATTTTAAAAACATTTATAGTAAAATAACATAATGGCATGCCAAAAATAAGAAAATTATTCAGATGAGATTATTTGACAAAAATCTGATAGATCATGCAGCATATGGTGGAGAATTGGAAAGTGTGTGGCATCTGTTGTGCTGAATTATGGTTTTGAAGAAATTGAAAATCCTTGAGAAGGTACATGAAAGAAAATGAGAAACATCAAAATTTATTTTAATATCAGACTGAGTTCTTATCAAACAAATTAATTTATGATCAGACTCAAATCATTATTAAATCAGAAATATTAAGATTTTTTATCAGAAATTATTGGGACAGCCTCTTAGAAGGCAAAAGTTATTTTACTATATTGGAGGGCGCCTATTACCTAAAAAATAAAGATTTTTCCAATGGTTTTGTTTGCTCATAAGCAGAGGGAGTAAGCGAAATTAATAAATCTGACACAAATACAAAATCAAAAAGAAAATTGGCCTCAAGGATTTATGAATTTTTGCCTATTCTCATTCGTTATGGGTCTCCAAATAATTTATTTGAGTCAATGATGAAAATGCAATTAAATAGAGAATTCGAACTCATAGGAATAACCAATGATATTCAAGAAATAGTGGAAATAGCCAGCTTTGAATCTCTTGAAGAATATCAAGCTATTAATATGACTTTACTTCCAAAAGATGGCGAAATTCTGGTGACTCATCAAGAAATGATAAGCGAAGAAGAAAATTTGGAAAAACATAGCACTTCTTGGATATCCGAAGTCAAGCTTTTTGCGCTCCATCATGATAAAGCCTATAAAATCAGAAAACTAAAAGCACACAGAAAAAAACTACCAAATTTTTCTATCCCACAGTTTTGTTTTCTTCCCTATCTTCGAGAGTTAAGGATATCCAAGCACTTAAAGCAGACTGGGAAAAATCAAAAAATTATTCAACCATTATCTCTACCATTGAAAAATTCCAAACAGAAATCAGTGAATGCATTTATAAAGAAAGCTTGAAAAAACCTCTGGATTTCCATTATTTGTTAAAACAAATGAATTGGCTTTTATCAGTTTTTTCCAATGTCAATTCTTTTATCGTTTCGCCAGATTTAGACTCAATTGATATAATAGAAAAATCAATTCATGAAGTTGAAGCATCAATTAAGCGGCTAAATGTATGGAAAAATGTAATTATTCCAAAAAATAAGAAAATTGAAATCAAATTACAAAAGAAATGGAACTTCAGGTGGAGACAAGAAATGCTAAATAAAAGAAAGAAAGGACTGAAAAGACAGGAAGCATTAGAAAAGAAAAAAGGCATGCTTAAATATTCATAAATAATTTCTAAAATTGAAAATAAATTATGGAATTCAAATCTCAGAAGTTTCAGTATTTAAGAAGTGCTCGAAACTAATAAATCCTTGCAACTATTTTAATGAGCTGCATGGCCAATTTATCTCTCTATGCAGTGTTTTCTTAACTATGAAATAATTTTTAAGCAGGCTTCATTAAAATATGTAATAAGACACAATCAAAGATAATGCCACTGATAAATATTAGAATAGTCATAAAAATTTTCTGGTTAAAAACTCTATCGGTCAAATTGGGACTAAGCACAGTAGTTTGAATTTTAATTATTTTTATAAAATAAATCTTAGATAAAAATTAATAAATTCAGTGTAAAACTGTTTAATTAGCATTCTATTGCGTTTTGTCTATTTAATTAGGTCAAAAACTAATTTTGTAAAACTTTCATATTTGTTTTTTTTTAAAAAAAATATAAGCTGAGCACAATACTTTAAATTTTAATTTATTTTTATGAAGAATTAAATAAAAAATTAATCGATTTTATTTTGAAAACTGTTTAAATAGCATTATAATTTCATTTCGTCTATTATATTAGAGTTAAAGTACCCAAAAAATGCAAATTTTTACCGATGTTTTTTTTTTAAATTATAAGGAAAGAGTAAAAAAATTTATTGCTATCGTTATTGTTTTTGCCCTAAGCCAATCAGGCCATTTAAATTTAGAATGGAGAGCTTAAAAATGCTTTGGGATGAAAGGGCAAGAAGCGATTCTGCTAGCTGTAAAATACTCAAATCACATTATCCAGCTATACCGAACTCTTTGGTGATAATATATTGAAAAACGTGCTTTTAAGGTCGGCTTCTCATGAGTAGATGTCTATGTATTCGTCCCCTCCTTACCTTGCCAGCTCCAGTGTTAAGTGGAAAGGCTAGGGTTGAACGAAGGCCCAAAAATGGAATTATCTGCATAAAGGAAAAATTCAAAGCTTAGGTGTAACTCCCAGTTCTACGGTAGGAAGTTGCCTGATGGTCTATTCAGTCCTGTAGACGCTGCAGAGCTTTCCCTTCCCGACTCTGAACCTACCTTTTCTCTCGAGGTAAAATCCAATCAGGAGTTGGCAAAACCTTGCAGATATAAATAAAATACACTAGAGGCTGCACTGTCGGGGGCAATGGCCTAGCCAATGCCATTTTATTAATTTTGCTATTTATAAAAGCAAAACATCAGTAGAAAGTCGTGAATATGAGGAATTTGAGATTTCGTCAGAGGAAATCTTGCAAGTACAAATAAAAAACTTTAGTGAAATCATAAAAAAGAAATACCTCAGCTTGATTGTAGATGATAACGAATTCAACAGGATTGCACTTGGAGCTCTATTGAGTCATTATGGAGTTTTGTTTGAAGAGTCTTGTACTGGAATGAGCTGCAAAGAAGGTAAAAGAAGTTAGTAAAAAAGAAGCCATTCAAATTAGTGATAATGGATGGAAGTATACCAGCTCAACGATAGAGCGCTACAAAAATAATTCATCAGCTCTACTACGAAGGCAAATTGAGAGCTTGCCTAGTATTATTGGACACATAGCATTTGGCTAAGACGCTGATATATATTTGTGTTTAAATTCTGGAATGAAAGAATGCCTTATAAAACCTTGCAGCCCAGAAATATTAACTGAAAAAATATTAAAATATTTATATGTGTAGATAATTAAAATACTATGAATAATACACCCTACTTCTAAAATAACGCTTATTTATTCAGATGATATTTAAATATTTATTTTTGCTTATCAGAAATTTCCATTTTAATAAAAGCCATTTATTTTATAATGTACTTCTATTTCTTGAAGAGAATTTACTAATTTTTTATAGTTGTACTTTACTATGTAAGGAAGTTGCAGCAACAAAGAGCTGATCCTAAAACCATTGATTTAAGGCTAAACGTCTTTTCCTTAGGTTACTTGACTCGAAAATTTTTTCTAGAGAGAATTTGATCGATGAATAACAGATTTTTTACTGCAAATATCGATGAGAAAAAAGTTTCGACTAAATGTCCCAAGGAATGTCTTCGAGGAAAAAATTCACAGTCAAAAGATATGCTACTGATTTTAAAGTGGAATGGTTGCTTTGGTTGCAATAATGACAAATGCCATCCTCTATGTAAGAAAGTCTTTTGCATTTTTTGCATTTAGCAATTCTTACTATACTTTGTCTTGCATTTTCTTGTCTCTCCGCTGTTGTTTTGCTGCGATTTATTATAGTTAGCAGGTTATCTGCAGGATTTTCTCTAATGGTTTCTGCATGTACTAAATTGCATCTTTTATTCCACGCATAAAAAAGCGTGGAGAATCAACCTGCCTTCTTAGCACTGATAGCCAGACGGGAGTTTAAAGCTTTGTGAAAGGGATAGAAGCGTTCGGTGAATTGTTCGGCCAGTTTTTTTTTTTGGCCCAGTGAAGCGCAACGGCTGGCTGGCTGACCGCAGGTTCGCATAAAAATCAAGGTTTTACCCCGAGAGAGCATGAGGCTTTGGAATTTGGAAAGGGATAGCCCAGCAAAATATGAGGGCGTTCGCTCGACCAATCAGGATTTTCTCAGCATGATATCTGGACTTGCGCCCTGGGCTACAAGTCTGATCTCGGTAAAATCCTGAACCGAAATTTCTCTTTTGAATTTTCAGGAAGGGTAACCCCATCGATGCACAGCACAGTAACTCAGCATCTTACCTCCGAATAAGTGCAGGCTCTTGTCCGGAAAGAGCAACACAAGCCTTAGGCTGTGCTATCAGGCTTGCGAGCAAAGGTGTAGTGCGAAGCAAGTTAAATATTAAGTAATCCGGCCATAAGCCATCCCGCAGGCGCTGATCATCCGCCCCATATCGGCTCCATAATGGCATCTGAGGACGCCATTTTGAATTTCGGACCTGAACTACCTGTTCAAGAGATTAACTCGCCCTGGGCAGAGCCGCTCTTAGATAGCGCCCTATGGTCCCGATGAGGAAAGAACATGTTGTAGGCAAAACCTGTATAGCCCATCTGGCAGGGACAGGGAAAACCTTCAGGGGAGAAATAAAGCAAAACCTTTTTGGCAAGCTTCCCGAAGCCTGAAGGACTATTTCCACCTAACAAAGGCATATCAGGATGGGTCCTACCTACTCCATAGGGAGTGCACCTCAGAGTCTAGGTTCTGTCAACGTAACCATTTTATTTCTGTGCGAAGCAAGGGATGTTAAAAGTCATTAGCAGGCTGTCCGGGAGCTTCTCTATAAATAATCTTATGAATGAATGAATGCATCTTTTATTCCAGCCATCGTCAAATAGGCTATCGGAATCATCAATATATGGCATTACAGCCCTTCCTTTTGGATTTTTGGCTTGTTTGCAGTTGCTTTCTCTTTGGAAATTTTCTTTATGCTCAATTATATATTTTGCAGATTTTTTTGAAATATTTTTTTTGTGAGGATAAGAAGGTGGATATGCGTCTGGAACGTCTTCATATAAGCAACTTCTTTCAAAATTTGATGCAGTTGTGATGCTTCGCTGAAAGATGCTTGGAGTTTCCATATTAAAATATGTGATGAATAGATGATTTCTTTGATAAAACAAGGAGAATGCTTTTATCACATTTTAAAATACTTTAAATAAGGATTATAAATGATTTAGATTAAAAGACTAGCTATTTTATATTTATTCGGAATTACAGCTGATTTTGGACTTTTAAGAAAATATTAATATAAAATATCTTAATTTTGAAGAAAATATTAAAAAGAATGAATTTAAAAGATGGCTTTTCTGTTAAATAAAATTGAAAAAGAATTAAAAATTTAGTCAATTTTAGCTATTTTAACTTCTGTAAGAAATATTTTTGATTTATAAATTATTTTGATTATTCAAAAAGCAAGTGGAGTCTTAAATTGAAATTCATTAGGGTTAGTATTAAAATACCCTAACTCGTCCCCCCTCTGTGAGCGAGCGAAATTATTGGAAAAATCCTTATTTTATGCTCAAAACCCATCCTCCATAAACGAACAAACATTTTTATAAAAAATTGTATATATAAGTATAATTTAACAGAATAAATTAATATTTGTTTCAAATTTTGCGAATTGGGATTTTTAAATTTTTGATAAAAAAATTTACTATAAAAATTTATTTTTAATTTTGAGAAAAAGAGAGAAATGCTGCTCATGCAGCGATAATAATAATAATATCTTTAATTTTTTTAAAAACCAAATTAACCTCCTCCGAAAAAATTTTGATAACTCACAGAGGTGAGAGTAAGGTCCATTCCTGGCAACTTCATTAGAAGATATATTGAAAAAATAAGCGAAATATTTACGAAGTCATATTTTTGAATGTAAATCAAAAAACATCTATATATTTATGCCGTAAAATAATTAATATAAAATATAAAAAAGTACTAATATGCATAAACAATTAAAAAATTATCAATAAAGCATATTGCTTCTCATTTAAAGCTAATAAAATGCATTCAGATGATGAAAACACATTTATCGCCTCATATCAGAAATTCAATTTTATTAAGAACATTTACTATATAATACATTTTCAACAGTATTTATAAGTCAAAAAATTAAGAAGTAGCAAAAGCAAGGATCATCGATTTTAAGATGAAATTTCCTGTAGAAGGTTGATTGTAATAATAGAAAACGCTATCTTCTATATAGGAAAGGCCTTTTACAATTTTTGCATTGCACTATTCTTATTTGATATTTTTTTTACATTTTGCTATTGCAATATTATTCCTTATCTGGAAATAAGGCGGCCGACAGGAAAGTCGCTGCGTTTTTTTTAGGGGCCTAAAAGTTGCCGTCATTAATTTTGAATCGCTCTGACAAAGGCGGTTTTGCGATTTTTTTGGGTGTTGGCGTTTGGTGTTGGTGTTGGTGCTAGCCTTTGCTTTTGGTGTAGGGTAGGGTAAGTAAATTTTTTCTTCTTCTTATCTGGAAATATGCAGATTTCCTTAAAAAAAACAGGCAAGCAATATTTAATGTATATTTTCAAATTAAAATTCCCTATTTACTTAATTGATTTTCTCATTAATAGCGCTTATTTGAAGATGTTTTTTCCCATTTTGGTCGGAGCAAATTATATAGTCGGTAAGACCAAAAATGGAAATTAAGTGCGAAAGCATCTCCACATCGCGCTATCCATTGGTAAAATGTATATTTTTTCATCAAGATTTATCGAGACTCAAATCTTTCATATTTAGTTTCAGGGATTACATCGAGCCCATATTTCGATATCGAAATTTTCTTGACTTAAAATTTGAAATATACAAGTCTGATTCCTGAAAAATAGGCTCTTTTTTTAATTCTTCGAATTCATTTAAAGCTTTTTTCAGTACATCTTTACCATACTCTTTCTTTTTCTTCACAAAATCTTTTGCTAAAAATCTTCGAAATGCCCTTTGAATAATTGTGATATTTTCTGTGTGCAAATTTTTAATAGGCAGCAATAAATCTCTTCTTTTTTTACATTTTAGTTGGCTTATCAAAAATGACAAATTTTTGGAGATCTGAGGAATTTTTAATTTGAAAGAATGCTTTAATTGAGCTGGCAATGACTTTTTGGTTAAAAAGTTGTATTGAATATTACTTGGGATCGAGATGTTGGAGCTGATATCTTTCTTCCTTACTTTTTTTGAGGGCTGTATAAAGAAAAGTCGAAAAGTTTTTCTAAGCTTTTATTTAATTTCTTGATTTTTATTTTTTGGATTACTGGGCGCAGTGAAGATTGATTGGGAATTACTATAAGTGAGTCTTTAATTTTTGGATGCTTAGTGCCATAATATGCTTCAGAGATTATCAATCATTCTGAAAGCTTATTGATTCGCCATTCAGATGCTTCGATTTCACTCTGAGTTTTGTTGAAATTCTTTAATGCATTTGAAATAGACCCATAATCGAATGAATTGCCAGCTTTTTGTGAGTGGCTAAAAATAAATCTAAAATTTTGATAGCATTTTTAGAGGATTCCTTATACTTTCCAATTAAAATGGTGGTGGCAACTAAATAGGTCCTCGGCGACGACGAATCACCTTGGTCGCAAAAGTTACCCTATAGCCAAAACCAAGGTCCGGGCCCTTTAATTCTAACCCTTAGCAGACTTAGCGCTGCCGTATGGGGTGGGTAACCTTGGGAGTAAGCTGGTGTCGACTCAATGGCCAGAGTTTTAATTATCCGGAGGAGGTGCATAGCTCTCTGCGTGGTGGATCTGTCAGAAGGTCACCGCAGAGGAATTTGGGTTAGGCTGGCCTGACAAAAACTTTCTTCGTTAACTTGAAATTGTTAGCCTGGCCTGCTGTTGGAGCGGGTGCTGGGCGCTGATGTGATGTTAATTTGGAGTTGGTTTTATGGAGTTGGTTTGTAAAGTTGGTTTTGTGGAGTTGGTTTTGTGGAATTGGTCTTGTGAAGTTGGCTCTGTGGAATTGGTTTTGTGGAATTGCTGATTGTGAAGTGGAGTTGCTGATTGTGAAGTGGAGTTGCTGATTGTGAAGTGACGTGGAGTTGCTGATTGTGAAGTGGAGTTGCTGACTGTGAAGTTGGATGAATAGGATAGGGTAATCATAAAAATCTTTCTTCTTCTTCTTATACTTTCCTTTAAAAGAAAATTGATTATTCATTAATATGGAAATTTATATTCATTTTATCATTTCAGAAATACTTTATATTTTGTCATAAGACTGAGCATCCCCTTGCGTTTGCTTACCTGGTGGTATACTGGATAAGAATTCTCCTGGAAAACTGATAATAATAAAACGAGCCCAGGGAAAATTTTGTTGAATGAAATGTTCACTCACATCGAACTTTTATTATTACTTGCATGATACACCACAAAAATCTTGGATGCTTGCTTAAATAAATGAAGAATAACTAATCTTTTTTAGAAATAGAGCATAAGATAATTAGATGAGCCCATCTGTCTCATATCATTGGCTATAAAGTCCCACCGATAAAGATAAATTCAGCTCAGAAGATTTTTCCTCTTATTAGCTAAAAAAAGAGATTTTCAATATTTTGTTAAATCAGGAATTAATTAAATTTGTTTTTATAAATATCATGTGCAAAAATTACTATGAGATATCTTGCATCTTTTATTAATTATTTGACTTAGATGAAACAATGTCGCTTTCATAATATTTCATTTTCATATTTGAAACTGCATATTAGTATCAGTATAAATGATATATGCCATTTTATAAATTTATGGAGAATAATAGGTTATAAATGCTAAGTAGTTAAAATCTACGAAGAAAATATTATTTTCAGGGTTAATCAAATATAAATCATATAAAGAAACGTTTAAAATAAATGTATGCCACATTTACTTGCTTCATAAATTATTGTTGCCAATATCATTGATGGTGAATTGTTCCTAATAGGATACTATATCTCAAGTTTTATTTATAATCAAAGCAATTTTGCTTAATATATTTTCAATCTAAATTATAAAAAAATCTGCAATTTTTACTGACAAATTTAATATCATTTTCTGATGAGTTCTTTAAATAATATAAGATGGAAGCCGTGAGTGAAATGTGATGGAAGAAAGAAATAAGCGACCTCTACGATTACTAATATTTTATAGCTATACACTCTTGTCAATTGGCCTATTATCTCGAATCTTGCATTTGATGTTTAATTGGTATTTTGACATCGAGCTTCTTCAAGTAGAAGTCGTAGGACTGCACTTCATAAACATTTTTCTTATCAAAATCTTCAAGAATTCCTCATTGAATGCAAAAATTCTTGTGATTTTATTCTTTACTGAGTCTTATAATTGCTTTTGCTTTTATGCATCCATAGTAAAGAGTGAAGACTCCAATATATTGGCAGTTTTCGCTATAATGCTGATAACAAGATTTCAGCTGCCGATTATTAAAAACAAGCTTTATTTTAATCTGATTCTTACCAAAAATTTATTGGTATGGTGCTTTATCCGAATAAATATCTTCCAAGATGCACAATTTAAAATAATGGAGATTAATTTTACATTAGGCACAATAATTACATGCAATATATGGCATTATTATAGGACGAATATATCCATTGAGAGGTTTAACCTGAGCAAGGAACTGGAAAAAAACCATGAAATACTGACATTTATAACAGAAGCTTTTCGGGATGGAATTATAGTACTTTCTGACGACCTGACAATTGAATTTAATAATAAAAATTCTCTTATTTCTTTTCGAGCAATATATATGAAAGATCCTGAAAATTGGAAGATTAAACGCCCTAGATATTGTTTTATAAAAAATATATATTATAGGCATTTTTAATATATTGTATAATAATGGCTAATTAAATGATCTATTTCTATTGAAAATAGCATTCTAAAAATAATTTTAGCCTATTAAAAGTGATTTATTTTCCAATATAAAACTATTTATATATTTGTAAATATAAATAATTAGCCATTTGTTAAAAAATTCAAACTACTTCTAAAGGAGTTAGGCTCCTGAACTGTGAAAAGACAAATCTATTGTCTTCTATATCGCAAATTGAATATTTTCAAGAAAAGAAATTGTCAGGGTATCCTACATCGAACTTGGTGATAGATGACATTATGTATTGCTTTAATGCTGCAGATTTCTTAGAAAAGACTTTAGGCGTAAGTGTTGTAAATAGCCGTAATTTAGAGTGGAAAATTCAAAAAATTTCTTGATATGATAAAAACAGCTTGCTTATTACTATCAGAGATGCAACTCAGATCATAAGACTTGAAAATTCAATAGCAAGCGATAATATGAAAACTGTCTTATTGAGATCAGTTTCCCATGAACTTCGAACCCCACTTAACGCCATAATATATTTTACTAATGATATTTTGGAGAAGAAAAATTTAAATATCTCACTCTTCTCCCTTTAAAAGCGAGCAAAAAGGTTTTTAATATAAAAATCATTAAATTGAAGTCTATCGCTAGTTCTCTTAAATTTCAGACAGTTGCATCCTTAAAGTTAATTTTCATAAATTAAAATAGGCTTTTCTTTTAAAATATTTTAATTAATTTTTAAAAAATTAGCCTATAAAAGTGAGCAAAAATTTGTGTTCACTTTTAAAGAGGCAGAAAGTCAGGAGAAATCGAAAAATTTAAAGCAATATCAGTTTCTTCACAACTTATGCTATCAATTATTAATGATTTGCTTGATTATTCGAAAATGCTTGCAGGAGTATTCAGCATCCATATAGCAACATATATTGAATGTTAAATATAATATAATTAAAATTTCTCAATAATAAATTCATTTTAAAGTCCTATAAAACTGAATGTCGAGTAAAAGAGATAATAAAAAATGCTTGCGAGCTAATTCAGATGCAATGTAAAAAGAAAAAGCTAAAGCTCATTATAAGACTTGATGAAAAGATCCCGGATAGAGTTTACACCGATCCTTTAAGGCTTAGTCAGATCTTGCTTAATTTACTTACAAATGCTTTGAAGTTCACTATGAAAGGCTGAATCGAAGTGATATGTCTGCTTGATAAAAAAAATCGCTTAAAACTTACAATAGAGGACACTGGAATCGGGATGTCAGAAGATTATCAGAAAAAACTTTCCTCTGAGTTTTCTTCATCAGTTTCTCCATCAATAAGTCCTCAAGGATGTGGCCTTGGGCTTTATGTTTCAAATTCATTGGTAAAAAAACTAGGGAATAAGCCTATTGAAATCCGTTCTGAGCCTGGAAAAGGTTCAGCTTTTATATTCAAAATCAACATTTTCTCTGAAAACCCATCAAGTGACGAATACGATGTTTTCACAGAAAGTCTGGTTGAAGAAAATTTAATTCGATATGATATGAATCAATATTCTATGAGGAGAAAAAACTTTGCTCCTTCAGTTCTAATTGTTGACGATAATGAATTAAATCGGCTTGTCCTGGGATCAATTTTATTACAATATCATATAGCATTCGATGAAGTTGGGGGTGGAAAAGATGCAATTAAAAAGGCTGTTGAGAGAGATAAGCTTGGATGTGGATACCGAGCAATTATTATGGATTGCGATATGCCAGAAATCGATGGCTTTGAAGCGACAAGAAAAATCAATTTATTATTTAGCAATCGAGAAATTAATGAAATGCCAAATATTATAGCTTATACAGCTTTTACATTAGATGAAGATCGAGCTGCGTGCTTTGAGTGTGGGATGGTGGATTATTTAATAAAGCCTTCTACCCCTGAGAAAATAATTAGCACGGTTAAAAAATATTTATAAATTGACTTAATTTCATTTATTAATTACTAAAAAATCATTGAATAAGCCACAGAATTTTCTATAAGTTGGTAAAAATTAGCATACAAAGAATAAGCAACAATACAGCAACTTTATTATTAAAAATAATTAGCATTAAAACAAATTATGCAAAAATTTTTAATAATCAAAATATGATTCCAATGCCAACTTTAATAATTTTTCTAAACGCAGATAATAAACTTAATTCAGATTATCAAGTTAAAAATTGGGTGTAGGCCAATTAATTAAGAAGATCGCTAAAACCACCTATCCATATTTAATGATAAAACTTTGAACTGTAAATATGAGCAGAATTCTCTCGAAATAAAGCATTTTATTCTCAATTTAACAGCGAAATATGCATGCAGAATTTTTATTTTAGAATCATCTTTTTTCAATAGATAAAACAAAATTTTGTTAATTTATAAATCTCAACCAAAGATAAAAAGCTAATAAAATTGAATAAAAAAATTCTAAAAACAATTATTGCTATCGTTATTATTCTTTGCCTAAGCCAATCAGGCCATTTAAATTTAGAATGGAGAGCTCAAAAATGCTTTCGGATGAAGGGCAAGAAGCGATTTTGCTAACTGTAAAAGCGCAAATCCTTGGTGATAACAGATTGAAAAACGTGCTTTTAAGGTCAGTTTATCGTGAATTGAGACCCTCAATTAATGCTATCACATCTTTGTCAGATTCACTTATCAGTGAAAAAAAAATATTATGCAACGAAAAAATTCTGCGAAATTAAATGTCATCTCATTTTCCTCAAAACTTTTATTTTCACTAGTAAGTGACTTATTATAATCAAATTTGGTATTCTTTCAAGACTATTTAGCTCCACTTAAATCTCTCTCTTGAACTAATATCTTATATGATATTTGGATTGCATGGCGATCTTATCAAGAGTATAACAGGGAAGTAATAAGTCGATTATTCACAGCTGGACACTGATCCGAGAAATGGAAAAATAGTGTGCTTCAAATAGACCAACAAATTATATGGACCTTTTGCTATTTATGAAATCAAAACATCAGTAGAAATTCATGAATATGAAGAATTTGAGATTTCGTCATAGGATATCTTACCTGCACAAATAAAAAAACTTTAGCGAAATCTTAAAAAAGCAATACCCTCAAGTCTTGATTGTAGATGATAACGAATTCAACAGGATTGCACTTGAAGCTTTATTGAGTCATTATGGAGTTTTGTTTTAAGAGTCTTGTACTGGAATGCAAGCTGTAAAGAAGGTAAACGAAGTTAGTCAAAAAAAGAAGCCATTCAAATTAGTGATAATGGATGGAAGTATGCTAGAGCTCAACGGATGGGAAGCCACAAAATAATTCATCAGCTCTACTACGAAGGCAAATTGAGATCTTGCCTAGTATTATTGGATACACAGCATTTGACTCAGACGCTGATGTATATTTGTGTATAAATTCTGGAATGAAGGAGTGCCTTATAAAACCTTGCAGTCCTGAAATATTAACCGAAAAAGTATGAAAATATTTATATATGTAAAAAATTAGCATACTATAAATAATGCACACTACTTCTAAAATAAAGCTCATTTATTCAGATGATATTTAAATATTTATTTTTGCTTATCAGAAATTTCCTTTTGATATAAGCCATTTATTAATTAATATACTTCTATTGCATTTCTTGAAGAGAATTTACTAATTTTTTATGGTTGTACTTTACTCAGTAAGGAAGTTGCAGCAACAAAGAGCTGATCCTAAAACCATTGATTTTAGAGTGGAATGTTCACCTTGGTTGCAATGATGGCAAATGCCATCCTTTATGTAAGAAAGTCTTTTGCATTTTTTGCATTTAGCAATTCTTATTATATATTGTCTTGCATTTTCTTGTCTCTCTGCTCTTGTTTTGCTGCGATTTATTATAGTTTGCAGGTTATCTGCAGGATTTTCTCGAATGGTTTCTGCATGCACTAAATTGCATCCTCTATTCCAGCCATCATCAATTTGGCTATCGGAATCATCACTGTACGGCATTACAGCCCTTCCTTCTGGATTTTTGGCTTGTTTGCAGTTTCTTTCTCTTTGGAAATTTTCTTTAGGCTCAATAATATATTTTGCAGATTTTTTTGAAATATTTTTTTTGTGAGGATAATAAGGTGGATATGCATCTGGGCCGTCTTCAAAATTTGATGCAGTTGTGAGGCTTCGCTGAAAGATGCTTGGTGTTTCCATATTAAAATATGTGATGAATAGACGATTTCTTTGATAAAACAAGGAAAATGCTTTTATCACATTTTAAAATAATTTAAATAAGGATCATAAATGATTTAGATGAAAAGATTAACTATTTTACATTTATTTGAATTTGTAGCTAATTTCCGATTTTAAAGAAAATATTAATATAAAATATCTTAATTATGAAGAAAATATTAAAAAGGATGAATTTAAAAGATGGCTTTTTTTCTTCTAATAGAATTGAAAAAGAATTAAAAAATTAGTCAATTTTAGCTATTTCAACTTCTGTAAGAATTATTTTTAATTTATAAATCATTTATGATCATTTAAATAGCGAGTGGAGTCTTAAATTGAAATTCATGAGGGTTAATTTTAAAATACCCTAAGGTCTTTGTCCTGGCAACTTCATTAGAAGATTTATCGAAAAAATAAGCGAAATATTTAGTAAGTCATAAATATAAAAAATATTTTGAGTGTGAATCAAAAATTTCTAAATATTTACTGCCGTGAAATAATTAATATAAAATAAAAAAAGTGCCAATATACATAAACAATTAAAAAATTATCAATAAAGCATATTGCTTCTCATTTAAAGCTAATAAAATGCATTCAGATGATGAAAACACATTTATCACTGCATATCAGAAAATGCATTTTATTAAGAACCATTTACTGCATAATACATTTTCAACAGTAATTGTAAGAAGAATAAATTAAGAAACAGCAAAAGCCAAGAGTAACCCTAAAATCATCGATTTTAAGATGAAATCTCCTCTAGAAGATTGATTGTAATAATAGAAAACGCTATCTTCTATATAAGAAAAGCCTTTTCCAATTTTTTAATTGCGCTATTCTTATTTGATTTCCCCTTGACCTTCTACTGCGATTAAATAAATTGAGCATGCTATCTGTAGGTTTCTTGTATAGTTCCTGCATGTAAGAGTTCATACTCATCATTCCTACCTTAATTGCTTACTTCACTCACGGAGGGGTTAATTTTGTTTTGTTAAAAAAATTTATATATAAATTTTATAGAATTTTTTTTTTCGAAATTAAAAAAAAATCTTAAATTCGCAAAAATTGGAAAGCAAATATTAATTTAATTTATAAAATTTATGTTTTTAAAAAGCAATTTGTCTAAAATTAAACAGAATTAGCACTAGATTTCATTATGCTAATTATCACGTATATATCAATTTTTTTTTTCCATAAAAATTTTTCTATTAAAAAAATTTTTGTTCACTCACGGAGGGTGGGCTTTTGGGCAAAAAATAGCGATTTTTCTAATGGTTTTGTTTACTCACGGGTGGGAGTTAGCATTAATCTTTTCTTTTTTGGTATTTGAGTGTTTACTGCTTTTGACTTTTGGTTGGCAAATATATTGTAGATTTTTTATTCCGGTGTTGGCAAGAAGGGGTATATATTTCTGGGTATGCTTCGTAAAAGATATTTTGTTCAAAAGCTGTGCAATTGGGAGATTGGACGAATTGATCTGGCTTTTAAATGTTTTAGCTTTAAAAAGAGCTCTCTATTTTAGATTTGAGATAAAGTACTCTAGACAATATCTGTCTTGCTAGAAGCTTGATGATCTATAGCGATCTAAAGAGGTTCTGCGCTATAATATATTGTTTTCAATAAATGATTTTATTCGGTAAAAGATTAGAAAATAGTCTTATTATAGATTATTAATATCTTAAAAATGATGATAAGTGATAAAAAAAAGTCAGGATGAATTATTTTAATTTGTCGGTATTTTCTTATTTTTAAGAAAATATCAATTTAAATTTAAAGAAAATATGTTAATGGAGCATTTTTGAAATAAAATTTTAATATCCGATAATATAACTATTTCCTAGGATTCAGCTGCTTTATACTTCATGCATTAAATCCTTTTCTAAAGTTAGCCTCGTATAATTATTAAAATCTAGTGGAAACTAAAAATATATAACCGATAAGTTTCTCTTGCTTTCAGATATTTTTTTACATTTATACTATTTCAATATTATTCCTTATCTGAAATATGCAAATTTTCTTAAAAAAACAGACAGGCAAGATATAATGTATATTTTCAAATACTTAAAATTCCCTATTTGCTTAAAAAATCACTTATTGATTTTTCTCATTAATAGCGCTTTATGTGGAGATGTTTTCCCATTTTGGTCGGACCAAAGTAGATAGTCGGTGATACCCAAAATGGAAATTAAATGTGAAAACATCTCCACATCTCGCTATTCATGGGCAAAATGTATATTTTTGAGATTTATCGAGACTTAAATCTTTCATATTTAGCTTCAGGGATTACATCAAGCCCATATTTCGATATCGAAATTTTCTTGACTTTAAAATTTGGAATATACAAATCTGATTCCTGAAAACTCCACTCCTCAATAGGCTCTTTTTTTAATTCTTCGAATTCATTTAAAGCTTTTTTCAGTGCATCTTTCCCATACTCTTTCTTTTTCTTCACAAAATCTTTTGCTAAAAATCTTCGAAATGCCCTTTGAATAATCATGATATTTTCTGTGTGTAAATTTTTAATAGGCAGCAATAAATCTCTTCGATTTTTACGTTTTACAGTTGGTTTATCAAAAATGACAAGCTTTTTGGAGATCTGAGGAATCTTTAACTTGAAAGAATGCTTTAATTGAACTGGCAATGACTGTTTTGGTTCAAAAGTTGTGTTGAATATTCCTTGGGATCGAGGTGTTGGAGGTGATATCTTCCTTCCTTGCTTTCTTGACGATTTTTGAGGGCTGTATAAAGAAAAGTCGAAAGGTTTTTCTAACTCCCCCCTTTCCGTGAGCGAACAAAAAAATTTTTGCTCGCTCACAGAAGGGGTTAATTTTTTTTTAAAACATATTTATATATATAAAATTTTTAGAAATTTTTTTTCGAAATTTAAAAAATCCTAATGGAAAGCAAATCTTAATTTAATTTATAAAATTTATGTTTTAAAGCACAATTTGTTTAAAATTAAACAGAATTAGCTTGAGATTTCATTTATATAATTATCATTTAAATAACAAAATATTTTTCTATCAAAAATTTTTGTTCGCTCACGGAGGGTGGGTTTTTTGGGCAAAAATAGGGGTTTTCTAATGATTTTGTTCACTCACGGAGAGTGGGGGTAAGCTTTTATTTAATTTCTTGGTTTTTATTTTTTGGGTTACTGGGCGCAGTGGGGATTGATTGGGAATTATTATAAGTGAGTCTTTAATTTTTGGATGCTTAGTGCCATAATATGCTTCAGAGATTATCAATCCTTCTGAAAGCTTATTGATTCGCCGTTCAGATGTTTCGATTTCATTTTGAGTTTTGTTGAAATTCTTTAATGCATTTGAGATACACTCATAATCGAATGAATTGCCAGCTTTTTTGTGAGTGTCTAAAAATAAATCTAAGATTTTGATAGCATTTTTAGAGGATTCTTCATACTTTCCTTCAAAAGAAAATTGATTATTCATTAATATGGAAATTTATATGCATTTTATCATTTCAGAAATACTTTATATTTTAGCTTCTTAAAAATATTTTATCATAGTTTTTATGATTTATATCAGTTTAAAAATATAATGCACAATGATATCGAAAAATTTTCTTCAAATTATATTTTTTTGAATTTTTAATAAAAAATGCTTTCTGATATAAGCCTTAGTTATGGCATTTATATTGATTCTGTTTAAATATACTTTGATTGCTCTAGAATAATTCTCACTATATTGGGAATAGGTAAAATATAAAATTGCTGATCCCAAAATATATAAGTAGGCATAATAAAAAAAGTTTAAATTTTAAAAAAAATCAATGTTTAAGGATTCTTCAAATGCTAATTAGAATAATATCAAGATTAGCCAAGCTAATAATATTTTAGAATGAATAACAATTTATTGCCTTTAAAATCTAGTAGATCTAATAGATAATTACTATTTATAAAATTTTGCAAATTAGCATACCTATATTTTACTGATTCAAGAGAAATTATAAACATTAATAAAAAGAACTAATTTTTAAAGGTTGAGCTAAATATCAAACATCAGCATCCAAACTATTAAATGTGCCTATCTCTTAAATGCGATCATTCAAATTTTATTCCATATTTAGGAATATTAATATACATTTGACAATAAATTTATTAGAGGAACTGATTTAGCTTGTATGATACAGCATGGATGCTTGCTTTAAAAAAATTAAGAATGACAATTTTTTTTTAGAAATAGAATACTATATAATTGGATGAGTCAAAGATTTTTTCTCTTAAGTGAACAAAAACTTGGCTTGCTCATAGAGGTGTGAATATTTTTTTTAGATAAAAATTATATATAAATTTCATTTTTTTTCAAAATAAAAAAATTCCAATTTGTAAAAATTGAGAATCAAAAATTAATTTAATTTGCGAATTTATTCTTAAAATTAAACAGAATTAACCCGAGATTTCATTATAAACTATTTTTATATATAATTTTTTTTCATAAAAAATTTATATATTAAAAAAATGTTAACTCCCCCGACCTCCGTGAGTGAACAAAACCATAGAAAAATCCCTATTTTTTGCCCAAAAACCCACCCTCCGTGAGTGAACAAAAAGTTTTAATATATAAATGATAATTAGTATAATGAAATATAGAGCTAATTCTGTTTAATTTTAAACGAATTGCTTTTTAAAACATAAATTTTGCAAATTAAATTAATATTTGCTTTCCAATTTTTGTGAATTAGGATTTTTTTTAAATTTCGAAAAAAAATATTTTTTATAAAATTTATATATATAAATTTTATAAAAAAAAAAATTAACCCCCCTCGTGAGTGAACAACATTTTTTTGTTCACTCACGGAGGGGGGGGAGTAAGAGGGTGGATTTTTCCAATGGTTTTTTCTCACTCACTGAGGTGGGAGTTAAGTTTTTTTTTAAATTATTTGACCTAGATAAAACCCTTTAACTTTTATAATATTCATTTTTATATTTGAAGCTTTGCAATCAGTAAAAATGAATATATGCCCTTATCTGGCCATAAAAGAAATTTTGCTTTACTCCCCTCTGAGAGTAAACAAAACCATTGGAAAAATCCCTATTGTTTTTTCCAAAAAACAAATTTTTTTATGAAAAAAAAATTATAATGTATAAATGGCTATTATTATAATGAAATTTCTAGTGAATTTTGTTTAATAGATAACAGTTTGCATTTTAAAATATAAATTTTACAAATTATAAATATATGCTTTCAAATTTTGCGAATTGGGATTTTTTAAATTTGGGGGAAAAATTTACTTTAATTTTAATTAGTTAAAAAGCCTTAATCCTCTCTCTATTTTGCAAAAATAATATTTTTTTAATACTTTCATAGTTTCTTAAAATTTCAAAATTTATTTACAAATTTATGTATAAATTTTAAAAAAAAATAAACCCCTCCGTAAGTGAATAAAATTATTTTGTTCTCTCAATGAGGGGGTTAATATATTTCCAATCTAAAATTATCAAAAAATCAGCAATTTCCCACTGGCAAATTTTATATAATTTCTGACAAGTTCGATTAATAATAAAAAGATGGAAACCATGAGTGAAATGTGATGGAAGAAAGAAATAAGCGACCTTTACAAGTTGTTGATATTTTATAGCTATACACTCTTGTCAATTGGCCTATTTTCTCGAATCTTGTATTTTATGTGCAATTGGTCTATTGAGATGGAGCCTCTTCAAGTCGAAGTCGTAATACTTCATTTCGTAAATATTATTCTTGTCAAAATCTTCAAGAATTCCTCGTTTAAAGTAAAAATTCTCGTGATTTTATTCTTCACTGAGTCTTATAATTGTTTTTGCTTCTATGCATCAATGATAAAGAGTGAAGACTCCAATATATTGGCAGTTTTCGCTATAATGCTAACAACAAGATTTCAGCTGCCAATTATTAAAAACAAGCTTTACTTGAATCTGCTTCTTATTAAAAATTTATTGATATGGTGCTTCATCCGAATAAATAGCTTCCAAGATTCACAGTTTAGACTAATGGAGATTAATTTTACATTAAGCACAATAATCACATGCAATATATGGCATTATTATAAAATGAAGATATCCTTTGAGAAATTTAACTTGAGCAAGGAACTGGAAAAAAACCATGAAATACTGACATTTATTACAGAAGCTTCTCGGGATGGAATTATAGTACTCTCTGAGAGCCTGACGATTGAGTTTAATAATAAAAACTCTCTTAAGCTCCTAGATTGTGATAAGATTGATCTCTTGTCTTCTATATCACAAAATGAATATTTTCAAGAAAAAAAGATGTCAGGGAATCCTACATCGAACTTGGTGATAGATGACATTATGTATTGCTTTAATGTCGCAGATTTCACTGAAAAGACTTTAGGCATAAGTCTTGTAAATGGCCGAAACTTAGAATGAAAAATCCAAAAAATTTCTTGATACGATAAAAACTGCCTGTTTATAACTATCAGAGATGCAACTCAGATCATAACGCTTGAAAATTCAATTGCAAGTGATATAGAAATTTCCCATAGATGGCGCTGTTTGCCCTTGATTTGCCCACTGGGGAAAAAATTTTGGTTCAACCAGTCCCATATGGTTTGGTCAAACCAAAAAGATTTTCTTATGGGCAAATTAAGGGCAAACAGTGCCATCTATGGGAAATTTCTATAACATGAAAACTGTCTTACTGAGATCAGTTTCCCATGAACTTCGAACCCCACTTAATGCCATAATATATTTTACTAATGATATTTTGGAAAAGCATAATTTACAGACCTCAGGAGAAATTGAAAAATTTAAAGCAATATCAGTTTCTTCACAGCTTATGCTATCTCTTATTAATGATTTGCTTGATTTTTCGAAAATGCTTGCAGGAGTGTTCAGCATTCATAAAGCTGATTGTCAATTAAAAGACATAATAAAAAATGCTTGCAAGCTAATTCAAATGCAATGTAAAAAGAAAAAGCTAAAGCTAATTATTAGAATTGATGAAAGGATTCCAAATAGAGTTTACACTGATTCTTTGAGGCTTAGTCAGATCTTGCTTAGCTTGCTTACAAATGCTTTGAAGTTCACTATGAAAGGCTGAATCGAAGTGATATGTCTGCTCGATAAAAAAAATCAATTAAAAATTACAATAGAGGACACTGGAATCGGGATATCAGTAGATTATCTGATAAAACTTTCCTCTGAGTTTTCTTCATCAGTTTCTCCACCAGTAAGCCCTCAAGGATGTGGCCTTGGGCTTTATGTTTCAAATTCATTGGTAAAAAAACTCGGAAATAAGCCTATTGAAATTCGTTCTCAGCCTGGAAAAGGCTCAGCTTTTATATTCAAAATCAACATTTTCCCTGAGAACACTCAAAGCGACGAATACGATGTTTTCACAGAAAGTCTGGTCGAAGAAAATTTAATTCGATCTGATATGAGCCAATATTCGATAAGGAACAAAAACTTTGCTCCTTCAGTTCTAATTGTTGATGATAATGAATTAAATCGGCTTGTCCTAGGATCAATTTTATTACAATATCATATAGCATTCGATGAAAGTGGAGGTGGAAAAGATGCAATTAAAAAGATTGCTGAAAGAGATAAGCTTGGAAGTGGATACCGAGTAGTTATTATGGATTGCGATATGCCAGAGATCGACGGCTTTGAAGCAACAAGAAAAATCAATTTATTATTTAGAGATCGAGAAATTAATGAAATGCCGAATATTATAGCTTATACAGCTTTTACATTAGATGAAGATCGAGCTGCGTGCTTTGAGTGTGGGATGGTGGATTATTTAATAAAGCCTTCTACCCCTGAGAAAATAATTAGCACAGTTAAAAAGTATTTATAATTTATTTATTTCATTTATTAGATTCGATTAGATTAGATTAGATTAAGCTCTTCGTCCTCGAGATGGGCCGGGATTTCAATCCTATATGCACATTGTTCTTGAGGGACCCATGCATACAACCTTCCTCACCGCAGCAGGCAAGGGTATTCATGCAACCCGTCTTGACTTCCATGATTCCTGGAGCCTATAGTCAGACTGTCTGAGTCGGAACTCCTAGATTCTCGTTAGGCAGGTGTCGCCTCTTGAGTCCGGTTCGTAGATTTATAGTCTATTCGGGGCTTTTACTGGTCATGCCCTTTCTAATGATGGTCTTAGAGGCAAAAACTCAAAGTCCTGAGGATTAGTTCCCTAGGGCTCGAGAAAAATCTAGCCCGATATATACAAAAGATTCCCTACCTCTTTCAGCCCTTCCCCTTCATACCTGACAATTGCCTGCAGGTGTTAAAGAACAAGGGCCAGAAGGTTAGGTGGTCTGTACTCACATTTTTATTTATTTCCATTTCATTTATTAATTAATCTAATATAAAGCTTTTTATTAAATTTTAACTAAAAAATCATTGAAATAGCCACAGAGTTTTCTATAAGTTGGCAAAAATTAGCACACAAAAGAATTAGCTACAATGGAGTATGCTTATTATTAAAACTTATTAGCTTTAAAATAAAGTAGGCGAAAGAATTTATATATATCAAATTACGATTCAGACGTCGACTTTAAATAATTTTTCTAAAAGCAGATTATAAACTTAATTCAGATTATTAAGTCAAAAATTGTGTCCAAGCCTGCTAATTGATAAGGATGCTTGAGCCACCTATTCCATATTTAATGATAAAACTTTGAACTGTAAATATGAGTAGAACTCTCTTGAAATAAGGCATTTTATTCTCAATTTAGTCGCGAAATAAGCATGTAGAACTTTTATTGAGAACCATCTTTTTCCAATAGATAAAGCAAAATTTTATTCATTTATAAATCTCAATTAAATATAAAAGGCTGATTAATTGAATAAAAAAAATCTGAGTGATTTTAAGATAAAGCGAGATAAAAGACAAAATATTAGATTATCGATTAATTTTTCATATAAAGTATAAACTATAATAATAAGCTTTATTATTGCAGTTTTTTATAATGAAAAACATTTTTATACATTAAATTTTATTTTTAAAGCATCAAAGATTTTTTTTATTTTAGAATAAGTTAATTAATTTAGTCAATCCACTATACAAAATAAAAACTGCATTTAACTTATAAAAAAATTTGTTGCCTAAATTCTTCCAACGAATTATTAAATTTTTGTTGCATATTTTTATAATACTTTCAAGCAAAAATGCTAATTATTACATCACAGCCTAGTGTCTGTTTCAGTTCTTAGCTATATTTCAAATTATAATTTTTATTCTCAAATTATCATAATAGCCAGCCTAGGACCGCAATTCTGGCATATAAATCTACTTATTCTTTGTTAAGATTTATAAAATAGAATTTATTTTAAAATTTCCTCCCTTAAAAAAGCCAAAAATATTTTTATATCCATAGTAAAATTTGGAAGGCTCTCGCATTTTATTGCTAGTTTAATTTCCCTTAAATTTTTCATATAGCTTTGTTGTAAAATTCAAACTAAAAGTAATGGTTTATAAATATGTTCTTAATAGCTCTCGTTATTCAAGCTCTGTTCATATCGGTGAATGGAGTGTGAATTTCAGGCATCTCGATAGATCCTTCAGTATTAAACCAAGGATACTTAGCAGGCTCTGTAGCAGGTGGAACAGTCCTTCATATTCGTGGAGGCTTTGACAACGAAGACCCAGCCTCAAATATAATTAAGATTGATGGACAAGTTTGCGAAATCATCCAGTTCCACGCAAGAAGCGATTATTTACAGTGCGTCACTCCACCCTCTAACCATCCAAATGGGGCGACAGTACCAATTACAGCCTTTTACCATGGAGAAAGTTTCAGTAACGAAAAATATCAGTTTACATATAACAAATACAACACCCCAGTCGTTTTCGAAATGAATCCAGTAGAAGCAGCTCCAGGCGACGAAGTAAGCTTTGTTGGGAGGTGGATGACAACTGCCTGGGATCAGTTTGACAATGCAAAAGTAGACACCCAAAATATGCTCATGTACATATTGGATACAAGCCAAACCTTTGGAAGTTGGGATGTCATGAACTTAACTGCTGTCTTAGGCGACAATGACCAAGGAGATATCAACGCTACTATTACACTTAATGGGCCTTATGGAAAAGCCTTTAAACGTTGGACTGGGACTCAATATGACTTAAATGGCAACCCTTACAATTTTCGAACTCTTGCAAGAATTGACTCAGTCTCAGCAAGCAGCGGAAGCTCAGCAGGTGGCCAAGAATTGACAATAAAAGGTGAAGGCTTTCCTTTAACAGCTTCGTGGGTAAAGGTTGAAGTGGACGGAAGCGACTGCAAAATCTCATCACTTGCTTTCGATAAAATTAACTGCACTACAACTGCTGCTACAAGAACTGGCTCACAAACTATATTTGAAGGCGGGGCTGGCTTAAAAAGGCAAGTGTGGCTTAACCAAACAACAAGATCTTTGGATTTTTCTAGCTTAAGCTCAGTTACCCCTGATTTCACCTTTAGCGTGGCTTCAGCCCAGATTCCAAGAGATGAAGACGTCAGCATCAGAGATAAAATGACTGGACTTTTTAGAGCTCCAGTTACAGGAACTTATAAGCTTATGGTGTCCTCAGATGATTATGCTGAAGTATTTTTAGGAACCTCTGATGATCCAGCAACTGCTGCTTCTATTCTTAAGTTCGAAAGCTACACTTCATTAAGAGATCAGTTTACTAAAGCGTCCCAAAGTGATGGAATTTCCTTACTCCCTTCTTAATCAGAGAAAATATTTATCTTATACAAATTATAATTTTTAGAGGAAAAATATAATATTTGATCCAAATAGTTTTGGTATTAATTTAATGAAAATTTACCTATAAATTATCTATGCTTTAATTAGAAAACTATTTAGATAGCTAGCACTTTAAATCAATTAATTTTATATATTTTTTCTATGGTATATTTAAAAAAAAATAATCCTTTTAAATTGACAAATTTTTTTGTTCCTATCTAACGAATGGAGCTAGTTGAAAATACAGACTACTACTTTGAAGTCAGACACACCCAAGGAAGCGGATCCAGCCACTTAGACTTAGGAGTCTTAATTTCAGGCTCAGCCCTTCCTAATACAATGCCATATGTCCAAAAACTGCAACTTACTGCTGCAGATCCAGTTTATGAAGTCCAAACACTTAAATTTTTCGGCTCATCTACAGGGCCTACTGGCGGCAAGCTCCGACTTGTATATGGAACGACAGTAAGAGACTCAATTGATTGGGATGCTGACTCTGGGATGTGGAAATGCAGCGATATCCTCAACCAAACTAGCTACTTGGGATTAGGCTCACTGTCATGTCTTGGCTCCTGGGATAGTACCAATACAATATTGTCTTATAGCATTACATTTAACTACTTGGTATCTGATAAGAGATACAAGTTCTCAGCTGATACCTCACTTATTGAGCCAACAAACAGCATTTCTATTACCAATACCAAAACTCCAGGTACTACTACATTAAAAGGGAGCTTCAAACTTGGGTTTAGAGGTGCACAGTCAGATTGGATTGACATTAGCACTTGGGTAGATGGACTTGAATTTTACTTAAACAAGCAAATTGCTGAGTTCCAAAACCAATTAGTCGTTTACGGTTCTGTTGGATTTCCTTTCAACACGCTTCTAGCTTTGCCTTGGTTCCTTTTTGATGGGACTAATTTCGACGGAATCACCGTTGTAGATACCAACTTCACTGGTGGAAATATAGAAGGTTCGACTGATCCTGCAAGCATTACAACTGTTCTTGACCAAGTTTATTTGCCAACTGATGGCGCTTTTTGGCCAGTTATCCCATCAGACTTCTTGAGAACCACTGAATCGTCTCCTCAAGTCAGAGTTTTTGTCAACGAGACAGTTTCAGTATGCAGAGGAGATTGCAGCTACAGTTATTTGTCGTCTCCAGATTTCCCAAAAATAACAAGCTTTGCCAAATCATCGTCTACTCTTACAATTGTAGGTGAAGACTTGCCAACAGATGCAACCCAGCTATCAGTCTCTGTAGGATTTTCTGCTTGCGAAGATATTGCTGTAACTGGTAATACTCAATTCTCCTGTACTCTTCAAGATGGCGTCGCTGGAAGCTACCAGCCAGTAGTTAAAGTCGCAGGCCAAGGAATTATTCCAATAGACTCTACATTCATTGACACCATTGACTCTACTCCTACAATAACTTCAATATCTCCTACAGCTGGTAGTATCCAAGGTGGAACAACAGTAACAATTACAGGCACTGGATTTTTTGACTCACTAACTAATTCTGCATATGAGCAAACTGTTACCATTGAAGGATCCGACTGTGCTATAACTAGCACTTCCTTGACTCAAATTATATGTACTGCAGGCCCACAATCCTCTGGATCAGGCGCTATTGTCACAGTCGGAGGACAATCATCAGCTTCTTATGCGACTACTTTCTACGACTCAAGCAACACTCCTACAGTGACTTCTATAAGCCCAAGCTACGCAAGCACAACCTTCAAAACTGTGATCACCATTGGGGGAACTTCTTTCTCTGATACAACCAGTGACATTTCAGTCACCATTGGAGACCAAATTTGCATGGTCGTAAGCTCAACTACTACCCAAATTACCTGTGATTTATTAGGAGGTCCTCCAGGCACTTATGATATAGCAGTTTCAGTTTCTCCTTATGGATTAGCCAAATTCGAACCTTAACTTAACTTACTACTTATAACGCTTAACGTCCACTACGGGGTTGGCTAAGCCCAGACCTCCGCTCGTCTTTCGCCGCATCGGGCCCACAGACCTCTGGGCCGGTCCGCTTCGATCTCCAGGGTGCGCCTAGGGGCAAGTGTTGCCGAGTTCGACGGCTCATGAATGAGCTACTTGCTTATAACATGGGTTGCCATTCCGAAAACCCAAAAAATGGATTTTCTGGTAGGCTTTCGGCAAAAAGGAGAAACACGTAGCCTGGGACGTAACGCCCAGTTTCACGCTAGGGAGTTGCCCGATGGGTCGTGTGGACTCTGCTGGGCTTCCCCTTTCCAACTCCGTGCTCTCCTTCCCCACGAGGAAAAAACCATCTCTGAGAATAGACTAGGGCTAGGCTCTGTACTCCGCCAGAGTTGCTTACCTAGCATTGCCGTCCATCTCTGAAATGGCAAAACCTTGCTGGATATAATTAAAATATGAGTCGAGGCTGCATGGCCGGAGGCCATGCCCAGACGAAGACGTCATATTTTAATTAGCCAAATTCGAATCAGTCTCTGAAAACTTTGACCTTAAATTTGACGTAGAGTCAATCAGCCCAGCTATAGGCTCTGTTGAAGGTGGAACTACAATTACAATTAACGGCCACGGATTTTCAGATGTCTCAAGTTCTTTGATAATCATTATTGGAAACCAAGATCATGAATGTGAGAACTTAGTCGTGATATCAGCAGAACAAATAACCTGCACAACTCCAGCGTCAAGCGGCATGACTCTTGAACATGAATATACTGTAACTGTAATAGGAAGAGTTCAGATGGAAAGCAGGTGCACTGGGACTTGCAAATTTACATGGTCAGACTCAGTAACTCCAACAGCTACTTCAATTTCACCTAACAGTGGAGCTTTAGGAGATACCGTCACTTTGTCAGGCTTGACTTTAGGAACTGACCCAAGCAAAGTTCACTTATCATTCGGAGGAGTTGAAGCGACCATTACGTCATGCACCGATACTCAAATTGTTGCTACAGTTCCAGCTGTTAAAGGAGTCCATCCAACTTTGGCACTTTCAATTGATGGCCAAGGACTTGCAGATACATCTTCACTTGTGTTCAACAATAACGTATTTGTATCAGAGGTCAGTCCAAAGACAATTTCTCAAGGAGGAGAAGACATTACTATAACTGGTGGTGGATTTGATACTGGAATGACTTTTGCTTTTGGCTCAGTTTCTTGCACAGTGACTGGAATCACTGATTCTACTGCAAAATGCAAGGCAGGGGCTTATTCTGCATCTAGCTCTGCTCAAAGCCTCGTTATTTCTGGAACTGGCTCATATTCATGCTCAGACAGTTCTAAATGTGCAATCACTTACTCATCAGCGTTCACCCCTGTTTTAGGGTCATCGGTTTCAGGATTCTTAACAATCCCATTCACTGCCCCATCAGGAAATGGAGACGTAGACTCTACAAAAGTCCATGTATATCTTGGCAGCTACCCATGCACAATAACTTCTGTGTCAGCAAGCGAAATTGTTTGCACCCCAACTGCTCCAGCAGGGACTTATACTATTAAATTACACGTAGATGGGTACGGATACTCCACAGGGACCTTGAGCACCCAAATCAGCCTTTCAATAAATAGTGTAACTGCAGACCCATCCTCATATGAAGGTGGCCAAACAGTCACTGTGTCAGGCACTGGGCTGAGTGATAATTTAGGTGTCTATTTGTGCGGATTCCAATGCACTGTCGAAACTGCAACTGGGGATTCTTTAAAATGTTTGTCTCCTAAAGTAATTACAACTTACTCGCAAAACACCTTCAATTTAGCGAACTCTCCAACCAAACTCAGCAACTTTACAGTGATTTCTAGCGTCGCAACAAATGCTGCAAAGGCTTTTGATGGGGATGTAACTAGCTCTTATAGAGATTCTACCAATACTTTTGCATATGTCGGAGTTGATGCAGGAGAAGGACGCTATATCCAGCTTTCTCAGGTAACTCTGATTGGAGGAGGTACAGGAAATCAATATTATAGCAACTTAGTAGGCACTGTTGTTCAAGGCTCAAATGATAACTCAGCTTGGGACAATTTATACAACTTTACAACAGTAACTGATTACACCAACAAATGGAACGTCCCTGTAAATAATCAAGCTTCAGATAACTACCCTGTGTACACCTATAGGTATTACCGTCTCTATAAAGAATTCGCAGGCAACAACTATTACATCAATGAAGTCTCTATATTCGGATTTATTGGACTTTCAGTGACTGAAACAGACGTCACTTGTGACTTAACGACCAGCTATACTTCAACATCAGGAAGGATGCTTACAAGCTCAACCTCTTATGCCTCAGCAATCCAATACCAAGGCTCAATCACCCCATATATTACTGACTTCTCACCAAAATTCGGGACCAGTCTTGGAGGAGATATCATCACATTTACCGGCTCATTTGGTGCTTCCACAACAACCTCTGACGTAACCATTCTAATTGACGAAGTCACTTGCACAGTCATTTCAGTTACTAGTACAGAAATCCAATGCACAACCTCTGCAAGACCAAACTATGTTTCGCCTTCTCTTTCTATTACAATTGCTGGAGTTGGCTATGTGGTGACTCATGGCAAGACTTTCCTTTATGCTGAACGCTGGAGTGCATCTACAACTTGGGGCGGCGAAGTCCCTCCATTTGCAGGTGAAACTGTGCATATTCCTGTAGGCATGAACATTTTATTAGATGTAGCAACTCCTCATCTAGGGTTGATCCTAATTGAAGGAAGCCTTATAGTTGAAGATATCGAAGGACTTAGCATTGATGCAAACTACATTTTCGTTCAAGGTGGACTTTTGCAAATAGGTACAGAGGCAGAGCCATTCCAAAACAAATTCACTATAACAATCCATGGAGATAGAAGTTCCCCATTATTGCCATACTATGGCAGTCAGTTTATTGCTTTTAGAGGAGGAGTCTTGGATATTCATGGTGTTAAAAGAACTCCTACATGGACCTTTATAGATGGGACAATTACTCCAGGCGACACCAAATTCAACGTAGCAGAAACAGTGGACTGGAAAGCTGGGGAAGTGGTAGTAATCGCTTCTACATCTTTTGACCACAATGAAGCTGAAATGATGACTATTGCTTCAGTTAGTGGAAAAGAAATCACTGTGACTACTCCTTTCCAACATAAGCATTATGGACTTATTGAAACTTATGGTGATGATACTATGGATATGAGAGCTGAAGTCGGCTTATTGACCAGAAACATTTTGATTCAAGGAGGTCCTGAAGGGATTGCTCAAGAATGCGGTGTCCACGTCATGCTTTTTGCCCCTGGTGATGAGTCTTGCATTGGCAGAATTGAGTATGCAGAGTTCTATCATGCTGGGCAAGCTTATAGACTTGGAAGATACCCTATTCACTTTCATATGATTGGAAAAGTCAGCTTGTCCTATGTCAGAGGAAACTCAATCCACCATACTTTTAATAGAGCCATAACAACTCATGGTGTCCACTACCAAACCCTTGAAAACAACGTGGTGTACAGAAATAAAGGACATGCTTACTTCGTAGAAGATGGCATTGAGACTATGAACAAGTTCATCCATAATTTGGGTATTAGCACCATTGCATCATTTTCTCTGCTGAATACTGACCAAGAGCCTGCTACTTTTTGGATAACCAATCCTAATAACATTTTTATAGGAAACCATGCTGCAGGTTCAGATAGGTTCGGATACTGGATTGAGCCACCTGAGCACCCAGGCGGGCCATCAGCAACTACACTTATATGTCCTCCATTTATGCCTCTAGGAGAATTCAAAAACAATACTGCCCACTCTAATGGAAAATACGGTTTCAGAATTTGGCTTGGCCACGTGCCTCTTGCTAACCCTTGCTCTCCAGGCAGAGATAAATCCTTACGTGACCCATTCTCAGTCAACACCCCAATTACTGCTACCTATTATAACTACACAGGCTGGAAAAACGAGCAAGACGGCGCAATTGCTGAAGATGTCGGAGATGTCAGATTTGTTGGCTTTAAAGTAGCAGACCACCACAAGAACGGTATTGAAATTTCATACTCAGAGTTCTCCACACCTTACCAAACTGCCAGAATCCATGATGCTTTGATTATCGGTAAGTCTAAAAACACTGAAGATGACGTTGCTGGCGCAATTGGGCTAACAACTCCACAGACAGATGGACTTTTAATTGAAAATGTAAGGTTCCATAACTTTGACGACAAAATGTACCCACTTGGAGACGAATCCCACTCAGAAAATGTCCAGTCAAGAGATTGGGGTGGAGTTATGCACAAGTTTTCTGGACTTTCATTTACTAACTCCAATAAGAGAATTCTTTGGAATGTTCCATATAGAGGAATCTTCCACTTCCTTGATGACTCTTATAATGGTGTAGCTGGGTCTTATGTGACTGCATATTGGCCTCATTTGATAACTCCTGAGTGTGTCTATGAGGAAGACCTATACAACGCCATTAGTTGTGACTCAACTGTAGCTGTAAAAAGAGTCCTTTTCTATAATCATGTTCCTAATGGCATTTTCTCATTCCAGAATTTGAATATAAGAAGAACATCAGGAAATGAGCTCCCAACAGAAGATGTAGAAGTCACAGTTGATGGGACAACTTCAACTGTAACTCAGCCAACCTGGGGCAAACTCCCAATGACGAAATCATGTCAGAAGAAAGACCCACTTAAAGGATGGGGTATCCCAGTCGTGACTGGCTATAACTATACACTGTTCTGGGGAAGAGGATATCCTCTAGACTGGACTGAACTTGACATCAGGATTGAGCAGTTTGACTATGATGAAGCTGACAAGTGGGTGATAATCAGCATGAACTTTACAGACCATCGTGAAATGTTCAACCTCACCCGTGGAACCCTCCCATCATCTGTAGACACATCAGCTCCTGGTTTTGTAGATCCTACTAAACTGAAAAGAACTACCCATTTCAACGTAGATACCGACACTTCAGGAACATTTTACTGGGATAACTCAACAGATAACAGAAGAATCGACATCCTTCTCAACGGAGTCAATGACCACCAATACCAATATGGACCTATCCATGCTAAAGCTTGGAGATGCTACGGAGACCATTGCAGTACTCTTGAAACAACTGATGACAGCTTGAAGAATTTATCAGTCGTCTATTGGAGTGACCCTACTATTTGGCCAAACGGTGTGTTACCAACAGCCGGCCAAAACGTTTTTGTCCTAAATTCTTGGCATTTAATGCTAGATATTGATACTCCAAAATTCCACTATGTTGAAATTAACGGTCTTCTTGAATTCGACAGGACTAAAAACGTATAGAAAATTGCCTTTGAGTAGCGCGCTAAGCGTCCGAGACTTCCCGGCGAAGTCTGGGCGGTGGTTTGATCAGCTGATGTTGGTCAAACCAGCATCCAATTTGACAAATCTTCTATATGAGAAGAATTTGTCATTTTGGATGTTGGTTTGACCAACATCAGCTGGTCAAACCACCGCCCAGACTTCGTCGGGAAGTCTCGGACGCTTAGCGCGCTACTCAAAGGCAATTTCTATATCATTAAGCTCTGAATGGATATTCGTAAGAGGTGGAAAACTCACATCAGGAAGCGAAGAATACCCTATCCCACCTAACATTTTCCACACAATTACTCTTCATGGCCATCCAAACTCTGAAGAATTCGCATTTTCCAATGACGTTGAAGGAGGCAATAAGGTCCTTGCCATTACAGGAGAAGTCCAAATGCATGGATACCCTAAGACTCCATACTCTTTCTTGTCTCAAAATGCATATCCAGGTGACTCATTTATCTTTGTAGATAGCGTTGATTGGAGTGTAGGTGATGAAATTGTGATTGCCCCATCTGGCTTTGATAATACAGAAGACGAAGTCTTTGTGATAACAGACATAATTGGAGCTTCAGCCCAATATGTAATCCCTGCTATGAACAGCTCTAGGATGCTTGTTGACTTTGCAACTGATTCTGACTGGAATAAAGTCAATAACCTCAGAAATGTAGGGAAAAACCCTAACAGCATTGACCAAAGCTTGTCTCAACAGTCAGTTCCAGGCTCCTCTACTGGGATTACCAAGATTATGCTTAATAGCACCCTTAAATACTACCATTCTGGAGTCCAAATGTTGATCCAAGGAGTTACAGTTGACACCAGGACTGAAGTCGGAGTTCTAACCAGAAATGTTAAAATCCAAGGAGATGGCTACGTTGGCTGGGGCTGCACAACAATTGTCAGTGATTTCTATGATGTTTTGACCACCAGTGGTACCCCTGCTTACAGATATGGTAGAGTCAATCTTACAAACGTCGAGTATTCTAAATGTGCCCAAGAAGATACCACCAAGGGTTCTATCCGATTTGAGCTCGGTGGAAAGATCCCATCACGAGTCCATAACTCAGTCTTTAGAGACTCTTATTCATATGCAGCCTTTTTCCATCAAACCAGCAACGTGGAGTTCTCTAACAACTTCATCTATAAGACCATTTGGAAAGGAATTGTCGGCTCTGACATCAAAAATGTCACTCTTTCAAATAACGTGCTTGTCAAGACAGCAAATAGAGGATTCTTGAGCAATGCATTAGACGTCCCTGCAGGATTCTTTATATGTGGTGATAATCCTCTTTGCAGCAATGTATCGACAGTTGGAAACAGAGTAGTAGGGTCTGATAGCGTTTCCTTTATTCTTGGAGGGCAAAATTGTGATACCAATGTGGTTACCCATTATATTGCAGACAATGTTGCCCACTCTTCACTTTATGGTTATGTTATCAGTGGACAAAATAATGTGAAATGTGCTGCTGCAACTGGTCTAAAGGCTTGGTTTTGCCAGCAAGGTGTAGGCTCTCAAGGAGGATTAGTCAATAGATTTCAATTCTCAGGACTTGTACTAGTGGAGAATCAAATGGGTATTGCAATCAGAGGACAACATAATGATGACTTTGTACCATATGTCAGCACTATAACTGATAGCTTGATTGTAGGGAGAACTCAACAGAGCTATTGTGACCCTACAAATTGTACATCTGCAGACTGCGCTGATAGAAAAGGTATTGTAACAGGTGTCCATGATGTCAAGATCTTCGACCTTGAATATGACCAGAAAATGAAGCTTCCTCTCTATGATGCTAAAAAGATGGAATGCGGCTATGGCCACTGGGAATACTCAGGCACTACCTTTGTTAACTTACTCCCCCCTCCATGAGCGAACAAAAGTTATTTTAATAGAAAAAAAATTATGCGAGAAATTTATATATAAGTGATAAATAGTATCAATTCTCTAGCTAATTCTGTTTAATTTTAAACGAATTACGTTTTAAAGCATAAATTTTTTTAAATTAAATTGATATTTGCTTTCCAATTTTTACGAAGCTAGGATTTTTTTCAATTTCAAAAAGCAATTTTTATAAAATTTAATATATAAATTTTTTTAAAAAGAGCTAACCCCCTCTGTGAACGAACAAGATTTTTTTGTTTGCTCACAGAGGGGGAGTTAGTATTATATATTGACTTAATAGGTTTATTTTTTTTTTTTATTTATGGTTTTATAAAATTCAGCCTAAAGAGCGTAAAAACATCATGCGGAAGAGATTACGCTATCGGCGGAAATGAATTGGTTCCTAACTTGCCTCAGCCCAATCTGTTCTCGAAATCAACATTTATCAACGTAGACAAAGGATCAATAGCTTACATGCCAGAACCTGATAAAAGCTTAATTGGTGTTGGCTTTTGTGGAAACTGGGTATGCACAGGAGCTAATAACAACTTAATCCAAGACATTGACGGCACTATTACTGGCGGGTCTATCGGAGGAGCAGTAATTCCTTTAGTCCCAGGCATCGCAAACATAAACATATGCAAGCCATATACCCAAGGTCAGGTTTATATTTGTCCTTACGATACCACATCAGGTGAAGTCTATGAATTTGTCATCATTGAGTCATTAGACAGCGATAAATGGAACAGAACATTTTCACCATTAAACATTACTTCATTTGACGTCGGAAATGGCTTTGCCTTTAAGAGTTACAACTACGGAGCATTTAGAAATGACTTGAACGAATACGAAGATATGACTTGGGAAGGCTTCTATAGAGATAATTCCCATTTAAGCAGGTTTGGATCAATCATTTATACAGGACAGTATTACAATTTGACAACTACTGGGACTCCTCCAACTAAATTCTCAATTGTAACTGAAGCTTCTGTTGATCAATCTAGAGGATTCGTTATGGCACTTAGATATGATAGCCCAGTCATTGTAGATGTATACGTCAATGGTACAAAAGTAGACGCAATTGAGTATGTGAGCGGTGAAAATACCCCAGTTGTTCAGCTCACTGACCCCACAGGAACAAATAGATGGTTCCATGAAAACGCTACTATTCAATGGGTCCAAAAAGGTCACGCAAATATCACGCTTGTCCAAACAAGCTCAGTCAGACTGACAATGCAGCTAGACATGACACTAAAGGAGTATTACAGCGATAACACTCGTGCTACCTTAATTGACAAGCTTGCATCAGTCCTTGGCATCCCATCTTACAGAATAAGAGTTGCAAGTGTCTTAATTTAACTTAAATCTGGCTATTATGAATCTTTATCTTTATATGATTTAGAGGTCGTAAGACCATTTTATGGCGAGCCAAAGCTCACCGCGCTAGGCCTTATGGCCTTAATTACCCACCGCTAGCGACGACAAGGTAGTTTATCTCCTCATCTCACGCCCGTTGTCTTGGCCAGAACACCCGTCTTCGATTTGATTACACCCCATTAGCTTGCGTCTCCTCCATCGGAGTCCGGTGAGCTGCGGACTTGCTTCCATCTTGCCTTAGACGATCCACCTCTCTGCCAACTCTGAATTGCGCAGAGACTCGTGCAGCCTACACTGCCCAGTCTTCGTCCCACACTCCTTGATGCCAGTCTATCTCGCCAGCCATCCTATCCCAGGAGCCCTGAGTCCGTTGACCCGATGGTAGGCCCGGCTTGAGGAAAAGCTCAAGGTTTGCTGAGCCAAAAACCTCACCTGGGGAGAAATAAATAACTTAATTTAAGCATGCTCTAGGTCGGTCGAGCATGCTTTCTCGGACATTTATTTCTGGCTATTATGAATCACTATCGTCCAGACACACTTTCTTATTCGCCCAAACTTATGAAGTCATAGTCCATCTTGAGCAGCTGCTCAAGTTTTCAATCCAGACTTTATTAGTCAGACACCATAGACTCGTGAGTCGCATTGGCCAAGTTGCTACTTGACTCTTGCGCATGTTCCTATAAAGATCAGCTCTGCCCAGAAGTCAAGTGGAGTAATCTATGCCTCTTAAAAATCAACAAGGTCTTCAGAATTGCTACTTGGTATAATTTGCTGAAGGCTCGCTTGTAGAGCCAAGCCCCTTAATATAAAAAAAATTCTGGAAAATAAAAAGTTCTCATAAAGAGCTTATTCAGGCAACACCTTTTTATTATTATGAGTTGCAAGTGTCAAGCAAGGCTCAGTCATCCTCAACATGTTCATTAAACCAGATGAAACCTTATCTGGACAAACAGACTCTACAGGTGCTAAAGCACAAGATAAAGAGTTAGCCAGCATTAACACATTAGTTACTTCGCTTGCATCTACTGGGAAACTTAGCCAAGCTCTTGGAAAGACTGTATTAAGCATAGACTCCCAAACTTCTATAGTCAATTCCACAGCTAGTGTAGCAGTAAATACTGGAGGAAGCGGAAACACTGGTGGAAATACTGGCGAAGGAAATACTGGCGGAGGAAATAATGGTGGAGATCCAGGTACTGGAGGTGGAAACACTGACAACGGAGGAGGGTCTAATATCGTCTTTAAAGGCACTTTTAATGAAGCAGTCAGCGACTGGGTTATTGGACTTCTTGTCGGCATTATTTTAGTAGTCATGGCAATTGGGTCGATCATTGCTTATGCATTTAGCAAGAGAAAGAGATTGTTCCTTGCAGAGCCACCTTCTGCTAAGGTTATCCCAATTCTAGAAGAAGTTGATGAGCAGCATGCAATTTCCTTTGACTCTCCTAAAAAACAAGCCTTTGAATTCGAAGCTGGAGACGCTAGAGACTTGCATAAAATCTTTACAAAAGAGGAAGAAGGAAAAGAAATGGACCAAGGACAAGTAAAGACACTGGAAGGTGAAGAGAGAAAGGTCATTCGTCATGCATCCCTTGTGGATGTTTAGTCTCAAGTAGACATAATAAATAAGTTCAATTACTTAATTTAAATAAAGAATCATAAATGGATTATTTTATTGTTTAGCACCATAAAAAATGATTTTTATGGGCTATTTACTAGAATAAATAGATTGGAAGCAAATAAGACAATTTTATAATTTTATTAGTATTAAATTAATTTATAAAAAATGGAAAATTCTGATACTTGAAAATAATTTAAATGCCTTCCTTTTATTTTGCATAAGATCTGCATTAAAATTATTTTTATCACAATTGGATTAAAGTTTAAGGTAAAAATGAAAGCAAATGATTCATAAAGAATACTATATAAGCCTTAGTAAGGGTTTAAAGTAACTTGCTATGCTAAATTTCTCCCATAATTTTGACTACCTTTTTTCACTTTAATTGATATGATATCCGGCATTTATATAAATCTAGAATATTCTATTTCTTATCATTTAATCTGTAGTAAAACAGTTTAATATTTTATTTAGCTTAATTCTCTAGTTAAATTTTATTTCAAGCCAGTTTGCTAACTATGGAAGTATAATTACGATAATCTAAAGATTATAAATATTTCTAGCGATTTCAGGATATTTTTGTAAAAAGTCTCATATTTTATTTTCAGAGCAGATTTAACATATTTTTTTGCTCTTATTATTAAATTTATGCTTCAAAATTTTAGCTCAGTTCATAAATCGTATATTTATTTACCCTCTCTGGTATTAATAAGGATTGCATTGAATTAATTCGCCATCATTAAACTTATAATAATTAGATGCTTTCGTCAATATTTTCCAAGGTAGAAAGCCTTACAGAGAGCCATTTCTGGTCACCTCATGAAAACCATGATCGTGAAGATCTGGGAGAAATTGTATATCAAGGGACTTTGAGCAGACAAAATCCATCTGGCGGTCTCCGTCTTGAGACTTATTATTTAACCAGTAAAAAGCTCATTTATTTCCAAAATTCCAATGGTCTTACGAAATACAGCAATTTGAGCTGAAAGGTGATCGAGCCTTTTGTTGAAGAAGAAGCCTCACGAAGATATGGATTTTGTATTTCTTATGGGAAAAAATGTAAATATTTTTACACTAAGTCATCTGACGATCTAGATAAATGGCTTAACCATTTATCGTTCTCCGCAATTATGACAGATATAGAAAATGATTATTTGTTCCAAAAACAAATTGGGACAGGGAGTTTCGCAGCAGTTTATTTAGCGAAAGATTTAGATAGCAAAAAGTCTTTCGCGATAAAATCAATAAATAAAGTTGTGATACAAAGAAATAAAAGAAACTTAGACCAAATTATCAGAGAAATCGAAATAATGCGGCAAATCGACCACCCAAATATTGCTAACTCCCCCCCCCCATCCTTGATCGAACGATTGACTGTAAAAATTCCTAAAAATTGGGAAAATTAACCCCCATCCTTGATCGAACGATTTTCATATCATGCAAATTTTTATATATATAAAAATATATTATTTATCAAAAGCTTGGGAAGATGTGCATAATGAAGTTGTTTTCAGAGGCTTTGAGACGACAGAAAGCTGCGAAATCAACCATCCGAAGTGATTTTTAGTCATTAACATATGCTTAAAAACTCAATAATCTAATAAAATACAGATTCTTTAAAATTTTTTTAAAAAAAATTAATTTAATAAGGAGCAAATTAAAATTTATACAGTTTTAAAGGGGTAACTAATAAATCAAAATATTAAAAATTGGTATTTTATGAAATAAATTAAATTTTTTGCTGTAAAAAAAATAATTATTAAATATTCTTAACCCTCTTATTTAAAAGTAAATAAAAAAAATATCTATATATTTTTTATTTAATATATAAATTTTTTTTCCCGAAAAATTTTTTTTTTAACCCCCATCCTTGATCGAACGATGGCGAGTCGTTCGATCAAGGATGGGGGGGGAGTAAGCTTTATAAGATTTATGAGAGTGAGACTCATGTCCATCTGGTCCTCGAATATGTTGCGGGAGGCACACTCTTACAGAGGCTAACCACAAAAGGACCATTTTCAGAAGAAAAATCGGCAAAATTCATAGAGAAATTTTTGAAGGTTTTGCGGTACCTTTGCCAAAACAACATTGTACATAGAGATATTAAGCCAGAAAATATCTTAATGACCGATGAAAATAAAGACACAAGTTTTAAATTAATAGATTTTGGGCTTGCATGTGTATATACTGGAAATTTAACCTCTAGCTGTGGATCGCCAGGCTACGTTGCCCCAGAAATTTTAAGAAAAATTCCTTATGATCCAAAAGTCGATGTTTTTAGTGCTGGCATTATTTTGTATATAATATTATCTGGCAGAGCTCCATTTTCAGCCGGATCTCCAAAAGAAACACTAGTAAAAAATAGAGAGTGCTTCATAACATTTTCTGAAAAATATTGGGGTAATGTCTCCAGACAAGCCATAAATGTTGTTCTGAGACTTACCCAGCCTAATCCTTTATTAAGGCCTACTGCAAAAGAAGCCTTAGCTTATGAATGGTTTAGATGGAAAAGTAATGAAAACATGCTCTTAAAATCTACACCTACAAGCTTTAGCGGCGTTTGGAGCAACTTGCCAACAAATCCTTCACCTGTAGATACGAGTAAAAAGGGCTTGTCATCTAATAGAAGTGTAAGAATGTTTCCGTTTCTCGGTGAAAAAAATCGTATAAGCATGAAAAAGTTTAATAATCCGAAACTAGCAAAAAAGATTTCAATGGATTTGAGAAGAGAAATTGAAACTCCAAAGATCAAAGTAAAAATACATTCATAATAACCCCCCCCCTCCGAGAGTGAACAAAAACATTAGAAAAATCGCTATTTTTTGCCCAAAAACCCACCCTCCGTGAGCGAACAAATTTTTTTAAATGATAATTTTTTATGGAAAAAAAAAATGTTGATATATAAGTAATAATTAATATAATGAAATCTCTAGCTAATTCTGTTTAATTTTAAACAAATTGCGTTTTAAAACATAAATTTTACAAATTAAATTAATATTTGCTTTCCAATGTTTATAGAAGTGAAATTTTTTTTAATTTCACAAAAACAATTTATAATATAAATTTTTTAACTTCCCTCCGTGAATAAACAAAATTTTTTTTGTTCACTCACGGAGGGAGGGGGAGTAAGTAAATTGTTTTTGTAAATTTTTAATTAAGTTATTTGAAAATATTTCAATAATTTTCTTTTGAATTAAATTAAATATAAAAATTATTAATTTTAAATAAAATAATTATTAAGCCATAATTTAATTATTTGTCATCAATACATGTCGATAGCAGCCTATTGTAAAATCGTTCTGTGTATTTTTGCTCCTGCATTATCTTTTCTGGAGTAGCATTAAAAGCATGGCTTTCTCTATATGGCAGCTTGCATTCAGAACTAACAAGAGACATATATTTTGGCTCTTTTTTCAAATCAAAATAAGGTGGCATTCCACATCCAACTTCAGAAGCATTTTTTCCATATGAAACTTCATTAAATTCATACCACATTCATTGATATAAATTTACCAGAGCTCTGAATACTGGATATTTATGAAGCATATAATATTTTCACTCATAGCTCACCCTTACTTTAGGATTAATATAAATTTTATCATATCCCTTTTTCCTATAATCTGTGCATATCAGTAAGCACTCGCTTTGTGGGCATTCACAATTTTCTGAGTCATATTTTCTAGGCCTAAATTTGACACCTTGTTTTAAGATAGGTTCAGCATTAAGGATTGCAATTCCATTTCAGCACGAATAAACTTCAAAAGGCTCATTATTTTTTATTAAGACCTGAGACTCGTTGTGACGAGTAAATGGATAATTCCCAGAGAACCAGTACCCTTCTACATCCCTTGCAACTAAAGTATCATAAAATTCATAATAAAAATCTAAAGGGCATACAACGTCAAAATTCCCTTCTTTTGTGTAAATCAATTCCAGAATTTCGTCAGCTGTAAAATAAATATCATTGAGAAACACAATTTTTGTAGGCCATTCATTATGCTCAAAGGTGTGGTCATATAAAGGTAAAAGTGCCACATTACGGATTCCAGCCATTTTTCGATATCGATACTCGGCCTTCATTTTAAAGACTTTTTTGGAAAGTTCTTCTCCTAATATTTGTTTTCCTTCCCATGCATTACTTCCTGTCATATTGCACACAATAATTGTGTTAGGAATATCCAAAGATTTCTGAAATTCCTTTAATAGTGAAGCAGTGTCATCTTCGCTGCCGTTTTCAAAAAAACTCACATAGAGGTTCTCACCATTTCTAAGCTCTTTTAAGAGTTTTTTTATTTCAGGGATTGTGTATTCTAAGGCTTCTTGTGAGTTAAAATAATTTGCAACTAAAAAGTAGTTTTCGTTGATACGCTTATGAGGACTTGAAGTCGTCTGGAACATTACATTAGCATTAACTTTATGATAGATTAGGGGGCTCTTCCTCCTTTTAGATTTCACCTGAGGCTAGTCTTCGTAGAAGACTTGTTCAGCTGCTAGCGAACCTCTGTGGGTATGTGTCAGCATTTCCATCAGAGGTAGCTCTCCATCGGCTTTCAGCCTGGCTCTTAATGCTGTCTCGAAGCCTTGGAGTATGCAGGTTTGAGACTTGACGGCTTGAGTGACTAAAGTTCCAGCTAGGGATAAGCTCGCTAGCTAGTATCGGTATCAACTATACCTTCGTCGTCGTCGTCGGGACTAGTGGCTTCTAGGGCTAAAAAGCATTTTTTTCCAAAAGTCTATTGGGAAAACTGTAGGACGAGGGAGGCAAAACTCACCAGAACACACAATGCCCAGTACCTGTAGACTCCATTTCTACTCGGTTAGGCTTCAAGTTGCAGTAATGTCCCCAAACTCGAGGCAGGTCTGGAAGAGGACGGGTCAGTGGCATCACCATTATTTTGTTGAAGTCGTCTGAAAAAGAAAAAAAGTGCATGCAAGGATTCCTGCACTCAAAATAACTAAAGTCCCTAGTTTCATTATATTCATATTTTACTATCTACTTAAACGTGTACATATTTAATGCTGGCTTTTCTTTGTTTATTGGTCGGAACTGCTCATGCACTTTTCTTTAATCTCCCAGGTAAAACAGAACAATGCTTTGCGGTCACAGTTTCCAGAGGAGCAGAACTATGGGGTGTCTATATAGTTTCTGGGGAAGGCGATCAAAATGTTCTAGCTCGTGTAACAGGGCCAGATGGTCGTGTTCATTTTCAAAGCAAGCCAAAGGCACGTGAAGGGTCTTTCGAACTGACTCCAGAGCCAACTGGTGACTATCGTTTGTGCTTCCAAGCTAAAGACAGCCGTCAGAAGACAATTTCCTTTGAGTTTTCCAGCCAGGAAAAGGTCGTAGAAGATAAATTAGCTACTGAAGAAGAAATGACACCTTTAAAGGAAACCTTAAAACAATTATCTAGGAACTTAGACAGCGTCTATAGAAATATTCACTTTTACGAAAGAAGAGAAAAAATACACAGAGACTTGGCTGAAAGGACTTGTGATAGAGTGCTGTGGAGCGCCATGGGAAAGATATTTGTGCTTTGCGTGATCAGTTTAATGCAGATTTTCATGTTGAGAAGCTTTTTCGATTCTAAAAAGTCGACTGGGGTATAAGTAATAAGAAATATTAGTTAAAGTAATTATGCAATAGGAAATTCCAATAAAAATATAATTTTAAATATATCCTATTAATATCAAATAAAAATGCTATTCAATTATGCAAAAAAACTTAATAGAGCAGATTATTTATTTTACAAAATCAATAATTAGGCATCTTTATTTAAATGGAAAACCCAAATAATTTCCCAGTATTGTCAAGAACACATAACAATATTTTGCTAATCACACTAAATAGAGCTTCAGCTCTCAACTCACTCAATCTAGAAATGCTTGGAATCTTATCACAAATAACTCAGGAAGCAGAAAAATCAAACTCTCCAATAATTTTTATAGGCGAAGGACGTGCATTTTGTGCAGGAGGAGATATAGTGAGCATTGCTAAAGGTGACACAAGTCCTGAAGAGTTTTTTGGGTCAGAGTTTACCTATTTCCACTATTTATCCAGGCTTCATACAGAAAGAATTGCAATTATGGACGGTATTGTTATGGGCGGAGGTGTAGGGCTATCAATGGCTTGTTCTAAAAGGATAGCAACACCAAAGACTTTATGGGCCATGCCTGAAACTGCAATTGGTTTTACGCCAGATGTTGGATCTACTTATTTTCTAAATAGAATAAATCCACCTGAGCTAGGGCTTTATTTAGCCTTAACAGGTGACAGATTATCTGGTGTTGACTGTTTTTTATTTGGAATTGCAGATTATTATATAGAAAATAGTATAGAAACTGTAAAAAATCAATTAATTCAAGAAGATTTTGCCACTGTTTTAGCAAGACATCATACAGATCCAAATCCAAGCAATTCAAAAATTATGCAAAATATCCAAAACATTAGATATTGTTTTGAAACTCATGGAAATCTAGAAGGCATTTTAGGAAAACTCAATAATTTGAATAATCAATGGTCTACACAAGTTCTTGAAAAATTGCAAGAAATGTGCCCGCTGTCGCTAAGGATTGCATATGAGTCTTTTAACAGAGGAAGACACATGAATTATGCGGAATGCTTGATAATGGAGTATAATCTTGTAATACAGTTAACAAAGCACAGAAATTATAATTTCAAAGAAGCAGTCACTCATATACTTTATTAGATTAATTTAAAAGTTTAGTATCATTTAGAAATTAGCAATTATAGTTATTCAAGTATCACATTATCATTTCTGCAAAGTATAAATTCATAAATAAAGCCAAAGGCAAGCCTAATTGGAACCCAAGCAGCATTTCTGAAGTTGGGGACTCATTAACACTAACCTCTCCCTTCTTTAAATTGGAGCAAAATATCGGTAAAATTTTTATTTTTTAGGTAAACTGCTCAATTTATTGGAACAAAATTTTTAATGGAAATTTTATGTTGAAAAAAGTCTAATTTTATGTAAAATAGCTTTGATCTTATTTAATAAAGGTAGTTCAAGTAGAATATATAAACATTTATACCCTAAATTGATTAAATTCTTGAATGAATTCTTAATAAAAATCAATTAAAATTTAAAGATATTGCATTAATTAAGAATTTTTATATTAACTTTTAAAAAAAACTTTGAAATTAGAACAGAATTTTTTTCCAATTTGAACCAGGGAGGGGAAGTAAGTTACTTCCTTAACACAGAAGGCCCAAGATTATCCTTACCGCGGCTTTAATTAATCCTTATTAATTTTATTCCAAATAAATTAGAGAGTTCCACGTCATGTTCTACACACTGACTCTTTTATCTCTTTTTTCCGTCATTTCCTACTGCAAGACATGCTTAGAAATAACAGCAGATTCTGAAGACAAGTATATTAAAGAATTATCAAAAGATGTTGAATTTGATGACAAGTAAACGATATTTAGATGCCTAAAAGATCTCATGGTCAAGCAATGGTGGCAAGCATCAATCGAACTCTCTACTTTTGCCATACAGAAAGACCAACAGATAGACCCTTCCTTTAAAGCAGAGGCTTTAAATACTAACTCCTCCTCCGTGAGCAAACAAAAAAAATTTTGTTCGCTCATGGAGGGTTTTAATTTTTCTTTTTCGAAATTTAAAATCTCAACAATTGGAAAACATATATTTATTTATTTATTTATTTATTTATTTATTTTTTAAAGTGCAATCTGTTCAAAATTAAACAGAATTAGCTAGAGATTTCATTATACTAATTATCCCTTATATATCAAAATTTTTTTCATAAAAAATTTCTATTCGCTCACAGAGGTGGTTTTTTTGGCAAAAATAAGGAATTTTCCAATGGCTTAGTTCGCTCACAGAGGGGGAGTAAGAAAAAGGTAGAAAAATTGATTTCATTAATAGAAAATCAAGGGAAAATCAATACGGTTTCTCCAGCTTTCCAATGGGCCCAATCCCCAGACACTGTTTTTATTGAAGTGAAATTTTCCCACAGATGGGATTATCCAGGCTGTCTTGAAGTCAGCGACCCAGAAGTCTCAATCAAAGAAGACAGAATCATTACATTACATTACATTAGAATTTATATCGCTTAACGTCCACTACGGGGTTACAACTCCAGGTTTATCACTCGCCTTTCGTCGCATCGGGCCCACCAGTCTGCTGGAGACAAACTCGCTTCGATCACCAGGGTGCTTCCAGGGCAAATGTCCACGTCTTCGACGGCTCATGGATGAGCTACTTGCTTATACATGGGTTGCTTTTCCGAAAAACCCAAAAAATGGATTTTTTCTGGTCGGCTATCGGCAAAAAGGAAAAATGCAAAGCCTGGGACGTAACGCCCAGTTTCACGCTAGGGAGTTTGCCCGAATGGTCCAGAGGGATTTTGCTGGGCTTCCCCTTTCCAACCTTGCACCCTCCTTCCCCACGAGGAAAAATCCACCCCTGAGAATAGACTAGGGCTAGGCTCTGAAAGCTACCAGAATTGCTTACCTAGCATTGCTGTCCATCTCTGAAATGGTAAAACCTTGCCGGATATAATTAAAATATGAGTCGAGGCTGCATGGCCGGGAGGCCATGCCCAGACGAAGACGCCATATTTTAATTATCCAAAGAAGACAGAATCACCTTTACTGGAATGTGCAGCAGATCGAACCAAAGGATAAAAATTGCTTTGGATCTAGAACTTTACAATAAAATTGTCCCAGAAGCCAGCACTTATTCTATGAAATCTGGAGGCAGACTGAATTTCACCTTGAAAAAATACGAGGTCGAAGCATGGGCTAAGCCAAATAAAGGGAAAAAACTAAGCAATGCTACTGTTTGGTGGGAAATGAGAGACAAGTATAGAAAAGAAATGAATGCACTAACTGGAGAAGAAGACGATGAAGACTACAAAAAACCAAAGAAAACTGGGCTAGAAGATTTAATGGACAATCCTAATGTAGTTATCAAGGACTCGTATGTCGATGGAAAGAAAATTGATAACACCAAAGAAAAGCAGGATCTTTAAATAATAGAAGTTACCAAATATTAAAACATTAATTTAAAAGCGCAGGGTTAGGAGAGTTTTGGTACTCTCTGTCTATATCTGCTAGTTCTTTTCTAGATAATGAGATGCTAAATGCAGCTCTAAGTAGGGAATCTGCATCTAAATTGGTTTCTATTCTTCGTATAGCCATCAGCAGATTTTCAAAATCTAGATCTCGCAGCTCATTTTTGTACAGTTTAAAGAATCCTAAAAAGACCCGGAAAATAATTTTTGGACCTTCTAGTAAAAAGCAGTCCCATATTCTCAGAACTGTGTCTATTTTAAATGAAAATATATACTCTTACGAAGAGCTTGTAAGCTCCTTTATTAAATTAGGTGTTATATAAAAATGGAATTTACTAGGATTTGCTTACTTTAGGCTTTAGTGAATTTTAACTGGCGAGAAGCTAATTTATAGAATATTTACTCCCCTTGCGCCTAAACAAAACCATTGGAAAAATACCTATTTTATGGGTAAAAGCCTACCCTTTGTGAAAAAAATGTTGTAAATGTAAAATTTTTTTTATAAAATATTTTGATATATAAGTGATAAGTATTATAATTAAATCTCTAGCTAATTCTGGTAAATTTTAAGCAAATTGCATTTTTAAAAAGAATTTTTTAGAATTACATTAATTCTTACTTTCCAATTTATGCGAATTTCGATTTTTTTTAATTTAAAAAAATAAAATTTTGATTAAAATAAATTACTCCCCCCCATCCTTGATCGAACGATTGACTGTAAAAATTCCTAAAAATTGGGAAAATTAACCCCCATCCTTGATCGAACGATTTCCATATCATGCAAATTTTTTATATATTAGTTATCAGAAGCTTGGGAAGATGTACATAATGAAGTTGTTTTCAGAGACTTTGAGACGACAAAAAGCTACGGAATCAACCATTCGAAGTGATTTAGTCATCAACCTAGGCTTAAAAATTTAATAATCTAAAAAATAGAGATTCTTTAAAATTTAAAACAAAAATTTTTTAATTCAATAAGGAACAAATTAAAATTTATAAAGTTTTTAAAGGGGTGACTAATAAATCAAAATATTAAATATTTGTATTCTTATGAAATTAATTCAAATTTTTGCTATAAAAAATAATTATTAAATACTCTTAACCCTCTTATTTAAAAGTAAATAAAAAATATATATATATATATTTTATTTTATATATAATTTTTTTTTCCCAGAAAAAATTTTTTAACCCCCATCCTTGATCGAACGATGGCGAGCCGTTCGATCAAGGATGAGGGGGGGGAGTTAGAGAAAAAAAAATTTTTATGTTCGCATATGGAGGGAGTTAGTATAAAAAATAAATTAAAAATTTATAAATTGCAAATTTTCAATAAAAAGGTAAACAATGAAAATATATAATAGATGATATCATTCTCTATTTTGAACTATAAACAAAGTCATAAATCATTGTGTAGCATAAATTTGGGGGTAGAATTCTACATCAGAAAACTTTTTCCATAAAGAAGGTTCATGCAGTTTTAGCAAATAATTTGCTTTATATAAACTTTGATAGACTTTTGTCATCCCTTGCATATAATAGCCCCTCATTTGGTAATTGTACATAAAGCTCACTAGCATCCAAAAAGAACTTTCTTCATCCATATGCATCAGAAAAACTCCAACGATATATGCCATTCCTTGACAATACCTAGATAGAAATAAAATGGTGATAGTGACGGAAATTAGGCACTCCTTGTGGATAATTTGGACCCATCCCGATGAAGCTAAAAATAGTGCCTCTATCCCTTTGAAGTAGGCCTTCAGGTTTTGAGTATGCCTTGCGAAGAGGCAATTTTGTTTCTCCACCAAAAGCTTTTATGTTCCTGCCAGATAGGCCAGACAGGTTTTACCTACTACATGGTCCTTCCTTATCGGACCATTGGAGTACTCTTCTAGAGGTTGCTCTGCTCTATGGGGCTAATCTTTTGGAGATATTGTTTAGATTCGGAAATCCAAAAAGCAGCCTTCCATTTCTTATTTGAACTCCGAGGTATACGGAGACTGACTTTTTGGAACCAAGACAAGGCAAATACTAGTGGTTAACTCCGCTTATCGCCAGATTAATTAATTAACTTAATTAACTTGACAATATCCAATTTCTGGATCTAAAAACGCATAAGCTCTCAAAACGTTGGTCAGAGAATGCTGACCGTCTTGGCCCATAAATAGCACATGCTCAGGGAAGGTCCGATTTACATCTTTTGTAATATCATGCATACAAGGAGGGTCTTCTTCACGGTTACAAAGCCTAAAATATAGGTGATTGGGGTAGCTGTTTTTCACTTCAAGACCTTTGCATAGCATAAATCAAGCCCTGCTGCGGATGTTGCTAGGGATACCTTTGCGACATCTACGTTTGAGAGCTTTATATTTTGAAGTTGAGTAGTTTGAATAGTCAGGCCAGTTCGCTAGCATGTTAATCCACTTCTCAATGCGAGCATTCACCTGAAAATGTGTTAATGTGCTGTCAGTTCTTGGTTCATTTGAAATAAATCCATGCTTATCTATATGCTCAATCATTTTTTCTTATTCATGCTGAGAGAAAATTTTTAAATTTTTTATGTTTAGACTAAATTATTAAAAAGTCTTTTGTGCTCGTTTAATTTGCCTTGCCAAGCCTTTAACGTTCATTAGAGATCTGATATCATTGAAATCAATTTTTCCTTTAGCTGTGTTTTATTTGTAGCATATTCATAAAATTGTGGCATTCGTTAGCTGCCAATCTGCTGATCAAAATTTTGGTTTTTATATGAATTCTATCCCAATGAAGACTGATAAACAACTTGGAGGAGTACCCTCTGGCAAGCCCAAAGGAAGATGAAAGACCTATGGTTTTAGCACTTCTATTCAGTGGCAGCAAGAAGCCTTAGTTCTCAGACGGCGCCAAAGAAGTAGCAGAGGTGAGCCGTGGAAACTGGCAACTACCATTTGAAGTGTGCCTTAGTGAGGTTCTATCGGAAAAGCAGGTCAACCCAGAAACCTGTGAACCTAACACATCCAAAAACAAGGAAGCCCTGGTGCTGGTAACCCCATAGTGGATATTAAGCGTTACAAATCTTAACGCAATCTATCAATTTGTTGCAGCTCTTTTACCACTTCCCAGAATTTTCTTAATTCCATATCTTGCTCTCTAAGCTTATCTCTAAGCTTTTCTTTCTGCGATTTAATCTTTGTTTCATCTTGGATTCTATTTTGTCGATCCCTTGCTGATTCTTCAATAAGCTTTCTATTATCTTCACAAGCCCCATTTAATTGTTCTTTAAGCGTTTTAATTTCAAGAATCAAGTTGTCACAAATTTCTCCCCATTCGTTTTTTTGTTTATGTCTCAGTTCTTCTTTGGCGTCAATTTCTTCCATCAGCCTTTCTCTATCTAAATACAGCTGCTTATCTTTTTCTTCCAATTCTAAATGAATTCTTTTAAGCTCTTCTTTTATATCAATTTCTGTTATTAGCTTTTCTCTTTCAAAATGCAGCTGTTTGTCTTTTTCTTGTAGCTCTCTGTGGAGGTTTTCTATATCTTCTTTATATCTCTGGCTGTTCAATTTGTTTTCTTCTTCTAATCTTCTTACCTCTCTATGTAAATCTTGAATTTCAGCTCTTGCTAGCTCATCTCCTTTCCTCATATGATTTAATGCATCTTGTAACTGATTTTCTAATATTTTTGCCTCAGATTTAAGCCTTTCTATTTCTCTTTCCTTCATGACTTCTAGTTTTGCAAGTTTGCCTGTGTCTGTTTTTCTGGAAATTTCTAGCTCTTTTTTAGATTTATTTAGCATATCACGCATGTAATTGATTTCTGCTCTTAAGTTTGCTGACTGAGAAGAGTCAACAGACTGTTGTGATTTAATTATTGCTTGGAAATTTTCAATATCAGCATGAAGATGTTCAATTTCTTCATTAAGTGAAATTATTTTGTTTTGAAGCTTATTAGTTTCGATATTTTTTCTTTTGGAGTTTTCAATACTTTCATTGTAGGACTCAGTCAATTTTTTTAAGCTAGATTGAAGCTGGGCGATTTTTTCATTGTGATCATCTTCAGAAATGCTGCGTCTTTTATTTGAGGACAGCTCTTTATTATGTTCAATTATAGCTTTCAATTGGTTCTCGTATTTTATTTTGGCTTTGTTTTTTGCTGCTTCCATATCTTCTTTCATTGCTCTTTTAATGTCAGCTTTTTCTAATGCAGAAATCTTGCTCAGCTGCTCAATGAGCCTTAGGACCTCTCGGAATGAAGACGCAGTTTTTTCTATTTCTTTAGAGAGATATAATGCAATTTCTTCAATTTCGGATGCTTGGTCGTTTGTATAATCTTTGCTGTTGGAGCTCCTGATAGCTGTAAGAGGTTTTTTAATTTTTTTAATGCTTTCTATAGCGTTTTCTAATGAAATATTCTGTTTTGTCATAAGGTCTTTGATTTTCAGAAAATCAGATTGGCCTGAAATTTCGTTTTGAAATAGCTCATTAATTTGTATATTTTTGTTTTTTAAATGTCGCTGAGAGCTTGATGATAGCTTAGGTGGTTCCTCTTCTTCCTTGAACATACTTCTTTTTAGTCCCTGTGTTTCTATATAATTCAATGTTTTTCTTGAGCCGTTGTCTTCGTTCAAATGAAAATCAATAATTTCTTTTGCTTTTTCTTTAAAAAAATTGTATTTTGTATTTGGAATTTCTTCGTCAATGCTTTCTTTGCTAGCAGTTAATAACTTTCGCTCAAGTATGATTTCAGTGGGTGATTTTTCTCTTATTTTATCCATTTATCATATAATTTGAAGGAAGTTAAAAATCTGAAATCGATAAGGATAATTATGATCTCAAATTATCATTTTAAATATTTTAATATCATTGCAATTATAATAGAAATATAACAAAGACTAAATTCGATCAAGCAAGCCTACTAAAATTAACAACATGATAAATCTTAATAACCCTAAAATTTGGTCTTATATGTCTCATTATATTATTATAAATCGAAGATATTTTTTTACTAATTTCAAATATGAGACTAAATTTTGCCAAAATTAATAGCAATTTTATTTAAAATGAAGCTCCTCTTTTTCTTAATAACAGCTTTTGCCCACATCAGCATTCCTCTAACTCGTAAAATAGACTTACCTTTTTTGCAATACTTCACAAATCCCTTGCTACTTGTCACAAACATTTCAACCCCTCTCAATAATTATGAAAATGTATCTTATAAGCAGGTGCAATACAGAGGAAACGTAAGCATAGGCACACCTCCTCAGTATTTCGAGCTGACCTTTGATACTGGCTCTTCTGTATTTTCTAATTAGTGAATTTGGGTCGTTTCGAAAGAATTTTCATCTAATTGTCATCCTACAAAATCTCAATTTATTTCTAATTCGTCATCAACCTTTATACCTACGAATACTACAATTACTTTAAATGTACAGTCCAATTAGTATAACAAAGGCAAAGCAATTGGCAAAATATCTGAGGAGTCAGTTGCTGTAGGAAGCCATGCACAATTTATAGCGAAAAAACAGAAATTCGTGCTTGTAAACAAAGATTATGATTTTGGAGCATTAGAAGCAGATGGAATATTAGGATTAGGGTTTAGTAGGCTATCTGAAGGGTTTAATACTTTTATTATGAACTTAAAAGAGCAAGGGGTAATTGAAAAGGCTGTTTTTGGGCTTTATTTGAATGATAATGAATTCGGTGATTCTACGCCGATTCCAAAATCAAATATAATATTGGGAGGCTATGATTTAAATCAATATGCTTTATCAAAAGAAATTACCTATGTTAATGTTTTCGACGAGACTGGATACTGAGCTGTTCATTTGCATAGTGTCAAGATTGGCAATAGTCAGCTAATGCTGAAGTCAGCCATAGCAATTTTAGACACAGGAAGCAGTTTAATATATGCTCCTAATGCTGAAGTACTTCAAATTATGATTGACATAGGAAATGCAGGGAGCTGCTATCAGCTGTATGGAATGCTTGTTTGTGGGTGTGGAGAAAAAAATCCATTGAGTAGTTATTGATTATTATATTAAATATGCTCCTTGCTTAATAGCAAGCATATTAAATATGATATTTCGATCTGGGCATGACCTCCCAGCTATATATATTATATCCGGCAAAGTTTTTGCCAATTCAGAAATGGATAACAAAAAAATTCCAGCAGTGTGCAGAGCCTAGACTAAGCCCGTTTTTAGGATTGGAATTTTATCTCGTGGAATGGAAGGATAAGAAGATGGTAAGGAAAGCTCGGACAATCGGGCAAATTCCTATCGTGAATCCTGGAGTTAAGCCTGGGCTTCGATTCGACCTTTTGCAGAAAGATGACCAGAAATTCCTTTTTTTTGGAATTTCTGTGAGGCAGCCATGCTATAATAACCACCCGCTGTAGGGACGCAGATAGTCTGCTCACTTAAAACTGGAGCTGAAAAGCAAGGAGGAGTTCTCTGCAAGCTGTAATTCCGATCTAGATGGTACACGACCAGAAGGGAGCAAAGTGATGCCCGAGCCAACTTATCAGGCAAGTAATCCCAACCGAATGGCGAAAAAGGGCTTCGCAAAGCGGATAAATTCACAAGGATCTTTGGTGGCTGTGTAACCAACAAGGCCTAGCCTACCTATTTATTAAGATTAAGGCAGAATTAATACCAAGCTCTTTTTAATAATCGATAAGTTATTTACTGCCTAAAAATTAATTTAAAATGGAATATCCTGTTATAACATTAAAGTTAGGAACGCATTTATATAGTTTGCTGCCTGAATATTATTTCTGGAAATATGAAGATAGATGCACTTTATTGATAATGAGCTTTAACAAAGGAAATTTCTGATTACTTGGTGATGTGTTTTTAAGAAGATATTACACAATTTTTGATATGGAAAAGTCAAGAGTAGGATTTGTGCCTTCTATTAACAATTTATATAGAAAATCAGAAACCAGAAGCATATGAGATTATTGAGTTGTGATTGTTTGTATAATAGGCTCTATTACAGTCGTTATAGTGGGTTTTATTTGCTATAAAAATTGAAAAAGAAATCATCAAAATATTCATGAGTTTTAAAATGTTTAAATAATAAATTTTATGGAGTAAATTTTTAAGATGGGTTTGCAGGAAATCAATCATGCTTAAAGATAATAGCAGTGATTCTGATAGAATTTTTCACTGTTTACTTATTTAACTTTATTGCGATAATCAATGCTTATAATGTTTTAAAATTACAATAATAAAAAATATATTAAAGAAGGGTCTGTTTGAGTTTGTGGCTTTTTAATGAATTTAATCCCCCCCGTTTTAAATTAGAACAATATATCCTGTTCCAATTAAAAGGGGGTTAATTTTTTCTATAAATTTTTTTTTAAATTTTTTAAATCTTAAAACAAATAAAATGAGAATATAATTTGAATTTTAATATATTTTTATGGAGAAATAATTAAAAGAGTTCATCGATTCAGTTTTAAATAGCATTCTTCTTGCACTTTTTTTCATTAAAATAGGTAAAAATTAATTTTAAAAAAATTAGTAATTCAATTTTTTTTTAAAAATTTTTTATATATTTTTTCAGTGAACACAATAGTTTGAATTTTAATTTATTTTTTATAAATTTTTATATAAAAAAATTAATTGATTCAGTGAAGCTGTTTAAATAATATTCTACATAATTTTGTCTATTAAATTGGATCAAAACTAATTTATAAAAATTAGTACTTTAATCGATAAAAATTTTCCTATTGAAAAAATTAAAGGGAGGTTAAAGTACCCAAAAAATGCAAATTTTACCGATGTTTTGTTCCAATTTTAAAAAGAAAGTTAATGAAATTAAAGTAAATTAAAATTAAATAAAATCATATAATAAAAGATATGTTAATTTTTTTATACATATTTTATATTTATTATAATTTAGCAATTGGTTCATTGCCAAAATTTTTTAAAATCATACAGACTCTGTTCCTGATATAGAGCATATTGAAGTAATTTATAATTTAGCTCACGTAATTATTTAATTAAGCTCAAATTTCTGCGTTTATATTTCTTTCAAATATTTTTCAGCGTTCTCCCTCAACCCCATCTTGAAAATTTTCTATTTATATCAAATATGATGATCTCCTACATTAATAAATGATCAAAATTCTTTTTTCTCTCCAAGTATCGTTATGATGATTGGCATTTTTGGTTTTCACCTTTTTCCCTTTGGTTGACTCATCTCTAGCAGCTTCTGATGTTGTTTTATCTTATGAGAATGGAGGAAGCAGTTCTCAGCTTATGTCTCCTGAAGCATGAACCATGAATTCAGACACTTTGGCTTATAGCCCAAGTGTTAGTTCAGAAACTTTATCCTGTAGTAGCATTACCAATACAGATTACACCAATATTACACCTGCGAAAACACGAGTCCATAAAAATGCTGATTTTTCTTTTTCATTAACGATAACTACTGGAGACTCAAATTACGTTTTGATTCTTGGATTTTGCGACGACGGGCCAGCTACAAGACGATTTGGTGTCAAATTGGCAGGAACTTCTATTTTACCAACAACATTTGACCCAGGAAATACTGTTGGGACATGCAAAGTATATGAAGTTTATGCTCTCTTTACTTTGACTAATTCAGGAACAAAAATTACACTTAACAGCTCAACAATAACGCTCACTTCAACTAATGTCATTACTATTACACTTGTAAATGGAACTGGGCAAGATCCAATAATCAATTACACCATTTTGGTTAAAGGTGATTGCTCAAAAGCAAATTATTGCTCAATGTGTAATGATCAACTATGCACAACCTGTAATGTATCTACAAGAGTCTGCTCAACTTGTATCTCTGGAACAAGCTTAATCAACTCTAAATGTTCCTGCATTGCTCAGTATTATTATAACTTTGTAGCATCTGCATGCCAACTTTGTGATCAGCTCTGCTCAACCTGTGCTGGTGGAGGAGTCTTTGCTTGCACAACTTGCACTTCGACTTCGTATTATTTAATTAATACTGTCTGCTTAATTGGGTGTCCTTATGGATATTCAGGATCTACTTGTGGTACAAGTCCAACAAATTCTGTTATTAATGTAAATTTTAATCAAGACTTTGCGGAAATTTATGGAATTTTTAACACTGGTACAAGTTCTTCTACTTATCAGTTCTTTGTAAGCCCGGACAGTGTTGATCCGATTCCTTCATATTTACAAGGATTTTATTTTTCGAGCACAAGTCCTGGGTATTACTTGGCTTCGAGCTCAACTCTTTGGCTTTCTCATACTTTTTCTATTGCTTTATGGGCTTATACACTTTTTGGGTGATTAGAAACTTGAGATTTTAATGGAATCTTGGTAAACTGCCTAAAGATGCTCATATTAACTCATATTTTTTTAATTTTTGATATTATAAAATGCAAATGTTTAAATAAATAAAAAATCTTAAATTATTTTTAAACTTAATCCTCCTTGTAAGTGAATAAAGCATTTTGTTCGTCAGTCACGGAGGGGGCATTTTTAAAAATATATATATAAATTTTATAGTATTTTTTTTTAAAAAAATTTAAAAAAATCTAATTTGTAAAAATTAACTTTATTTGCGAAATTATGTTTTAAAATATAAGCTGTTTAAAAATTAAAAGAATTAGCTAGAGATTTGTTACAATAACTATCACTTATATATCAATATTTTTTTCATAAAAAATTTTTTGGATTTTTGGGCAAAAATAGGGATTTTTCCATGGTTTTGCTCACTCATGGAGGGGAGATAATAAAAATTTATAATTTTAATATGAAAATTAAAAGATTTAATTTTTGTCAACAATATGTAGGTGAATAATAAAAATGGGAAATGATATCTAATAAAGCTATCCTAATATCAGGCATGATAAAAGAGGTCCTCAATTTTATTTTTTGCATTTCTTATTATATTTATTGCAATTTTCAGTGATAGATTGCAATTTGTGAAATACATTTCAGACTGTGCTTTAGGCATATCCCTGTGATGTTTTGTATCAAAATAAAATTTTAGTATGATTTTCCACGATTGATTTTATATTTAGAAGCAACTTGAACATTTCCATTTTTGAAAAATTTTCTTATACTTATAATCCATCTTAAATTCTTTCACTGCTCATTGCACGGCATCTTTTTTAAATTAATAATGGTCAAACTCAATATTTCTTTTTCTCTACGACTATCGTTATGGTTTTTTTATTTTGTCTCCTTAGTCTTTTACCTTTAGTAGACTCATCCCTAACTCTCCCCCTCTGTGAGCAAACAAAACAATCATGTTCGCTCATGGGCGGGGTTAATTTTTTTTTAAAAATTTATATAGAATTTTTTTTTTCAAAATTTAAAAAAATCCCACTTCGCAAAATTTGGAAAGCAAATATTATTTTTAATTTGTAATATTTATGTTTTTAAAACGCAATTTGTTTAAAATTAAACAGAGTTAGCTTGAGATTTCATTATACTAATTATCACTTATATATCAATTTTTTTTCCATAAAAATTTTTGTTCGCTCACAGAGGGTGGAGGGGTGAGTAAGTGCTTCTGATATTGTGTTGTCTGTTGAAAACGGAGGAACATCAGCAACAACGATGACTCCAGAAACATGAACAATTGCTGCAGATAGTTCATCGAATTACAGTCCAAGTGTTACTTTTGATTCTTCATCCTGCGCTACTGTCACAAATATCAACTATACGAATACTAATGCATTAAAAACTCGAGCAAGGAATTCATCCATCAACCTTTCACTATCAATCACTACAGGTGACTCAAGCTATGTTCTGATTCTTGGGTTTTGTGATGACGCGACAAGAACTTTCAATGTAGTCGTAGCAGGAGTAACAATATGATCTAGCTTTAGTCCGGGGACTCTTGCTGGAACTTGCAAAGTTATTGAGATCTATACTCTATTTACACTATCGAATTCAGGAACGAAAATTACAATTAATGGCTCAGCATACACGCAAAGCACTACTAATGCAGTTGTTGTTGCACTTTCAAATGGAAACAATGGAGTAGGGCAAGCCCCAATAATCAATTACACCATTTGGTTAAAGGAGACTGCTCGAAAGCGAATTATTGCTCAGTGTGTAATGACCAACTTTGTGCAACATGCAATGTAGCTACAAGAGTCTGCTCAACTTGTGTCTCTGGCAGGCGTCTCGCTCTGTGTTCCTGTCCTGCTAATAACTATTTTAACTCGGCTGTGCCAGCTTGCCAAATTTGTGATCAGCTCTGCTCAACCTGTGCATTGGTGGAGGAGTCTTTGCTTGCACAACTTGCACTTCAGCCTTCGTATTACTTGATCAACACTGTCTGCCTATATTGCGTGTCCTTATGGATATTCAGGATCTACTTGTGGTACAAGTCCAACAAGTTCTGTTATTAATGTAAATTTTAATCAAGACTGCGCGGGAATTTATGGGATTTTTAACACTGGCGCAAGTTCTTCTACTTATCAGTTCTTTGTAAGCCCGGACAGCGTTGATCCGATTCCTTCATATTTACAAGGATTTTATTTTTCGAGCACAAGTCCTGGGTATTACTTGGCTTCGAGCTCAACTCTTTGGCTTTCTCATACTTTTTCTATTTCTTTATGGGCCTATACCGATAAATCCTGATAAATACAAAAATTTTGATATTCCACAAGCAGAATTTGGTTTTAATTGTTTTTTTAAAAAAATAAAAATATTTCAAAAATTAATAAAAAATTTAGCAAGCCGAATTTAGAAGTGCTTCTAGTCTATATATTTAAGGATATTCTATATCTACAGCTAATGATTTAGTTGGAAAAGGTACTAGGCTCTTGCATACTAAGAATCCAAGGATCTGGAGCTATGACTTTGACTCTGCAAAGTCCTTCATTGACAACAACATCAGTAACATCAAATACTTTGAGCATAACAACTGGCGTCTGGATTTTGCTTTCTTATACAGTTGTATACTCATCCTATTCCACCACTATAACTCCTTATCTAAACAACGTAGCTGTTACAGGCACAACAAGCTCAGAATATGTGTATAGAGAATCAGCTGCTTCCACCCTTTATATCGGCCAAGGAAATAGCTACTTCAGTGGGTTTATATACAATTTCAAGCTCTGAAATACAAACTATTCCCCTTTTACTACTGAATATACAGGCACCGAGCTTTGTACATCAGGTGGAAGTGCCTGCTTTGGGACTTGCACGTTTGGCCAATACTATGATACAGTTACCTCTCAATGTAAACCTTGTTCAAGCTGCAGTAAGGGATGCACTCGAGCTTCCTCTTGCAATATTTGCTATGATCCTCTATGCTCAGTCTGCACTGGCTTTGGGTCTGGCAAATGCACAACTTGCATTACAAATGCATCTAAAACAGCAGCAACAGACTGTGCCTGTAATAGTGGGTATTACTTATCAGATCCTTTTACATGCACTGCATGCTATACGGGATGTTCTGTATGCACAGGAACAGGCTATTACCAATGCACTGCATGTGTATCGACTAAATATTTCCTTTCTGTTATGTGTTTAAGCTATTGTCCAACTGGATATACTCAAGACTCTACAAATAATTTATGTACGGTTTCTACGACTAATGTGATTTCTGTTGCTTTGCAAGATTTGATTTATTTGGGAACTGTAAGTAGTTTTACGGTTGGATCATCAAGCACTAATGCGTACCCAACTTTTGATGCTGGAAGCGACCCAATCCCATCAATTTATAGAGGATATTACTTTGCAAATGCTTATTATATGACTTATAGTTCTCTTATAATTACTCCTTACTTTATTGTCACGGTTTGGGTGAAGCCAATATTATCAGGATACTTGCTTTTGAAATTGGATAGCTCTTCGAATGCTATGTTTGCATTTTCATTTACAGGCCTAGGATATGCATCGCTTACTCTGCGCCTTCAAGATGCTACGACAGTCACTTCAACTGGATTGACAAGTGTTCTTGGAAGCTGGCATAATATTGCTTTTACTGGAGATATCTCTAGTGGTAAAACAGTCATTACATTGTATACTGATGGTAATTTAATCGGAGGCACTTCTACAGCAACATCAGTAAGTGTTTCTCCATTTATAGATTCTTCATCTGGAACTTTATATGTTGGATCTCAGTCAGGATCTAATGGATTTACAGGCTTTTTGTGGAGTTTTAAATTTTATAATGGAAATTCTAACCAGAATGCTGAATGGATTACAAGTGGCTGCAATTCGGGGTGCTCAACTTGCCCATCAGAAAAAAAGTGTCCTGATAGTTGCAGCTTTGGATATTTCTATTCAGGATCAGGATGCACTCAATGTGGAAGTGGATGTGGGAATTATGGATGCAGGAGTACTGATACTTGTAGGCTTTGCCAAACTAAAGAATGTTATGCTTGCACTTTATTTGACGGCAGTTGCACTTCTTGTATTACAAATGCATCACCGAGTGGAACAGCATGTGCATGCAATACTAATGCATTTTGGAAGGCGTCTACTGCTACTTGCGAATTGTGCGATAATAAATGTTCGGCATGTGCTGGAACTTATTACTTTTTATGCAATACTTGTTCTTCTGGGACGATTGTAGATAATGTGTGCTTGAATGGTTGCCCTCAAGGATATAGCACAAGCCCATGTACAAGTACAAAATCGGCAATATTCCAAGCACTATTTGATACTTCGTTTTCTGGAACCTACTCAACATATTTCCAAACCTCAAGTTCATCAGCAACATATCAGTTTTTTAGCACTCCAGATGCTTTAGATCCAGTTCCTGCTTACAAAAGAGGTCTTTATTTTTCAGGAGGACAATATTTAATTACCAATACCAATATATTGCTAAGTAATAATGTGTCTATGGGACTATGGATTTATGTGATTACCTCTGGAGATATTCTTCAAAAATCACCTGGAATTACATTCAGTTCTTCAGGTGTTTTAACAGTCACCTTAGAAAATCAATCACTTACTACGAGCTCTCTTTCTACCACTGCTCTAACAGCTTTTTCTGGTTGAACTTATGTGTCATTTTCCATTTCCTTTTTAAACGGAGACACTTCAATAGCGACTTATTTAAATGGAGCAGCAGGAAACACTGCTAGCTCTGCAACTAATATTTACAGAGACACTTCAAATGCTTTATATATCGGAAAAAGCACAAACAGCTACTTTACAGGTTTTGTTTAATATTTTACATTATGAAATGCAGCCATCACTACTTTTACTTCAAGCTTATCAATTCCTTGCTCATCAAGTTCAAGTCCTTATACTTCTTGCCTTTGGTCTTGCTCAATTAGCCAATATTATAGCACATCATGCAGTTCTTGTAATAACGGGTCAGGAGGCAGCTGCTCATATGGATGCGTAAGAGCTTCATCTTGCAATAAACTGAGGTTAGCTAAATACGTTCTTAGCATATCAATTTTTAAAGCAGTCTTAATATTTTATAGTAATAAATAAATTAATTAATCGTAATATATTTGCTATGATCCTCTTTGTAAAACCTGTACCAGCTTTAATTCAGGAGATTGCACGACTTGTGTTGATAATGCGACTGGTGGAGAGACAACTGCTTGCTATTGCAATACCAATTATATATCTAGCGGGTTTGCTTGTGTATGGGCTTGCACTACTGGATGTGCTGGATGCTCAGGGACTCAATATTATCAGTGCATATCATGCAATAGCGGCTATTACTATTTAAATGGGCTTTGTTTATTAGCTTGCCCAACAGGTTATACAGCAAGTCCAAGCCCATCTAACTCTTGTGTTCAGTCATCTGCGACAATATATTCTCTAGCTCTTCAAGATATTATTAAGCTGAGTTCTACAGATTCAAGCATAACAATTGGCTCTACTAACTCGAATTCTTACCCTACATTTGAAACAGGTGATCCTGTTCCTAGTATATATAGAGGCTATTATTTTACTAGTGCTTCAACTATTACCTTGAGCAGTGCTAAGCTATATCCATTTTTTTCAATAGTGTTATGAGCGAGAGAAAAAGGGGATGGAAAATTACTATCTCAATCTGATGGGACTACCCAGTTTATTAATATATCATTCTCATCAGGAAAAATCTCAATTTCTCTTATCTTACTCCCTCCATTTAATAAAGAGTGTTTTTTTTATGAATCTATTTAAAAATTTTAATTTTATAGAAATGTTTGAATAATGCTTTTTTAAAAGAGTAGCCTGAGAAATAAAGTATATCATATAAAATTTCTAAGTTTTAAGATATAATAAACTTTACAAACACAATTAAAATAAAAAATTTAAAAAAAAAAAGCAAACTAAACAATTTTGTATAACAAATTATAGATTTTTTTGTTATAAGCTGAGAAGTTAGAAGACTCCTCTACTGTCACTTTGGCTGATACAACTACAACCTTTACTGGGAATTGGCATAATATAGCTTTTGAAGGGAACTTAAATAGTGGAAAAACTAAAATTTCTTATTACTTGGATGGAGCCTTAGTTTCAACTCAAAGCTCTACTAACTCGAAGATGCTAATTGATACTGGAACTTTGTATATTGGAACATACTCAGGGACAGATGGCTTTGTCGGCTTTTTATGGAGCCTTAAAATTTTTAATGAAAATGGTCATTATCTTGATGAATGGATTACATCTGGGTGCCCAGCAAGCTGCTCAACTGGATGCCCTTCAGAAAAACTTTGTCCAGACAGTTGCGAATTCGGGTACTATTATGACACTTCTTATGCAGCTTGCAAACAATGCGATTCCTCACAAAACTGTGGAGGCAGCTATGGCTGTCGAAGCCTCTTAACTTGCCGCTTATGCAAAGCAAAAGAATGCTCAGCTTGCTCAGCCTTTGACGATGCCTGCTCTGCATGCATAACTAATGCTTATATTCCTTCAGGGAATAATGAATGCCAATGCAACTTAAATGCTTTTTGGATCCAATCCACACAAACTTGCGAAATCTGTGACAGTCTTTGTGATGACTGTGCTGAAACTTATTATCACGAATGCAGCCAATGTAGTAGCTCAGCAATTGCTGTTGGAACCGTGTGTTTGCATGCATGTCCTACTGGCTATGCATATTCGTCCCCCACATGCACAATATCTACCTCGTCTATCGTCGATCAGTCGTTTTATCAAGATTGGGCAGGACTTTATGGCATTTTCCAGACATCTTCATCAGCAGCCTCTTATTATTTTTCCACTACTGTGGATACACAAGATCCTGTGCCTGTTTATAACAGGGACTTTATTTTTCAGGTGGAAAATACTTGGTGTCTACATCAAATATATATTTAGCTCACTACTTTTCTGTTGGGTTATGGGTATATGTGATCACTGCTGGAGATGTTTTCCAGAAAAATAGCAGAGTTATATTGAATTCTGCAGGATCAGCTACAATTGCGCTGGAACAACCTTTAACTGCAAGCGCAACAGTCACAGTAACTTCTGCAACTCTAATCTTTAGTAGCTGGGTTTATTTGTCTTTAACAGTTTCCTATTCACAAGGCACCACTTCTATCCAAACCCGCTATAATACTAATAATGGTGTGGCTTCATCCAGCACAAACAATATATTTAGAGATGTGTCTAGTGACGTTATTTACATTGGGAAAAGCACCAGTTCTTCAACATTTGCAGGATATGTATATACAATTACTATATGAAATACTGCAGTCACTGATTTTACGACACAACTTGCCTTAAGTACTTTATCTTGATGGTCTTGCAGCTTTAGCCAATACTATGATGGCTCGGCATGTCAAAGTTGTGGAGGGTCTTGCTCTCTTGGATGCAGAAGAGCTCTGTCTTGCAACTACTGTGATGATATTCTATGTAAAACCTGCTCTGGGTTTTCCTCAAATGAATGCTCAGTATGTGTTGATAATGCAAGTGGCCCGGGAACAGGCTGTAATTGTAATGCAGGCTGGAAGCCTTCTTCTATAGGTGATACCTGCATTAATGACTGCAAAACAGGATGCGCAACCTGCACATCTTCTGCATATTATAACTGCGACTCCTGCAGTTCTGGATGCTATTTGATCTCTAATATGTGCTTTACTGCCTGCCCAGCAGGCTATGCAGCAGATTCTACGAATGTTTGCATTTGGAGCAGCGATAGCGCGTTGTCATTATCCTTACAGAATTTAATTTACCTAGATAGTGTAAGCTCAGTACAAGTAGGTTCTTCGAATTCTAATGCATATCCTACCTGGGATTCAAGTGACCCGATTCCTTCTATTAGTCGTGGATATTATTTTATCAGTGGAAAATATATGGATGCTGGTGCATTTATGATGAGTCCGTTTTATACAGTTACTATTTGGGTAAAGCCTATCGGTTTAGGATATTTGATGGTGAAATTAGATGGATCTACAGAAATGTTTGGAATTCACTTTGATATAAATGGGGACCCAATAGTTGAAGCTACCTTGAGCGATGGTTCAAGTGTTTCTTTAACAACTTCATCATCATTATTTGGAAGTTGACATAATTTAGCTTATACAGGAAATATTGTGACTGGCTATACCACAATTTCTCTTTACTTGGATAGAGCTTTATTTATTAAAATAGCGATATAATCAATATTTTCTTATGATACAAAAGCCAGAACTTAATACTATGTTGAAATTGCATGGATTCAAGAATAAAGAGCAGATTATATTGCATCGGATAGGTTTTGACTGCTTTATTGTGATTTAAAATCAAAGTGTCCAGCAATGTCCTGTGAACTCCAAGTGCTACTTTATTGAGAGATTGAGGGTTTTGGCCAGGCCACAGAGAGCAACCCTATTCTAATAGATGCCAAGCTAGACTCTAAGAAAGTTAATTCTTGAAATCTAACTAATCCCATAACCGTCGATGGTCACAAAAATCAATAAGCCGTCCATCAAGACTGAAGCTTAATGAAAGTGAAATCCTATTGAGCCTACTTCTTTGAATTTTGGGGAAGAGGGCAGCAAAATGAACTTCTAAAAGGAGGTCTTCGGCGGCAGCTTCAACAATATGGCTTGGCCTTAAAATGACTAATCTTAATAGTCGGATGGAGCTGCAACACCAACAACCCAAACTTCTACTTCAATGCAACCATTTATTGATTCAGGATCATTATTATTTGGATACTCTTCAATAGCAGATAGTTTCCAAGGCTTTTTATGAAGTGTGAAAATCTACAATAAAAATACATACCAAGCTTCTGAATGGATAGCATCAGGCTGCCCTTCATCCTGCAGTTCAGGATGTCCTTCAGAGCAGCTTTGTCCTGATTCTTGTTTATTCGGAGAATATGATGATGGCGGCTGTCAAGTTTGCGATAGCGCATTTTCATGCTCTTATGGATGCAGGAGCTGAGATACCTGCAGACTTTGCAAAGCAAAAGAATGCGATACTTGCACAACATTCACTGGAGATTGCACTCATTGTATAACTAATGCTGAAATTGTAACAGGAAATACTTGTGCTTGTAAAGATGTAGCTTTTTGGGTCCATTCCTCTCAATCTTGTGAACTTTATGATGGTCTTTGCTCAAAATGCTTACTTTCCTCATTTGGCAACAAGCAAACATTTTTTTACTTAATTTTATATTTATTTTGGTTTTGCAAATTTCCAATTGATAATATTTGATAGGAAACTCGTGATTAATTATTAAATTTATATTTCAGAACGTCAATTTTCTAAACGGATGTGAATTACCTTAATTTTTAATTAATATATACCAAGATATTATATAAAAAAATTTTTTTTGGTGTTTGCTGAGGTCTGATTTTTCATTATTTCTTAGATTATCATCAATAAAAGTTAGGATCTTATTACTTTGAGTGTCAAACTTGTATATCAGGGGCACAAAAAGTTGACAATATCTGCTTGCATGCTTGCCCTTATGGTTTTGATTCAAGCTGCAACTATCCTGCATCAAGCCAAGTAATAAACGAAGTGTTTGGGGATAATTTTAGAGGTCAATATGGAGAATTTATCACCGGGACAAGTGCATCTTCTTATCAATTTTTCAATTCTCCTGAAGTAAATATCGACCCAACTCAAGCTAAAAATAGAGGGCTTTACTTCACTAATGGCAGCTATCTTCAAGCATCCACAATTTATCTTAATTATAAATTTTCTATAGGTTTCTGGGCAAATGTAAAAACTGCTGGAGATATGCTTGAAAAACAGCCAAACTTGAGATTTAGCTCTGATGCGTCATCTATTGTTTATTTAGAAAATCCAAGCTTAGTAACAGCATCAGTTAGTACATTAGCAATTACATATACAGCAGGATGAAATTATTTTGCCATAACTATTGCATATACTCCTGGCTCTACAGCTGTTACCTGTTATGTCAACGCAGCTTCAAGTTCTCCTGCAACCATCACGAATAATTGTATATTTAGAGATGTCAGCTCTCAGCAGATTATAATAGGGAAAAGCTCAGCATCCTCAACATTTGAAGGTTTTATATACAATTTCAACTTATGGACTGATACAATAACAGATTTTAGCTACCAAATAAATAATGATATATGCAACACTGGGCAAGGCCATAGCTGCTTGTGGGATTGCTATATAGATAAATACCAAGATACCGATGGATCATGTAAATCTTGCAATTCATGCTCTTTAGGCTGTACACGAGGGGTCTCTTGTGGGATTTGTGATGATAAATTGTGTGATGAATGCTCTGGGTTTGGAGCCAACCTTTGTTATACTTGCGTTACCCATGCCTCAGGTGCTCCTGGAAGTGCTTGCTCATGTGACCAGCAATATTATTTAAATCCTGATGGCTTTTCCTGCTCTCCTTGTACAACGGGATGCAAAACCTGCTCTGGCAATGATTATTATCTATGCACATCTTGCATTAACTTATATTACTTGCTTTCAGGAATGTGTTTACTGCTTTGAAATATATAAAATATAATAAAATCGCTATTTTTAATAATAAAAATTATATTTATCCTTTTTAATATAATATTTCTATCCCTAATTAGTAATCATTTTAATTAAAATCCCTAAATCTGAATAAAAAAATTTGATATATTAAAGTAAATATTCTGCCAAAAACCCGTATAAAGAAAAATTAATCTCTATTTGATCCAAAAATTTTTGTTGTTGTTTCTATGAGAGTTAGGATATTGTCCAACCGGCTATACAGCAGACAGCACTACTCATGAATGCACTTTACCACATAACCCTTCTCTTTCAGTGGTATTAAACAATGACATACTACTAAATTTAGTTGATGGCATGAATGTAGGAAATGACAATTCAAATAAGTACCCTGCTTGAACTGATGCAAATGACCCAACGCCAGCTATCCTAAGAGGTTATTATTTCTATGGCACGCAGTCTTTGTCTAAATCTTCATTTCTTATATCCACACAATTTTCTGTCCTTTTGTGGCTAAAGCCAATTGCTGGAGGATATGTAGCTGTAAAATCAGATGGGACACATGAATACTTCAAGCTCGTTTTAGATGGATCTGGGAATCCGAATTTAGCCATTTTAATGGCTGACAGCTCAACCGTTTCCATAGCAGGGTCTTCAAGCTTACTATTAAATAATTGGCATTTCCTTGCAGTCACTGGAACATTGATATCAGGTCTTGCATCAGTCATGCAACTTTGGCTTCGACTACTTGCACTTGTGATGTTGATGCTATTTGGGTGGCTTCTTCGTCTTCTTGTGAGCTGTGCGATGATCCTATCTGTTCGGATTGTGCTTCTACGTGCTATTTTGACTGTACTACTTGCAGTTCTGGAAATTTGGTAGGGTCAGCTTGCTTATATGATTGCCCTACAGGATATACAGCTTCATGCACTATTGCACCGACTTCTCCTATTATTGATGTGCTGTTGTATGGGACTTTTGCAGGGAGTTATTCTTCATTTACTACAGGATCGGATAATACGAAATATTTCTTTTTCCATTCCCCAGAAGCAGTTGACCCAATTCCAGCCTACAAAAGAGGTCTTTATTTTTCAAGTGGCAGCTATTTGCAATGGTCTTCTTCCATCTACTTATCCCATAGTTTTTCGCTTGGCCTTTGGGTGAATATTTTTGGCTCTGGCGATATATTAGAAAAAGACTCAACTGTGGTAATAAATTCCAGTGGAGCTGTTACAATCACATTAGAAACCCCTACAGCCACAACTCAGCAAGCATCTACAGCAGGTTCTGAAATATCAGGATGAAGCTATATTTCACTCACAGTCTCATACTCAGCTGCCATTACAGCCATGACTTTTTACATTAACAATGCACCAGGAACTCCAGTCGCCTCTACAAATCTTCTATTCAGAGACGAAATAGGCAAATCACTTATGCTAGGTAAAAGCAGCTTATCTAGCTTCCGAGGGTTCATTTATAATTTCAAGCTATGGAATACTCCAATAACAGATTTTACTAGCTATTACTCAAACGAAATCTGTGGAAACTTAGGCTATGGTAATTGTCTGTGAAGCTGCGATATTGACAGTTATTATACAACAAGTTGCACATCATGCACATGAATTTGTAATCAAGGATGCAGA